GCGCAAAGATGTCGGAGAAGTCGAAACCAAAGCCGCCGCCTCCGCCGCCCTGCTGTCTACTCAGACCCTCCTCGCCGTGCTGATCGTAGATGCGACGCTTGTCAGCGTCAGAAAGCACTTCGTAGGCTTGTGTCAGCTCGACATATTTATCGCCGGCCTCTGGATTCTTGTCTGGATGGAACTGCAACGACAGTTTACGATAGGCTCTCTTGATGTCGCTTGGTGAGCTGTCTCGGCTGACACCCAACATTGCATAATAATCCTTTCCTGCCAACACCACCATCGATGACATTAACAACAATGCAATCACAAATGTTGTCAACAATATAATATTTGTTGATCTGTTCGTCGTCGACATCTCTTTGCTTCTTTCTTTATATATCTATTAATACAAGTAATATATATTATCAATGAATATGAATGAATGAGTCAAACACGAATGATCATTCATCTGTGCATCGTCATCAACCCCCACACACTCTCAACTTCAAAAACATCAAAGTCGATCGATATTTTTTTTCATTTCCAACAACAAATAATAATTTGATCAAAGTCCCTCAAAATGATCTTTTGGTCAAGTGATCAAGATGTTCGATATCTCAATATTATTATCCAAAATAGATAAATAATAATAATGGCGATTTTTAACAACAACAATTTGTTGATCACCGTTACATGTTTGGGTATGATCACGATTATAAATGTTGGTGCAATTGCCGCTCAAGACACCTATACAAACAATCTAGGTCCTAAATGTCAAAACAATCAAAGTGCTTGCCAAATTGGTTATGGTATTAATGATGGTAATTGGGAAGGAAAAATTCCAACTTGCCAGAATGCCTCAGACATATTCGTGACCTCAACCTATACTTTAAGCCTCACTCTCAATCTCTTCCAATGTACCTTTGGTGCATTGGTTGTCAAAGGATCAGACCAAGGAGACTCCCTAACGCTCAAGCTCTACGACAACTTTCCCCAAACCAACTTCCAATTCAACTTTATATATGTTGTAAACCTAGTCGACTCCAGTACTGCTAGTCCGATCAACATCAACCAATTGAATCTATTCAAATCAAAAGTGGTGGCCAATCAAGCTATAACAATTCAATCACTCAATCTCACGAGTTCATCAACATTCAATGCCAATTGTGTCCGGTATTCCGTGACGGTCGAGTCCTTGGCCATGATTGATACTAACTCAATCATCAATGTTGTCAACAACTCTGCTCTCAATGTACAGCAGAGGGCCGAGAATGTCTATGGTAGCTTTGGGGCGACCAACTTTGTGAATGGCGCCACTTTACACGGCCGCTTTAATTCCAAGCAGACGCCCTCTATCATCAGCAACCCATTGTTCTCACTTGGTTCTCAATCACAGGTGAACTTCATTGGCGGTACGGGTGTCAACGGCAACATTACATTGACACCAGATAATATCAAAGCCACCTTCTTGCCAAATGCCACCATCATCTTCAAATCATTGACAATATAACAATGATTGGAATGGGAATTGATCAGGTCAAGGTAGTGATTGTTTATCAATATTCATCGAATATATATCTCAATGTACATCTGGCACCTGGACAACAACCACCACAACTCACATCGATCAATGCATCAACTACAACACCATCCCCGTCGTACTTTGGTACCTTGTATCTCAGAGGGCAGTTTGGAGCAGACTCTATTCAATTTAATAACAGTTTTGGACAAAAATGTTTAAATCAACCATTGGTGATTGATCAACAATCATCAATCACTATCAACAATATTGATTCATGTGGCTCCAATATTATAGTTGATAGTGGTAGTGAATTGATGTTTGGATGCCCTCCTGATCAATCATCCACATCGTTGCCCTTTAATGATATATTGGTGAGCAACTCATCAACATTCAATCTCACTGGTATATGCTCATTCGAGTGCAATTTGAATGTATCATCTGGTTCCAAGCTGATCTTTGATGGCCAGATATTCATATACTCTCAAGCCATATTCAATGTGGACTCGGACTGCACGGTCGAGTTCATTGACCCAATGCCCTTCCCCTACTCCATCCCAATGCTATACCTCAATGCCACGAGTTTCTTGTTCAATGGCCAAGCAATTGTGACCTTCTCCCAAGACCATCCCATTCGTGAACGTTATGAAATCTTTGAATTCAATTTAAGATCGATCGAAACAAGAACCACATTGGCACTACCAAACAAAGTTTCCACTCCATCATTGTCATTCCCGACCAAGTTCAGAGAGGACTATACCATCAACAGTCCAACCAGTGCAACAATGTATGTTGAGGTCTATGGACTAACACTTGGTGCTGCCATTGGAATAATAGTTGGATGTTCAATATTTGGAGTGATTGTGATTGTTGGTGTAGGTTACTACATTTACAAATTCAGGAAGAATCATCAAGGTTATGAGAATATCAATTAACCAGGTTGACGCCACGATAATATATATTATTATATCACTTGATCAACCAAATAATCTATAAAAATTAAATTGGCTCGTTCCATCAAAACTTTCCCTCATTTCAAACTTCCATGAAGATTGATCATATCTGTGATTCGGAAACAGACGTGATCATTCATTTCCAAACAACTTCCAAACTACAACAATAGTAATAATAACATAATGTCAACAAATAATATAATATCATTCTTAGTTTTGGTTATTACTTTATTTATGATTGGTTCACCTGATCATGCTAAAGCCCAAAACACTTACAACTACTTTGTGGATGAGGATTGTTTACAACCAAATGGTTGTCAGATTGGTGTCGGTAGAGATGATGGTAATTGGAAGGGTACTGGTACTCCAACATGTCAGAACCCTTCAGACATATTCAATATTCAATACGGTGCAGTGTTTTCTACTGAACCCTTCACCGTTGATCTCTACGATTGCCAAGTGGGCACCATCAACATTATCCCATTCCCGATTCTGATTGGCTTGAACCTCAATAATCAATACCCAAACACAAACTTTGTCCTACCAAGTCAATCATTTATAAATGCAACTGTACCATCGATTGTCAACCAACTTTCATTGCAGAGCTCTATATTCACAGCAACCTCAACACTCACTATTCAATCACTCAAACTCACCAGCTCCTCAACATTATCTGTGAGTGGACCAGGATCAACAGTTACAGTTGTGTTCTTTGACACTATGGATAGTAGCTCCGTCATCAGTATCGACAATGGCGCTGCTGTCACTGTCAACCAGGGCTCGGAGAATATACTTGGATCAATAATAATCGGACCAGGTCTCCAATCCAGTGCGCCCCACTCCATTCTCACTGCTAACCGTGCAGCTGTTGTGACTCAATCTGGAAGTAACACTGTCACCCTATCGCCATCGACAATCATGCCACAGGTCACCTTCAACTTGGTATCTGTAACCAATATCAATTTGAATCACACTGGTAATCTCAACAACTTGGTGATTAGCAATCAGAATCCATCCTACTACATTGATGTCTACCTCAGTGCCCAACCCAAATCTGATCAACAAATGGGATCTTTAGTGATGACGATGACAGATAGCGTCAGACTACACCTCCGTGGAAAGATCTCTGTTGGTGGTATCAAACAGCTTGGATGTGATACCATGTCATCGATTACCTCCTCAGTGGTAGTTGATAGTGGTTCATCAATCACAATGAATCAATTGTCATCATGTGGCAATGTGACGGTTACAGGTGCCAGCACACTGAACTTGGAGAGCCCAACAGTACCAACTGCCATATCCTCTCAAGAGATACTAGTTCAGGATTCATCCACATTCAATCTCAACGGCTTGTTCACTTTGCAAAGCAATGTCAACATCACAACTGGATCCAAGATGATGGTGGCAGGCAAGACATTCATGTATGACGACAGTTGGAACTACATGACACTCTCTGTGGACGCAAGCAGCAAGATCGAGTTCAGGGACCCAAAGCCCGCCCCCTACTCCATGCCTCTGCTCACCTTCAATGCCTCGCGCTTCTTGTTCTACGGTGAGGCTGATGTTACATTCTCAGATGCACATCCCACAAATCAGCTCTATGAAATCTTTGCCTACTATCTACCTGCCGCCGTTAGCCCATTCATTCTGAACCTCCCCAGCAAGGTGTCCTCCTCATCGATGTCATTCCCAACCAAGATGAGAGAGGACTACGTCATCAACAGTCTCACAAGTTCAACATTGTTTGTTGAGGTCTATGGACTATCATTGGGAGCCGTCATTGGTATAATCGTTGGATGTTCAATGTTTGTTGTGATCGTCATTGCAGGTGTTGGCTTCTACGTCTACAGATCAAGGAAGAACAAACAAGGCTATGCCCTTATCAACATTGAGGATGACCAATAAATAATAATGATCATTGGATGATATATCCAAAGGACAACACAATGACAACTATCTCCTACACTCTGGTCACCAACCCATCAATCATTAGCCAGAGACGAACAATGTTTCCGTGATGATCGTAGTTCGAATGAATGAGCTAAATTGACAAAACAATAAAAATCAAACTTTCCCTCAATTCCCGAATTGCCTCATTTGTATCAATTGCTTTTAAACATGTTAAATTTTACAAAACTTATTATTATTCTTATATCCAACTAAATAATAATGTCAACATCAAATAATATATAACTTTTCATTCATTTTTTGGGTGCTAGTTTTATTTATTATGATTGTTTTACCCAATACTATTAAAGCCCAAACCACCTACAACTACTATTATAATGACTGGCAAAATTATAATCCACCACGTCAGATTGGTGTTGGAATTAATGATGGCTACTGGAGTGGAAATGTTCCAACATGTCAGAACCCTTCAGACATATTCAATATTCAATTCAACGATCAGTATTTCTCACCAGTCATTGACATCGATCTCTTTGATTGCCAGGTGGGCACCATCAACTTGATAGGAGCAGATATATTTGTCGTATCATTGAACACCCATAGTCAATACCACAACACCAACTTCCACCTCACCGGTCGTGCACTTCTTAATGTACAATCACCCTCGATTGTTAACCAACTGACCGTGGACCACTCAAGTGTCTCTGTCTCAACTACCCTCACCATTCAATCACTCAATCTCACAAGCTCCTCTACAGTATATACGAGTGGTTAAGGATCAACAGTGACTGTCGCGTCCTTGGAGTATATGGACAGTGGTTCAGTCATTAGTATCGACAGTGGCTCTGCTGTCAATGTCGAGGAGAGGGCTGATCAGATCTATGGACAAATTGGATCAGCAAACTTTGAGAAGGGCGCAACATTGAATGGTTTGATTCAATCTGATTCAGCCCTCTCCATTCTCCGCAATCCATTGTTCACACTTGGCAGTGGAGCAGTTGTCACTCTAACTGGAGGCAATGTCAATCTGTCACCAGAGAATGTCAGAGCAACTATATTGCCACAGATGACCTTCAACTTTGTATCTGTAAACAATATCTTATTGAATGGCACTGGTGATCAAACCAACTTGGTGTTAAGCAATCAGGACCCATCCACAAATAATGGTGTGTCACTATCTATCCTTAAATCAGGACAACAGATCTCTTCAATAACGATGACCGGCAACCTCACACTCCACCTCCTTGGCCAGTTCTCTGTTGGTAGTATCCAACAGCTTAGATGTAATAACACGTCATCGATCACCACCTCAGTTGTAGTTGATAGTGGATCATCAATCACAATGAATCAGTTGTCATCTTGTGGCAATGTGACCATTTCAGGAGCCAGCACACTTTCCTTGGAGAGCCCAACTGATCCAACAGCGTTGTACTCTCAAGAGATATTTGTTCAGGACTCATCCACATTCTATCTCAACGGCCTGTTCACTTTGAATAGCAACGTCCACATCACAACTGGATCCAAGATGATGGTGGTTGGCAAGACATTCATGTATGACTCTATCCCCAACTTCATGACACTCACTGTGGACGCCAGCAGCAAGATCGAGTTCAAGGACCCAAGACCCTTCCCCTACTCCATGCCCCTACTATCCTTCAATGCCTCGCGCTTCTTGTTCTATGGCCAGGCTGAAGTGACCTTCTCCCAAGCACATCCAGCCAATCAACGTTATGAAGTCTTTGAATATTATCTGCTTGCCGCTGAAAGTCCATTCACTCTGAACCTCCCCAGCAAGGTGTCCGCCCCATCCCTGTCATTCCCAACCAAGATGAGAGAGGACTACGCCATCAACAGTCCAACCAGTGCCACAATGACCATTGAGATCTATGTACTATCACTCGGAGCCGTCATTGGTATAATCGTTGGATGTTCAATGTTTGTTGTGATCGTCATTGCAGGTGTTGGCTTCTACGTCTACAGATCAAGGAAGAACAAACAAGGCTATGCCCTTATCAACTTTGAGGATGACAAATAAATTGATTGACTGGACAATGATGTTGTTGTCGATCGGGTTTTATGAAGTTGTTGTCGTAGTCGTCGTCGGCGTCGTCGTTGTTGTGGCGCTATTATGTACAGTATTATTGATGTTGTTGTTCCTGTGATCTACCCATTGCCTCACTCTGGACGTAATCTCCTTGGCAAAGAGCGCAGACTCCTCCATATGCTTGAACTGTGGATTGTTGGTGGCATTGGCGAATGAATTGATAAACTTGGGCAGCTGTAACAACTTCAGTGGATTGTCCATGTATGATCGCACCTCCTCTGGCTTGGGCTTCCTCTTTTGCGAGTAGCCCTCACCAAAGTACATCAACAGTGATGTCATCTTCTCCTCTGTCGCCTGGATACCCTTGACGGCCTCCAAGTACTGCTCCATCACCGGCCACAGTCGTCCACACTTGAGTCTCTCACTGCCCATGTGCTGGAACCAAAAGTTGACGCTAATCGAAGGTTCCAGTGTGCGGACATAGTGCCACCATAGTTTGGGGATGAAGAGCATCTCGCCTTGCTCCAGGACAACGTCAATTGATCGCGCGTTGGCAAACTCGGGGAACCTGTCCAGATCGGGCTTGTCAATGTCCACCTGCGCATGGTGGAACAAGCCCCAATGAGGCTTCCTCCTGATGAACAGGTTGTTCTCGACAGGGTCGTACAGCCTGAATAGTTTCTTGCCGCTGACGATGGCGTGCAGGCCATCCATGCCGGGATCGCCCGTTGACCAATCGTGGTGCAACGGTGTCACCTGGCCCTTGACGCCTATCCATAGGTTGGCAGACTTGCCCTGTTCCCGAGGTATCTCTGGCACGACATAATCCGTCTCGAGCTCGGGGAAGTACTTGTTGATTGGTAAGCTGGCCAAATAATACGTTGGTTCAGCACCTGTCTTCTTTGCAATGTTCCAGCTGTCGACAAACGTTGAGAACTTTATGTTTGAAGTCTTGCCCAGCCATTCACCTACATCATATCCTATTTCACGTACTGGTATCTCTCGTTCACCTATCTAATTGATTGAATGAGTATGATTGAGTGAGTATGAGTTAGTGATTGATTGAATGATTGAATGAACGAATGAACGAATGAATGAATCATACCTTGTCGACAAGATAGGCCGGTGTATTCCATTTGTTGAAGCACGCCCAGCCATCGACGATGCCTGTTAATACAAATGGTTGATTGCGTAGGACGAACTGTTCGAGGATGTCTCTGGTCGGTCGGAATAGTTTCTCAATGTTCATTGGTGTCGATCGATCGACAGTACTATTGTTTCTCACTGTTGTAAGTGATGTCAATGAGTTTGATCTATTAGTTGTTGTTGTTGTTGAGGTTGTTGAAGTCGTCGAGGTAGTCGAGGTATTCGAAGAAGTCGAGGAGGAAGCTGATGTTGACGTCGGTGTCTGGCAGTCCAGTTTCTTCTTTGTTTGTTCGATGGTGATGTAATATCAACTACAATTGTAGTATTATATAAAAAATAATAAGTATATAACTAACATGTAATATAACTAAGTCAATGTCACGTGATTAGAATGAGGGCTAAAGACGTCGACTTCGCAAATTTGAGGTGTCCGTCCACACACGAACCCTCGTTCAAAGCGCGGACGACAATCCAACTTTATTCTCTCTATCTATCCATCTCTGTCCATCCACTATCTATCTCTATCTATCTTGGTTGTTAACGACCATAGTATATACGTTGTTGAACACTTGTGATAACATTGTGTATATCACGATCATGTGATAGAACGTGTTCATATCGATCAAAGAGTTGATCAAATTGTAATGTATCATTGTTGATAACAGATTCACTTATGCCAATGAGCAATGTGAGTGATGGCCAACAAGATGTTGATGTTGATGATGTTGATCTTGACTTTGCACCACTGTTCATCCAAGTGCCAAGGATAGAGGACACTCGAACAAGGTCATAACAACCTAGTGCATACTTTAAAGAGTGTATCATGGCAAGTTGAGCGCCTTCATTAAATCCAAGACTGTCCACTAGTTTAAACTGCATCGTATACATGTCCGCCACGACATGGTCACGACCTTGAGCAAATAGCAACTGTAATGGTAATGGTAATGGTTAGTGAGTGGCATGGTAGAAAATTCACCATGATGTACTTACCCTGGTGAGTCTTTGGAGGGCGGTGATTGATCGTTGATGGAGCTGGTACTCGCTGGAAATGACATATGAGAGGGAGTAGAGTAGCATGGATAGGTTGTTGACGCGATTGAATGATAGTGCACCGGCAATCTCATCTATGAATGTAACCATTGTCTCGACGATTATCATATTTGTTGATGAAGAAGATGAGGTGGTTGTTGATGATGACTCGGACATATCATCATTAAGGATGTCACCATCGCTCTCCAGTGATATTATGCTTGAATGGACTGCGTTCGTAAGTCTTTCCATGACTGCCAAGGGGGCAGCCATCACACGGCCAAGGTACTCGGCATCGCACAGCATTGAGAGTCTTTGATGATGAGTGTCACCTGTCAGCAGTAGATTTGACTTGATCAAGCATTTAATAAAGTGATACTCTGACAGACGTTGATCAAACAATCGAGTCAGACGTCCAAAGTTCAAATGTGTCTTGGCTTCCAGACTGAGCTTGGCCAACACATCCACCCTGAGGTCCAGTGGTAGTTTGTCCAATGTCAATGTGGTCGATGTGTTGTTGGTGGCCACTGAAGTGTTGGAGGAAGACAATACTGTGAGCATCCTTGATAGACATTCAGCAGCATCTCTTATCATATGATGCGCAGTATAGTTCTTGGCTGCTTGGAACAGATTCTTGACAGTGAGATTGGGCTTTGAAGGAATGATGGTCATCAGCTCGTGCTGTTTCTTTGAGAATGGGTCATCACCTGTACCTGATGTCTTTGATGTTGTCTTTGTCGGTGTCGTTGTTGTTGTATTCTGTTGTTTATGTGGAGGTGTCTTGGGATTGGGTGATGACCTTGACCCACCGCCTCCTGTAGTAGTTGCAGTCTTCTTCTTATTCTCTTTGGCCTGTTGTATATGTTTGGCACTACTGACATGAGTGTTCCAAGTCTGTTCAGATTGAAACCTCTTCTTACAATCAGTACAATAGTATTCATCTTGTTGATATTGATCCCTGTCCCTATCATATGATGATGAAGGTGACGATGATGTTTGAGTGACACTACCACCTTGCGATGACCTAACAGGTGACTTTAAAGGTGACAACAACTGTTGTTGTGTCGCTGTAGTTGAGCTTAGAGGTTCAAGTATGATCTCATCCAAGACTACATTGTTATGTTATGTTAATTAGTTGAATGAGTGAATGAGCTCGAGCAAGTTGGACTTACAATCTACATTGTTGGGCAAGTGTAATGATGATAGATGAGGTAGTTGTTCACACCTGTCCTTACTTTCGTTATTGGTCATGATGTGTAACATTATTATTATTATTATTATTATTACCTCGGCACAGGCAAAATGGGCTAGTTCCCGCGTCTGACGTTGCACTTCAATCACGCGCAGGATAATGAATCCGATTGACGAGCCCTCAATTCATTCAGGTGGACAACACTCCCTCCACCACCATCCGCATCTCTCATTTGCATTGCATTGCCCAACATAACAATCATTCATTCATTCATTACATTTACATACATATAATTAATTATATATTAGATATATATATAGTCTCAAAGATGATACTATGACCATGGTACCAGTGGCTTTTTATCACTCGCTGGGAGTGTTCTCCTCAGTCTGCTTTGGCGTTCAGTACGTGCCGCAGATGTACCTCAACTACAGTAGACGCTCAGTACAAGGCTTCTCACTACACAGTATCGTCATCAAACTGATAGGCGCTGCATTCTTACTTGTAAACAGTGCATTAACTGGAGGTAAGCAATACATTATAGTACATCGCATCACAATGTTGTTCATACTCATACTTACTCATACATACTCATCCAACAGAGTCAATGCCAATCGTATTATACGGTCTATTGAATGTATTACAACACTCTATCTTTATGTTTCAGTATGTCGCGATATTCAAATGATTGAATGATTGACGTGGCGTGATGCGAATCGACGCTAATGCGCGAATACAGTCTAACTCTCGACGGCTACTCCACGGCAACACAAACAAACAAACAGATTCGCGCTATTCTCTAAAGAACCATCCACAAGTAATAAGACATTACCATGGATTGCATTCCCTCTAATACCCTACCTACTCGGTAGTATCTACCCAAGTTCAATGTGTACGCTATAGCCTCGATTGATACAAGACATGGACGAACTGCAACCTAACCTTATGCGATCAATCAATCAATCAATAGATATAACAAACAGTGTAAAGCCAATCACACAACTACTAAGCCATCTACCTCAGGTGATGGTATGCATCAATGCCAAGTCGACATCAGGCGTGTCTCTACCATCGCAGTATCTAAACTTATTCGGTGGACTAACAGGAGTCATCAGTATGTACTCCAACAGCACAGAATGGCATTGATCAGACACTGACACTGCCCTTCATTTATCATCATATAGTGTGCTATGGTATAGCTCCAGTGTCCAAGTTGACATACTTTATCTTTATCAATAGCGTCTGGCAAGCACTGTCCATCTTCATCATGTACTTCTATTATGATTGGCGCAAGAACAAACTCAACAAACCGACCGAGGATCACAATCCATAATCAATCATGGCGCAACAACAGACTTGTGTGTTGTACACAACAAGAACAACACGGTGGCTGTTGCAACGAAGACACAGGCAACCAAAGCAACATGCGAATCATCATCGAACGATCGATCTATCTCTCTCTCTATCAATAATATACAACAAGTACTTTATTCTGTTAGGTTAGCCAATGCAATGTCTGTCTGGCATTCACTATCTCTCTCTTTTGGTCGCGCGCGCCTTCATTCAGATGTTCCTTTTCGGTCGATTGATTGATTGGTTGATTGATTGATTAATATGATTATCTGTGCTCTTCGGACAACTTGAAGACGAAGCGATCGACACGGTCTTCGGCCTCCAGCAGCACCTCCTCGTCCTCCAACACACGCTCCAATCCATCGCGCACGATGAACAGAAGGTAGTTCTGTTCAACGTCTGGTCGCACCTTCATCTTCTTGACAACCATCTGGCGTACGGTGCCGCAAAGAGTGTCATAGCCAACGGCGAACGAGCAGAACAGGACATCACCAAAGCCTTCCAAACATATCCTCACAACAACTCTTCCACGATTCTCTTGCTCGGGTGGTTGTTGTTGCTGTTGTGACTGTGAGAGTGATGGTGATGCTGATTGTGATTGTGATTGTGATTGTGTCTCCTCATCAGAGTCTTGTTGTTGTTGCTGCTGTTGTGACTGCTGTTGCTGCTGTTGATGCTGCTCCTGCTGTGATGGGGCCTCGCTTGGCCTTGGACTCATATCAGGCTCACTGTAGTTGTCCTCCATGTGTCCATCATCGTGGCTGATAGAGGATCGTGAGCTGTCCACTGGAGTTGGTGACGCTGATCTTGAGTTGGAGGCGGCTGGCTTATGATGGTCCTCTTCAATGGCCGGTGACATATTAATGCTGGCCAAGTCGTTCTGGATCTGATCAAACATGTCCATAAGTGAGTTGGTGGCCTGATTAACGGTTGGCTCGTCCACTGAGTCTACACGATGTGTCTGATGATGTTGCTGCTCGTTCTCGATCTCTTGCTGTGCCTGTTCGGCTCGGAGTATCTTGTCCAGCTCGTCACCGATTGAGGACTGTGTCGAGAGATGATGCAGCTCTTGCTGTCTCTCCATCTCTTGCTCATGTCTGCGCTGCTGCTCGGCTTGGTCCTCCAGTCGTCTCTGATTCTCCCATTGCTCCAACAATCTCTGGCTCTCTGCATCCTGCTCTTCGATCTGTGATTGAAGACTCAGAGCCTCCTGCTCCCTTTCGAACTCCTCGCGCTGTAATCTCTCCATCTCCTCCAGTGCCTGTTGCTGCTGGTAATCCTGCTGTTGCTGCTGTTGCAGCATCTGTTGCTGTTGCAGTTGCATTTGATGTTGGTACTCTTGCTCCTGCTGCTGCTGCTGGATCTGTTGCTGTCTCATCTGCTCGTCAAGCTCCTCCTGCTGCCTCATCCTCTCCTCAATCTCTGAGTCCTCATTCTCAAACTGGAGCATTTCGAGCTCCATCTGCTTGGCCAAGGCCTCTGCACGCTCCTCTGCCTCCTTCCTCTTGGCAGCCTTCTCCAGGGCAGCCAGGTCCTCGACAACAACTTGTGGTTGAGGTGGCTCAACTACTTCGACTTGCACAGGTGCCTGTACAACAACAGGTGGAGCTTGTACCATGACCTGGACAGGGGTCTGTACAGGGGCTTGTACCTTGACCTCTTGTTTGGGCTGTGTGTTTGCCTGTGGCTTTGGCGCCATCTTGGCTGCCTGCTTGATTGCCGATGGCTTGACTATAGTGTTTGTGGGCGCGGATGTGGCCACAGCAAGTGGCTTGTTGATGGACGCAGCGGGGGCAGCGGCAACAGCGGGGTTATTCTGTTGCTCAACACGCATGGACTTCAACTGCCTCTCCCTGGACGACACGATGGTCTCTGGCTCCAAAGCATTCTTGGCCTCGCGACAGGTCTCAATCAGCTCGGCCTTGTCACGTGCCTCGCCCGACAACTTGTAGTAGAAGAATGACAAGTAGATCAGGAAGGACTTGTCGTCGCCATCCTGCTGCCACTGTGAAGCGCTGAACAACTTTGGAATTCCAAAGTGGTCGTGAGCCTTGTCCAACACTTCCTGTGACTGCTCGACTCGCGACCGCCTCGCCAACTCGTCCATATTGATCAACTGGCCTGCGTTGCTGATGTTGAGGAGCGCAGCGAATACCAGGGGGTTCTGCAGGGCAGATGGACCATCAACGATGATTGAACGGTTGGTCTCTTGGACGCGTCTGCCGCACCAGCCAATAAGACGGTCCTTGGCCACGTACTCCTTCTCGCCATTGGCCACGAACGCCACAAAGATCGACCATATCAGTCGGACGACCACTCTGTTGACCTTGCACTCGACAATATCCGAGGCAATTAGCTTGCCAAAGTCGGCACCGAGTGACTTGAGCGTGTCGAGCACGCCGTCTATGTTGTACTGCATCTCGTAGACGGACTTGCCGCGACGGTACTTGATCTTCTTGTTGAACAGCGCGTCGATCACGTTGGCCAGAATACTTCCATCGCTGTAGCACGTGCCAATGTCGTCGCCATGTTGGATACCAGTGCGGCGACCAACCAGATATTCGGTCCATTTGATCAGCGTGGCGGACTGTGTCTCGATGTTCTCCATCTTTTGCACAAGCTTGATGCCCAGGTCCTTGGATGTGGGGATGAAGGCCATGGTGGGTGAGGCGATCTTGGTGGCCTGTGATGTGGAATAGGCGCTGGTTGCGGCCAGCTCGGTTGCCCAGGCCTGCAGGTCACCCTGGTTCTCGGACATGAGTGTGTGGCGCTCAGAGTTGGCAAGTGTGACGAGGATGTATGGACCCTGATCACTGGACTTGAGCTCGATCACAGCGTTCTCAAGCGACAGATCCATCAGTGGCTCTTGGTCGCCAGCGGCGGCTGACTCCTCGGACGAGTGGAAGGTGAGATTGCGGTTCTTGGCCACGACCCATGTCTTGAAGAACTTGCCGGCCTTCTTTCGCATCAAGTATCCACTCATTCCTGCGCTTGGTTTGATCGAGGCCATTGGTGGTGAGGACAATGGTGATGAGGGACTGCTGCCCTGGCCCTGTGCGCCACCCGATGTATATGATGGTGAGGTGGCACTGTTTGTCACAGCACTTGGCTTTTGAGTTGCCTGGGCTGTCATTGAGTTTGCGACCTGTTCCTGGAAGCTCATAAACTCGCCCTGTACATTAAGGAAGTAGAACTTATACTCCTTCCTCTCCAATCTTGATATAACATCGAATGGGAAGTCTGTCATCTTTAATGCCTGTTTAACTTTGTTTTTTGATTGATTGTGATTGATTGATTGAGTGGGGTGGAATGGTTCCAGGTTAGATTTATGATCACGTGACATGCTATCAATCATTCAATCAATCAATCATTCGATCAATCGTATCCAATATCATACCTCCACCTTCAAAGACATATAAGTTGAATAGGGGCATGTCGCCAGTCTTCATGAATAACTTCTTTCCAAGCTTCTCGCACACTTCGCCAGAAGTTGTCTTTTGTTCAACAATCATTGTCTTGTATTGTCCATCTTTGTCATAGACCTTAATAATCTTCTTTTGTGGACTTGACATCCTTAAATTTAAATAAATAAATAATTATAATCCTAATACTAATACTGATGATAATAATAATATTGTTTCCAAGTATAAGGACACTTGTGAATATTAATTAAATGCTGTTTGTTGTTGCTGCTGTTGCTGTTGTTGGCAATGAGATAGAATATTGATTGATGGATGGAATGTGGATGGTATGTGGACAATGGAATGAGCCAACAGGACCACAGTCAGTCAGTCAATCAACACTGCAGTATTTGTTGTTGTTTGGTCAGTTGAAAGAATATGATGATGTTGCGCTGGGTTGACTTGCTAAGGTTGCTGTTGATGATGTTGTTGTTAATGTGTGTGATATGTATTATGTGTGATGTGTGGCAATGACGTTGGATTGGTTAAGTTGATAGACACACAAATGTGTGTTTGTATTTGATTGGTCGTCCTTGTGTGTGTGTGTATGTGTAAAAGTGTGTATGTGTAAATATATAAATATATATATATATCTTGGTTATGAAGAATACTGCTTAAGTTAGTTAGTTAATTGATGGAGGTGCCCATCCAGACCCAGCAAATAATATTAATTGAATCGGGGTTGATTCTGTTTGAAAAAATCAAAATTGATCATTTTCGTGGAGCTCTAGCTCCCAGATGTTTTTATTCATTCAATGATCGTTTTGATTGATGACAAACATCAACCTTAGCCCAATGACAACAACCATTCCAATAATACTTTGTCGGCTTTTGCTCTCTCTGTCTGTGTGACCTCCCCTTTTTTTTTGTTTAAACAACTGTGTGACAAAGACAACCTCTTCATCATCATTATCACTATCTCTCATTCATCTGAAAGACCAATCCAGATTTATATATGTTTACACTTCAACATCATGTGATTATAAGTTTTAAAGTTGATTAACATTAATCCATCAATCATCAATCTATCAATTAATCAATCAATTTTTTATATATAAATAACAAAGAATAATGGATAGAGAGATAGATTGATAGTTAGATATATTGAGTAGCAATTAGCTTGAAACCAACCCATTTGCCATTATTTTAGTGTCGGTTGACTTGGCAATTCACTGAACAATCCAGATAAAAAATGATGATGTTTTTGCGTATTGTTTTTTGCTACGAAGCAAGGAACTCGTGCGAGATTGTCAACCTCAACAGAAGCAAATTAGTAGTCTTTCTCCTGATGTTAATAATATATCTTTCTTCTATTGGTATTTAAATATAATATATATAATATTAATCAATCAATCCCGTCAGTCTTCATTCAACTATTGGTAAGTGAAGTGACAACAAATTCACCGGAAAGATCAAAGAGGATAGTGATTGGTTGGTTGGTTGGTCATTCTTTTCATCGGTCATGGAGTTAAATGTTTATCATGATATATAAATATATCTCTATCATTAATTATTACTGCAGGCAGTGTGTCGCTCACTCACTTTGAGATCAGCCACCCAGTCCATCATCCATTTCAAGCACTGTTTTCGATCACCCATCAAACCAACCCAACACGAGAGAGAGCAAAGTATCCGTTTTCCAAACACACCACACCCACCACATCATTCACACAATCATCCACAATCAGTCCGGTCCACTCTACATTCATTCATTCAATCAACCAATCAATCAAACATTCAATCATCTTTCTTTCTTTGTTCATTCATTCAATTGAATTGCTACTGCTTGCTTGCTACTGACTGCAAATCATTAGCGACATATACCTAACATTGCAGCCAACAACAACATCTATATTTCTACATCTCTAGAACATTTGTACAGTTACCAATACAGCGCCAACCAAACACAATGTCATCAGTAAAGGTATGTTGTGTTTGATTCATCAACAGACGACTGACGACTATCATGGACGCGACACTAACATCAACTATCAATCAAGTCATTGACCTCAACATTTGAGACTGCTCAATCACCAACAGCAGTTAACAAGAGAGCACATAACTCAGTTCCAACTGGAAGCGTTGGTGGAGGCGAGAGCAGTGTGGACACAGAGTCTATTCTCGGAAAGAACAGACAGTCAGTACGTCTGGACAACTTTTTGAAGAATGAGGTCATTCCTCGCGGTGGAATGCCAGGCGCCGTGCACAAGTCAGCCGTCAACAAGCCACCACCCAACGAGTTGGACAACAAGGCAAAGGAGTTGCCAAAGTTCGATGGCAAGCCACACCCAGTCTACCAGTTGATGTTCCAGGGCAAGCAACACGAGTCCTCCACCACAAAGAAGAAGATCGTCATCCCACCATCAAGCGCCTACTAAGTCGCCAGATCGAATGGACATAAATGAAGATGGAGAAGAAGAGAAGGAGAGACGATCGCGATCATATATTTAACCATGTATAACATATCACCAATTCTGGATGCCCAGGATTATTGGACAGCCAGCCCTAACAGCCAGCCGGCCAGGAGCAGGACGTGTGGCAACAGATGCGCGCACCAACCTGCGATACCGACCAAACCAACTACTGCCTTTGTATTGTTGTGAAGCGCGACCAGTTGATTGAATGCGACTAGTCGTTGACGAATAAATGAATGCAATACAATGCAAACCAAGTGAGTGTCGCGGTAATGAAGGCGAGTGTGGGTGGCCAATGAATGGTTCTCATGATCGATCAACACCATTTGTCCACATCCATTGTGCTCTTTCCAACGTCAATGTTGTATCTCTCCCAATAGTCATTGATTAGTGACTTGTTCTTGATGTCGTATGGCTCCAGGTCGACGTACTTGGGCTGTGAGAGGTCAGCACCGGGGTCCATGCCCAGTATGTACTTGACTCTGTCCTGGCTCTGTGCCATCTCGATTTGATACGATGTGTTGTCGTTCCAGAACTTTGGATGCTTTGATCTCATGTAGTAATGATAGCAAAGGTTCTTTGTTGGCGCAAAGAAGCGGTAGCCTCCAATCGTAAACAGACGCACGGTCAGCAGGATCTCCTCGCCCTCGAATAGGTTGGGCAGATGCGGGTCGAATGGCACCTTCTCGAGGAACTCGGCGTTCCCAAAGAAGAATCCCGCCGCCACGAATGGTATCTCGGCGGGTGTTGCCGTCGCCTTGAGTATATATCCATTGAATGTGATCATTCCATTCTTGTTGAACACCGCCTTGCACAGCCGCGACACCTCCTTCTGGTCGTCCTTGGGCAGTCCTGGATCGGTCTCCTCATAGGGCATTGGATAGGCTGAGAGTATTGCCTTGGGCACGCCATGACGACCCTTTGACGCGCGACCCTTGAGCGACCAGAGATCATTCATAACATAGAGGTCCCAATCGACGATGAATCGAACATGACTGTCTATCTGCATGTAGTATGTTTCGTTGCGATAGAGCATGGATGCCCGTTGTCGTGCCAACGTTGGACCTCGCGACTCTGGCACGGTCATTGTCGTGCGACGTATATTGTTGAGTGCCAACTCCTTTGATATCTTGAGACCTCTGTAGCAATGTGATACAGGATAGTCGGGATCAACGGCCGAGGTCGTGCCGTTGACCAATGGATCGCCATCCTTTTTCAGCTGCTCTTCCAGCAGTTCTGAACCTTGATCAACAAGACCAATATAGATGTTTTGTGGATGTCGCGCATTGAGGAAGATGTAGTTTAGAGTGTCTGAGCATAATACATCTCTATAGGATGCCAATGACACAAATATAGTTGGCTGTACATGATGTGCTCTATGTATCGCTTCAATGTCCGAGCCCAATTTATCCATTGACTTTGTATTGAATAGTTCATATTGTCCGCCCAGCAGTCCAACCATTACGAACATGATTATGGCCAGACATGCTTCATTCATTCATTTATTCGTTCATTCATTCATTCATTCATATTGAGTATGAGTGTCAGTGTCATCGTGATTGAGTGTCAGGTGATTGCTCTTGGTCATCCATCATACCTATGAATATGTATTTAAAGTTAAGTTTGATTTGCATTGATACCTGCTATAAAGCTAGTTGTCACTGGCTAGATGTAGCTTGCATCAAAGTTATAAAGTATATTATACAAGTGTTGTAGTATGTATGTTGAATGAATGAATGGATTGAATGGATGGATTGAAGGCAGTGTGGTGAATGAGTGAGAGGTGAGTGAGTGAGTGAGTGAACAAAAGAGATAAAGAGATAGAGATAGAGAAAGAGTAGAGTGGTGTGTGAATGAGTGAGAATGAAGTTGATCGTGAACAACAACACATCTTATTAAAAGTGTGTGTCATCTCAATACCATTCATATATTCGCTCTTTCATTCATACTTATAAGATTGTTTAGTTAAGTTGTACACATAGATCAATCAACCTATGACATTAACGACATAGGCCAATCAATCATTTTAGTGGTTTATTGTTGACTGTTGATGACATTACATTACTGACTGGAGCAAATGAGAGAGAGTGAGAGACTGGACTAGTCATCACACTCCTCGGTGTCACTGCCATCACCACCACCAGCACCATTGGAAGACGATGATAATGGATCATCCTTCATCATATCAGATTCATTCATATTGCTAGCAGATGAAGATCTTGATTGGTTACCTAAAACATTGTTGTTGGAGTCGGTGTTGTTGTTGACAGCCGCTGGAACAGTGGCAATGGTGGTAGTTGTCGTGGTGGTCGTCGTCGTGGTCGCTGTTGGCAAAGCCCAATGGTTAATAAGATGGCTGATATTGATTATGCCCTGTGTCACCAAGTTGCCTATGGAACAATTATTTCTGCTGTCTCCACCTCCTGGACATGACATTCCGCTGTCTCCACCACCGCTGTCTCCAGAGACATCGCCTGGCGCCAAAGATGAACCGCCGCTGGCATTGCCACCAGAGTTGGACTTTCTCAGGGTACTCTCTTTCTCCTTCTTTTTGGTCTTGGCAAAGTACAATCCGCAAGCATTACACAGTGACTTGCAACCATCTGGACCCTTACGCCACTCTGGCGACTCTGTAACACCGCATCGCTGGCATTGTATCTCCTCCTCATTCTCTTTATACTTTATGCCAAGCTTTCTCTTTCTTCTTGGTCTTAGGTCGATGTATCTGTTTGTTTGGAATGAATGATTGAGTGAGTGAATGAATGTTGCCAAGGCTTGGAGGAGGGTAATACATACTCTTTCTTCTCGGCCGATTGCACTGGATATGGCAATTTATTCTTCTTCTCTTTGTTGATCTTCTTGACGACAAGGTTGATCTTGTCGTGTAGGTCAGCCATCTTGTCATTCTTCTCCTTGGTGGCGCCACGAAGCATGTCAATCTCCTGGCACAGCGGAAGCATACCAACCATCAGACCGTAGAAGCCCTTGGCTAGTTTCTTTTTGATCAGCTCCATGTTGTTGTCGCCCGTGGTGGACGGCAGCGACGTCGTCTGTGTGAACACGGCCGGCTCAACCTGGTTCATCATGGGGAAGCTGATTGTAGACATTATACTATTGTTGCTGGAAGACAACAAAGGTGATTGAGCCATTGTCGATGTGGCCGGACTGGACAAGAAGTAGGGATTATCATTGTTGGAACTATTCAGTGGTGATGGAGTTGATGGTCGAGGTGTAGTGGCCGTTGACATTGTTGTGGCCGATGTTGAAGTAGTTGAGGTTGTCGAAGTTGTTGAGGTTGTTGGAATAAATACACTTTCACGCTCCAGGTCACTGCCGCCATAGAGATAGTCGAGATAGCTTTCGCCACTTCGCGAGGTTGGATCTTTACCGGTGGATGGTAACATATTGTAGAGTCGTAACATCAGGTGGGGATGATGATTAATTAGGAATGATGCCGCTTAATTAAAGGCCTTTTCTTTGTTGTAGATGTTGAATCCTTGATCGATGTGATTGTTGGAGATGGTTATATAATAAATAATTATTGTTACTGATGTCCTCACTATTATATCCCGGATTATTCGTTGTCCTTGTTCCTGGGTTCCCTGTTCTTTTGTTCTTAATTCTAAAGTTATATAAACTGGATAATAATATAGTTCGAGATTGATATATGATTGAATTAAAGAATGAATGATTGATTGAATGATTGAGTGAAATGAATAATCTCTCTCTCTCTCTCTTTGCGGACGTACTAGTTGTAGTAGTTGTAGTAGTTGGTATACAAGTTATTTATAGTGACGATGCGTGTTCTTATTCTTGGAGGTGGAGTCGGTGGTTGCGTTTGGTTGTTGATGGCGATGATGACGCATTGACTCAGTGTCAAATGCAGTAAGTATGCCGGACTAGGAAAGGGAATGATGGAACGAAGCTAGTTATTTAGGTATGTATGTAGACTATGATGTATGGATAGACGAGTTTTACAAGCAGGTCAACACCAGTAAGTGTAGGCAAAGTTGTCGAGAACAAATGACATTGCAATGTCATCTTAAGTCTGGCCCGTTCACCGGCCAGGTATATATGGACGCGACATCAGGTGTTCCATGGTGAATTTGGACGACGGTAAATGATGGGCTTCTTGGGTTCGAAGTGATTGATGTGTTGGTGTCCGCTGCTTTGACTCTGATCGTGCCCATCTGAGGGTCAGGTTAGGTCAGGTCCACAAGTAAGCAAGCTGGCTCTGGCCCAGGGGTTGTGTGCACGTAGAAGAGAACGCCCATTGGTCGTGGGGGTAGATGAAGAGAATGTCGGGTGAGGGTTACATCAACGATCAAATTCCCGAATTTGTTCATGGTCATGCGGAGTACGCAGAGTTTTGGGGGAACACCTCGACTCTCTGTCTCAAGGTGTTGTTTTACGTTTTGATGAAACTTTCAAACAATCTAGATGCCTTTGGAACATTCTTTGTCATTGGCCTCATGAATGAATGAATGCATGAATGAAGATACATGTATCTTCTTTGTTTGTGTTTGGATTGATGGATGCATCTGGATTGATTGATGGATGAATGGATGGTCGACCCTCAATACTGCAGAGAGAGAGATTGGTATCACAGGTAATAATTTGTTTGTTGTTGGTTGGCAGATGAATGGACATATGGATGGATGTCTATCTTCATTCAGGCATGCATGCATGAACATACACCTACCCTGTAGTCTAGAATGATCGATAAATTCAGATCCAATGCTTACAGAAGAAAAGAAGAGAAGATTGTTGATAACGATGATAATGATGATGATGATGATGGTGTTGACCCAAAGACCTTTGCCCCAGTCCAAGATCTCAATATATCTGCAGCTGGATTAATAAATAGATCGATTGAAAGGACACTCTGATGTTCAGTATCTTACACTTCCAGGAAATAACTGTTCTTGTTCTTTCTCCATAACCTTAGGTTATGTGTCTTTGGAATAATGTTGATGTTCATCTGACAACATTGTAATATTGTTGTCAACATTACTCTACTCTACTCTACTCTTTATCTCCGTGGAGATAATCAGATAACGAATGAATAAATGAATGAATGAATGAATGAATGAATGAGATGAGGGAACAACAAAGTGGTGGTAGAGTGAAGGGCATGTTATGGGGGTTTGTTGTTGGGTTCATTGATCAACCTTTCTATCTACATCTAGTTCGTTACGTCACCATCATCGATCTTATATCTGTACATACATACATATAATAAGGACTTTACATCATTCATCAATCAATCAATCTATCAATCAAACTCACTCACTCATTCATTCATGATGCTCTATGGCAATGAACAGGAAGAAACATACATATCAACATAATCATCAACAGCAACTACATCAACAACATCAAGAAGAGGATCATATTTATGGTGTAAATAGACATTTGTTGAATAGTATTGTCTTTAGACCATTCACTCAAAGTGATACATTCGACCTACAACAGCTACAAGGCCATCTGTTTCCTGTAAAGTATCGCAGCTCATTCTATAGGAAGCTGTTACAGAAGGACTTTATATCGGTACTGGCATTCAAAGAGGGTGCTGAAGTGACACCCATTACATCACCTGCTACAACAACATTGACATCTACATTGATATCAAAGGCGACGACTGCAACACAATCAGAGGCTGGAGAACAAACATTCGATGCATCAAACAATGAGGTGTTGTTGGCATCACCTACAACATCAACTACATCTACATCTTCATCAGTATCAACAACAGTTGATGGTAGTGGAGGTATCAAGTCACCGACCAATGTAGCAACACTCCTGCCACAACAACGTGGCAATGAACTTGTTGGAGTGGCCACAGCCAGGATATCAAAGGACTCTGGACTATGCTCATTGTTCTTTTCAAACATCAATGGCTACATACTTACATTTGGTGTCAAAGAACAATATAGAGGCCTGGGCATTGGTGCCAGGTTAATAGATGTATGTATCAAGGTTGAGTGATTGACTTGACTAGGAGCTGGACTGACACCACCTTCAATCAATGTAGCATATATGTGACATATTGGAGAAACAGAGATGCAAGTTGGCATCACTTCATGTCAAGGTGGATAACAAAGAGGCGATACAGTTCTATCAGAGGAATGGGTTCACCATCGATGAGCACCTTGTCGACTATTACCTAATACAGGATATAAAGTACGATGCACTCAAAATGACCAGGATGCTGAGGCATGATGCAAGGAATAGTTGGATATCATGGTTTTCATCACTTGCCATCAATGACAACAACGTTGACAACAACAATAACAATAGCAACAATAACAACAACACAGAATCAATTAATATTGGATCACCATCATCATTATCACCTCCATCAATATCATCATTATCATCTCCTACAGCTCAATCACCACTGAGTACATCGATAACTATACACTCTCGACAAGGCAGTAATAACAATCAACTGACGCCACTACTCATGATACCAGACGACGATACCTCTTCAGACTTTGCCTTGAGCCCTGGGACTGGAACACGTCTACAACATTGACCAACCTGACAATGACAGGTCAACTTATTATTATAGTCTAAAATCATGATTGATTCGTCGACGTTGGCATTGGCTTCCTTCCAGTCCTCTACCAGGAATGGTAATCCAATAATAAATCTTAGACAATCAATCAGTTGATCGATGATTCGACGTCGAACTTCCTGCATTTATGGGTGAAAGTGTCTTTGCCAGGCTGATCCGAATTGATACAACCCCGCATTCTCAGGAACCACACACCTTCCCTTGGGTCACCAAGCTGTGTGACAAGCTATTCCAAAGAGACGACCCACGCGCGAAATCAAGTGATAAGAGAGGTAGAAGCGATACCCAAACTAATTCCAATCATTCCTGTAATAGTGTGTATGTACGTGTGTATCTGTATTCATTCAATTCATTCATTCATTCAGTCTTCCCTCAATTCACTCTCTCACTATATCTCACTCACTCACTCACACACATACATAACATAATAACATTAATAATCGTTAAATCACTCAATCACAGCACATACGACAAGTTGTTAACCAAGGTTGAAGTGTAAGTATATTCATTCACTCACTCACTCGCCAGCAGTGATCCACTCTACAACACTTCGCGAGGTTCACTCTATCTTCTATCATCATCATCTCTAACAAACAATCTCTCTTTCTTTGTCTAGTCGTCATCAAAGATAATAATTATATTAATAAGATTAGTTAGTTAGTCAGTCAACAGGACATACGATACGATACAATACGCGAAGATGACATCAACAACATCATCAATATCATCATCATTATATACATTCAAAGTTTGCTTTGATGGGGATGTTAGACGATTCTCATTCCAGAACGAACCGACGTTCATCGATCTGGTCAACAAGATAAACGATTTATTTCATCCAAAGGAGCAGCTGGTCATCACATATCTAGATGAGGTCGGCGACAACATCACCATATCACAACAGGAGGAATTGGATGAAGCCTACAGCTTCCTACGCGAGTCAAACCAACAGATACTCCGACTGTCAGTGGTGCGCAAGTCAAACTTCAACAACTTTATCAACAACAACAACAACTCATCGTCGACATCCTCAACTTCACAGACTTCTTGTAACTTTAGATCCAACAATGTTGGCGGTGGTGCCAATGGTAACAACAATAGCAATGCTGGCAACAATAACGGACTGGACAACTTGTTTGTCTCACTGCTATCCAATCAATTCGTCCAACAAATGATACCTCAGGTGATCAACAATCTTGCCTCTAATCCAGCATTGATGACATCATTACTCCAGACTACCAGCTTGGCAATGAGGCACCAGACTCCACCAAACACTGCTCCACCGTTGGGCGTCAGCAACAACTTCCATACATCGCTTGATGCCGTCGCCCTGCTGAATCAACCCTCGCCACAGACACTGCCCATGTCACTGCAGTCTACTACTGCATCATCGTCGACTCTGTCTCCAAACTCAGCGTACAACAACTCCACCTCGCCAACCCACTCACTCAACGCACAGAACAATCACTCGAACAATACTACCAACAGTGGCCACTCGCCATCATCATCGCCAGGATCGTCCACTTACAGCTCGTTGGATGCCAAGTCATTCGAGGAGATATCAAACTCACCAAAGGATACATCACCGATCGCCTCTCAAGTGGCCGCATCTGAGCCGACCACACCAACCAAGGTGCCCACACCAACCTCCACTCACAAGCCCAACGCCACCATGTTCTCCGTGCCAAAGATATTCAATCAGTTGCCATTCTCATTCGCATCGGGACGTGGAACATCAACCGCCGAGCCCACAACAAAGAAGGATGAAACTACCAACATCCCCATCCATGTTCCACAGCAGGTCCAATACATCACACCTCAGCCATATCAGTCGCCAGTGTATCCACCACCTCCAGGTGCCGAGCCCATCCGCCAGGCCCAGCAACATATATACCCAGTGATCCCTAACCAACTGCCACCACTTGGCTATCACCCTGGCAATCACGTGCAACCACAACAACAGGATGCCAACATAATGCATACAAGCTCACCTCTACAGACAGCCTATGGCTTCCAGCCACAACAACAACAGCAACAACAAAATCCGTACCTTCATCCACAACCACCATCTCCTCAACCAATATCTGTGGCCTCTCCATCGATAGTCTCGCACAACAAGGACGTGATCACCCTAATGGATGCACTTAGAGTCAATGAGCACAAGGCCAACGAGCTGTTAGCCAAGTACAAGGGCAACGCAGCCGAGGCCATGATCATGGAGTCAACAGAGTAGTTCTTCTGTCAGCGACCAATATGTATCATGTACTTCAATAAACGAGCTCCAATTCAATATACACGTGTTTGTTTAATCAATGAGGGACTTGGATGTGTGGAAGTGGAGGTGGAGATGGAGAGGGAGTAGGTAGGGTAATTGATACATTGTGCCAGCCAGCAGTCTAGGATGGATTACAACAGGACGGTCCAGCCACAGGCAAAGGAGAGGGTCTCTTGCTCCTGCTCCAGTTGTTGCAGGATGGATGAGAGGGCAGAGTGCATCGATGATTCGTTGTTGGAGTTGGCCAATGACACCAGTTGTGGCTTGACGACGGTGCGCGCAATGTCAAACATGTAGATTATGCTCTCCTTGTGATTGGACGAGGCAATCTCCAATGGTGTCTTGGTGATGTTCTGAGTGATGATCCTATAAGTGTAGTTGGTGTTGGATGACAAAGAGTTCCAAATCGATGTGATAATGCCATACTGTGCAATAAAGAACGAGTCCTCTGCAATATTCGACCACATTATATTGTGGCTTGGTTGTTGAGGTGGATTCCTCCATACCCTGTATACATTACATGTGTTGTTAGTATGCTGTGTAATGTTACTGCTTTGACAAGATGATGCCACTTACATTGTATCTTGAGGTGGAGATGTCTCTGTTGGACGCGGCAACAGTGTTGGGAACAGCTTGATATTGTTGATCCTTCTCTGAGGTGATAGCACCATTGCAGGAGCACCATGTGAGGTGAGCCTTGGGAAGCTCCAAGGTGATCCAGTAGGTTTCTCTTCTGTGCCAGGTGGTTGAGGTTCCTTGTTTTGTTGTTGTTGAGGTGAAGATGTAGTTGGCTGTTCATTCGTTTGTTGTGTATCCTTTTGTTGTTGTTGTTGTTGCTGCTCCTGCTGCTGTTGATCACGTTGTGCTCTGGTTTTAGGTGAGCTGGGATGCGTCAGACTTGTGATGTCTTCTGGGATCTTGGACTCTTGTTCTTGGTCCTTGGTCATTGATTCGAACGACTCCTTGCCAGCACGCATGAATGGATGATTGAGTGCATTTGGCAATGATATCCTTTCCTTTGGATTCAGCATTAACAGACTTGTTATAAAGTTGATGCAATCTGGATCATTGATTCCACATTGTTTCATTCTATGAGGTGAGACAGGATGTTAGTTCATTGTGTCATTCATGAATGTGACTGACCAACACTTACATCTTTGGGATAGTATCCAGTCCCTTTTGGAACTCATTGGTGTCTACCATCTGTGCCAGGTTGACAAGAGCAGCCAACACAGTAGTTTGATTGAGGTTAGGGAAGATCTCATTGATCAGCTCACGTCCAGTGATCAGTCTGAAGGCTACGGCACCAATTGCCCATACATCAACCAACAAAGGGTTGTAGCCCTCATGGTTTGTATCATTGACGATCTTTCCTCTTCTTGGCTCCAAGTTTGGTGAGAGAATGATGTGGATGACCTCTGGAGGCTAGGTAGTGTTGAGGAGGGGAGATGGTTAGCCATGCATGCATGTGTAGCCACTTGACTCAAACTACACTTACCATGTATAATGGTGAGCCAGCCAAGGTTGAGTGCATGTCATTGTCATCTTTGGTGATTGAGGCGTAGCCATAGTCGGTGACCTTGATGATTGGCATGTCCTCTGGGTCGTAGGAGTAGTGATTGTCGTGTTTCTTCTTGAACACCGAGAACATGTCTCTGGAGGATGGCGACCTGCCAGAGTTGCTCAGCTCTTCAACGCCCGACTGTTTCTTCCTGTTGCTGACCATCAGGATATTGGCTGGTTTTATGTCACGATGGGAGCACTTCCTGTTGTTCATATACTCAATGGCGCTGATGATCTGGTAAATGATATGTGAGACCAGTGGCAATGGAAGACCCTCATCAAACGTATTCATAAAGTCCTCCAACGTGCCACCATCAATATACTCCAGCACAAAGATTGCTGTTGTTCTATGTTTCTGTTAACCAATTAATGTTAGTGTTTGATTGATTGATTGATTGGTTGATTAAGTCTCGAGTACATACAAAGCATTCAATCAACTTGATAATGTTTGTATGTTGCTGACAAGAGTTCAATGTGACCAATGTGTTGATCTCTATCTGTACTTGACTAAAGTGTTGTTGAATGAATTGTTAGTTCAATGGTGTATCACGTGAGATAGGTATGAATGAATGACATACTCCCATGTTGCTTTACTCTGATTGATATCGACTAGTTTGATGGCCACAACCTTATCCTTTGATTCCTTAGAGTGAGCCTTATATACAACACCACTGACACCTCTGCCCAACTCTTTGATATTGGTATAAGTCTCTGGCCAGTACAATACTCTTTCTTTTCCAGTCATTTATATAGGTATGTTTCAACTAGTTGCTAATGATGACGATGAACAAACTGTACAATGATATATATATGAGTATAGGTATAAGTATGAATGAGTAAGTATGTGAATGAATGAATGAATGAATGAGCCAGCAATAAATAGTATTAATAACTTAATAAGGTCGTGACCTAAAGGGTGTGTTTTGCGACTTGCCTACTCGAGTTGTGTGTGGTGTGGTGTCTTTGCCAAGACTTGACTTGGACTACAGAATGTACCCGAGGAGTCCTGGTGTTGTGAGTCAACGATTCTTTGATTGAACAATGATGATGATGATGATGGATGGTATCTATCTCTCTATATTCTCAAGTAAATAACAAACATATAATATATGTGTATAAGATATAAACAATATATCCTTATAACCTTTCAGTGTAATTCCCACCGACCCATTACCTTGATTCTTCAAGAATGAAGTCATTCTTCGTGGTTTTGATGTGGTCCCTAGATTGATTTCAAATGAAGCGAACTTCGCCAATATCGTTGTTTGTTTTGAAGTGCCAACTTGGCGCGAACTTATCTGAACCTCGTGTTGATCATACCTACATTATATACTTAGTCATAGAGATAGAGAGAGAGAGAGGTAGTAAATGACGGACAAGAAAGACAGCGCATCAGTGACAACAGCTGTTCGTGATCCCTCAGTGTTCAATTATAACTTTGATCGTGAGATCATCACTGATCAAGACTCAATCGTATGTTGTTCAACTGCTGGTGTTACTATACATCAATTACTACTGCTGACTTACCAACAACTACAACATATAGAGCAAAGAGTTGAATAGCTTTGAAGACAAACTATCCAATCTATTTGATTATTATATAAAGCCAAGCTCAGCCTCAAAGGATCAGATTGCAGCTGGAAAGATTACAATCAAAGGTGTCGAACATACTCTATCAACACAGTTACAGAAGTTCATCAATGATCTAAGTTCATTACTTGTATGACCGACATGATATGATACGACAGTGACATGATCTAACTCATTCATTCATTCATTCAATCAATCAATCACTTAGGACTTGGACCAGATCACTACATTCATCTTTATCAATTCATACTCAACTAATGTTCGATCACTAGTATATGAGAGGACAGACCTCTTTGATGTATGTTCATTCATCCGATTCGCCCAAGTATCACGCTCTGGCAACTGACACCCCTCCACCATCCTCCATCCCATTGCGACAACAATAGCTGTTTGAGTATTACTATCGTGATCGTTACTTGTTACTATCATTGGTGTCATCATTGATAAAGAAGGCGAATGATCCAAACAGTCTATATAATGAAGTGGCCACAAAGTGTGTCGAGCAGAATAGACAGGGCTGGGAGACAAAGCTGTTGGCAAACATCCAGCAGTTGGCCACCTTTCAGATACCCGAGTATCTACGCGATCATCCACAGTTGCACCAAGCATACAAGGAGCATGTGCTTCAAGAGCAGCAGTTGCTGATGGAGATTGTCTTTCTACTTTATTACACCAAGCAGCGAATCTCCTTCCCCAAGGACTTCAAGCAGGTGTTCACTCGATTCCAACAGATCAACCTTGGCTCATACTCTGACATACTCATGCGATCCGAGAGTCTACATCCAACACTGCGTCACATCGAATACATCTCAGTGTTGACCTGTTTGTTCGCCATTGGTGACCTGTCCAAGGGCAAGTTCAAAGATCTCAGCGAGTAAGTCGGCCCCGTGGTCCTGGCCCATCTTGCCCATCACTCCTCCACTCACATTTCCATCAACCTCCAATCATAGGACCGACAAGATGGACGTGTTGAACATGCTCAAGATGTTTGAGACCAACTCAATGTCACATGCCTCTGCCACAATCATATACTCAGTGCTCCTCCACATTCATGGCGAGACACTTGGACCAGAGTTCAAGGAGATACTCTCAAAATGTCTAAGATACGATCCATTCAACTATGTACAGCAGGTCATCGATTGTAAATACCTCACTGGAAGTGTATGTTCTTGACTTAATCTTTCAATCAATCAATCATTCAATCAATGATCATTCCTGGACTAACCATGATCAATCAATCAATCAATCAGTTCTCCGCCTTTGGATATGTGGAAACGATACAATTGTTCATTAGCAGGTTCACAATGGTATATGACTTGGAGTCCACTAATATACAGTCTGTGGACACTCTGTTTGATATATATGTCAAGGCCAACAAGCTATATCGACCAACGCTACAAGATCTGATCTCACATGATCTATTCAAATACGCCATGTCTGAGAAGGTTCTCATCCAACACTTTGAAAAGGTGTCCAACCTTCTCTGTGCATCCATCGATGACCAAGAGTCTGCTGACTATCTGTGAGTACCCACCCGAGCCCACCATGCAAGATGGCCTCGAACTAACGCCTCTCCTCTCCACTCCACGCCACGCCACGCCAAACAGGTTCAAACTCATACTTAACATTAATATTACACAGTTCCAACAGGTCATTAGTTTGAATGAACTTGAACATTTGTTGAGCCACTCGTTTGAATCGGTGGACTCACAGGAGGACACGTATACGGGCATCGCCACTGCTTATCTACCATTGCACAATCACTCTGTGTTCAAGGGGGCATACAAGTGCTTCAAGGTATCCCAACAAACACAAACTGCCACCGTGGTATACTCATTGGGCGATCGATTGTTGGACATTCTGGACAAGTTCTCTCGACATCCCAGCACATGGTCAGCAGAGATCACATCAACATTCGTGGCCAGCCTCAAGCTGATACACCAGCTGGCACAACATCACAACAATGCCCGTGTGTACTTCTTTGCCGTGCTCAACTCCAATCGCATCAGCGACTCGCTCATTGACATTGTCTACCAGATCAGCGAGGGCAACACCCAACTCAACGTCATCCAGCACATTATCTCGCTGTTTGCCAACTTTGCCACCAACTTCCCCACCGAGGTGCTCAACTTCCTGTGCGAGAAGGGCATCTGGATGCAGGGCGCAACATCTGGCTCGCAGTACCGCAAGGGTAGCTTCCTCTATCTCTACGATGTTGAGAAGAGCACCAAACACTTCACGATCACTCGTCAGATGGTCACGCTGTTTGTCAACTATGTGAACGCGGTGATCGTGGGCAACACGGCCACCCGCCTCGACACCAAGCATCAGTCGGCGCTCGACTCGATCGTATCTTTCATGTTCCAGGTCATCTCGGACTATTGGATCATTCGCGAAGACAGCATGCAGCACAACCGTCGCATCCTACACGATGTGTTCAACTCGTTCGCCATCATCATCACCAAGACCAACTGCATCACCCCCGCGCCATACTTGCAGGCGCTATCTGGCAGGATAGCTCGCGCACTCTGCCACCCTGGACCAGTGCAGTCCACCCTCATTGCGGCGGTCGACCCACCCACCGTCGACGCCGACCTCTCCGACGAGGTAGTCGCCTCCCGTGACGAACTGTCCTGCGCCGCGCTCATCCTCCTTCAGACTTTGTTAGACCAACACTCACTCGAGCGTTCATTCGCCGAGTCCTTGGTTAACTCCATCCTCTATCCAGTCAAGCCCAACACTCCCAGCCTGTTCTCAACATTGATCAACACAATCTCGATGCCAGTTGTGGCGGTCTCCCGCGCCGCCGCAACACTTTGCTCGCTGATCATATTGATTCGCATCGACAAGGAGTTCTACATCTCATCACTCGTTTCTGATCAAGAGATCACCAACCTGGCCAAGTTGATCGCGATGAGTGGCGACCCCAATCAGCCACTGACCCTCCACTCAATCATTGGCCTGCTCAAGGAGCTCTCGGTGTCACAGTTCCAGCTAACCGACCGTCTGTTGATGAGCATCGGCGTCAATGAGCTGATCAAGATACTCAAGCTGAACGACCCACCACTCAACAACGAGCTCTACCCCCTGCTCGACAACATCCACGCCAACTCAATCTATTACGGCCAGTTCTTGCACGACCTACACAGCCACAAGGACTTCTGGACAGAGTTGATCGATCCCAAGAACAAGACAGGCAGTGTCGTGGCGGCGGCCACGCTACGAATCATCTCGGCGCAGGCATTGTCAATGACTGCATTCTCCAACAAGAATGTACAGCCCCTGGCTGCAGAGAATGGATACAGCTCGTCAGAGCGATCATTTGTCCTGCGCGTACAGGAAGTGTTCCAAGGACCAAAGATTGAAAAGTACATCGACCGATATATCAGTCGACCAAACATCGTGGAGCTATACACACTGCGCGAGACACTCATCAACCTGTGCGCCAACAACAAGGGCCAACTGCCAGAGTTTGGCATGTTGATCCTGTCCCCGCAACAAACTTCCTCCAGCAACAACAGCAACAACAGCAACAACAGCAGCAATGGTGCTAACAACAACAACAAAGACTTGATGTACGACTTGGATGCAATTCAGAAGCTGTTCAAGATTGATGCCGACAGACTCGACCTCATTGGCCTGCTGAGACAGTGGAACGACGCTGTGCAGAGACAGCAGCAACAACTCGAGTTGGCACGAGCATTCTCGAGGTTTGTTCGCGTGTCGCAGCTCACCAACAAGAGTGAGCTGCTGCTCAAGTCCCACGACGGGCTAGACCGCGAGAAGGAGCTGGTGTCGCTGATCCTCAAGCTGGCCGACGCAGCACTGGTCGATTCGTTGGACATTGGCCAATCATCAATGTGCGCCGAGGAGTCTGAATGGCTGCAGACAATATTTGAAGTGATCGCCGTGGCATCGTCATCCCTGATTCTTGACAAATCTGGTGACTTGGCGCCACGAACCACTCAACAATTGCTGCCACACTTTAGTCAATTACTGCTGAGGTATCTCAAGTTCCTGGACAACGTCAACAACAACACCGACTGCACTATATTCTATCTGTTGGTATCATCACTGTTGTCTGTGACGCGCAGATCGGTTCAAGTACCACTGGCACTCTACAAACAGTTGATATCGCCACTGTCATCGCTCATACTATGCAAGTGGCAACAGCCACAGTCCGTGGCCAACAACAACAACAACAGCAACAACAACAACAAACGATCACCATCACTCTCCAACATCTCAATCTACACATTACAATCAATTATCTTTAGAATCGAGACTCATGCCAACATACCCTCGGTATTCCCCAACGATCTGATCTACCACCTCATCCAGACACTCAGGAGGAGTCTGAATGTGGAAGGCGGCGACACATCCAATGACGCAACACTGCCCGACATCACGACGGCCAATGCCATCTTGGAGCTATTCATCACTTTTACGCGACAGCCATTGCTTGGCGAGCTGTTGATCGTCAAGGACATCATATCGACGCTCTCATCCATCGAGCTCAAATATCTCCAACTGTCCATCCTCCCGTATATCTCTGCAACCGATCAATCAAACTCAGAGAGCGTACTATATCACAACAACACATCGTTCATCAATCAGTGGCACAGGCTGTGGTCAAAGTGTCTCACACTGACAATCTCGCTGGCCAACTCACATGGACACAGCGACCGCGTGGCCGAGCAGTTGTTGGAGTTTGTCGTGTCACACAAGGAGCGATTCATTTATTATGCCGACCCACGCTGCTTCCTACATTGCCACGCACAGCAGTATCTCACCAAGCAGTGGATCAAGCAATTGTCCAAGCTGACGTATATCATCTACCTGCTCTCCAAGTCCACCAAACGATTCTACCTGACGTATCGCGTGTTTGCCGACCTTCAAGAGTTGTGCCATCGCCTGGTGCTCATCCTCACCGCGCAGATTGACGAGCATCTGTTCATCGAGAGGCATTTCAAGGCCATGACACTGAAGGAGAAGCGTCTTAATCAGTCCAGCAAGCCCAAGGTGCCCGGCACACCCTCGCAAGGACCCAAAGAGTCTGTGCTCACTCTCTCATTGCTGTCCAACTCTGCGTCTAGGCCGTCCACATCCACTATGGAGCCCACAGACTTTACAAGGAAGATCGAGAATCAATACTACGTCACTCTGCGCAATGTGCTCTACTCATTGGTCAACTTCCATTACTACATACGCGTCTGCCAGGAGTTCGTCCCAGTCATACCTCACTCCTTGGGTAAAGCAACGTTTGGCACATACCTTTTCATCAATCAGTTGTCGTGCTCTCAGCTCAAGTCGGGCGATCCCACTAGGAGCCTGCCAAAGAAGAGACAGGAGTTGGTCAAGCAGATTGGCGAGCTCAACTGTCTGCTGCTGTCATTGTTGGCAGCATCACACAACATCCGTGACGAGGAAATCATGTCCAGTGTCGAATATGTAAAGACACAGTTCTGCGAGCAACCATCGCGTCAGCATCCTGGCGTCGCACAACAGACTACACCTCCACGCGTTCCCTCATCGCCACTCATGCACCGAACATCATCATCACATCTTCCAACAGTGTCCTCAACAGGCGCTGGACTTGGTAGCAGTCCTGTATCCAAGCCAGACGATCAGTTCTTCTTGACCCTGGCAAGGATGATCAAATAAATACATTGTGTATTGTTCTTTGGAAGAGTTCCTTGATTTGCGGGGTACCCCCACCTTACATCTTAAGGGTCCTTGACCCAACTTTGTGATTGAGTGGGGTGGGCTTTTGACGACTTCTTTGATTGGCTCAACTAAACACAACATTAGTCCACGAAAGCAATCACAAAACAATTCATACAACATATAACTAAATACAAATACAGATAAAATGGCATCATCTCGAGAGGTCAAGAGATATTCAATTCTTTTGGCCGTCTGTGGCTTCATATTCTTGATCTTTGCCTCAATTGGACTTGGTGTTACCTTCGCAAATCTTGTCCCAAGTGTAAGTTATATTAGTGTCCACGATTGTCTGATTGGTTGATCGATCACCCGCCCACTCACTCACACACTCAATTACTCAATGTTCACAGATCCAAAAGGCAAATGGATATTCTAGGGCGCAGTGCAATGTCACTGCCGTTCAAACAGTTGCCGACTGCTACTCCAGTCAATGTGCCACCTATAATAATGAGATTTGGTGGTATCCAGTTTGGGGTCCAGGTTTCTTCTTCATCTATGTTGGTGGCAGTGGATCATCCAACAGTTACAACAACGGTGATGACGATGGTGGAGACGACGATGATGGAGGGATGGACGGAGAGTCTGGCGACAGCGGCGGCGGCGACGATTTCGACGGCGATGCAGGCGGCGAAGACGGAGGATTTGACATTGGTGGCGACGACTTCAAGGGAGCCTCAGCCAACACTCCAGGCACCACCACCGGCGGCGACCTTATCGTTTACACTCAGGAGATCAAGCAATTCAAACAGCAACAGAGACAGCAAGCAGCATTGGCTGCCAGAGAATATTTGGCAACACTAGCAACAGACTTTGAGGCAGTCGAGTCTACAAGCTCGGAAGCATCATGGACAAGCAGTGAAGCAGCAGCCTGTGGCTACAACTATTGTGCACAGGGTGTTGACTATGTCAGCTTCACCGATGGAGACAACGTCCAGCACAACAGCACAATTCGTGGACTCTGGTCCTCGGATGAGGGCTGGGTCGCCGCCTACATGGCCAACTTTGTCAAGGGCTCCTCATACAACTGCTACTACCAACGCGCACAGCCACAGAATGTCATGTGGTTCCCACCTCCACCCTACGACAAGGGATCACTTATAATGATCTGCTTCTTCTTTGGTCTGGCACTCATCTCACTGATTGGCACACTCATCTACACCATCAAGTACTTCAAGGCCAAGCATGACAGCAAGCATGAGAGCTGCCACGTGGACAATGAGCACAAGAAGCCATCGGCCATCGTCGACAACAAGTACAACAACTACCAGATTGTCTACCAGCAATTGCCAGAGACCTACCAGGTGCAGGAGGGAGGCTACTACCAATACAGCTACGGTATCCCCTACAACCCAACCTCCAATGATGGTCCCGCCCCAAGTGCCCCATCAGCCTCCAACATCAACATCAACTAGGCTCGGTCACATGTGCCTGGCTGCCCTCGATTGTGAGCCACGATATATTTACATATACAGGTTTATTGGTCAAGTCTACACACCTGGATTGACTGTCGCCATTGCAGTTGTTGCTGGCTTCACTCGATGTAAGATAAACAACCTATCACTTTCCCTCAGCATTGTTGACGCCGATGGATTGGTGTGCACAAACTTGCCGCCACTATCGTCGGTCTTTGTTCTGAATAGCGCTAGACATATGACGCCACAGTTGAGCAGGGACTCGAACAGGTAGCCAAAGCGGTGTCCAATGTACTCGGGTGGCACGTCTACCTGGAAGACTTTGGCACGACTGTTGCGATGGTGGTCTGACTTGCCCACCAGGATCTGGATGATTGCCAACAGGTGAGGGTTAAAGAAGCTCTGACAGAGAAGACTATCAAAGATGTTACTCAGGAACACGTTTCCACTGGCGAATGATGGTGCCATGTAGTACGGGTCCTTCTGATTCCATTGCTGGTTATTAGGTAGTAGTTGGAGGTTAAGTGGGTCGGCTAAAGATTGGTAGATTGATTGATAGCTGAATGGTTAGAACATGATGACGGTGATCATGGTGCCTAATATGCTTACTTAGTTCATAGATTGGATATATGTCCAATGACTTTACGAGCTCCTTGATCGAGACAATGGTGGAGATGGTGGCCTTGTCCTTGAGATAGGGCTCGTTGCTCTGTACCTCCAATGACATGACAATGAGTTTGGAGCACTTGAGTATGCCTGCTCGTTTGAGATCCTTCATACTACGTGATTGTCCATTCACGACGTAGATGTAGGGGTAGGAGCATATTCTCTCCCACTCATCCATTGGGAACTCCTGTGTGAGAATGACTATTGGCTCGTAACGACGCAAGTAGTTCTCGCGCAACGGTCTTATAAAGGCGTCGACATGGTAGATGGGGCCAGTGAGGATGATGTGCTTGTTGACCGAGGTGATGTCCTCGACCGAGTTGACCAGACTGTCTTCAAAGCTGTGATTCGTCCAGAATCGACGAACAACCTTGACAGACTCTGAGAGTGAGGGGATCGCAGGTGGAGGCGGGATAGTCATTGAATGATTGATATGACTTAGATTTGGCGAGGTGGTTGGCGTCGATGTGGAGCTGTATGTCGTGTCCGAGGGCATTGAACTGAACACCTCGCTTGCCATTGGACTGTCGGTGTCTGGTCCGCTGTGCATTGTTGTGTGAACAGTGTCCAAACTGGACAAGTCATAGTTCATCTCCTTCTTCTTGTCAATGAGTAGTTTGCGGAGAGACTTCTTTGATGCCTTGGTCCTCGCCCTGCTCACCTCGGAGATCTCAAGCTTGCATCTATATATTGATGTGTCGGGATCGTACTTCCAGACCACCTTTGCCTCCTGCTCCTTGTCCTCCTCAAGCTCAGGCTGTCTCTCTTCAATGTGATAGTGAGATACGCCCTTTATCCTCAGGGCTGCCATCCTAGTCTTTGCCAACAAGATGCCTCTATCCTTTGGTTGAATGATATAATGTGGTGCTGGGTTCAACTTGATCCTTGGCTTCCTATTGATCAATGATTCGATACCAAACACAATCATTCCAAAGCAATGGAAGATGAACTGATTATATTCAATGAGAAATGTTAGTACATGACGTGGACACAATGGATTCTACAAGGGTACATACCTTGGCTGCACAACGGAATTGCATTCCAACGAAAGCAGAGGAGAATGACTCTGTGAAGATCTCATATCCATTGCCTGAACCATACTCATCAACGTCTTTGTAGGTGGTCAGATCCGATCGCAGAAGATTCATGATGAATGTGTTGAATCCAGGTGATAGACATGACTGTGCCATTAGGTTCTGTTGTGGCGGTCGTGTGTATGTGAGTGAATGAGTGATGTGATGTTGGCCTGTCTTGAATCAAACAACATGGTATACATACCATCTTCAACTCTTGGACGGAGATGACTTGAGTGGCACCAGCTGACATCATCTTGGGTATTAGCTTTGGATTCATTATCTGTGTGAAGATGGGCACCTTTGGAACAAAGGTTCGTGTGGACATCACTCTCAAGATGTTCTCCAAGTCATCATTGATGTCATCAATGTACTGTTTGGAAAAGACAAATATACTACTGGCCTTCTTGATGTTGGCCCTAAGTACATCATCACCTTTTCCACTCGTTCCTTTGATATAAATACACATATGCTTGGTCGTCACTCCTTGTGATAGAGCTTGGTAATACTCTGGTGGATCATCATTTGAGAATATCACCAGTGGCATCCTCTTGATACGTGACTACAAGTTGATGAAGGTGTCATTCAATCATTCAATCAACATTGTCTTGATGACCCATCACAATACATACATTATTGAAGTATTCATTCACGAATGTGTTCAATGATCGCTCATAGATGTTACCGACAACAGCTACAAACTTCTTATTGTTGGTCCTGTATGCTCCATGCCATGCTGTATCAATCAATCAATCAATCACGTGATTGATTAGTATGAGTGATCACAAGATTAAGCGATGAGTGATATGGTATACATACGCTTTCTTTCATTTAGATATCCAAGTAGTTGTGTTGTCTTTACTGGGATGTAGATGAGACCAGTGAGGATGATTACAGATATAAGTAGACGACCAACGATCGTCTTTGGTGAAATATCTCCATAGCCAACTGTTGACAATGTGACTACGGCAAAGTAAATTGAATGATGGAATGGTACCGACTCGACTGATGTAATCATCGATGCGACGAGCACAATGAATATAACCAATGATACCAACAGTTGACTTGTCTTTAAGAATGTTGCTGTTGTAACACATCCGAGTTAGTATGTATTCGAATGAATGAATGAATGAATGATACATACTTCCTACACCATGTAACTTGAATAGTCTTGGTGCCATGAGGATGCGAAGCACTCTGAGGAAACCAAGTGGGATGACGTTGACCAGGGAGTTGGGCAACAGTGTGACGATGATGGGGAGGAGTGAGAGGATGTCGAGCCAGGTGCTGACCTTGAGCATGTACTTGCGCCTGTTCTTGGTGAGCACAAGTCGTCGAACAAAGTCAAAGATGAAGAAGATTGAGAACACCAAGAGGATGGAGTTGAGCGTGTGATATGATGTCGTCTCGACCTCGATGTAGCTCATTGCAATGAAGATGCCAACAGAGACGACACTGAGCACGATGTTGATGTGCTCCAGCACAAAGTCCAACTTGATATACATCTTCTTGTAAAGGATCATCTTTCGACGCCTGTTCTCCTCTTCGTCGGGATCGTCGAGTTGATGGAATGTGTCCAGGTCGATCTCCGAGTCGATTTGATCTTCATCGGTTTCATTGTTGTTGTCATCGTCGTCCTCTTCAAGTTCGAGCTGAGCATGTATGTCATCTACTGCATCAGAGTTGTTGCCTCCTTTTGTTATTGATGGCAATACCATCATGTCGTCATCTAAATGATCATCAATGCCCAGGTCATGATCATCTGTATAATGCTGTCCATTGTTATTGTTGTTATTATTAGACATTGACATTGGCGGCAATGGTGGAGGTGGCGGAGGAGGAGAAGTTTGTGCTATTTGTTGTGGCTGTGACGGTGAACGCAATGTACGCATCAACACCGAGTTTGATGAAGCACCTTCATCATTACTACTCATATTGTATTGTATCTCTCTATATTTGTTATTATTAATACTTCATGAGATTCATTTGAATTGTGAGGAGACTCACAAAACAACACAACTGAGTTCAAGATTTTAGTTAAACAGGGAGATTGGACAAATGAGGGTAATTGTTGTTGAACCAACGTTTCAAAAACATCGAATTCTCAGAAAATGTTATGTTTCATCAATATTATAGACACATTTGACATAGTTATTCATTCAAACTCATTAACATCATACAGGTACAAATAATAAACAATGCAATCTACACAGTCCAGCACTCAATTCACTGGAGGTTCACCACTTATAGTCGCCAGTCAAGCATTTGGACAATCATCATCAACAACAACAACAACTGTGCCATCACTATCTCTAACATCACAGCCACTACCACAACTTCAACAACTACAACCTACTGGAACTCCATTGACCTTTACATTGGCATCAAATGTTTCATCTTCGTCATCGTCATCTTCATCTTCGTCATCTTCTTCATCAAACACTGTGACACAACATCAGAGACTTGCTGCCAAACTTCCTCCAAAGAAAGACATTGCAGTTGATAGGGCAGAGATCATACAGTTCCAAACGCCAGGACATCAATCCACACTTCTAGTATCCAACCTCCCAAAGACAGTGACCACCTCTCAGATAAATGAACGATTCTCCCCATATGGCCTGATACATGACATCATCTCCTATGAAGGTTGGTGTAAGTATCATCTTTCATTCATTCATTCAAATTCCCCAATGTCTCACTCACCCAATCAATCAATCACATATAGACTTGGTCAAGTATTACTCAAAGATTGCTGCACAGAGAGCTTATAATGATTGTTATGGCACTGAAGAGTTTGGATCTCCGATGAGGATATCATTCTCAAAGCGTGTGGACTCGGTGGAACTGCGTCATGATCAGATGGTCAACTTGATCAATCATTATGTTGGCTTCTCATCATGGTCCACACAGATTATCAGTCTTTTACAAGTGGCCTACATCAACAACTCGGAGAAACAACGCGAGATGCACGAGAGCGACATGATGCCCATTGAGGAGATGCTGGCACTTGGTCTCGTGCCTCACGAGCACTGCTATGAGTTCCACACAACGGTGCGCATGCGACTCAAAGATAGACGAACTTTCGATGCCGTGGGCATTGGCATGGTGGACTCTCCCAATCGTTTGGACTCTTATAACTTCTCACGCAAGGCATCCATCACCAATGCTAGGAAAGCATTGTTTTCCAACTTGGCCATTGTGATTGTGGACGATCAAATACTATTACACATTGTCAATCAATCAATTGATGATCAATGGGAAGCACAACGTGATGGATTAAACAAGAAGATGAGGTTGGAAGATGCTCCATTCGATCCATTCGATCCAAAGCTCAATGAAGAGTTCCATCAAATTCAAGAGGCCAAATTATTGGAACAACAACAACTTCAACAACAACAAATGTTGTTGGAGCAAGAGCAACTGCAGGCGCAGGTACAAGTACCTGATCAAATGCAACAATAATAATAATAGCCATAATATTTGTACATACAAATCATTGGCATCCAATGCCAGAGTTTATCATCAACTTCTTGATCTCTTCAAAGGCCAACAATGTAATCGATGAGTTTGGAATGACCTTCATTGTGTTTGGTAACACTCCGCGATAGAATCCATATATTCCCTCAGACCTGGATATGACAACAACATTGATCAGTCAGTAATCTCGCTCGCTCAATCATTCAATCGATCAATCAATCAATCAAATAACATACCTATAAATCTTTCTGGCGACATCGAGCGTGCCAGTGTATACAACTTTGTCCTTGCCTGGGATATTCCTCTCGTCTTGGAGACGAGTCTTGATCACTTGGAAGGGATAAAGCGATGTGCTGGCCAGGAACTTGGATAGACAGCCAGCGGCGAAGATCTCTGTTTTGGTCAGCTCGCCAAGGGGCTTGCCGCCAGCACGTCGACAAAAGAATTGTTTGATCTCGTCGTATGTGGACATCTGGATGCCACCGTGGAAGGTCAGCCAGAGACCTGGCACGACACCCTTGTACAAGCCAAAGAATCCCTCGCCCGTCACTGTCTTTCTCAGACCGTCGATGAAGCCAGTGTAGTAGCTGGGCGAGCCTGGCGTCTGCAGCTGCATCCTGGTCTTGATCAGGAAGATTGGATTGGTGATGAACACCTGCGACATGCCGGCGGCCACACCCGCGCCGAAGCCCATGTATATTGGCAGTGTCTCTGTGCCCGTCTGCTTCTTGAGCATGTTCTTGAAGGTCTCGTAGAAGTGCATGTAGACGCCCCATGCCACACTGTTTGCAATGACAGTGGGTCCGATGCCTCTCCAAAATTGGGAAGGTCCTTCATTACGAAGCACTGTGAAGAATGTACCAATGAGGCCTGGTCTAGGTGCTGCCACTGTACCTGTTGCCGCATAACCAGAGCCTTGCAATCTAACCTTCAACATATCAAATGGTTGCAATACAGCAATTGATACTGTTGAGCCCAATGCAGCTGACACTCCATCAAAGACTGTTTGTTATGTTGTTATACATATGACATTATGTTGTTAGTATGTTATTGAATGAATGGATGTGGTCTCATGGCGAGACTTACATGGTGTCAACTTCTTTGGTGGGACTGTTGCGGGGCCTGATGGACCCTTCTGATCAGTCTCTGTCATGTTCTGATTGATCAATTATCAAATATATATATATATATATTTTAATACAACAAGAATGATTGATTGATTGACGATGGAATCTTCACTCAAATAGGTTCTGCACCAGTCTAGAATCGATTCGTGAAAGAGACGGAAGTCCCAACAAAAGTTGATAAAACGATGAATTTTTACACTTTTTGGGAATGTTGCACCTATTTCACTCGTGTCATCTCAATTCACTTCATTCACTTTATCACTATCAACAACCTTGTTATACATACAGATAGATATATTATATACAGATGGCTACACCATTCATCATTGGTCTAGCTGTTGCTGGAGCTGCTTACGCTACACGTGGTGCTATTAGAATAGCATCAAAGATCAAAGCTGATCCTCGTTCAATATTCAATGCTGGTGGATCTAGCGCTACAGCAATGGGTAGTTTCACCGAAGGCTTTGCAACAAAGATGAACAAGAAGGAAGCTGCTGCTGTACTTGGTATTGAGTATGTACCATAACATTCACATTCATATTCAATCAATCAACAACATTAATGATTGACTAATACAATCAACCAACAGGGAGTCTGCTGATGAGAAGACTATAAAGGAGAAGCATAAGAAGCTGATGATTAGGAATCATCCAGATAAGGGTGGATCATCATACCTGGCGACCAAGGTTAATGAAGCTAAGAACGTCATGCTTGGAAGACAATCATCACAGTAACAACGCTCGTTGACAACAACGAACACTCTCGAAACACACACAAGTACTCTACACTCTCTCAATGTCAGAACGACTGGCAAGCGACATATACACAGGAGCTCCAATCAATCATTCAATATATGGCCGGTCATCGCTGCCTTTGTATATTTATCAACATCAACACCATCAACTTCAACATCATTATAACGAGGCGAATAATACCAGACGACTGGTTGATCGTCTTGTCGAACAGTCCTTATAGTTGTCAGTCAGTCAGTCAGATCATCAAGATGTGCTATGGCAACCAACAACAACCAAACACCGCGTGCGCCAAACAATGTCACAATGCCAATGTCCAACTTCATTGTCAATGTCAATGTCAATAAACCATTATAGGAGCTCCCAAATCAATCATCCATCCAACCATGTTCAATGTACAATGCAGAATGATATATTCATTAACCATTAACCTCCATGCAGAGTCGATATGAAAGAGATTGTATCGCCATCCTCGACCACATAATCGATGCCACCGTCCAGCTCCCAATCCGCGTCGTTGATCAGAACAAGTATACCTGGTCGACTAAAGTAGTAGTGATGGTTAATGAGGTGACCAACAATCATAACCTTTCAACTCTGTTGACCCAACATACACAGTTCCATTATCTACAAATAACTCTGGTCTCTCCTTTACATGATTGTCACGCATCCAATGTACCAGCTCCTTCAAAGGTATAGTATCACGGCCATTCAACTCATAACTATGATTCTTCTTGTTTGAGAACAGTATCTCCAATCCTCCACTGACATTGATTATGATTGAATATGATTGAGTATGATTGATTGATCGTTCAAAGATGTGAGTTCAAAGGTCCACTCACTCGCTCGCTCATTCATCAACATCATCATGGTATGTATTATACACACCTTAACTCTATATTAACAATCATTGTTCAACTTATCTATATATACATGTATGTCTCGAGACCAATCGTCTCAACATCAAACTGTGTGAGGGTATGTCTGTGAGGGTATCTGACTCTCATTCAAACCCAAATTGTTGTAACGATACTAAACGTTGAAGATTGAACGAATGGGATTTTGTATTTTAATTTAATTTTTAAAAATCAAAGTGTGAGTGAAAAGGTCTGAGGCGTCTTGATGACACTCGCTTGCAAGACGATACTTACAAACACTTTTGGTCGCGACCTCGTACACAGCAGTATACACAGCCATCAACCATGAAGAGAAACCCAAGTATGTGTTCAACTCTATACTATACTACTCTCATATCATCACATCATCAGCATCGATCATCGCGATATTGGATACACTTATCAAGTCAACTTCATTGGATTGATTGAATGATTGAATCAAGGATATCGGATACGAGATGGATGGATGTCAAAGATGGATGATGAAGATGGTGATGATGAAGTAGATGATAAAGATACAAAGAGAGGATAATCGGATACTAACATTCACATCTAATCTCAAACTTCAATAGCTGTCAGCTCCTCCCGCAGAAAGTCCAGAAAGGCCCACTTCACCGCCTCCTCTGGCGAGAGAAGAATTCGCATGAGCGCTCCATTGTCGAAGGAACTCCGTACCAAGTACAACGTCAGATCTGTCCCAATCAGAAAGGACGATGAGGTCCGTGTTGTCTCTGGTGACCACAAGGATCACTCCGGAAAGGTCGTTGCCTGCTACAGAAAGAAATACGTCATCCACATTGACAAGCTCACTGTCACCAAGGCCAACGGTAAGCATCCACATAAGCAGCAATAGCGAACACAAGCAGCAACATACAATCGATCATGTGATGTGAGGATACAAAGGAAGAACAATAATGACTTACATATCTCGATCATAATCATTCAAACTTAAACAGGAAACTCTGTCCCAGTTGGTGTCGATGCTTCAAAGGTTGTCATCACCACTTTGAAGTTGGACAAGGACCGTAAGAACTTGTTGGAGCGCAAGAACCGTTCCAAGGAGTCCGACAAGGGAAAGATCAGCAAGAGCGAGGTTAACTCCGCTGATGTCAACTAAACAGAGTCTTTATGGGATACTAGTGAATAAACGGCTGTTGCAAATCAAACCAACCATTTGTCATTCATCTATGTCTTGTGTCGACGCTGTTGCCACTTGGCACAACTACAAGTTAAGTTAAGTGAAGATAAGTTAAGTATGTTTATTATTTGATTGATTGATTGACTGATTGAGCGTCACATCAGTCTTAGAGGACATCTTCATCATCTTCTTCATCATTGTCAGAGTCGTGGTCAATTTCAATGTTGGCAATACGATTGCCAATGTCACTGAGGTCCACCTTGGTGGAGGCGGTGGAGGTGGTCGATGTGGTGGAGGTCGAGCTGGCTCTTGTAGTGGGCTTGGCTCGTGCTCCAAGCAATGAGTTCAGGTTCTTTTGTTGTTGTGACATCTCAACTGCTGGTGCACTCTTCATATCCTTCTTGGACAATGCCTGTCCATAGTCAAGACCCTGTACTTTGTTATCGATGGCGGAACCCTCATAAACAATCACTTGTTGATGGTTAGCAATGATTGGATGGATAGTGGATGGATGGATGGTACATACAATAATAGTTTGATTGAGAGGCTACGACTTGAGTGACCTTCTTGGTCAAGATGAATGGATCGTCAAACTTCAGCTTGGTTGGGTTCCACATGGCCTCAGTTGCCACCTTGTAGTCAGCTCCGAATGTGTATATGTCATTTTGTTCAGCTGGGAAGAAGGGAAGAGAGTGTCAGCAAGGATGGAATATTCCATACCATGAATGAATGAAAGAGTGCGAAGAGGCAACAACAACAACATACCAAGTACAATGTTATAATATCCACTCTGTGATATCTGTTGAACATTACGTATTGGTGTGCCGGATGAAGAAAGCAACTCTGGTGTCATCTTTGGTGCAAAGTAGTGTCCCCAAACGTAACAGTCATTGTCCGTGGTGATGGCGGCAGAGCTGTTCATTCCACAGGAGATCGATGTTATCTTGTATGGCTGCAGTGAATCAATATGTATAGGCGAATGTCTTGTCTCCTTGACGCCATGGCCAAGCTGTCCATCCTCACCTCTTCCCCATGCGAATATACTTCCATTCTCTGTGGCATGCGTGGAGTAGGTATTAGTGTTGGTCAATTGTCCATCATCAATCAATCAACATACGCAACAAGGCAACAGTGTGCTCATCTCCACAAGCAATCTGCTTGATCTTGTAGGTGAGGAATGTGGCACAGTCGACTGACACTGGCTCATACTTGAACGTGGTGATCTTCTTGACGACAATGAAGCTTCCAATGCCCAAAAGATCGCCTCTGCCCCATGCAAATAGGTTTCCAAGCTCTGTACAAACACAAGGGATCATCATTGTTAGGAATTGTAATCGATCGGGAATAACCAAACAATCATACATACCATCAACTGCAACTGAATGTCTGTTACCAGTGGCGTAGAGAGTGACCTTCTTGTTGGACAGTGCTGGCACTGGGTTGGGAGTGTACTTGTTCTCATCGCTCGAGGTTCCATTGAGGTCGCCCTTGCCACTGATCAATAGCTCTCCCTTATCCGAAAGGAATGTTGTATGATATGCTCCAGCGAATACATGCTTCGCCTTGCTGACCTTGGTGTTTGTATTCTGCAATGCACTGTCTGCGCTGCTGGCATTCATCGAACCCAACTGACCAAACTTGTTCGAGCCTGTATAGTATAGCTTGCCATCCTCTGTTGAACAATGTATAGGTCAGTGAATGAACGAATGAATAAGAGATGGATAACATACTGGATACAAAGTAGATGTGATCGGCACCAGCAGCAACATATGCGACGTTGAGGGGATATGAGCAGGGTAGTCCAGTGGGAGTCTTGAGTTGGACAACAGGCTTGGCACCCAACGCCATTTGATTCTCTTGGTTACTACCAATGGCTACGACGAAGCCACCCTTTATATGATTAGAGTCCAATGGTTGAACTACATATGTTATCTTCTCCTTATCAGTGACCTTATCCTTTACATTATCGACCTTATCCTTAACATTGGTTGCAAGGCTTGATGTTGTGGCTTTGAGCTTCTTGAACATTATGCTAGTTTGTTTGGTTGATTCGATTGTTGTTCAAACTTATAAGTGATTATTTAGTTATATTAGTTAGTGTTGAAGTTGTAAGCATTGAATAATAAATGAAACTTTGAATTATCATCATGATGAGTGGTCGAGTCGGGACACACCAAACCAGGGAATGAAAGAATGAAACACAAACAACATGAAGGAGCTGTTGTAACCCAGATGGTGTTCGGCAAAACAACAAGAGTGAAGTCTAAGATTGAATTGAATGAATGTGACCTGAGATACATACAACAGAATTAGGTACTTAGGCTTGCAATTGATCAACTTGTAAACAGTATGTCACAGATCAGAACTTCATATGCATATCACCAGACTCATGAACCGGATGAATAATAATGTAATATTGACAAAGTGTGAATATCAAGTAAACTACATCGATCGATCAATCAATCAATCTATCAATCTATTATCTGACGTCATTCTGTCACACCCCTTTTTATTTGATGAATGGGTTGTAGTGTAGTAGCCAATCCATTCAATGGTGATTGGAGGGTTATCCCTTTACATTCATTCGCAGGACAAACTATCAAACAATGACTTGAAGTTGAATTTGCCGGCCCATTAATTTATAATGTTTGTAAGATGTAACATCAAACACTCTTTTGTTATCACTTAATCTATGTAGACTCGGTAGATTATCTCTTGTACAACTCATATATATAGTAATAATATATGAGTAGTACTAAAAGTATAAATAATGAATGTTCACCATTGATTGGTCAAACATTTATTATACTACTACTAATTGGGTAATCAAACAATTTAATAATGTTGTACAGTAAGTATAATAATGGTATTTGAATTATAATTCAATTAATATACTAATTAATATATAATATTCCAGAATCCATTTCCAACCTCTCGGGATTCACCTCCAAGAATCAATTGAGCATCAATGGTAGCCAAGTTCAAGGATCAAATAATAATGGCGTATTTGTTCAAACATCCAACTGTATTAGTGCCCTTTTAACATTGTCAGGTAGTGGAGATATATCCCTTCTTGGTCTTACCATATTGTCTGGTCAAGGTTACATCTCCATTGGTTAATCAATCATTATCTTGGTACCAGGTTGAAAATATCTCCTACTTATGAACATTATTCAATTAAAAGTTGTTTCAAACTCACTTTGTTTGATTGTTCATCAAATGAATGAATGAACGAATTGAGTTAACTTGCTTGAGATAATATTTATATAATGGATAGAGACAGGAGCAGAGATAGAGATAGACGATCCGACAGAGGTGGTGGAGGTGGAAGTGGAGGTGGTAGAGATGACTACAGAGGAGATAGAGATAGAGATAGAGGTGATAGATACAGAGACGGTGGTGATAAAGATAGAGACATAGATAGAGGTAGAGATAGAAGATATGATGATAGAGATAGAGACAGGAATAGGAGATATGACGATAGAGATAGAGATAGAGATAGAGACAGAGATAGAGATAGAGATTACAAAGATAGAGAATATAGAGATATCAATAGAAGATATGATGAAAGAGATAGACGAGATGGTGACAGGAGAGATAGTGATGTCAGACCACCTGTTGTGATCAATGGTAGTGGTGGAAAAGATAGAGATAGAGATAGTAGGGATAGAAAAGACAACAACAACAAGGACATTCAATCAACAACTACAACATCATCATCATCGTCTCGACCATCAAACAACATCTACTTTGAAAGAGATCAAAGAGGAAGAAGTAGAAGTAGAAGTAAAAGTCCAACAGGTGGTCCTGCTGCAAGAGGTGGTGATGCGTCACGTCATTACAACAAGTCGGGTGGAGGCGGAGGAAGTGGAGGTGGAGGCGGTGGATACAGAGACAAGCCATCTGAATCATTCCTCCAACATAGAAGACAAAAGAGAGACGAAGCATCATGTAGTCCTGTGTTTGCCAGATCACCATCGCCACCAAAGATCAGGAAGTCATCGCCAAGTCCATCGTCCAAGGACAGAGGTGGAAGTTCCAAGAGCAAGAGAGACAATGACGATGACAAGAAACGACGATCAAGAGACAGGTCAGACTCTCCATCAGAGTCCAGCAGCAAGAAGAGGAAGTCAAAGTCAAAGAAGAAGAGCAGCAAGAAGAGGAGAAGTTCATCAATCTCAAGCGACGACGATTCATCATCAGACGACTACAGTGACAGCAGCAGCAGTAGTAGCGAGGACGAGAGAAGGAAGAAAAAGAAGAAGAAGCACTCCAAGAAGAAGAGTAAGAAGAGACACGCCTCGAGCGATGAGGAGGACGACGCCACGATGTGGGAGGAGAAGGCAGAGGAGCAGCCACTGATGGACACTGAGGTGGGCCCACGACCACTGCCCCAGGCTCAAGTCGGAAGCTATGGAGGCGCAATGATGCCCGGTGAGGCAGATGCCATCGCCTCGTTCGTCCAACAAAACAAGCGTATCCCTCGAAGAGGTGAGGTCGGTCTGTCCAGTGACCAAATCGCCACCTTTGAGGAAGCTGGCTACGTGATGAGTGGCTCGCGACACAAGAGAATGAATGCCATCCGTATGCGAAAGGAAGGTCAAGTGTACAGTGCCGAGGAGAAGCGTCAGTTTGTCATGATGAACCGTGAGGAGAAGGCCAAGAAGGAGAACAGGCTACTGTCTGACTTTAGACAGCTCGTCAGTTCCAAGATACAAGAGAGTGAGGACAAGTAAGTAATAGGAATAGTAATAATAATACTGCTACTACTACTTGTATCCGTGGACATACACCGCTTGGAACATTGACATGTAATGTAATGTGAGGTGATCAGATGGTACAAGTCCAGCATCTTTCCGTTACAATCCAGTCCCTACCATTCAAACCAGGAACCCAGATACCACCGGACTTGGAAGACTCTTCCGCCCCCTCGAGTCGATCACCCACAACATACATGTGTATTTAAGGAATAAATGATACCTACATGAATGGGCAAGGCCTTGCCCACCTGTGACCAAGCAAGACATCATCCACAATACTAATCTATGTTGGTCAAACAAACACACTTTCAAGTTGCTTGATATTCGGCATTTGCTCCGATTGATCAATCCCAATTCATATCTCTGTGAATGTGTGTGTTGAGTTCCACAGCGGCCTTGATGTAATGGGCTTTGATCATTTCAGATGGCACTGGGTGACCTTGATGGTGGTGGAAGGTAGTGCACTGAATGCTTGAATGATTGCGAGCATCAACGTGAGTTGATTCAAACAAAGGGGCATGCACATGAATGAGTGGATAAACCTTGGACTATCTCCTGTGAGGGACTGTTTCATTATTGAGCCTCTAGATACCTCCATTTTATCCATTTTATTTAATGTGGTAAGTCCTGTCCCTCCCTATCCTATCCTACATCCTACCCCTCTTTCTTCTCCATACACATCATATCCAGGAACATGCAAGCAAGCAAGGAGCTGTTTAAATCTATTCTTCATCATTGTTGTTGGACAAGGATAACAATCACTTCACTCTAAAGTCAACAACTAACATCAACAGTCACATAATCACTCATCAATCATCAATCAACCAAACATATTATAAACAATCTATATTGACCATACTTGTAGGGTCACTTTGATTGCTTGTTTGTGTTGTTTTGTTGTCTTTGCATTTGCAAAGTTGTAATACAAGACACAACAACAACAATAGCATAAACACCAAAGAACGACCCAACTCGTAGCCAAACAAATCGATTGGGAGACACTAGATCAGATCTAATCAAACCATTATCGATTCGTGAGCAGCATCAACACACCTGGACATTAAACATTAGGAGTGAAACAAGGAACAAGTGCCTACTCTCTCTGCCAACACTGCCAACAATATCGCGACCCGACCTGACCAAAAGGCTAAACGCCAGCCAGCAGCCCCAATCCAATCCAAAGACGGAGACATGTATGTATCTTATTTTGATCGCCGACAATGATGAACACGGTGTTGGCCCAGACAGAGGCTACATCCAACAACACAACCAGCAACACTGCCATCCACTTTACACTTTACCATACTTCCGGTATCTTCGGGAGACGAGTGTGATGTAGCCATTATGATCACCATCACTATCAATCAACCACACACACACATGCGACCACAATATCAACGTAGTTGACGACCTACCGACCGACTCACATTTCCCAATCATCGATGACTGATGTGAGCAGAGTCGGCTTGGTCCTGTGATTTATTACTCTCTAATTCATGCCGACAAGTGATCATCCATGCCCACACTCACATCACACACACACACTCTAACCCGACATGGTGGAGACACACTCCGCATTTTGATATTTGTTTTTTTTTGATCAAGAGTGTGATTTTTTTTAATATGTTTGCGTGTGTAAACTTTGTATGATGTGCTGGACCATGGTTGCCTCACATGATTGTCAGCCATCACCCAATAGATACTGTTATTATTTGAATAATTTAACATCACAACAAACAAAACTAAACAAGGTTTGACCAACTTGCCGCAAATCGCCCTTGTTGGGGTTCAATCAAATCAATCAATCAATCATTGCAGCCGAGGGCAAACATAACAACAACATCATCAGCAACATAATACATAACATCACTACCATACATACATACATACGTCCAACAATCAAACAAACATTTAAATATTATTATATATCTACGTACGGCAAAGCATACCCAACAACACGTAAATACCAAGACAAGAACAACCAGATAGCTCGTCATCGACTCTTTGTGACTTTGGATGTGTGCATGTGGTAGACTCGCGAGTTTGTATTGTGCCATTTCCCCAAGGGTGCGATTCCCAAGGTGTCGTCGACGACGAAGTCAGGGCCATGCATGGCCAACAACGTTGTTGTTGTAGTTTGTAAGGCGGTGATCAGAGATCAGATCCATCCATCCATTCACGCGGCAGACTAGTCTGCAAGTTAGCCAGCCAGGCGTGTCACTTCACAACAACCTAGCCAATATCAATCAAAGTGGTGGGGTTAGTTGTGTTGGGGCACCAATCCACCATGAGCTCGGGCTCGCCCCACACATCTCATTTCAATTAACGCAACACACACAGAGCTCTCAACAACAAACAACAAACAGAACCCTACTGTTGGTTTTTATTTTTTATTTGTGTGAATCTCACTACTCACACAACATCAACGTTTGAAGCCTGGCTTTGGCTTGGCTTGACTTGACTTCCGAGCGAGATTACTTGCATACATTGATGCCAATCGATTGCTTTTTTGTCATTACATTCATTCATTCACACACACACATACATTCATATTGGCATTGTTTAAAAGATAAAGTTAACAACTAGTTAGTTATATTGACACATCATTATCTAATCATCTCATCTTAACAGCCCCGACAGGATAAAGATTAAACTTTGGGTTTAGAAACAGGAGATAGACAGACAGACAGACAGACAGACAGACAAACAGCAGGCAGCAACAACAACGTAGCAGCAGCAGCAATAACAGCGGGCAGCGTAGTAGCAGCCATTTTTCAAAATATATACAATCATATATAGTATAGCAGAACAAATAGAAATAGAGAATGAACTCAACTTCGAATAGAGTGTTGAGAGAGAGCATGATGGGCTCAAATGGTGTGAACAGAGGCGGCGCAGCCGGAGGCTCACCACAAAGCAATGACATGCTATTAAATAGAGTCAGCGACTTGGAGGTAATAACACTCATTCAATCAATCATACATGTTACAGGATCACTCACATCAATCATTCAATCAAATATATTACAGGAGGAGAACTCAAAGTTACAATACAGGATAATGGAATTGGAAGCGATCAATGGACATTTGAAGGAACAGTTGGAGTACTTCCAGACAAAGTTGTTGGAGAAGAGCTTTAATGAGGATAGAGATCTTTCCAATTGTTTGTCGGACATCTACGAGAGTCTGAGCAAGGACAGTCAATTGTTGTCGACATCGCCCGGCAGCGCATCGCAGGCCCACAAGCCACCAACAAACAATCACTCCAACACCAACAAATACATGAACAATAGCAGCAGCATGGGATCGTTGCCAAGCGTCTCCCCGCTTGGCGTGCCCAACAGCGTCACAAAGAAGGCGTCGCTGAGCAGGAGCTCGTCGGACAACTACATTCAGCAGTCGCCCGACACTGCCGACTCGTCGGACACCACACCAGTCGACGAGGCCTCCCTTGCCAAGAACTGGTCGGCCGCAGCGCCCAAGCAGCGCTCCGAGTCGAGGATATCAACTCAGGTCAGCGCGTACACACCACAGAACACACCAACCAACCCTTCGCCATTGACCAACCGTCCAGTCAGCGTCATGCACGCCGCCAACCACCTCGCCTCCTCCACACCTGTATTTACCAACCCATCATCACCAATCCCCTTGTCCTCCTCGGCATCGTCGCTGGCCACCTCCTCGCAACTCGGCACAAGCCCTGTGGTCGTCTCACCCGACGCCTTTGGCTCACATGAGAGCCGTCGCAAGGTGCCACCAATGCCCCTGCCACCCTTGCCCGGTGACAGACGCAGCAAGACCTCACCCTTCCCATCCAACTCACCGGCACCCATGTCCAACCCATCGCTTGTGCGCACAGCATCCGTGGCGCCCAAGCCAATCAGCGTGTCGAGCGGAGGAGGCCGCCCCTCCACCCCCACACTCATGGCGTCCACTGAGGACGAGCAGTTCGAGGAGCCCGAGAACCTGGACGACCCCAACCTGGTGCTGATCAAGAACGAGACCGGCACCTACCTCGTCAAGGGAGGCACGCTCGAGCGTCTGGTGCAGCGTCTGAGCTACGACAAATCACACGACACCGACTTCTCCAGCGCCTTCCTGCTGACCTACCGCTCATTCACCACTCCAGTCGAGTTATTGGACATGCTCATTCAATCCTACAACGTCATCGAGGAGAACGCCTCCATCCCTCCAGCTCTCTACGAGAAGAAGAAGAAGATCGTGCGCATGCGTGTCGTCAACGTCATGAGGACCTGGGTCGACAAGCATTTCCACGACTTTAGCGAGGACCCTACGCTGGTGTCCAAGCTTGACCAATTCGTTGGCAGCCAGATCATTATCGACTTTGAGGCCATCGGCAAGAACATCAAGAAGCTGCTATTCAACGGCCGTCTTGTGCCAATCCCCACATTCAACGACCCGGCGCCCGCATCGATCTCACCCAAGACCAGAGACGCCATGTTCCTCGACCTCGACACAACCGAGATTGCTCGTCAGCTGACACTCATCGAGTCAGAGCTGTACCGCAAGATCGAGTCAAAGGAGTGTCTGGGCCAGAGCTGGAACAAGCCAAACAAGGACGAGCTGGCGCCCAACATTGTCGCGTTCATTCGCCGCTTCAACGCAGTGTCGATCTGGGTTGCCACAGAGATCGTTCGTACCGAGAAGATCAAGGACCGTGTCAGCGTCGTCAAGCGCTTCATCCTCATCGCACAGAAGTGTCGTGACATTGGAAACTTCAATGGCTGCATGGAGATCCTCTCTGGTCTCCAGAACTCGGCCGTCTACCGTCTCACCAAGACCTGGGAGAAGATCGAGTCCAAGCCACTGCTCAAGAATGCCTACGACGAACTCCTCGTCCTAATGGCACAGAAGAACAACTTCAAGGACTACAGAGCTGCACTGCACTCTGTTCATCCTCCATGTATTCCATACCTTGTAAGCATCATCTACATCCTCACAACTTATCACATGATCACTTCACTAACCATCAATCAATCAATCAAACTCATTAGGGTGTATACTTGACTGATCTTACATTTATCGAGGATGGCACCAAGAACACGCTGAACAACAGAGACGATCTGATAAACTTTGAGAAGCGTCGTAGGATATCGGTGGTGATTCGTGAGATTCAGCAGTACCAGCAGACACCGTACAACTTCAACACCGAGGAAATCACACAGCGCTACCTTAAGAATTTGCCAGGTCTCACTGAGAAGGCCTTGTACAAGGCCAGTCAGCTGTGCGAGCCCCGTGAGCAGAGATCGTCTTCGTCAGAGTCTGTGTCTGCCGCACCCGGCACCACACCAAACAGCTTCAAGAAGGAGTTCTCCATCTCGTCATTCATGAGCTCCCTGAAATAGAGACCAGGTCCACACACATTAGGCCAAGGCTGTGGCACCAACAACAGCAGTTTATTCATCATAGATGTCCTCGGGACGTCCTCATGTACGACAGACAACATTTCCTGTCAGTCTGTAGCGAGAGAGATCACCGAGGAGAGATAGCGAGACCTCAAGAGGTCGCATCGCCATGCACATCCTTTTTTTTCCCCATCATCATTGTAATCTTACCAACTTCCACCTTCCGCCATTCATCCACCCAACAACCAACCCAGTCCACAACTCCCTCATACTCAGCAACACACATATACTCATGTATTGTATTATTGCACATCAACATCCTCAACAACTGCCAACCAACAACCAACAACCAACAACAACCCATGTCTATTCTTCTTCCTCCTTGGACACCCAACGGAATTGTCCCAAGCGAGGCCTGGTTTAATWAAGATGGGTAAAGGCCTTCTATCCACAAACATGAAGACTCCATCATTCTTAATCGCCTAATTCTGGCAATCAAAAATCAATCATGGATAGAATCGATACCTCTACCTTTTGTTTGTGGTTGATGTTGTTGTCTTCAAGAGTCTCGGTAATGCATGCCTATATAAGGTGAATACGTATAATATTGACCGAAAAAACCGAAACGAGTGATACAGTTACTATCTGTTACTCGATCACTCAATCTAGCAAAGTCAATAGATCAACTCTCAATCAACAACAGCAGTACTCAGGTGAGTGCCCTGTCACAGATTACAATGGGAGCGGAGTCATTCTTCGCAAGGTATGGCCCGATCAATGATCGTGCGCCACCCTCATCGCAGTCATCATACGACGTGCGAATCTTCTACCCTGGCGCAGCGCTGCTGCCAGAGGACTACATGAAAGGTATGAAGTATAGATCATTATTATATCTTTATATTAATTTAATAATAAATGGTTCGTATATTGATTGGTTCAACAACATAGCATAATAAATAATAACAAATCAATTGGATAACAATACTTGATGTATTTCAACCGAATATCTATAACAATAATCAATGTAAACTGAGAAGACATCTATTTCCGAATGTAAATCATTCCTTTATTTATTGATTTCTCAACCACTTTGAGTATATGTATTGATACTTGTTTGATCAGAGATTGTTTGGTTTATTAATTGATATTTGTTAGTGAGTGAAGTTCATTTATGATGAAAGTCAAAGGTCAAGTTACCTTGGTTTTGTTGATCACACACAACCATCAACAAAGTTCATAATTTATTTAAATTATCTCTTTGACATATATTCATACACATACATATATACACAACAATAGAACACAAAAGTAATATGAGTTCAACAACAACGACAACATCAACTAGTAGTACGACTACTCCAACTATTATACCAGGTGGACCAACTGGTGCACTGGCAGGAGCTCAACAGGGAAAGATAAATACAGCGACAATACCAAACTATAAGAATTGGACCGTTGTCTACCCTCAATATATAAACTCTGAGCTCACGAGAGATCAAGGCAGAAGGACTCCCAAAGACAAGTCTGTAAAGAATCCTCAACTGGAGGAGATTGCAAAGTGTGCTGGTGCCGTTGGTCTGAGCGCTGTTCTCGAGCCACACAAGGGATACCCATCAGACTTCTTCCAGCGAGGACGTGTCAAGATTCAAATGCTCAATGAGCAGAAACAACCATTTGTATCAACCATCACAAACAGTATGTACACATTCATTCATTGATCAATGCATATGCTGTTGCTAACAACAACAACTATCACAAACATTGCGTCAATCAACAACAAACAGAAACAGAGCTGTTGCTATTTCTAGCAGAGAAGATCAACCTTGTTGCACCAAATAGACCTGAGAACTTCAATCCTTTGTGTATGATCCCAACGCTGACTCAACAGCCAGCAGTCAAGAAGGACAAGGAGGACAAGAAGAACAAGAAGAAGGGCAAATAAATCTTGGTGTCGACTCCAAGAAGAAGAAGTCACATATATGTTATCAAACGTATCGATCGATCGATCAGACGACAGACAGGCAGGCAGACATACAGATAATATATATATATTTGATAAGATTGATGATGATGACGGACTTGTCATGGCAGCTTAAGAGGTGATTTGAGCCATCCACGTTCGAGTAGATGTGGTTCCAGTATCCAATAGACACCGAATGATAGAGTTGATGCACCGATCAATGTAAGGAATCCTTTGCTCTCTGGATGACTCTTGCGTATCATCAATGAATAGATGCCTGATGCACCGATTATCGTGCCACTCATAGCATGGCATGTCTTGCACTCTCCAATATCCTTGTCCTTGTATGGTTGTAGTTGTTGCTGCAGTTGTGATTGTTGTTTCGGTTCCTTCAATATATGCTGTGGCAGGTCATCATCATCGATTGTTGACTTGTCGTTATTATTATTATTATTGTTGTTCATGCTCTTAAGTCTTCTTCGTCCTATGTTGTCTGGTGGTGGCTACACCCTACTATCTCATATATTGGATACAGATACAGATACACAATTGTAGAGATAAATACGTATTGGTGTGTGTTTATATGTTTGTGGTGGGCGAGACAGAATGAATCACACACACACTGGCACATAAATCGGAGTTGAACTTGACACGACATCCAGTTGTCATTGCCATTTATATCTTTATAACTGGATCTGTATCTTTATGAAATGAAAAGGTGTACCTACCTCATCAATGAATGAATGTATCTAAGTTAGATGTTTGATGTTTGATTTTGGACATGGAGACTTAGAGGTAGACAGAGATATTATATAGTTATAAAGAATAGATAGATATAAAGATAGAGATATATAATAATATGATCTCATCTTGTTATAGACAGAGATGTATTTGTATAATAGCATCAATATTGTTGATTGTCATAGTCACTTTACCACATTGTATATACTCAACCAAGATAGATGTTGAGTTTAGGAGTAGGAAACTAGAGTTGATACATCTGGGGTCAACATCAAAGAATGACAAGAACATCAATAATAGACAGAGAATGGTCAATCCAAGTTTGGAAATGGATACAATGTACAATATAGTAGAGCCACAATCACAACCAACAACAGTCAACTTATGGATATACTTCAAGGATAAAGGTCCAGGTCGTATACCTTCAACATCAACGACGACACAATACTTTGATTATGAAGTGTACCAAGAATATATCGATCAAGTTATCAATTCCCAACAACAATCAGTCTTACTAGTTAGACATAAATCAAAGTGGTTGAATGCAATATCGTTGTCAATGAATGTAGATCAGTCATTGTCACATGATCAACAACAACTTCAGGTCCACAATGTATATCAGTCGATCAAGAATATCAATTCAGTGTTGAAGGTGTCAGAGGTCAATCATCTTACATATCACGATCAAGATCACGTCAATAATGTTAATGGATTTGGTGATGGTGGAGCAGACATGGATAGAAGAAACTCATTTGTCGATGACTTGCAATCCCACCTAATCGATGGTATAGAGTATGGACGTTCATATCAAAAGTTACAACAAATTGGAGTTATTCAAGCACATCAGAATGGATACAGTGGCAAGGGTGTCAACATACTAGTCATTGACAGTGGATTCCTAAAGGATCATGAGAGTATCAAGAGCTGCAACATTATAGCTGAGAAAGACTTTATCAACAACACTGGAAACACTCAAGGTCAACTTGGAGGTATGATCACGGTATCTCGATTGATTAATCGATTTATTAACTTGTTTGACTATATAGATGTTCAAAATAGACATGGGACCAATGTACTTTCCAACATTGGTGGATGGATGCCTGGATCAATCATTGGTGTGGCACACAAGGCCAACTATATACTCGCCAAAACGGTAACATTATGCCTCAATCATTCCATCTATCCTTCCATAAGACGTTCCATTGAACCATGTTGATATACCCTACCATTCAATTAATCAATCAAACAACATAGATTTACTAACAATGTTAATACTTAGGAGATTATTGATAAGGAAGTACCTGTTGAAGAGGACTACCTTATATCAGCTTTGGAATGGGGACATTCACAAGGTGCTCGTGTCGCCTCAATCTCACTTGGATATAGTGCTTGGTTCAAGTATTGGGAGGTGGATGGAACATCTTCAATATCAAAGGCTGTGGACATTGCACATCAGAAGGGAATGTTGGTTGTGGTATCAAGTGGAAACAATGGGGTGAGTGGAATCACACCTCCATCAGACTGTCGTGAATGTATATCAGTGGGAGCTGTGGACAACTTTGATGTTATTGCCACATTTAGTTCGATTGGACCTACAGCAGATGGTCGTCGCAAACCAGAGGTAGTTGGTCCAGGAATGCTCATATACTCTGCAGCTGCAAGTTCACCATCTTCATATGAGTTTGTCAGTGGCACTAGTATATCTACACCATTGATTGCTGGTTCAGCTGCACTAGTAATGGAGGCACATCCTGATTGGACACCATCAATGGTTCGAGAGGCATTGATATCAACAGCATCATCAATCTCATCACCAGACAATTATAAAGGATATGGAGCAATCAATGTATGGGCTGCAATCAACTACCAACCAAATCAATGCACTACTCAATGTTCAGGTCTATGTATCAATGGTACATGTACATGTACAGATAAAGATACATGTAGTGTCAATGGTATGTACCACTGTATCAATCCATCATCTCATCAATCAATCAATAATTGATACTAATATTTATATCTCCAGTCGTGTGTGGATCAGTTTGCCAAGAGAACAGTGGAGAATGTGATCCAAACAATTGTTACAGGTGCAAGAATCCTATTGATATATCACACAAAGAGAGACAAAGATCAAAGTGTGGAGGTATGTGTAACTAGTTGCAAACCAATCCATCAATCAATCATTTCCATGTTACTAACATCTATCTAGATTCAATGCTCGAGGACCCAAGAGCCAATTCTGGAATACGATCACCAAGTTCCAATCCATTTTTAATTGTCAGTTTCACTCTACTCTGTATTCTAACTAGTTCAATATTGGTATCATAATTATCATATTTAATATTAAAATACTGCCCCAGGGAATTGTTCCAATATATGAAAATTGATTGATTGTTGAAGTTCCATTAAGAATGAAATTGGAAAGTGAGTGGTCAAAAGAAATTATTTTAATGAATTGGGGGTTGGTTGAGTGGGGTGAGTTGAATGAATCAAGTGAAACATCTCTCACTCACTCAACCACCTTGCAAGTTGTTCAACAAAGGCGCCATCACAACATAACAAAACAATCAAGCAACCAACATCATCATCAATCTATCCCCTCACATCTCATATAATATCATATCATCATCAGTACTGTACAGAAGAGGCGCCCCAATTAATTCAAACAAATTGGTACATTACAATACATTAATATTTAAACAACAATAACAGTCAGTTTCAATCAATCAGGGTCACCTGTTTAGTCAGTTAAGGTACATATCATAGCATCACGTTATCTCAGGTCAGACACGCCCACCGGGGAGCTGAACTATCAACGAAACACCATCTACACCAAATCATCATCATCAACATATATATTAATATATTATAAATAGATTGCAACAATTGGATCGTGGATTGATTGTTTGATTGATTGATTGATTGATTGAACATCAACCATCATCCATCATCCATCTATTAATTCGATATCCCTTTTGTACCAATCACGGTAGAGGGACAGCTAGGCCTACAGGTCCTTGCTCTTTGTACAAGTATGTGTACATATTATTTATTTGTTGTTTATTGTGCATATTATAATTATTATTGATGTGTAGACGATAGCGATTGTTGAGTACATTCATTCATCCATTCACATGTCCACATTGTTGTTGACTGGTCAGCCACACATGCCCATCAACTATTCAATCATTCATTCAATCAATTTGACCTCATACTCATACTCTCATACTTATAATCATATCATACAGACACAGAATCGAAACGACGACGATAACGATATCGACACCGAAGAATACATAACCGACATATATATTATAAACATATCAATCACAATCACAAGAGGTTGGGCATCATATACATACATAGATACATAGATAGATTACATAGATTACATAGATAGATAGATACATTGGATACATCAACGCATATGAATGAATCCAGTCACTACGTCTCCATTGCAAGCACCGGCGGCATCATATCAACATCAGCAGTTTCCTCACGCACTGCAGCAGCAGCATCAACAACACACACTGGCACTCGGTCAACAGAGCAATAGTACACAGCAGACTGCATCGCCGCCTCAGTCATCTCAGTCGTCATCATCACTGGCAGTCAATGGATCGGCAGCACCCAATGCCACCGACTACAATCAGCAATATCAACAGATGCTTCATATGCAGCAGCAGCATCAACAGCAACAGCAACAGCAACCTCAGCAGACTGAGTCTCCACCAATGATGATCTCAATGCAGCAGCAGCAACAGCAGCAACCTCAACAGACACAGCACCAGCCGCAGCAGCAGTCATCATACATGATGGGTCCCATTGAGAATCAGATCAATCAGTTCCAGCAACAACAACAACAGCAGCAACAGCAACAGCAGCAACCCCCGACGACGCCGACTACACAACAACAAACTCAACAAACACAGCAGCAGCAACAGCAGCAGATCCAACAACAGCAGTTACAACAGCAGCAACAAACAGCAGCCAAACAACATCATATGATTCAACAGCAGATGCTAATGAGCAAGATGGCACCTCCTCCTGCGCAGCAGCAACAACATCAACAACAACAACAACAACAACAACAGCAACCAACACAGCAGCAGCAGCCTGTTGGGCAGCCGATGCCTCAGACTCCGCCTATCTCCTCACCCATAATGGTACGCACACAGCAGCCACAATATCAATATGCCGAGGCGGCCACTGGGCAGCTACACCAACAACAGCTGATACAACAGCAACAACAACTGCCGCAGCAGCAGCAGCAACAGCAGCCGCAACAGCCAGGGATGGGCGTGCCACAGCAGCCAACTGGAGTGGTGCAGCAGCAGTCTACACCACAACAACAACAACCTGTAAATCCACAGCAACAACAACAACAGCAGCCACAACAGCAAAAGATACCCATATTAACAAAAGAGAAGTACATTGAAATATACCAAGTAAGTAGTTCAATGGCGAGGCATCGACTCCAAGTCAATCACGATCACTCACTCACTCACAATCAATCACAACAATAGCGCCTGGATAACTATCACAACACTGCATATGACTTCAACGATAAAGCTTATCAAAACTGCGTGTACTTGGTGGTCAAGAATCGACCTTCACTTCAGCTGTCAAGTCAGGAGACAGAACTGATCAACAGAGTCAATACAGTGCTGAAGAGGACCTTCCCAAAGAGTGCCCAGACGGTCAAGTCGCCTGGCATGCCCTCACAGCAACAACAGCCACAGCAACCAGGACAACTACCACGCGTCGTACTGACGCAAGAGCAAATCGACCTGCTAAAGCTACAGCTCAAGGCATTCTCATACATCTCCACATGGATCGAGCAGACGCAGAAGGGATTGCCGACCGAGCCCATTGCGCCCGAGCTCATGGCCCTGCTCAACGTGTCCAAGAGCAAGTTGCTGGCGTCATTTCCCAAACCCAACAGCGTCACACAACCAACATCAGCAACGGCGGTCGCTACAGGTGGTGTTGTGTCACCCTCTGCGCAATCCGTGAACGCCTCTGCACACCCAACGGCGATGTATATGTCACAACCAATGCCCATGGGCGTCGCACCCGGCAGCGCGCCAGCCACACCCGGAGGCCTGTTGATATCCTCCCCTCCTGTAATATCAGTATCGATGCAGCAACAGCAACAACAAGTCGTTGCCGCGCCACCACCCATCCAGATACAGGCACCTCCACCACCCCCACAGCCACAATACGTTCTGCCACCCGTCGAGTCCCTGAAGCCTGCGCCAGTCGACTTTATGACGCTCAAAGAGTCTGAAGAGAGCGCGATCAAGAGTCGCATGAGCCGCAGGATCATCGACGTTAGGGAGCTACTATTGACGTGCACCGACGACACACTTCGCCTGCAGCTGACTGTCGAGCTCAAGCAGCTGACACTGTTTGACCTGCAGCGCAAGGTGCGCACAGAGATGCTTGAGTACGCCCTCGAGAACAATGTGGGCGCCAGCTCGAGCAAGGTGGGCGGCACTGGCCACTCGTCTGCCAACAAGGTGAAGAAGCCGTCGCGCGATGCGACGCGCACCAAGCAGCAACAACAGGAGGAAGTGGAGAAGACACGTTTCCAAACATTCATCTCGTCCGTCCTGCAACATGGCAAGGACTTCAAGGAGTACCACGCCAACAAGATGGTCAAGGTCAAGAAGGTATCGAAGCGCGTGACCAACTACTTTGTGCAGCTGGAGAAGCGCGAGCAACAACAGCGTGAGCGTGAGGAGCGTGAGCGTCTGCGTGCGCTCAAGACCAACGATGAGAGCAAGTACCTCAAGCTGCTGGAGCAGACCAAGAACCAGCGTCTGCGTGAGCTCTTTGATCAGACCAACGAATTCCTCGACAAGATCTCACATCTCATTCAGAAGGAGAAGATGACCACGACCGAGGAGGTCGAGCCTGAGGTTGGCGCCGAGCCCCTATCACCCAAGACCGGTACCACACAGTCTGCGCCACTTGTCAGCAAGGCGCACTCTTACTACTCAAAGGCTCACTCGATTGTGGAGGAGATCCCCGATCAACCCCTGCTGCTAGAAGGTGGCCAACTGAAACCCTATCAGATGCAGGGTCTGCAGTGGCTCGTATCACTCTACAACAACAAGCTCAATGGTATTCTGGCAGATGAGATGGGTCTGGGCAAGACAATCCAGACCATCGCACTGGTAACCTATCTGATGGAGAAGAAGAGCAACAAGGGCCCTTACCTGGTCATTGTGCCACTGTCCACACTGTCCAACTGGGGCCAGGAGTTCACAAAGTGGGCGCCCAAGGTGCAGAAGATCCTCTACACTGGCAAGAAGGAGGTGCGCAAGGCTATCTACGAGCATCACATTGCCCCCTCGACATTCAACGTGCTGGTCACCACCTACGAGTACATCATCAAGGACAAGAACATGCTGGCCAAGGTCAAGTGGGCCTACATGATTGTGGACGAGGGTCATCGTATGAAAAACTATAGTAGTAAGCTGGCCGTCACCCTTGGCAGTTTCTACTCCAGTCGATACAGACTATTGCTCACTGGTACACCTTTGCAGAACTCGCTGCCCGAGCTGTGGGCCCTCCTCAACTTCCTGCTGCCAAACATCTTTGACAGTGTTGACGACTTTGAGCAGTGGTTCAACGCACCATTCGCGGCCACTGGCGAGAAGCTCGAGATGAACGAAGAGGAACAACTTCTGATCATCCAGCGTCTGCACAAGGTGCTGCGTCCATTCCTCCTGCGACGTCTCAAGACCGAAGTGGAGTCACAGCTGCCCGACAAGGTGGAGAAGGTGATCAAGTGTGAGATGTCTGCATTCCAAACCAAGATGTACAACCTCATTCGCACCAAGGGTATTGCGCAGTTCCAAACTGGCTCAGGCCAGGATGGCGGACCCAGGATCTCCAAGGGCCTCAAGAACACCCTCGTACAACTGCGAAAGATCTGCAACCATCCATACCTCTTCTACGACGACGAGTATCCCATTGACGAGATGATGATCCGTAGTGCTGGCAAGTTTGACCTGCTAGACCGCGTGCTGCCCAAGCTCAAGGCATCGGGCCATCGTGTGCTCATCTTCTCCCAGATGACACATTTGATCGACGTCCTCGAACAGTTCTTCTACTACAAAGGCTACAAGTATCTGCGTCTGGACGGTTCGACCAAGTCCGAGGAGAGAGGACCACTGCTAAACCTCTTCAATGCAGAGAACAGCGAGTACTTTATCTTTGTGCTGAGTACAAGGGCCGGAGGTCTGGGACTCAACTTGCAGACTGCCGACACAGTCATCATCTTTGACAGTGATTGGAACCCTCAGATGGATCTACAGGCTCAGGACAGAGCGCATAGAATCGGTCAGAAGCAGGTGGTGAAGGTGCTGAGACTGGTCACGTTCAACTCGGTCGAGGAAAAGATCTTGGCGCGTGCCAACTTCAAGAAGGAGCTCGACAGGAAGATCATTCAGGCCGGTCAGTTCAACAACAAGTCCAATCGCAACGATCGTCGCCAGATGCTCGAGTTCCTCATGACACAGGACGAGACCGCCGAGATGGAGCGTCAGAGCGTGCCGAGCGACCAACAGATCAACGAGATGATCTCTAGGACACCTGAGGAGGTGGAGCTGTTTGAGAAGATGGACCGCGATCGTGGCGAGCTCGAGGCCAAGCAATGGAAAGAGGCGGGCAAGAAGGGTGAGCCACACCGACTATGTACAGATGACGAGCTGCCCGACTGGATCAAGCAAGAGGTTGAGTTGACAGAGGATTTGGGCTTCCAGTTTGGTAAGCGACCCGGCCAAAAGATGGACCTGGATCTCAAGATGACCGAGGAGCAGATCAAGAAGATGATTGAGAATGGTGACTTCAAGCGACGAAGGACCCAGACCACCTTCTTGAACACCAGCGAGGTGTATGGCGATGAGTACGACGACCTTGCCTCATCCTCATCCTCCGAAGAGGAGCAGGAAGAGTACCAGGCACCCACCAAGAGCTCATCCAAGCGCAAGGACCTATCATCAGATGAGGAGACGCCAACGAGAGGACCAAAGAAGAAGGCAAAGACTACCCCTGCCAAGAAGTCACCCTCCACATCAACTCCAAAGACTCCATCATCCTCAGCCTCCACGCCAGTTGTTGGCGCCCCAACTCCTCCAGCGAGGAAGTACAGTGGCCGTGGCAGACCAGCCGGCACCATCAAGAAGAAGCCAACAACAGAGAATGAGATGAAGTACCTGGACATCTTTGACACAGTGCGTTTGGACGTTGATGAGGACGGACGAAAGAGGTGCGAGATCTTCCTTCGTCTGCCCAGCAAGCGAGACTATCCAGACTACTACAACATCATCAAGGAGCCAATTGATATGAAGACCATCAAGGACAGGATCACAGGCAAGAAGTACAACTCACCAGCCGAGTTTGCAGCCAACGTCAACACCATGTTCTACAATGCTCAGATTTACAACTGTTCTGGATCAGAAGTGTTTGAGGATGCTGTATATTTACAGGTATGTCTACAACATCACTCACATGCATATCATATTCATGGTCAATGACACTAACAACATGCTGTTACCACAAATAGAATGTGTTTACAAAGCTTTTCAATCAGAACTTCCCCAACTATCAGCTGGCACCCCCAGAGCCTCCATTGTCCCCATCACAGATGCTCCATCCAACTGCCGATCTCAAGGAAGTCGTTCCAATCTCCCAACTGCTCAACTCCAACAGTCCCACCAGCGACTCTGAGGACATGCGGGCAGACACGTCAAGGCAAGGCAACAACATCTTCACTTTTGGCAGCAACAACTTTTCCCATGGCAGCAGCAGCGGAAGCGGCAACAGCAGTGGTAACAGCAATAGGAATGCCAATTTCTCTTCTCAATCCAACAACAACAACAGCAGCAGCAGTAGTAGTAGCAGCATTAACAACAACAGCAACAGCAGCAACAACAATGGCAACAGCAAGAAGAGGCCATTCGATCCAATGTCCCTATCGAACATGGTCAGCAACGATTCACCAACGTCATCCCCACTCACACTCAACTCCAACTATTCCAACGCCAAGCCTTCAAAGAGCCATCGAAAACCAGGCTCATCCAAATACTCGGACTCAGAACCAGAGTCCGGTATGGACGACGATTATTAAACAACGTATCCATCCTGTACCACAGTCAATCTAATCTTTTCTAGGGTCGATAACTGTATTCTCTTCTGCCATTTATTATGAGTTGTTGTTGTTGTTGGTGTTGGTGTTGTTGTCAGTTTCGGTTGTGGCAGTGGTTGTGTCTGGCTTCTCGTGTGAATACTTGCAGCTGGCACCCTTGGAGCATTCTCCCTGTTGTTGTGGTTGGTAGTTAGTTAGTATCCAGGGAATAGCAATAATAAGACATTTAACTTACAATCTCAAACATTCGCTTGCAAGGGATATGCTTCCATGAACCCTTTGGCTCCTTCTGCTTTGTGTACTTTCCCTGGTTCTTGATACGCTTCTCTGCAACTGTCTCATCGCCTTCATTTCCACGCTTTCCTGCTCTTGCCTGTGGTCCCCAGTTCTCGGTTGGGTTTGGCAGATACTTGGGTACGTCTGGTGTTGCTCCGTTTGCCTGTGGATGTAAATCAAAGTTGATCACATGCCTAAATTGAGATTGGTGAGAGGTGTGTTAGGAGGATGTTGGACAACATTGGACCAGTGATGGTATCGACATACTTTGGTTCAGTGGCCAGAATGAAGTGAGCTGGAGATGTTAGTGAGGTGTTCTTTGGTGGATGAGACTTGGCATATGTTCTGAACACGTCCCACATGAAATCGAATGGAGCATTGGTCTTGATCACTGATTGAACGTGGCTGGACGACACCTTGTATCCACCGTTCAAAATGGCCGATCTGATGATGGCGATCGAGGGAGTGTTGGTGTGCAACACAGAGGTGAAGTGATCGCTCTTGAAGTAGAAGGGCACGTCTTCCAGCTCCTCAAACGCAGAGGTCAGCACGCCAAACATCCTCTTGCAAGTGTTGAACGCCTTGGGATGATCCTCTATGTACTTCAATGCAGTCTTGCAAGCGTCCTTGTTGTGGAGAGACTTGTTCCAGAATGGACCTGCCATTTGCAGTGGCTTGGTGCAGAACTTGCATGTGGTGCTGTCCAGGAACTTGCCAAGGTTGGGCAGCTTATACTTGGTGCTCTTACCCTCGACCTCCACGATGCCCAGTGGCACAGTTGTGTAGCTGCCACAGCCAACGCAGCTAAAGATGTTTGCCAACTTTGAGAAACTACGCTTGCACTCCAGTGGCGATGTGTACACTCTCACAAACACTCTGATGTAGAAGTCCACACTGAGTGAAAGTATAGGTACAATGTGACGCTTATAACGATTGGCATGTGATTCAATCGTGTGGAGAAGTATCCTAATACCCTGTTATATGTTTGATTGATTGTGTCAGCAATGCCCATCGCTCCATTCTACGCGTAGACAACAATGCTTACGAATTCATGACAGAAGTCACCCTTGAGTGGCACTGATGAGTACTTGTGGAAGCATGCCTCTGGATGGTTGCCACAGAGAACCGCCGAGTCGGTGGCGGTCACACAGAGCAGACCACCCTCTGAGACGGCCTGGACAGCACCGTCCAGGAAGTTGCAAGGTGATCCATAGGGGTCAATGTCGATGATGTCAAACTGGTCCTGTGGGTCGCGATGGTTGTACATGACAGTGGTGGCATCGCCCTGGTTTGGTCTGAGGAGGTTCTTGTCAACATTGTTCAGATCACGGTTCTTCTCGATCGACTTGACGGCCGGCTCCTCAATATCGTTGGACAAGATATAGTCGACGCCGTCAAGCTCCTTTGCGTAACGAATTGATCGCAGACCGGTGGCAGAGAGCGCCTCGAGGATCTTGACCTTCTTGGGCTCCTTCTTCTTCTCTACCAACTCCTTGTTGCGTTGTTCGATGAATAAACGAATCATCAGAATCGACATATCTCTGTTGAATTCTTGAACAGGGTTGTAAAACACCTCCTTCTTGCTGTTATATTGTATAGTTGCAGAGTTCTCTGTGATTGATACCATCTCATTGTTTCCATTGTTGTTGTTTCCGTTGTTGTTGGTCTCATCTACCATTGGGGTATCATCGACCATTGTAGTCGATGTTGTCGATGTTGTTGTAGAACTCTCTGACATTGTTGAGTATGTTCTTGTTTGATTGATCGAAATGCTACCTGTTGTTGCTGTTATTGATGAGTTTCTAGAATGTAATAATGATGATGATGTGATTGAACCTAAGTAAATAGGTCTCAATGATGCTAATGATGTTGTAGTAGTTGTTGCTAGTTGTACAAGTCTTGTATGATTATTGGAAAGGTATCTAAACATTCGCGACCAAAGTTGTAAACGAGAATGAATGTATGAACAACCTGACTTGAATCAAGCATCTCGAGTATCGACAAACCCCCCCAATACATCAAATTTCTCACAACACAAAAACGGAAAGAAATCAAGATTTTGATTCAAGTTCATTCAATTTGCATGTATTAAAATAGAGATAAAGATAGAGATAATGGATGAACATATACAAAGAGGACATACTATATATGATGAACTGATACATATATTTGATACTCATAGTAATATGTATGTATCGTGTTATCTTTGAACCAAGTACATCATCTCACTCACTGACTCTTTTATTCATTCATTCGAATCAATCATACTCAGTAATGAACTTGGATTGATTGTATCAGTTGAGAAGTTCACTGCAAAGAATGCTGCTGCTTCATCATCGACACCATCACAGTCAATGGAGATATCACCATCACAATCATTCATAGTGGTTGAGAATAACTTGGGCGTGTCAGTTGGATCGGTACCTCCATTGTATCACTACTGCTTTGTGACATTCAATACATTGTTGGACAACTGCAAACTGCGCAATTGTAATGATATCACTGATGAGCAGTTTGCCCAACAGATACGCGACTATAATGATGGGCCATTGCTCGACACATTGAACAAGCTCACCAAGGTCATACTAATGGTCAATGCCGAGAATTTGACCGCACTCAATCTTCGCAAGCGACTGATCACTGCTGGTCTCAACACACATATCGACGAGATCAAGCTGCTCAACTTTATATTCACCAAACATCCAAAGAGTGGCGAGGCATGGTGTCATCGCCGATGGGTACTTCACAACTCCAAAGGTGTTGCCATGGACATTGCCTCAGAGATGGCCGTCTGTCGTCGCGTCGCAGAGATCTATCCCAAGAACTACTATGCATGGACACATAGATGGTGGTGTCTACAACAACAGATGACTGTTAAGAATGTATGTTCATATGTATCACGCACTCATTCAATCAATCAATCACACTCACTCAATCAATCAATCAATCAATGATCAGTTGCTGGATGATTTGAAGATGATGGATCAATGGTCAATGAGGAATATATCGGACTATTGTGGATTCAATCATCGATCACTCATATTAAGACAACTGTACAATGATGTTAGGAATGGTGGACAATGCGATTGGCAGTCACTGCTGGATCTCTGGCTGCGAGAGTTCAAGATGATTGATACTTTCATCGTAAAGTATCCAGGACACGAGACACTCTGGTCTCACAAGCGATTGTTGATCGGTGTGTGGATGTCAGAGATACTGCCCAACAGCAGGGAACAGTTGGTCAAATGCCAGCTGTTGTCTGGTTTGGCATTCCCAACGATGATCAGTCAGCTGGAGTACTGTCAAGGCATCATCGGTGACACAGCATCATCGTACTACACTGAGCAAAAGACATTTGCTCAGCGCTTTGCATTCTGGATCCTTCAACTCAGCATCAAACTGACGACAAGTAGTGGCAATCCAGTACATCTCGACGAGCACGTGATACCTAATGAGGTGCGACAAATGGTCATCAACGAACTTATGCAATCCAATGATCCATTCCCTCCCATTCTAGTCTTGAAACAACAGCTGCAGCAACAACCACAACAGCACGCTCAATAATGAATGAATAGCCGCATTCAAGGTTGACATATTCAATCAATCAATCAATCACTCACTTTTTACTTTGTCGACTTGTCCTCTATATAGTTAATGTAGCTGGCGTCGTCTAGATCGGCAATGTCATCTAGTAGCACGAATGTTTCGCCGTTGCGCCGTTGGATGGATAGCGCAAAGATACCCTCGGTTTGGAATAATCTTTGATTGAGTTGCTTGCCCATCTCGGCTTTCTTGTCGACGACCATCTTTTTGAACTCTGCCTCACTCATCTCCATGAGCTTGATCATTAGGTCGCGTGCCAATCTCACCGAGAGACCACCAGTGCCATCTGATATTCGTACGATCACATCACTATTGCCACTATCATCGTTTGATTTCCTTGTTGATGCTCCCAATGCTATTGCTCTTGTCTTGTATGTTTGATTATTGTTGTTGTTGCTGCTCGATGATGATGTTAACAGTTGTTTCTGTAGGTCTACTATATACATGAACTGGGGTTGAGGTTGTTGTTGTTGTTGTGGCTTCTCTGTCTTGACAATGTCCATTGGTATCAGTGGAGGTGATATTGAAGTTGGTGTACGTGATGATGTGGATAACTTGTTGTTGTTGTTGCCAAGTGTCAACTTGGGGATGGTCGGCGGCAGTTTGATTGGTGTTGAGCGATATACGTCTTCATCCTCAAACTCTTGAGGATCAAAGTGAAAGTTGGCAATGTCAACATTGTCATTGTATTCATCCTCATCCATCATAGGTATATCGATTGGATCATAATAAATATCATCTTGATCAAAGAAGTTGTCAACTGGTTTTGTCCTTCCATTACCATGTCCATTACCATGTCCATTGCCATTGCCGTTGCCATTGCTGTTGCCATTAGTATGTGATGTGCTTGTGCCATTGATCTTGTCTCCATCTTCTTGTTTCTTTTGTCGAATAAGATTTGAAAGAAGTGTCGTCTTGACAGGCGCGGAAGTTGGTTGAGCGATGTTGTTGATATTGAGTTTCAAGACTGGTGTATTATTCGTTACATTGTTATTGTTGTTGACCGTTGTTGATGTAGATGATGATATGTTGTTGCTCTGGACCACCCCATTCGTAGTTGATGACTTGGCGGCAGTTGTCGCGGCGTCTACTAAACGCTGAACACTGCCACCAAGTATACGAATGTTTGTTTCATCTAGTAGTAGTATACCTCTTCTTATTGGTACATCACGTACTAATACTTTGGTTCCGGGTGCAAGCTGTGGAGTGATGAATGGTATATACTGATACTCCATTGCAAAGAATGAATGAACGCCATCTGTCAAATGAAGCTTGAGTGTTCTATTCTCAGACCTATCATTGTCCATCCTCGTTTCAAACGGTTGTGATATATTCTTGACATAATTGATCTGCATCAACATTGTCCCACTGAGTACATTCTGTTTGATTGAATGATCCATAAGTTGTCTATACATTGTATCAGTGAGTGTTGATATTGTTATCTTATTCTTGCACTTGTTGTCGATTGATATGTCTTGATATAGTAGTTGATGATAGACCTTCTCCAATATTGCATCTCTATGTGATGTCAGTGATGTCACTGATTTGTACTTGTCAACTGTTGACAATATGAATTTGATACATCTTATCAACCAATCTGTAGTGAGTCTTGTCCAACATGTTGTCTCCAAGTATAATCTCCACTGTTCAATCAATTCAGCAGGTAGCTGATCCATCCTATTACTAATCTATCTATCCTATCTATCTACGTATTGTGAAGATGAACAAATAATTGTTGTTTTGGTCCTCAAATCATCAATAATCGAATGCTTGGAATTTATTTCTAAATTCCACTTTTTGAAGGGGGTGCCCTTTGACAAAACATCGTTTCTTCTGATGACTTTGAAATTGTTTACTTGTCACGTGTCAAAGATACAGAGATATTATATTAACTTACATACATACATATTTTATTTGTTCAATGTGAATGAACAATGTTGTGCTCCAAGCACCATAAATGGTTCCTCATCTCTATATTCTTTGCATACATTGCAACAATGACTATCAGTTCATTCTTCCTATTCACCAAGCATCCATGTACATACCAACAAAACATGATGATTGAAAGGTATGTACATCACATCTACTCATTCAATCAATCAAAGTATATATCATTTACTAACGTTAGAATGAACAAAAGGAATGATGAAGCAGTTATTGTATTACATTGGGAGATGAAGGACCATTGGGCAGGATGGGGAAAGAATACAAAGATACTTTGGGCAGGATATAAGGATGAAGAAGCAGGACATTGTCGTAACAATTGCAAGTTCACTGGCCTAAGAGAATTGAGCTCAACTGCCGATGTTGTACTATTCGAACCTCAACTATTTGGTAGACGAGGCCAACAATACCCACCTCTAAAGCGATGTGGACAAAAGTACATGTTATTCTCATACGAGACATCTGATTACTTTCCATTACATTCAGACTACAAATACCTATCACAGTATGTTCATTCACTCATTCAATCAATCCTTATGGAATCATTCCACTCACACACTTACACACTTACACACTCACACCCACTCAATCAATCACTCAATCTGATCAGTATGGATTGGAGAATGACATTTGAAAGCAAGTCAGATGTACAGGTTAGCTTTGTATGTGGATGGGGCATGAGCAATGGTATTGATGCTTATCGTGATCCTGTGCCAGCATTGGGAGAGAGGAAGAAGTTTGCTGTGTTTGTAGCTTCAAACTGTGGATATGGAGGTGCACATTTGCGTACGAAATACGTTCTGGAACTGATGCAATATATACAAATTGACTCTTATGGCAAATGCATACCAAACCAACCCGAAGATGCATTGGTCAACCTAGATGAAAAGGAACGATTCCAAGCAAAGATGGATCTATTCAAACAATACAAGTTCGTGCTAGCCTTTGAGAATAACAATCAAACTGACTATGTAACGTAAGTCATTACTCAATCAATCAATCAGTCGGTAATGGAATCATTCCACTCACTCAATTTGGTCAATCAATCAAATAGTGAGAAACTACCTCATGCATACTTGGGCCAATCATTGCCAGTGTATATGGGCGCGGATAATGTTGAGGAGTGGACAGCTGGACATAATTCGATTATACGGACTGATCAATTCAAGTCACCAAGAGACTTAGCAGACTATTTGATCAAAGTGTCAGAGAATGAGACATTGTACAATAGTTACTTTGAATGGAAGACGCAACCACTCAAAGAGAGCTTCCAAAGACATTATAACAACTGTGTCTTCCAAGCAGAGTGCAGGGTATGCGATCTCGTACGTCATGAGCGTAGTAAACAAGCCAAACTCATCAACAATACTCATAATGTTGGTGGTGGTGGTGGTGGTGGACTATCTCATGATCGATCATTGGCAACAGACACTGGAGATGGAGGAATAATACAACCATTATTCTCAGACTATATCATCGATGACAAGTTCTATCTCATTCAAAAGATCTCAATGGCAATCATCATCATCATATCAATATTATACTTTATCATCTTTGTACTTGAACCATGCCATCATCCAAGGTGATGATCACTGGAATCAATCCAATAATTCAACTCCACAAAGCCACAAGGCGTTCACAAGCTCGAACTTCCATCCACAAAAAGAAGGAACTCGTTTGATCATTAAAAATAATTTTATTTGATATTTTTTCGCGTGTGTTTGTGAGCAGGGATGTGGCGTGTATCTCACGCAACAAGTACTCTTGACATTGGATAGCAACACTTTTTGTTCTTGCCCCGTCCACTGATCCTCTCTATCAACATCATATAAAATGGTTCAACGTCTCACTTACAGAAGAAGACTCTCCTACCGCACTGAGTCCAACAAGGTCAGAGTGTATGTGTCATCAATCCATCATCAGAGTTCAATCCCTTCAAAGATTGATTGGATGTATCTCCCCACTGGATACATATGATACTAACATAACATTCATTGTCAATCCACAGTGTTAAGACTCCAGGTAAATACAGCTCTAGGATACACGATTAGAGATACAGGATTGGAGTAGATGTGGCGATAAATACATCTTTGGATTGAATGATTGAAAGATTGACGACGAATGCGATAGGTCTCGGAATAACATGTTATTGACACATTGGATACATCATCATCACATCAACAACTATATAGGTGGCAAGTTGGTCTACCAATATGTCGGAAAGAAGGGTCAAATCCCACGCTGCAACGAGTGTGGTACTGAGATCAACGGAATCAAGGCCATGAGACCACTCGAGTTGAAGAATGCTCCCAAGTGCCAGAGAACCGTCGCCAGAGCCTACGGTGGTGCCAAGTGCCACACCTGTGTTCGTACCAGGTATGTTCTATTTTTAATATGATGACGATGATAATTGAATGACTAACTAACCAACCAACTGAAACAGAATCATCCGTGCTTTCTTGATTGAGGAGCAGAAGACCGCCAAGCTCGTCTACAAGAAGCAGCAGAAGGATAAGAAGGCTGCCAAATAAACCAGTTGATGGATGGACCTTATTACATAACTATAATAACAATATATCATCATCAATCGTCAATCATCAAACAGCTTAAGCAGCAGCATTCAACGTTCAACAGCAGCAGCAACCTCTCTCATCAACCTTGATTGATTTGCGATCTAATCTAATCTAATCCAATCAGCAAAAACAATCATCGATGTATGTAGTATGGTCTTCATCTGAAGACCTTGAACTACACCCAGTCAATCAGAGACAGGTCCGACCAATCTCTTCTTCCAAGACCACTACATCATCGATCATTCATTCATGTTTGAAGCTAAAGTATGATGATGTGAACCTTCAAGTTGGAGTGTGTGAGGGGTGGTTTGTGGTTCATCACTCTCAAGATGTGTGTGTTTGATTATAAGTATGACCCTTCTTGGCGCTCTTGTGTGTGTGTGAGTGTGTGTGTTGGACAAGGAGAAGAGAGGGATGCGGAGGTAGGATGACATTGTGTAGCGTGTGGTACTCATCTCATCAATCAATCAGTCAATCAATCACAAGTAAAGGACCCTTATAAATATATATTAATAATAGCACCATCACCAATCAATAACAAACAAACAAACAAAGTTAACAACACTACCTTGATTGCACTACTACATCATTCATTCCATCTTATCACATGACATAATATTACCTCATAATCATCATTAATATATACATCAAGTTATTAATATATATTATTATTCAAACCAATGTCTACGAAGGACAATAATATATTGGTTCTGGCGGGACCTTCATTGAGTTCAAATAATGATCACAAGGATAAAGGCATGTCTCAGAATGATTGAATGATTGGATGGTGGAGTTTGTACTAATACATAACATGTATATACTTATAGTACTGGATATTGAACATATTCAATGTGCGAGGGAAACTCCAAATAGTAGTAGTTATGGAACCGAAACAAAGAGTGACCAAGATGAAAACGAACAACAACAACTTGAGCCATCATTCGAGAAGAATGATACACATGATATCACATTCCTGTTGCCGATCCAGGATATTATAGATAGTTCTGGTGATGCAGACGACGCTGCATCTTCGCAGCAGAGCTTTGACAAGATATACGCACACCGACATATTGTACAGACACACTCGGAATACTTTAGAATACTGTTGACCAATGGAATGAGAGAGTCCACTCAACAAGAGATTACAATTCCCAACATACCAACTGATGTATTCTACAACATACTCCAATTCCTCTACACATCAAAGTTGGACATTAACGAGGACAACATCAACAATATATACCTTGTATGCGATCAGTTACTTCTGGATGATGGCAAACAACTCTGTAGGTCTCATGTCCAATCGATGGACAATGCAATATTGGAGAAGTTACTTTATGTAAGTTGAATGTATCAATGAGTGATTGAGTGAGTGAACGTGGAACTAACCAGACCATCAATCAATGAAGGGTACCGATATTATATGTACAGAACTGAACAACTTATTTATAGACCAGGCAGTGGCTAATGCAACATACTTTTTGCAAGAGGAACGAGTGGCCAAGCTGACAAGGGACATGTTGTTGGGAATATTACAAAAGGAGGACATGCCAATGAAGGAGGTGGAGATATTCAAATCAACGGCAACATGGATCAAAGCGGATATTGGATATCCACCACCTACTGATGATGATGGAGTGTCCAGCTTGGCAGAGTTGTTCAACTATATCAGATTCCCAACGATGGAGTGGGAGGAGCTGAGCACGGTGGTCGAGCCCACCAAGTTGGTCCCAACCAATCTGTTGGTTGAGGCCTATCGTCACCTGTCCAAGCCAAAGAACTGTCCACTGGCAGTATGCGATGCGAACAATCTCAGACTGATGCAGCGAAAGAAGATAGACCCGCCAATGGTCCCGGGTGTGGAGGTCTATCGAATCCCTTGTACTGACCATGCCAACTGTGCCTCGGTCAGCTGGACCATCTCAAACTTCAGTCTTATCAAGACGCAGAAGCACATCAGCAACACATTTGAGATCATGGGGCTGCGCTGGAGGATGTGGAGCTATCCCGCAGGCGAGGCCAAGCACTCAGACTCATTCTCTGTCTATCTTGAGGCGATACGAGTCAAGGAGAGGGAGTCATTCGACTTTTTGAGGAACACTACGTTCTTCTTCTCGCTTGTCAATCACAAGGATATGACACTGACCAAGGAGTATCCATCATCGCCCAATGTGTTGTTCAACTACGACAAGAGTGTGTGGGGCAATGGATTGATCGAGTTGAAGCAACTCTATGACCCAGCACTTGGCTTCATCGACAACGACACCGTCACCATCCAATTACATATCTTGGAGTGTCTTGCATTGGAGGGATAGATGAGCCTTATTGTGAGTGAATAAACTTTCAAATTCAGTGATCATTTCTTGTTCATTAATTTTTGCAAGACAGAGATAGAGTTAGTGATAGAGAGATTAGAGATAAGTGATAGATATGACAGATGCTGACATGTCTGTTGTATGTAATGAACATAATGAACGAACAGAGTTCATTTGTTTGGATTGTAAACTGTTGTGTTGTTCAGTATGCTTGATGAAGTTGCACAAGGGACACAACTTTGATCATATCGTTCATATTAAGAAGAGCATGAAACAGAAGGACTATCAATCAATGTGGTGCATGTCAAGATTGAACACATTGTGGAAGACATTGCAACAATGTTCAACAACATATCAATCATTGGAGAGATTGAATGATGAGATCACCACTCACTTTGAACAATTGATCAAGGTGTTGATCACTCAGGAACACAAAGTGAAGACTCCAATCAAAGATCAGATGGAGCATGTCAAATCAACAATCAACAACATCATCAATGAGATCAAAGACATCAACTCAATCATCAACATGTCACATCCTGTCGGCCAAAATAACAACAATGACGCAGATCTTCATCAACAGATCATCAACACAATCACATCATGCACATCTATCGAACAGTTCATGAACAACATATGTCCACCAATGACGGTTGATGAGGTTGGACCCATGCTGAATGATGGTCAACTGTTGACAATGATCAAGAATCACACTGAACACACATCACTGGTACCTTATGATGATCAATCCACAAAACAGGCGTGTCAAGTTATGATTGACATCAACAAGTTGAATGATATCAAGAAACAGATTGAATCATGCTTTACACTCATTGATCATCACACGAATGCACAACACAATCTTATTATCCCAAAGGTGTTTGATCGACATGTAGTTTCATTGCGTGACAATAATCTTTCATTGTTCTCACTATCGACGTCAAAGTTGACATCAACAAAAAATGTATTTAAGAGATCGCTTACCGGAATATTGACATCTGTTGTGTATGCTCGAGGTAATGTCTATATATTCGGAGGAATTGACGCACCAACAACATACACTCGATACTCATTGATCGAGAACCAATGTTATGATGCTGAGATGGTTGGCATCACTGGACGATCATTTATCTCAGCCGTATATGATGGTGGCAATCATATCTATCTTGTTGGTGGAACACAAGGAAGACAATATTTCAATCTTATTGATCGCTTCGACATTGACACTCAACAATTCACATCACTTGGTGCACTCTCATTTAGACTGGCCTACCCTTGTCTTCACTTCCACAACGATACCATCTACATTGTCTCCGGATCGCAAACTGGGCGTGCTCTGCAGGACCTCATTTCATTCAATGTGAGGACACATGCAGTGGATGTCATATTGAAGGATATCATCGATCAATTCTCCACCAGTTGTTTCGATGGTCAAGACAATATCTACATTCTCAACTCTAAGACATTCATCCGATACTCACTGTCCAACAAACAAATCATAAAGTTATCACAATCTCCAAAGTATGAGATATTACGGACAATGGTGTATGATCGACAGTTTGGAATTCTGTTCATTGGAGGCAAGGACAAGAATTGTCAATATTCACTACAGGATGACAGATGGACCATTCTCAAAGACGACAATGACTATGAGAATTCTAGAGAGTGTTTTGGAGCATGTTTGATCAGCAACTGATGGTGTGTTTAATGAATAAAAGTACATTCGTTCATTGCTTAAAGTTAACTTACAAGTAAAGAGATAGTAGAGAGGACATGTCAAACATTGATGATGCAGCTATCACAACAAGGTGTGAGGTGCACAGACATTGGTCAGAGTTCATATGTTTGGATTGTAAGCAGTTGAGTTGTTCAGTGTGTTCGGTGAGTGTCCACAGGGGCCACAATGTTGATCATGTCGAGAATATAAAGATAAACCTGGAGAAGAAGGACTATCAATCAATGTGGTGCATGTCAAGATTGAATACATTGTGGAAGACATTGCAGCAATGTTCAACAACATATCAATCATTGGAGAGATTGAATGATGAGATCACCACTCACTTTGAACAATTGATCAAGGTGTTGATTGCTCAAGAACACAAATCCAAGACTCCGATCAATGTTCAGATGGAACATGTCAAATCAACAATCAACAACATCATCAATGAGATCAAAGACATCAACTCAATCATCAACTTGACTCATCCTGTGGACAACAACAACAACAAAAATGACTCAGATGGACATGATATTCACCAACAGATCATCAACACAATCACATCATGCACCTCTATCGAACAGTTCATGAACAACATCATATGTTCGCCAATGATGGTTGATGAAGATGGACCCAAACTGAATGATGATCAACTGTTGACAATGATCAAGAATCACTCTGAACACACATCATTGGTACCTTATGATGACTCCACAACCAAGTTAGAAGCATGCCAGGTTAGGATCGATGTCAACAAGTTGAATGATATCAAGAAACAGATTGAATCATGCTTTACACTCATTGATCACACGAATGCACAACACGTTCATATTATCCCAAAGGAGTTTGATCGACATATCCTTTCATTGAGTGAGAATCATCATTCATTGTTCTCACTATCGACATCCAAGTGGAAACCAATCAACAATGTATTTAAGAGATCATTCAAAGGAATATTGACATCAGTTGTGTATGCTCGAGGTAATGTCTATATATTTGGAGGATTAGACTCACCAACAACATACACTCGATACTCATTGATCGAGAACCAATGTTATGATGCTGAGATAGTTGGAATCACTTGTCGATTATTTATGTCAGCACTGTATGGTGGTGAGAGGCATATCTATCTTGTTGGTGGACTCCAAGAGGACCAATATTTCAATCGTATTGATCGCTTCAACATTGACACTCAACAATTCACATCAGTTGGTGCACTCCCATTTAGACTGGCCTACCCTTGTGTTCACTTCCACAACGATACCATCTACATTGTCTCCGGATCAATATCTGGGAATGTTCAACGTGACCTCATTTCATTCAATGTGAAGACTCATGCAGTTGATGTCATAGTGAAGGATATCATCGATCAATCCTCCGCCAGTTGCTTCGATGGTCAAGACAACATCTACATTCTCAACTCCAAGTCATTCATCCGATACTCACTGTCCAACAAACAAATCACAGAGTTATCACAATCTCCAAAGTTTGAGATATTCCGGACAATGGTGTATGATCGACAGTTTGGAATCCTTTACATTGGAGGCAAGGGCAATAATTGTCAATATTCACTCCATGATGACAGATGGACCATACTCAATGACGACAATGACTATTTGAAGACCAGACAGATTTTTGGAGCAAGTTTGATCAGCAACTAAGGGTCTGTATGTGTTTGATGAATAAAAGTTCATTCATTCATTTATCGACCATTGAGATAGAGTTAGAGATAATAGAGAAGACATGTCTATAGATAATAAGAATGATATGTGTGAGGAGAGTAATCATAGGACAGAGTTTATATGTTTAGATTGTAAACAATTGAGTTGTTCATTCTGTTTGTTAAGATTACATAAAGGTCATAATGTAGATCATATCGGTATTATTAAGAGTAGTATTGAACAGAAGGACTATCAATCAATGTGGTGCAAGTCAAGGTTGAACACATTATGGAAGACATTACAACAATGTTCAACAACATATCAATCATTGGAGAGATTGAATGATGAGATCACTGCTCACTTTGAACAAATGATCAAGGTGTTGATCGCTCAGGAACACAAGGTCAAGACTCCAATCAATGTTCAGATGGAACTTGTCAAATCAACAATCAACAACATCATCAATGAGATCAAAGACATCAATTCTATCATCAACTTGACTCATCCTGTGGACCACAACAACAACAATAATAACAACAACAATGACTCAGATGGTCTTGATGTTTACCAAAAGATTATCAACACAATCACATCATGCACATCGATCGAACAATTCATCAACATCTATACACCAACCATTGTTGATGATGATGGATCCAGAGTGGATGATGATCAATTGTTGACAATGATCAAGAATCACGTTGAACATATATCAATGTTACCTTATGATGATGACTCTACGGCCAAGCTACAAGCGTGTCAAGTTAGGATTGACACCAACAAGTTGAATGATGTCAAGAAACAGATTGAATCATGCTTTACACTCATTGATCCAACTAAGGTAAACAAACCAAAGGAGTTTGATCGACATGTGTTCACATTCAACAAAGACGATTGTTCACTTTTCTCACTGGACACATTCACATGGAAATCAACTAACAGAGTACACAATAGATCATCCTCTCCAATATTTACATCTACTGTGTATGCCAGAGGAAGTGTCTACATATTTGGAGGTGGAGACTCACCAGCAACATACACTCGGTACTCATTGATCGAGAAACAAGCCTATAGTCATGAGATGGTTGGAATCACTGGTGGACGACTTTTATCAGCAGTGTATGATGGTGACAATCATATCTACCTTGTTGGTGGCCTTCATGACTTTAACTTTTTAGATATTGTCCAATGCTTCAATATTGACACTCAGCAAATCTCATTAATTGGACACATTCCATATGGTCTGTCCAACCCTTTCATTCATTTCCACAATGACATCATCTACATTGTTGGTGGAAACAGGAGTGTGGCTCATCGTGACTTCATCTCATTCAATGTGAAGACACTGACATCTGAAGTTCTCCTCCGAGATATCAGCACCAATCAAAAGACAAGTTGTTTCGATGGCAAGGACAATATCTACATTATTACCTCACAGGCTTTCATCCGATACACATTGTCCAACAAACAATCAACAAAGCTGTCCATGCCTCCAAGGGTTGATAACTATCTCACAATTTTGTATGATGAACAAATTGGTATACTCTACATTGGAGGCAAGGGCAAGAACTATAGGTACACTGTCCAGAATAATCAATGGCTCATCATCAATGACAATGACTATATTAGTGATCGAACTACCAGTGCTGTATGTTTGATAAGAAACTGATTGGTGCCCAACCAGCGAGAGCGAGTGGGACGAGACCAGAAACAAACTATTTTGACTACATCTACTGTGTACGCCAGAGGCAATGTCTATATATTTGGAGGTGGAGATGCGCCAAAAACAAAATTCGATACTCATTGATCGATAACCAATGCTATGATGCTGAGATGGTTGGCATCACTGGTGGCCAATGGATGTCAGCAGTGTATGATGGTGACAGGAGTATCTATCTTGTTGGTGGATACCAAATAGAACTCGGAGACCCAATGGATCAAGTTGCTTGCTTCCACATTGACACTCAACAATTCATATCAGTTGGTAAACTGGGTTGTACTGGCCGCCCCTCTACCCACTTCCACAACGATATCATCTACCTAGTGTCTGGAAATATGTTTCCAAGGGGTGGAGTTCAGTGTGACCTCCTTTCATTCAATGTGAAGACATGTGCATTTGAAGTCGTTATGAAGGGTATCACCGATGATATCTCCTCCAGTTGTTTCGATAGTCAAGACAACATCTACATTCTCACTCCGAAGAAATTCATCCGATACTCACGGTCCAACAAACAAACAACAAAGTTATCACCACTTCCAACATGTGATAAATACCATGCACTGGTGTTTGATCCACAGTTTGGAATCCTTTTAATTCAAGGCAAGGGCAGTAATTGTCAATATTCACTCCAGAATGACAGATGGACCATGCTCAATGACGGTGACCATATGGAATCGAGGATATTCTTTGGAACATGTTTGATAGCAACTAATAAACAATTGTTTATTGATTGATTGATTTGGAGTAATTCCCTTGTGATATATTTATATAAATTACTTTATTTGTTGTTAATTGTTTAAGTTGATTAAAATTAAAGAGATGATTGAATGTTGGATCAAAGGAGACATAATACTCATGGGCAAGAAAATTATGTACTATGAGTTACCTGTTTATCTAAAGAACACGAACTAGCCAAGACCCTTGATCCAGTGCCAGAAAAACTCTGTCAGTAGGATGGCGATGATCAATTGAAATACACCCAAGCCGAGTCCCAGTGTGCTCATTGAAACTCTCGTATTTTGCAAAACACGATGTTTTGCTTGGGTCTCCATTATGTTTGATTATGGGTTTCAATCACTTTCGTAGTTGGACAATGTCTTTGTGCATTCACCTCATGATCGATCATGATGATTATGATGAGAGAATATCAGCATTGTCCTTCCAGAACTTATCAGAGATGATGTCAATGTGCTCCACAACAAGACGTTTCTTGAGTTTGTTTGTTGGTTCGTTGGTTCGACTGTCGATTGATTCCTCATTGACCATCTTGCGATAGATTACTGATCCCTTGCGATACATCTGTGGCAAAGTGTTATAGTTGATACCAAATTGAGTGAAGAGTATCTCATTCTTTGCCTCTGCCAGTGTACCCTTTAGAGACACCTCTGCCTCATGTGGTGTCTTGCCACCCTTCAACACCAATGCCCAATATACAGTATTGTACATATTGTTAATATGTGTATCTGCTTGTCTCCAACTTAGGTAATCTCTATATTTGTTGTGTATGCATGTAAGTATGAGTTGATTGATTGATTGAGGGTGATTGAGTGTTATACCCGTACCTTAAGTTTTGATCTGATGGATAACAGACTGCTCTTGAGTCAAAGGTTGGTGGATACCTGAGTGGATACTCTCCAAAGTATTCCTTCCATCGATATACAAATTGACTGGTAAAGTATGATACTACTGAAGAGATGATCTTACTCTCACGACGTTCAAACAATGTACAGGTCTTCTTGAGAACAAAGCTAAAGATGATGTATGAGTATGTGTGCGCGCCTAATCTTTTATATGATTACGTTACATACCTATATTCATCACTCTCACCAAATGCTATTACAATGTCAGTGAACTCTTTGCACACCTCCAATGCACAACGATTCATTAACTCCAGACCTCTATCATCGTTTGGCTTCTGATACTCGTGTTTGGTTGTGAACTTGTGGAATGATCGACCATCCACTCTGATCACCACCCATACATTTGGTAACAATTGATCTGGTTGTTCAAATTGCTTAACATACTCATACTTGCTATTGGCCATCTTTTATCTCTTTGATTATTTGTTCATCACTGATTAATTAAAATGGACTTTTTTGAACTTTTCCAAGTCCAGCTCCCACCTTCGACTTGACGACTTGATCGAAAGTGTGAGATTCATTCATTATCTCTGTAACATCACTGACATACATACATAAATATACAATGATTCAAAACAGAGTACTATTGACTTGCTCAAGACTGATCACTCCAACATCCAGAAATGGTATGTTAATCAATATCCATTGGGTCTCACTCACATTGATCAATCAGAAGTCACGCTAACACACTTAACAACACATACAGTGCTTGTTGGATCATTGTCACAAAGAGGACTGATATCAGGTTACACTTTGAACAACACAACTACCTCTCAATTGCAACAACAACAACAGATCAGGAACTACGCAACATTCGGCGAGAAACAGTTTCAAAAGATCAAGGCCAAGCGTGATGAGGCAGCACGTTTGTTGAAGGAGGAAGCCGAGCAGAAGTTCATTGAAGAGAACAAGGTCTCGATCGAAACACTCTCATTCGAGGAGGCGTTGCAGAACCTCAAGGGCAAGTTGTTAAAGTACAAGGTGGTCAGCGCCCCACACATGGCCACGCTGTTCAAGAAGGTCACGACCAGCGAGCAATTGGACGAGGCTCTGCTCTTCTACAAGTCACTCAAGAACGACGACCCCAAATACTTCAACGGCAACCACCTCTCACAGATCTACTACGCCGCAGACCGGTGCGGCCAGTGGAAGATGTGGGCAGACATCGTCTCCAACCCACACACCTTCCAGATGTTCCCCTCGCATCTCTCCGTCGCCAAGACTATCTACCAGCTGCTGCGCAATGGTGACACGGACAAGGCCATCGAGTTGTTCAAGTACCATCAAAAGTTGAACAAGATCACCAAACACTTCATCTCTGCCTTGGCCCGTGGTCTGAACAAGACCAAACAATCGCTCGCTGCAGTCCCACTGCTGCAAGCGATCGAGACCACCAACGTCCACTCCGGTTTGATCAAAGATATCCTCCGTGAATCCATCAAACAAGGAAACACTGAGCAGGTATTGGCCGATATTGGACGCTTCATCCAGGTCGTTTTCGATAATACCTCTGACAAGATCATTTGCCCGGGCGTCGTCTATGCCGCGCAAATGGCCTCGGGCAACAACGCTCTGGTCCTGCCATCACAAGTTGAAGTCAACGAGAAGATCGTTGATGTTGCCGCCAAGACCATCCTTCAGAAGCTCAAGGAGATCTCGCCAGAGGCTCAACAGACATTGATCGAGAACGTCAAGAATTACTTTGGTGGCGATGCCAATGTACCCAAGACAATCCTGCCAGTTCTGGAAATCCAACAACAAGAGCCAGAGAAGCAACAAGAGTCGAAGGAAGATGAGGAGGAGGAGAAGGAGGAGAAGCAGTAATCACACGAATGATCAATCAATCAATCGATCATACATCTCAGACGCGCGACACAAGAGACCTTAATTAAACAAATTGAATTATGGATATCCATGACCTTTATATGTCGAGTAGGACTTGGCTGTACACTTGGATCTTTGGCTCCTTGTATGGCCTCAGATGTTTCCTGGCTCCATCCATTGTGATCCTGTTATGGGTCATATCCAACCTAAGTTTGGGAAGTGATGGCGCGACCACAGACTTGTCCTGGATCTCCTCAGGACATGACTCTGGTACTTGTGGTTCACTCTCAGACTCGGACGACTTCTTCTTCTTGCTCTTATTCTTCTTGCTCTTGGTCTTCTTTGTTTCCTCTTCTTTGGGCTCTGCTGGGGACTCATCAAAGTTGTCGAATGAGTCACCCTCCATGTCTTGTGTCGATATCTTGCTGTACTTGGACAATGGCGTGATGAATGATTTGAATCCGATCAGTCCTATTCTGTTACAGGACAGGTTGAGATTGTGAATGGCTGGGGATGATCGATCCAATGCTGAGCATAATGGTTTGACACATGTGTTGTCGAGCATGTTGCCCTGGATGTTGAGATCATCTATCACATTGGTCCTCATGGCCTCAAACATACAGACTGCACCATCACTCTCGATTCGATTGAAGGACAAGTCCAACTTGCGAAGTACCTGATTTTTGGACAAGGACTTGGCCAACTTCTTGGCACCCTTGGACTCGAGACTGTTGTAGCTGAGGTCCAGCGAGGTCACAGAGGTGTTGTGCTGCAGGTACTTTCCAATCCACTTAATACCCGACGGCATGATCTTGTTGTTGGACATTGTGAGCGATGTGATCGTGCGACCTAAGTCCAGACCATCAAGGTTGTTCCCGAATCGATTATTTGTCAAGAGTAGCGAGCGTAGCGTGGGGCAACCCCGCACGCCGCTGCTCACAATCAGACAACTGGCATCGTCTATTGAGTTGTTGGACAGGTCAAGTGTCTCCAATGCGTATGGCTCTGGCGATTGCGACATGCTCTGGAGCATGTGGCGAACGGTACAGGCAAGTGGGATGGCCTGCTCGTTGTTAGACAGTCTGAGCTGTTTGAGTGAACGCAGAGAGTGCTGACGAAACAGTTGTTGGAGCAGTTGTAGGCACTCGCCTGGTATGTCCTCAGCAAGGTCCAATGTAGTTATATGATTGTTCTCGGCCAATGCCAGCAAGAGATGATGCATTGTACTTGAGTCCAATGACACACTCTTCAGACACAGCTCCTCAAGATTGGCATGCTTTGAAATTGTATCGATAAGTTGGTTGTTGTTGATATTGGTAACAAGTTTGGTTGTTGGTTGAGAGTTGTCCATGGATAGCGTGGCCAGGGGATACCCTTTGACATATAGTCGCTTGAGATTGGCGCATTTGGAGATGGCCGTCGACATGAATGGATAGATTGAACGATTGAATTGATAGCGATTCAATCCAAGTATACACTTTGGATCATTGTTGATGAATGTTAATGATTCCAATGAGTTGTAATCGGTTGCCAGTGACTTTAGAAATGTCTCTGATGTATGTGCTCGTGATGAAGTTGCCGACAGTCCCTGGAAATTGATTGATAGGCCACTGACCCAATTCATTGCAGTCTTGCACCAAAGTTTAGACACCAGTCTAGTATTAAGAAAGCAATCATCCACCAATATCTGAACAATATACTTCTGAACCAGCACTGGTAGTCTATGTACATTATCTTCCTCTTCGTCCTTCTTCTGCGGCTTCACCTCCTCTTCCACAAATGACACTTTCTTTGACTTGGTCGTTGATTTTGTTGATGTTGTTGGACTTGAAGTAGATGGTGCTGAGGCGGGTTTGTAATTCTTGTTCTGGGCCTCTGGCATGTCATGTCTGAATCGCTTCAAAGTCTCGAGATAGCTTGTACTCAAGGCAGGTCCATCAAACCTATATCTTTTCTTTGATTGTTGTTGATCACCATTTGTTGTCGTTGTAGTTGTTGATATTGATGTTGATGATGTTGTCTTTGGCTTGGATGTTGACGATGACGATGACGAAGACTTAGACGGGCCAGACTTGTAGTTTGATGATGACTTGGTTACAGGTGCCTCAAGATTGAGAGTGAACTCTCCAGGTGATGTCCATAACATGTAGTCACTACATTGATCAAACTTATAATTCTTATTCATTATATTTATATTACATTTAGATTGTAATAATGATAATATTGGTTGACCGATTAGGTCATTGTCGGTCGGTTGTTGAGTTGAGGAAGAACGTTACTCAACTTCAATCGCTTTTACTTTGTCGTTGTGGGGTGGGTGAGGTGAAGAGAATCAATTTAATTTGTTTTTTTTATTTTTTCATCACCATCATTCTTGCATCACAATGTCTGTGGACCAGCCTCACACACACTTTCCTGACTCAGTTCATTCATCGACAAAGTCCCTTCTTTTTTGTCAGACACACTTGTTACTCTTTACACTAATACTACAAAGATCACTCAAACAACAACGTCACGTTCGATTGTCAAGATCAAGCCAGCAGCATCATTCAAACAGAAGCAGCAGACTACCCTCAAAAACAGATCAACTTCTATCATTCATTCATTCAAAAAGAAAGAACAGATAGATCATTCAATCAAACAACCTTAGTACATTACAAATATACACATATACATACACATATACATACATAAACAATGTTGTCAAGAGCCATTAGATCATTCTCCTCTGTTCAGCGTGTCAACTACAAACCATCTGTGTTTGCCGTTCGCTCATACTCATCGGACGCCCACAGACTCTCTGAGAAGGAGGTGTCTGAGCGTGTGATTGACGTGATCAGCAAGTACGACAAGTGCGCCGGCAAGGCTGTCGCCCCAACCTCCACATTCAAAGAGCTCGATCTCGACAGTTTGGACAGCGCCGACATTCTGGTCGCCGTCGAGGAGGAGTTTAGCATTGAGATCCCAGACGAGGAGGCCGACAGAATCAACTCAGTCAAGGAGACCATCTCCTACATCAGAAAGACTCCAACTGCCAAATAAACAAGACGTCGACGTCCTTATATCAGTCGGTCAGTCAACATCATAATATCATATATTTTAACAATCATCAGACACTAGTAGTTGAACTTCTTCTTGTTCATTCATCCAGGTTCATTGATTGATCATGTGAGCGATTGATGGTGTGAGAGATAGAGCCTTGATTGATTGGATGAAGGCAGTAAGTAAGTGTGGGGGAGTTGTGAAGTGATTGGCCTAAGCTAGACCAAGGTACAATCGTTTATTTAGACTTAAGACCAACTGATGATAGCGCGCTGTGATCCCTTTATCTTCGTTCCTAATGAATGGATGAATGAGATGAATGTTAGAAGAGTTGAACATACATGACTGACCGAGTCATTTGATGGATGAATGGCACACTTACAACATATGATGATCGACTACTTCCACTTCGACTCCACTCCATCTCGTCGGGGTTGTCGCCTGGTGGAGGCTGCCCATTGAAATGGTTGGGAGGTGAGTTGGGAGACTGTTGTACATAGAGTGAGGACTTGGGTAGGGGTGGACCGCCTTTGCCGCTACCGCGACCAGATGATGACTTGCCTTCGGAAAGTGGTGGTGACTTGGGTGTGTTGCGATCGTATGGATGGCCCTCCATCTCGTAGCCATGTGACAATGGGGGAGAGAATCCATTTCTCGGATAGCCCTGGCCTCCTTGTGGTCTTCTGTCCCATCCGGTGCGATCACCTCCTCCTCTTTGGTCAAAGACAGGGCCGGTGCCTTGGCCACCGCCGCCGCCACGATAGTGTTGGCGTTCGTAAGGATGCTCTCCGCGTGCACGATCCCATCCAGTGTTCTTCCTGAATGCACCGCCAGCTCCTGGTGGCTGTGGGGCGTCCCAATGTTCGGGTGGCGGCGACCTGTCACCACGGAAGCGTTGATTGAATCTATTGCGGTCGAATGACTCTCGCTCGTATTGGCTCCAGTTTCCACGCTCTCTGAACTCGCGTTCCCGGTCGTTTCTCTCGCGCTCCATACGATCACGGATGAACTCTGGCTTGCCTGCTGCTGGGTCACGTCTGTCCCGCTCCCATTCACGTTCACGGTCTTGCTGCTGCTGACCCGGGGCGTCTCGGCTCTCGCCCCTCTCGCGACTCAGGCGGTAGGACTGGTCAATGTGCTCTCTAAAGTTGCTCATCGATGATGACAAGTTACTGCGCATCAGCGGTGACTGGGTCGGAGAGGATGGGGTGAAGGTGGCCGAGCGCGAAAGACCATTCTTGAACTGGTCGTCTCGGGAGTCTCGGTCAAACAGGTGCGGACTGTTCTGCATTCTGTCCCTGTTGTCTCTGTTGTCTCTGTCTCTCTCTCTGTCACGTCTGTCACGGTCGCGGTCACGGTGATCGTTGTGGTAGTAGCCGCCACTGTCGCGCATGCCACCTTGCTTCGTGTTGCTGCTGTACTCTGCTGTGTGATCGGGTATCAGGCCTTCCTCCTCCTCGCTCTCGCTGACCTTGCTGAGGACAGGTGACAGCGGCTTTTTTGAGTCTGATCCTGGACTTGCAGAGGTGCTGCCGCTGCCACTGCTGTTGCTGGGTGTGGCTGGCGCTGGGTTTGAGTTCAACTTGAGTGGCGTCATCTGAGATCGCGAGGGAGGTTGCTCTCGCTGCTTGTACTCTTTCAGCCAAGCCTTCTTTCCTGGGATCTTGGTGGGCGTCGCTGACAAAGCACCGTCCTCCTCGAATGCGGCGCCTCGTTTGCTGGGTGAGGTGTCCATCTCCTCGTACTTGATCTTGGTGTCGCCGGAGTCGGAATAGCCACGCCTCTTCTTGGACGAGGACAATGGAATTGTGAAGCTGTTCTCCAACTCCTTTCGTTCTAGCTCGCGTCGCTTGGTCTTCTCGTCCACTGGCACGCCCAGTGCCTCAAGCACGCGGATGGCTGCCAACGCTCGGTCGTTGAACCACATCTGCACCAGGCAGGTGGGTGTGCCGCATGCACATGCGATCGGATACTTTAGCGCGCGGTAAGGTACTTCAATTGGGATGGTGACTTCAGCTTGCGATGGGATTGGGTTGCGGGAAAAGATGGCGGCTCGCAAGCCTCCGCCACTGCTGTTCATGGTAAACTGGACACTAGAGTTGGGTGCGCAAGAGCGACGCGCGTAGCGGAGTGTTGAGCCATTGTTGCGCGCGTCCAAACAGAAGTTGCTGGCGGCGTTCTTGGGATGAGGGAAAAATAGGATGTATGGGGACAAAGGGCTGAGGAAGAAGGAGTTTGTGTCGGCACATTCGTTCTGCACGTCGGCCGCGTCTGTCAGGACGCCTAGGTACTCGCCCAGCAGCTGCCCGGCATCGACATCGTTGGAGGCCAGTATTCGCGGGATGTCCTTCTGCTGTTGTTGCTGCTGAGGTGACTTGAGGCGGTTGTCGGGGGAGTTGATGGTCTTGAGCGAGGGCGACAGGAACGTCATCGGTGACGTGCCGCTCTGCTCTGCTTTGATCTCAAAGGTTGTACTGAAAAATGGTTGGACATGGTCGTCCACGCGATAGGTGCTGCCGTTGATGCCGCTGGCGTGCTGGTTCTCGTTGATCTGCTTCCATTGGGTGGCGTGGTTGTGGTTGTTGTTGTTATTATTATTGAGGTGATTGCTGTTGTTGTTGTTGCCGCTGCTCGTGCTGCTGCACTCCTCCTTGGCCATGCCCTCACTCATTCGGAGCACCTCTTGGGCAAATTCTGTCATGTAATCAACTATCTTGTCAACAGACTGCTGTAGCAGCAGTGCCATCGCCTTCTTCATCGTGTCTCTATACTTTAGAGGTGAGTCGCCAAACATCCAGCAGTACTTCTGGAACATCAAGTTGTCCTGGACGCTCAGATTGTGTATACATTTCTTTTGTTGTCTGTTACCTCCATTGGTATTGAGTTGAGTGCGTAGGCAGTGGTCATCCTGTGTGATTGATTGGAGTAGAGTGATTGAGTGAGTATGAGTGAGATCATGTGACCAAAGTCTGATGATGACATACGGTGAAGTTGTTTCGAACGACTAGTGGCTCGACAAAGGAGAATAGATCGAATGAGTTGATGTAGTCCTCGCTGGGCACGACGGGGTACTTGATCTTGTTGAATGACTCGCGCAGTTCATCAATGGGCAGGATGTCCTCGATGAAGGTGAAGTTCTTCTTGAGCTCCTTGAGGTCCAGCTCCTTGAGGTAGGGCGACGACGAGTCGGAATCGACGAGCATGGGCGTGTTGTTGCCACTGTGGTCCGCGTCGGCATCCTTGGGCGACGTCGCTGCATCCTTATTATTATCTGTTGTCGACTTGTCCTTGGTGGCCTTCTTCGAAGTGGACTTCTTTCTCCTGCTGCCAAAGCCGGCCGGCTTACGCTTGCGCGCCTTGGAGGTGCTGGCACTACTGCTGCTGGGCGCGCCCGCGGCGTCCTTGTCCTCGGTGTCCATGCTGGCCTCCAGGTTGTCCAGCTTCTCACAGCTCTGGCACTCAAAGGGGTCGGCCATCCTGCTGTTGCAGGAGTTGTGCGACCACTTCTTGCACATGATGCACTCGGTGATCTTGCCGCTGGCCGTCTCCTTGCCGCACACACAGTTCATCGCGCGCGGCACGCACAGCTCGCAGTAGTAGTGCTTGGGCACGGCCTGCTGCTGCTTGATGCCAAAGCATATGCTGTGCTGCCAAACATCACACTTCTCGCACTGGATCATCAGTCCCTGGTCGATGTTGTTGTTGCATATACATCTAATAATCGATTCGTTGTTGTTCTCGTCGTTTGAGGCTGAAGCGTCGTCCTTCTCCTGCTTGGCCTTTCCCTTATTCTTTGATTTCTTTGATGATGAAAGTGGTGTTGTTGATGTTGTCGATGTCGATGAGGTTGTTGTAGTCGTTGTCGTTGATGGTGTCTTTGATGATGATGATTGCTTGTTATTGTTGTCTGAGGACTCACTTAGAGGCTTCAGGTCCTTGTTCGCTTCGTGTTTGATTGTGATGTCGATGTGTGACGCCGATGCTACAACGGGCGTGGTAGGTATGCTGGCGTGGTGGGAGGAGGGTGTGGAGGGTGAGGGCGTTGCAATGGATGAGTGTTTCGACGACAGCATCAGGTCGGTCTCAAGGAGCAGCTTGGGCAGATCCTTGTTGGTATGGTTGATTCCCTGTTGGCTTGGCGTTGTGCTCATTGAGGGAGGCAACGAATGTGTCTTGCTCTGTGTGGATGTTGTCGTCGTTGAGGCTAAAGGCAGTAGTGATGCATTGCTCAATGAAGGTGATGATTGTGACGTCGTCGTCGTACTTGTCGTTGTAGTTGATGATGATGATGTAGGTATGCTCGATGCGGATGCAGACGTGGCTGCTGTGGATGTACTTGATGATGAAGTGTCCTTGGCTGATTGAGGACTAGGTGATTGTATTGATGATGACAAAGACGAAGACGACGACACTGATGAAGATGATAATGATGACGTTGATGATATTGATGATGAGAATGATGTGTTGGTTGATGATGAGGCGTTTGGCATCGTCGTAGCTGTAGGGGTCGATGGTGATATGGAGATGGTGGCGGCGGGCACGTTTGGCGATGTCGTTTCAAGCTTGATCAGGTTGGGTTGTGCACCAAACAGACTGCCAAAGTTTATCGACTTAAACAGAGCTGATGCCTCCGACGTGATTGGCGGCGATTGTTCCAATATATTCTTTGGTAGAGCCCTTCGAGCAATGGACTTTCTTCCACTCCTCTTATTCTCTTCTGTCGTGCTCATTATGTATCTATGTATATATATGTATATGTGTATGTATGATGTATTATGTGTATGTATCTATGTATAACTTTATGTATGTATCAATCTCTCAATCTATGTGATGTATTGTAGTATTCTCCTCATTCACTGTATGTTGCTATCTATGCTTCGTTATCAATGCATTAAACTCTTGTCTTTGTGTAAAAATGATTTTAGTTGTCTTTAGCTATCTTTGTGTATGTGTATGTGTTTGAATGGAGTTAGAGATAGAGAACAATGAGGTTTATAAGTGTGTGTGAGCCCCTTTAGTTTGATTGTTTGTCGAGTGAGAGAAAGAGAAAGAGAGAGAGAGAGACCCTTTATTGCTGAACACAACCCAAACCATGTTGTTGCTCACATGCTCATGCTCACTCACACACCCCTTTGCCACCAGTTAACCTTGTTGCCCGCCACAACATGGTTTGTTGTTGTTGGTGTTCTTCAACTTTGTTGTTTTTCACCACAACCAACAAACATAAAAAAAACATCAATTTTCTATTTTGAAACTTTGCTCAATCAACTGAAGATGTTTATCTCTTTGTCTCTCTATGTCACTCGACACAACAAACAAACAATAATAAGACAGTCCTTTGATATAGGTTGCAACACATATTATTCTTATCTCTGTCACATGTTATAGGTCATATCGCTGTCCATAATAATAATCATCATGATCAGCATCTGTTGATTTAATGAATGAGATACACGATACAATCGCAATGTTTTTGATGCTGTCGGTATTAGAGGCACTTAGAGATTACTAGTAACTGTTGTATCTCGGTTGTTAGCTCTTTCAATCTTGAACCAAAGTGTTGCGTGAATGAGTGAATAGTGAGATGATTGAATGAATGAATGGTGTGGGGTTTGTGCACCAGGTTGAACATCATCTGCGCAACAAACACCTAAATCACACATCATTTCCCTGTTGCACATCAATCAATCAACAATCATTATTATTAATTACTTACTTGTTCACATAGAGGAAGAAGGATGTTGTTGAACGGTACCAAGAGGTTTATATCAAAGGTAGGAAGGATCAACATAGAATGAATGACTGACAAGAATGACTGACTGACTTGTTTAAAGGTTGCGACACCATCACTGTTGAACCGATCAGTTGCATCGGGATCGGGTGTGATCCAACATTATGCAACCATCACACCAACACCTGGCCCGAACAAAGGTACATCGGGTGGTCAACAGCAGCAACAACAGCAGAATCAATCAAACAACGACAACAATAACAATACATCGTCAACAGGCAACTTTAAGAGATATTTGCTATTGACTACAGCTGCTGCGATTGTAGGAGGTGGAGCATACGTATACTTTGAATACCTAAAGAATGAGGACTTTATGTTCTCAGGCGCCCTGCCATCAGTGCCCAAAGAGGCCATGGACAAGTACAAAGAGATGCACTCAATGTTAAGAGAAAGTGGATCATCATCATCATCACCATCATCAACAACAACAACAGAGCAAGCCATTGAGAAACCAATCAAATCAATTGTTGCACCAGTTATTGCTGCAGCTACTACAGCAGTGGCAGCAGCTGTGGAGTCCACACAACATCCAACAACAACAACTGAATCATCGACAGAGAAGAAGCAACAGACATTGGATACAAAGAAGAAATACTCTGATGACATTGTCACTGATGAGCATCAGATTGAATGCCGAGGCCAGGAGTCTGTTCTCATTCAACCAACTACAACCTCATTGCCAGGCTTAGAGGTGGCGCACACTCATGTGTCGGATTCATCCTCCACCCCCGCTGCCACTACCACCACAATCGCCTCTGCACATGATCCAGTATCTGATGCAGTGACCACTGCCGACGTCATTGTTCATCGCATTGATGATAAGCTGGCCACTATCGAGAGTGCAATTGGTGAGGCTGTTAAGAATGTCACTCATCCAGAAAGGATAGAGTCTACTGCCAACTCAGCAGCTGAGGTCCTTAAGACTCCTGTGCACTCAGAGGAGGTGGTATCCGTTGTGGAGACACCTGTCAACATTGACACATCATCATCCGAGTCATCCAATACCATAACAACCATCCCAATAGAGACTGCCGAGGCAGCAGTGGCAGCAGCTGCAACAACAGCGGCGGCAACTGCATCAGCATTGTCATCAGTGGCATCAAACGATGCGACTGAGGCCGCACTCAAGTTATTGGAGCAACAGTACATCAATCAGATCAAGATGTTGTTACAAGAGAATGTACGTATTACACAAGGTTGGTCGATGATTGATTGATTGACAACATGCTAACGATGACGACAACAAACAGATAAAGCTAAAGGATGAGATTGAATTGTTGAAGAACAGCGAGGAATCATTCGCTCAGATGACTGAGCAGAAGCTGAGAAAGCTGTATGAGGACAAGGTGGAGAATAATCTGCGCGAGTTGACCGATGACACGCTGAAGAAGTTGCAAGAGATGGAGACCACGTTCAAGGACAATCTGGACCAGAACTACCAGACAATGGTGGCTAGTGTTCAGAGACAGCGCGACAACCTCACACAGATATTCACCAGCCAGCAAAAGGCGATTCAGAGTGGCGAGCTTGAGAAGAAGTTGGTCAGCACAATGACACTCACATTGGTCGAGCTCAAGAAGGTCATGAACAAGGTTGTACCAACACCCTTTGTCCAGCAATATGCCACGCTCAAGGAGCTAGCCAAGTCTGACGACCTGCTCAATTCACTGCTTCGCAACTTCCCCGCCGACATCCAAAACAAGGGTGTCGCCAGTCTGCATCAGTTGAAGGAGCAGTTCCATCAAATTTCACCAAAGGTGCGCGAGATTGATCTTCTGCCCGACGACACATCGATCATTGGCAGAGCCTTGTCAATGGTGGCCTCCAAGCTTATTCTGCCTGAGAAGGGCATGGTCAAGGGCACAGACACTGGCTCCACACTGGCTCGTGCTGAGGAGTTCCTCAAGCAGGGCAACCTGACCAGCGCTGTCAAGGAGATGGAGTCGATCGCCAAGAGAAACCCACAAATCGAGGAGTTGACCCACGAGTGGATAGCCACTGCCAGGAATCGTGTTGCCGTCGAGGACATGGTCAAGTTGTTGGAGGTGAAGCTCAAGCAGGTGTCTACAGAGATCAAGGGATCATCTTCAAGCAAATAGATAGACAGTGATGTATCAAGAGAGATGGATCAAGAGAGGATTGATAGATAGAGTATTAAAAACAGGTTAATCGATAACAACAAAGGGATGAATGGAGTGGATGATGCAACCTAGAGGTCGACTGTGTTATTGGTCTATTCTGCTACTATCCAGGACATGTGGATCAAAGGAAAAAAGGGATTGCGACAGTGTCGATGAGGTATGGCCATTCGCTGTTGCCGCGGCATGATGATGATGGTGATGCGTGGAGGGCGCATCAAAGTGGGACAGCAGGCTCAATTGTGAAAGTGGCGACGTCAGGTTGGTCAACACCGAGGGGAACCCGACCCATTCAAAGGGGCTAATGTTGAAATTGAAGGTGCTGCTGTTGAAGCCATCCATGCCGCCATTGCCAATACCAATGCCATTGCTGTATCCATTCTGGTGTTCATGGTCGTGGCGTTGAGCGTCATTCTGGTGCTGCTGTTGCTGACGTTGCTGCTGTTGATGCAGTTGTTGCTGCTGCTGCTGTTGCTGCTTGGGAGGCGACACAATGAACTGTTGTGGCGTTTGCTTGCTGTGATTCTTGATTGGATACATGATGTCGTCGTTCATGTTGCTGTTGTTGTTGGTTGTCTGGATGTGAGATATGAGAGATGAGTGCTGGTATTGATGTGGATATTGGTTGCTCAACATGCTTGGCGATGACAGGGGTGGTGGCGACATTGGTGAAGAGTGGAGATGGAAGTATTGGTTCTTGACTACAGGAATGGGCTGTGCTTGTGATTGGGTGTGTTGGGAAAGAGGTGAGAGTGACAGTGGCGGCGTGAATTGGGTACCCAAAACTTGTTGGTGGTGGGTCTCTGCTGGCATGTACAAGGCCGCCATTGATGATGATGATGGAGACGGGACATCGAGTGGTCGTGTAATTGTAGTCGTCGTCTTCTTCTGCTGCTGCTCAATTGCGTTGAAGTTGTTGTTGTTTGTTGGCAGCAGCTTGGGGTTTGATGATGATGTTGGGGGATTTGGTTGTCTTTGCTCTACAGTGATCAATGGTGTCGTCTTGATCTGCAGCTTTGTGGTCTGCTGTTGAGGTTGCTGCAGCTGCAGTTTGCGATTGGATGAGGTTGCCAACTCCTTTTTGTTGTTGGGCAACACCTTGCGTGGTGGCTCAGCCTTGACTGGACTGACGGCGGGCTCCTTCTTCTTGGGCTTGACGACCTTGGCCATCAACTGCTTGGACAGACTCTCCATCTCGGCGCACCACTCTGGGTGGAACACGTCGGTCCTCTTGGCAAACTGGTCTAATACTACACTTGATCTCGTCTTTAGAAGGTTGTTGTTGACGTTCAGCTTCTTCCTCAGTGTCTGAACGACCATCTGGTAGACGATGCTCCTCACCTGCTCGGTCTGGTCGGCGCTCAGCGACGACACGACGTTGAGCAGCGCGTCGTAGTACTCATTGTCGCTGTCCTCCTCCTGGCTGCCCGAGTTGAGGTAGTCAGAGATCGATTTCTTGATCGTTTGCTTCCACTGACCGACAACGCGGTGTGACTCGAGCAGCTCCTCGAGCTTCTGGATGTTGGTCGACAGGCGATCCAGCGTGGCCCCGTGCAGCGTGTTTGAGGCAGTGTCGGCAGCGGCCAGGGCTTCGCCACACTGCTGAGACAGACGCGCCTGATGGTCGTGCAGATTCTTAAGCAGCTCCTCACTTGATGCTATCGACCTGCTGGCATTCGCATTGCTGGCCTGATTCAGATACTTGTTGATCTCGTGACACAAGTCATCTCTCTTCTTGACCCTCTGCAACTCCTCTGCATGTTGTCTCTGCAGCTCCTTCTCCTTGCGCTCGCGCTGCTGTTTGGCCAGTGCTGGATGGATGCCGTTTGGCTCGCCGCCCTCCTTTGTGGGCGCCACTGCCTTGTAGTCCTGAAAGACGGAGTCGTTGATCACGTAGGTGAACTCGAGGCTGTAAGGTCCAACGCCAAAACGATTGGTGGCGCGCACCTTGAACGAGTAGTTGCCACTATCCAATCCAGGTGTTGTGTAGTAGTTGTTGTAGCCTCGATAGATCACCGAGAACTGCTGTTGTTGAGGGTCCTCCTTCTTCATCATCTCCAGGCAGAACTCCTGTACATTTGAGCTGCATGACCACCGCAACTGCACCTGTACCTCATTCTCCTTTATAAATATCAGTTTGTCGATTGTTGGCTGTGTACATTGGTTTGGAGATTTGTCTTTGGATATTGATTGATTGAGTTAGTGAGTGAGTGGATTCATTCCTGGATCCATGCCAATCACATGTAGTTACTTACTGTTGGTATTGATTGGTTGAGTGAAAGTGAATGATTTCGAAGGGATATTTAACATTGAGTAGAATGAGAGAGGTGATTGTGATGTGAATGAGTTGTTGTCATTGAGTATATACTTCTTGGTGTTTGTCGAGTTGCCATTGCTATTGTTGCTACTGCTACTACTGACACTACTATTGCTGCTGCTACTACTACCATTACTACTTATACTACTATTACTGCTATTCAGATTGTTGTTGATGCCGTTGCTGTTGATGTTGTTGGTGTCGTAGGGCAGTTGATTGAATGAATCATCATAGTCATTTGAAGTGTTGATGTATTGAGTTCGCTTGGAGGAGTCGACGATGGAGAGATAGGCGTACTTGAGCTCCTCGAGGATGTAGGGGTTGCTGATCTCATTCTTCTTGAGCTCGAACTTGGACACGATGTAAAGATTGATGCGATCGTTTAATTTACACTCGTCGTCCATCAACGCCTGGTATTCGTTCTCGTTGTTGATGATCGACTGCTTGATCGACTCAAAATTCTTGGCGATGGCCTCGTTGGTGGCGGTCGACGCCGACGCCAATCCATTTGGATTCAATGAGTGCTTGCTGTTGGCAGTGGAGGCGCCACCATGAAGTTGCAGCTGTTGCTTCTCCTTGACATAGTACAGACTGAGTTTGATGAGATTGACGTCATTCTTTTGATCATTGATACGTTCATTCAGTCTGTTGACACGTTGTTGTATGTCATTGGCTTGGGCCATCAATTCATTGAACTCATCATCATTTGACAACTGTAGCAATTGGAATGATCTAAGTGCTCTCCAATCATTTTGTTGTTGTTGCGTTTGTTGATGTGTTTGTTGCTGCTTCTTCTGGGTCTGGTTCTGGTTCTGATGATGCTGCTGTTGCTTTGTTGAGGCTGCACTATTCTTTGACTTCATTTCCAAAGTCATTGAATGTGAGTGAGTTAATTGTATCTATAAATATATAATATTGCTCAAATGAATGAGTTGTTGATGTAATAATCTGTCTTTCTCTCTATCTCACTATCTTCTAACTCTTGTTGTGTTTAATGGTCCCTCTCTCAATGTGTGGCTTGTGTGTGTATGTGTTGTTGTGTATCTATTTGGCTCAATGTACAATGAGTCCTTCTCTATCTAACACACTCACTCTCTCAGACACTCAAACAACACAGGTAGCTTCCTATCCTATCTCAACTCTTTCTTTGAGTTTGGGGTGACTGGAAGGGGTGTTGACGTGTGTGTCTTTGTTTTGGATGGAGATTAGGGGGTACAAAATAATATAAATATAAATAAAATATCAAAATGCCCTCACATCCCTCCAAAACCATCACTTTGTTGTTGGTGATGTTTTGATTGATTGTGTTTGATTGATTGATTTTCACTCACACACATATTTTGATTTAGTGTTTTTTTACATCAACAAAAAAACATCAATATCATTTCCAAAATAGGTAGAGATAATATAATATCAATGGTTGTGTGAACATCACATAATTATACCCATTCACATTCACATCATCATTGCAATGATTACAACACTTAGACGTTGTGCACTTATACTATCTCCATCAAAATCAACAAAATTAACTACTTCATCATCTTACCTCATTGGACATACAACGCATAGCAGCAATAACAATGCTTACAAGTCCATCATCAACAGAATAAACATGACTACAACATCATCTACATCACAATCAAATGTGATCTCTTGGAAATCATTCATCTTCTTTGATCAACGTCATAACCAATGTCTCTATATCAAGGAGAGAGCTGATCAAACATCAACTCATTCAAGCATTCCTCCCAACTTCTATGGCTTTCCATCAATCCCAAACCAAGTCAACAACAACATTGACCAACAGCAAACCTTGCAGCCACTGTTCCAACAACAGCAACAAAAGATACCAGGTGTCTTCTACTTGGGTCGTCTGTGCACTCCCTTCTATCTGCCACAGCTCAAACGAGATGACTGTAGTTACTACATCGTATTAATGGATGGCACAGAGTCACTTGATCTGAATAGTTTGAACAAATTGGTCAACAAGAGCGATGATGATACATCAAGCTATAGCTGGTTACACCCCGCAGAGGTGATTAATAGATTCCAGAATGCTCCAGTCTCTGATAGATGGCTTAGCACACCCGAGACACAGAGGATCACTGGTTTGGTGGCTGATCTACTCAAGGTCCTTGGCTCACCCAGTGCTGCCACCGCACAAGAACAACTTGGCAAACCCATAACACCAGAGAATGATGACATTGTTGGAGTGCAGACACCATTGTTGTATGCCCCTGGTATCGAGAGCATACCTATTGTATCAAACACAATCATACCGTTTAGAAGCACCAACTTGATAGTCTGTTGTGATGGAGACAGTGCATTGATCGTTGACCCTGGCGCCAATCAATCAGGCCATCATCACTTTGAGAATATACTGCTCACTCGAATCCCAGAGCATGTAAGAACAACCGATGGTGGACGCAATCTCAAGGTGTTCATCACGCACGAGCACAAGGACCACTGGGAGGGGCTGCCATTGGTCGAGAAGCATTTCCCCAATGCTTCATTGGTCGCCCATCCCGAGTGTCTGGAGCTCATCCAGACAACACTGACAAAGGTGTCTGTCTCTGGAGCACCATTCAGCTCTGTGTCTGTCGACAGCAATGCCGCCAATGTCGACTCTGGCAACCGCATCGTTATTGGAAGATACACATTCGACATTGTATCAACACCTGGCCACACAAGCAACTCGCTCTGTCTCTTTGAGACCACCTCTCGCACACTTGTCGCTGGCGACCACATCGTAGGATGGGGCTCATCAGTGTTGGATCACAACAGCGGCAACATGAAGCAATATCTACACACAACTCAATCGATGATCGATGTGCTGAAGCCCTCGATCGCACTGCCAGCACATGGTCCATCAAACTACGAACCAATCACACTGCTACAGAACTATATCAAACATCGATTGGTTAGAGAGAAGGCTATACTTCAGGCGTATCGTGATGGCAACACAACACTCCAGGACATACTCTCGATTGTTTACAAGGATCTCGATCCCAAGCTGAACCAAGCGGCCATGATGAACATTCGTCTCCACCTCGACAAGCTGAAGGAGGATCAAGAGATACAATAAAAGCCAACTAGTTGTTGATCACAGTAGTCGTGTTGAATGAGTGGACTCTGTGTTGTCGAGTCAAATGACTGATCATCTTTATTTTATCTTTAAGGACACTTTTATTTGCCCAACACCAAGGGATGATACTTTGCAACTCATCAATCACGCAAGAACACTGATAACATCTGTGTGGCAATCGACCATGATAAAGAGGATGATTAGGATGACCATGTTCATGACCTTGGCGACGATCACGAAGATGTCCATAATAAAGATAAAAATGCATACACAAAGAAACTTCGATTTTTATACCCTGTATCACTTCAAACTCTACAGACCATCATCTTTCCTTGGTCCAGAACGTTATTCGGCATCAGAATCAATTAAACAACCCCATCATAAGAAACTTGGAGGATTATGATGGGGTTTCAGATACGTGATAAGGGTGGGGATTAGAGATCAATTGTTGGTTGAGATCTGAACACAACGTCCACTCATCACCAGAAGTAGAATGTCCATGAAGTTTCTACAATATTTATTTTAACGACAGAGTGCAAATTATATAAATTATATATCAAACCAATATTTAATAATCAATTAATAATTATATCATCATTAATAAAAATATACATCATCATCATAACCAAATAATCAATATCAATTAATATTATAATGAGGAATATAGTTTTATTACTAATAGTATTATGTATTATTTCAAATCTTATTAATGCAGATATCACGCACTCGGGATCTGATCCAGAGTAATTATTTTTGAATTAATCTTTTGAATATATAACTAACCATAATGATTTCTATATTAATTAATATACACAGTTATAATAGTATTCTTTTAGATATCTTTGTGGGAGATGATCAAAACCAAATAGGAATGCCCAGTTTCCATGCAGATTTAAAAACTGGAAATAACTATTTTGGAGGTTTATAAACCAGGAATAAAGCTAGAGTCATCGGAAAATATTATAGACTCACCACCGTCATTCACATCCGTCGAACAATTCATTGACAACACCATCTACTTGTCCATCTCAGTTGATGAATTGTGATCAGTTGAACTGGTGACCTTTAATATGAAACATTCTGAACTTTGTACAAAGTTATTGTTATGAAGTCCATGAATCTCGTTAATTATAGTTACATTGTATTAATGAATCTTTGACTAAATGAATCTGATCATTGAGATTGGATCCTTCAAATAATTTAGACCATGGAAAAATGATTGAACTTCAAAAGAATTGTTGATTGATGACAGTGCATTGACCCCGCGTCAAGATTAAATGTATTAGTGAAGTTACTTACATGTATTTGTGATCAATATATATAATAGAGATGAAGAGAGATAAAACAAACAATAATACTACAACTACTACAGCACCAGTCGATCAAGCCTCCGCACCTGCCCCACAGTCAAAGGTGGTCGAGCCAGTCAGAGTTGCACTATACGATGGTGTAGGACAGAAGCAAGCATTGGATGATGCAATTGTTAGAGTAATATATACAAGATTCATACATCATCAATAGTATAATGACTTACACATCACATCATGTTGTAGTACTTTACAAGTGAACTTAGTTATGAACAGGTACACACGATCAACTATATCAAGGTGTTGCTGGGACTGGTGGGATGTATCCTTGCTGGCCTTGCTCAGTTCTACCCTGAGCCATTCCCAAAGAATAAGCCAGTATTGATCATTTGCGTACTATTGTATGTTTGTCAAGTCCATCCCGGTCTGGCCCTACCTATCTAACCTTGTTGACAATCATTCTTCAGGTATATGCTAATCTCATTGGCGTTGTATTACATTGCACAGTTTGTACAGAAGGATACTATACTCTTTGGAAGAGCCAAGGAGAGCGGCAACAGCGACTTTAGAATCAGCACATCTCTGCCGCGATTCGAACCAAACTACACGATCAAGTATGAGAGTGGCAAGGACATTGTTCACAGCGTCACCAAGCCAATCAACAACTACTTTAACACCAGTGGATTGCTGGTTGAGGCTCCTCTATTCAAGGACCTCCACAAACTACACGAGAAGGCAATCACCAAGAAGTCAAAGTAAAGGCTACGACGACGACAACGTATATCTATATATACTCTCTTCGATTACAGGCATGTACAGGAGGAGTATAGCATCCTCCTCCTTCATTTGGTTTATTCATTCAGTAGTGGTAGTACTACTCTAGAGCACTGGCATCCTGGACTTGCTCTTGAGCTCGAGCATCTCGAGTAGCAGTTGGTCCCTGTTCTGGAGAGCAGTGAATTTCTGAAGAGTGACCGATCAGTAATCAAGCCGACTGGCGAAGAAAAGTCCAAGTAGTGGACAGTACTTACCATCTTCTCAGCTGACTTGACAGTGAGTTGGATACCCGAGGAGAAGAACGAGTTGAACTTCTTGATGTCTGAGATGTCGGACCAATCAATCTTCTCCTGCTCGGTAGTGGATGGGTCAGTGATCTGTCGCGTCCACGGTGAGGTAGAGAGAGATACTTACTGTTGCGTACGAGACATGGTTCTGGTAACAGAGGAAATGGGTTGTGAGTGTGATGCGGCCATACATGCCCTTGCGCATGGCCGTGTGATTGGAGACGATCTTCTCGCCTTTGGGCAGCTTGTAAAGGTTGGCTACAAACTCGTACTCAATGTCTTGGTTCTTGGCGTGTTGGACAACGGCCTCCTCCAACTTGATGTGATCGTTGAACTTGGACACCAGCTGGATGGTCGACTTGTACAACTTGGCCTTCTTCTTCTCGGCAAAGTCCCACAAGTCATAGCTCTTCTCGCCCACGTAGACACTGAATGTCTCGCGGCCACTGATCGTCTGTTTCTGTAGTCGACTAATGTTGGCGTACTTCACAACAGAGTTGGTCTCATTGTATGACAGAATGGTTGATATACACATGCAGTCATCCATCAAATAGATGACCGTCGGGATGCCCAGCGAGCTACGGCACTTGTACTCTGTTGATGATGATGTTAGTGATTGGTTGATTGAGTGAATGAGCGAATGATGTATACATACTCTCAACTAATGTTGACTTGCTGAGATCGAAACGATCTTGGATGAAGCGGTTCTTATACATGGTCTTGTTGGTCTTGGCAAACTGCTTGGCATCGTTGTCTTTTTGTCGCGAGAACAATGCGGCCATGATGTGCACTTCGCGTATTGGTGTGGTCCGCTGGAAGAAGCCCAACTGGAACTTGGTTGGAATGGCTGGCAACACATCGGCACCGGCAAGGCGGTACGTTGGGGTAGCGACCAGCTTCTGGTGCAGGCTTATCAACGCCGATGTGCCTGTAAAGTAGACGGGCAGCGTGGAGAACAGTGGCTCAGCATGCTTGCGCAACAGGTCGAGGATCATGCCCTCACCATCAGCATAGAAGAAGGCTTCGAGAGGGCCGTACATAGCGAGGATCATGGACACTTGATTGAGCAGCACGTCATCTGTCTGTTTCTGCTTCATCTTGCCGTCTGAACCTGGGAAGAGAAGACGCTCACACATCTTCCAGATGCACTGCCACACGCCACGAATGAAACGATTGAATGTTGGATGGTAGAGGTTACCACTGAGAATCCTGAGCTCGTTGGACAGGTAAGTGGTGAGGTCTTGCAGCGCGCCATCTACAAACGATGCTTCAAACAATGATGGCTCGGGCGTGGCCGAAGCAGCACTGGGAATGGTGGTGGCCGAGCCACGCTTGTTGAGTGCTGGCAACTTGGTCAGCATGATGCCCACAAGACAGGCGTTAACCCAGCGTCCAATCTTGCTGATGGATAGGTCGGAGAGATACTCGACGTTGCGCTTTGCGGCCGTGAACGACTTGGCAAAGGCGTCATTGATGCGGTCCTCGCCCACGGTGGGGAATGTCTTGATCATGTCGTTACAAAGGTCGTCAAGCAGTTGTCGCGAGGTATCAATGGAGTTGAGCTTAACACAGATGGTCGTGCTAATGGTGCGTGATGACCTGGCAGTTTCTTGATCGATCGAGACGGCCGTGGAAGAGGAACGAGTTCGCGACGTGATGGTGATGTCCTTGATGAAGGACAAGAACTTCTCATAAGAGTGTTGGTTAGAGTCGTCCTCGTCCAGGTTGAACAGGGGGCTGGCCACATCGTCCAACTCATTGATGAGCGAGCTCATCACAGTCTCCAAGTAGTCTTGGTAGCATTGTGCCACTATCTCTATAAAGTCCAGCACTGCCTTGTCCACATTGATGCCGATTCCCGCCAGATGATTCTTTCCAATCTCAAACATCTGGAACAGGTCCATCACACTTGATGAGTGCAACACCTTGTTCTTCACATCGATGGCCACCCACTTCTCCACGTCCAGACTTCTCTCCATCCATGTATTGAACTGGTTCCTCGCCTGATCAATCCACAATCTAATGAATGGCGAGAACATCTCATTGAGGTTCATCTCAATGCCCTTGATCCTGGAATGATTTGGTGAGAGAGGTGGTGTTAGTGGCGAGTCCCGATGTTTGATTGATTGATTGGTTGGACGTACTCATTTGATGCGTTTGGATAGATGACTGAGGACATGAGTGATTGGATCTTCTTGAGGAGTGTGAAGGTCTCAATGCTGACAGTGAGCTCTTTAGAGAGGACGAACAAGGTCTCATCACGCAATAGTTTGTAGTAGGATACTACTGACTTCTTGATCAAACTCTTGCCAAAGAACTGTGAATAGATACTAATGTCATTGTGAATTTGAATCTCAATGGCATCATAAATGTCCAACATGCTGACGATATTCCTAAAGTCATTGGAGTCCTCAATGGACACCTCAGAGTTCTCCTTCACCATCTTGAAGAAGATGTCAAAGTAGTTCTAAACAATGGGATTGATTGATGTGTGAGTGATCGTGTGATTGATGATGCGGTACAACTGATCACTTACATTGAGATACTTGTCAATCTTGGTGTTGAGCTTGGACTCGATGTCTGAGCCCTTGATACCCTTTTGGAAACAACGTACTGTGATCAACTTCTTGATGATGTCGAAAGATGCTACTAGTAGCTTGCCATTCTCTCCACTGATGCCTTGCACCTCACCAGCCTCATTCATCATCACTGGGAAGCTTAATCCATAACGACTGATTATGTTGCTGAATGTTGACTTGAGTGATTTGATCGTGGTGGTCAGTCGTGTGGCCATGTCGTTGGTCAACATGATGGCGCCAGATTGGCAGTCAGCCACCAGGTTGTCCAGCGTGGTGGAGATCAGCTTAAGGTGTTGCTGCGTGATGGAGAAGTTGTCAATCACATGATTGAGTATGGTGGTTAGACGTGTGAGCGAGGAAATGGCAACGCGCTGCTCAAACTCGGTCAGCAGCGAGGCGAGCTCGTCGCTAAAGATGAGCGATGTCTTGAACTCTGTGGTGGACATGATGAACTCGACCAGATCGGCCATGTACTGCTGATGATTGATTGTGAGAAGTGTGCGAATGTCCGCTGGTACGCTGTCCAATGCGTCAGACTTCTCAAGTTCGCGGCGCGCAAAGTACAGCGACACCCTAACGCTGCCAAGTCCCTGATCACTTAGCTCCTCGCCCTCTAGAGCGCCATCTTTTTGCGCGCCAGACTTGTCCTTATCCTTGCCATGTGTGAGCTTGGAGAAGAAGCTCTGTTTCTTCTCGCGAGGCTGAAGATAGTAGCTCACTTGCGCGGCAGCGTCAAGCGGCAAGAGGGGTAGACGGGGATCGTCCGTCTGGAGTCTGATGTGGACGGTGCCCATGAAGTCGTCTTTGGTGACGAGGTCCGAGTCAAACACCGAGCAAATGAATGTGTTCTCATCACGCTTCTCTGACTTGAGCACGAATGTCTCGTCCCAAACCGGGTTGAGCGATGTCTTCTTGACTGAGGAGCGATGTCCGTGCGACGACTTTGACTTGTGGCACTTGTCGTCGGGGGTCGTAAGATGAAGACACACGTAGGGGTCCGACGACTTGGTCGCAATGTCCTTGTACTGAAGCGTGGAGGCGCTGTTGACCAGCACGATCAGCAACGTGGAGAACTGTGGTAGTGCAGCAACTTGTTTCTGTCGAGTGCGGAAGTACTGTGTGCGCTCGGATGTGAAGCGAGCGTGTGTGGCCACATCGACAAAGTCCTTGGGTGCGGGCTGCGCCAGCGATGCGTTGTAGGACAACTCGGCCAGGTGGTACCGAGTGAGGTTGTAGGCCTGGCGCGCAAGGCTGGCCTGGTCCGCCTCGGACTTGATACCAAACGATCGTGCCAACAATGCTACACTGTTGCGCATCTTGCGCTCAGACTGCTGCAATATCAGATTGCTCAGCAAGTAGACGTACATTGCTCGCACGGATGGAGTAAGTGTGGCGATCGATCGCTCGTCCGACTTCTCGATCGATCGTTTGAGTGTGAGCATTGGTGTGGCCTTGTTGTGTGTCATGAGTACGGCCGAGAGGATAGCCTTGGACTTGGCGCGGAACAAGTGTGGTCGATTGGCCGCGTCATCCACATGCATTTGGGCGACGCCACAAGGCGAAGTGGTGACGGTCGCGCCAAATGTCGACCTGGAAGGCGAGTGCATGTGTGCCGATGGTGCATGTGAGAGGAATGCTGAGAAATCCTGTTGTCGCACTACGCTTGCCAGACGCTGTAGAGGTGCGTCATTGGGTCCGACTGGCACGCCCAATGGACGTTTGTCTGGCGACACACCTGTCGCAGGGCCATTTCCACGCGTAACCTTCTCATCATCCTCAAACAAGTCTCTCTTGCTCTCCAATCTATTCTTTGTCAAATTCAACTTTGCCATATTCTTGCTAGGCTGTGAAGGTACCTGTGGCAATGGTTTGGAGGCCATCCTGTATCTGTCTCTCTCTATGTGTGTGTGAGCGTGTGAGTTGAGTTTGATTGATTGAGTTTGATTGAGTGTGAGTGATAAGTTATAAGTAAGTAATATAGTTAACTATTATAAAAGGTATTTTAAGAAAAGAGAAAAGTAATGAAGAATCAGTAAGGTCGTCATGATACTGATGATGATGGTGATTGGTTGAAGGAGTGAGACAGACACAATTGAGTAATCAAATCAAAATTTAAAGTTCGACGATATTTAGGATTGGTAATATGAGTTGCCCGAATTCGTTCAATGAATAAATAACCCCATCCATCACATTTAGAACAGTGCCAAGGTTGTCGTGCGAATCATCAGTTCATGATTCTGACCCCGTTTCCCCCCTCATCACCCCCTCAACTTACTTGACCAACATTCAGATGATGACCACATTCCTTCAACTTCATTATCCAATTGTTTATTTGAAGCCGCGAACAGTAATCATTTATACTAATACTCATCATCAAATTATATAATATAATCATCAAATCCCATCAATCAATCAATCAATCCAAACATTCAATCAAACATATAATCAAAGATGAAGAAATTGATAAATGATCCAAATAATGTTATACATGAGATGATGGATGCGATGATGGACTCGAATGAATTGTTGACAAAGATTGATAATGCTAATGTTATGGTTTTGGAAAGGTCAAGACAAGAGAAGGAGAAGGATAAAAAGGTGGCGTTGATATGCGGTGGTGGGTCGGGACATGAACCAGCGCATGCAGGATTCATAGGTGTTGGAATGTTGGATGCAGCGGTCATTGGTGATGTGTTCACATCGCCCTCGCCATCACAGGTGTTGGCCGCCATTCGTGCTGTCACTGGAGCACCCGGATGTCTGCTGATCGTCATGAACTACACGGGCGATCGTCTAAACTTTGGAATTGCTGCAGAGATGGCTCGCAATGATGGCCTTCGAGTGGAGATGCTGGTGGTAGGCGATGATGTGGCCACCATCCACTCGTCCAAACGTCGTGGCATTGCTGGTACGGTGCTGGTCAACAAGATACTAGGTAGTTATGCGCAACGTGGAATGGCCCTTGACCAACTGATTGGCAAGGCACATCAACTCCTTCCGACTCTCAACTCAATGGGTGTCTCCTTATCCAGCTGCACTGTTCCAGCTGTTGGCAGGCCCAACTTTGAACTTGGCGACGATGAACTTGAGTTTGGACTTGGTATCCATGGTGAGCCAGGTATCAAAAGAGAGAAGCTAACAGGTTGTCATAATGTTGTTGTAAGTTTAGCGATCGTCAGCATTGGCGGGATGGGATCATCCCACTCACTCTATCATTCAATCACTCATTCAATCAAACAGAGACATATAGTTGAGTACATATTGGAGAATGCACCAAATGCCAGTCAACATTATGGTGTTGGAAAGAGATTGGTAGTGATGGTGAATAACCTTGGATCAACAACACAGATGGAGATGAATGTTGTGGTAGGGGAGACCGTTCGTCTACTTCAATCCAAAGGATACATCATTGATCGTCTGATCAATGGCACACTAATGACCGCTCTAGACATGTCTGGCATCAGCATCAGTATAATGTCAAGCGATAATGATATTATTGAATGGTACGCATCCTTGTCATGGAATAATATGTGATGGAACACTCACTGATTCATTCACTCTATTAGCATTGACTATCCAACCAATGCACAGGGATGGCCTGTTAACAGTGTATCTAAGCCACGTGCATACCATGGACAAGGACTTATCCCTCTTGGAAAGAACAAGACACAACACAATGAGTTGCCAGACCCAAACCAACACATATGTATGTGACACATCAATGATCAATCCATCGCCACAACTAACAATATTGAATGAATGAATGAACAGATGATAAATACAAACAGGTTGTTGTGGATAAGTCAACAGCAATGATGATCAAGAGTATCCTTGAGCATGTGTGCAAGGCATTGCAGGAGAACTCAAACATATTGACTGATTTGGACTCTAAGGTTGGCGATGGTGATCTTGGTATAACACTGGAGCGATGCGCCAACAATGTATTGAAGCTGGTGGACATCATTCCATTCGACAGACCATGTTATGCATTGCTAAAGATATCACATATACTTCAAGAGACTGCAGGTGGCTCATCAGGTCCATTCTACGCTGTTTTCTTTATGAAGTTGGCAACATCTATATTCCAATCTCATCAAGGCAAGGCACCCAATGAGCCAATCACCAGACAACAATGGGCCTATGCATTGCGTGAGGGATACTTGGCCATTCAACAACTTGGAGGTGCAAAGATTGGTGATTGTACAATGCTTGATGCTTTGATCCCCGCCATTGACACCATCGTTCGCATGTCCAACGACACACAGCTCAACATCAAACAGATTCTTGAAGCCTCGGCTGAGGCTGCGCACCAGGGCGCTCAATCGACAGTTGGAATGAGGGCCAACCAAGGCCGTGCCTCATATCTTGGTGATCGATCAAAGGATTGCATGGATCCAGGTGCATGCGCTATTAGTGTCATCTTCCAATCAATCAAACTTGTTCCACAGGACCAAACTCATCATCATCACGATCCTGATACATCGATCACCTTCTACCCAAGGTTCATGCCGGATATATTGTCTGGCGCAAAGACGATCACTATTCGTGATTTTGATGAAGCAAAGCACATTCCAACTAATTATCCACTTCGTGTATATCCACATGGACAGCCTGCAGATGGCAAACCAATATGCCGTATCCAAGTTGAATCAATCTTATCCGTACGATTTGATCAATTGAATGAACATCATGCCAAACAAGAGAACATGACACTTGACGAGTTGAAGCGTGTGATCAGCGAGATATATCCCAACGAGAATAAGCTCTACGTCGTAACATTCCATCTTGTCTAACCTGTGGACTGGACCAGACTGGACTGGATTGGTAATAAAGTACTCGCGAGATGCTATGACATTGTGATGATATTGCAGTTGTCGTCGACACGACAGGTTTATTAAACCTGATCAGTTGATTGATTCTGGAAGTCATCGAATGATTGGGCTAAAGATGGATGGATGGGCAGGAGAGAGATATTAGTGAGTGATCGATACCACATGGATTGACAACATGTCTGGGTGCTTACTTAAGAATGACTCGTCTGTGTACAGTTCAGAGATACCCTCCGAATCAATGACACTGTCCATGAAGTAATAGTCGGATTGGGTAGAGTCGTAGATTGAGTCGGCAAAGTATTGTGAGGATGGGATGACTCCAGCGACAGTCGTTTGATGTTGCTGTTGTTGCTGTTGCTGTTGTTGTTGTTGCGGGTGATGATAGGTGTCAAATGGTGAATAGGCGGCCACTGTTGAGTTTGGTTCCCAATAGGTGGTCGGCGTCGTTTGGAAGCTGTGAAGTGAGTTGATCTGTACAGTTGAGAGTTGAGGTTGTGATGATGAATGTGATGTCGTTCGGATCGGTGATCCAAAGGCAGGTATGAGCGCCGTGCCAACGCTACTGCTGCTGGGCTGGCTAGTGGTGGTAATCGGTTGTTCTAGGATGGAGATTGCGTCGTTGCTGTTGTCGCTGTTGTTCAGGCCGGGGTTGGACGGCTCGTCCGACACCTGATTATGACTGAGCAAGAAGACGTCGATAGGGTCGCTGTTCTCATTGTTTAGATAGATCTGGTAGCGTCTGTTGGGCATGATCATTCCCTCGTCTGGGTCTGGCACCTCGAGTTTCGTGCCAGCTGGCGCTTTGATCGCGATCAATGTGTCGTTCTTCAGCTGCTCTATTTCTCTCAAGTCGTCATATGTTACAAAGAACAGCCTATAATTGATTGATTGGAATGATTCCAGGTTAGTCAAGGCCATTATCGGGCACGTGGACTTTGTCTATGTCACAACATACTTTGATGTGGCAGCCTCATGAATGATTTGTTGGATGTTCTTCTGGACAATCTTGAGTGAGGAGTCGATGCCGGCCTCCTTCTCGGTGAGCTTCTTGACCTCCATCTTGAGTGCCTCGTTGTTGCTGCTGGCCAACAGGTCGATGTTGTTGTGGACGTGTGAGTCGACGCCTCGCCACTGCACCTGGTTCTTTGAGCTCTTTTCAATAAGGCCAACGCCTTCCAGCACACAGGTCACATCGTATATACGTCGCTTGGTGATCTCAATCGATTGAGCTGCTGCCTTCAAGTCCAAGATGCCATACGGTGACTTTTGAACCAGATCCACAAACTTCTTTGTCAGCATCACAAGTGAGTTGTCATATCTTGATGCTTTGTCTATAATGGATGGATGGATGTTGATTGATTGGGTCAGTCGAGATTCGTGAGTGAGCTGTGTTGGCGAATGCCAGATAGTTACCAGGCTTCTGCTTCTTGTTTGATTTTGTTCCTGATGCTGGTGGACTGTCGTCTTCTTCCTCCTCCTCAGACTCTTCTTCGTCTTCGTCATGTACCACCGCGCTCTTTGCCCTTGATCGTGTGCCAGTTGTCTTGGGCGCGGCCGTACCCTTCCTCGTGCGCTTGTTGGTGCCTCCATTCGTAGTCTTAGTTGTAGTGGATGATGTAGAGGTGGTTGTGGTGGTTGGGGCGCCCTCGCTGGCACCGTTCGAATCCTTCTTCTTCCTGCCTCTGCCGCGGCCGGTGGTTGCCGGCGGCGCCGCTGCCGCTGCCATGGTAGACTCTTGTGAAGAGACCTCCTGCGATGACGCTGGTGTAGTGTTTTTGGACGATCCATTGGATGCCGACAAGGAGGCCGCCGGACTCCTGGCCACATTGGAGTTGCTCAACTCGCGCAGCTGTTGCAGAGACATCTGGATCTTCTTGTCGGTCGACGATGACGAGGTGTGACCACCCGACCCAGAGCTACCGTTGAAGCTGGTGTTGTTGCTGTTGTTGCCGTTGTTGCCATTGATATAGGGCATCGATGAGAATGGTGATTGAAGCGATGCCAGTGATTGGATTTGTGACAGTGATGAGTTGATGTTGTTGTTAAGATGATTGCCAGGCATAGTTGGTGTGCTATTAATACTACTGTTGTTGCTGCTACTACTGGCGCCACCAGTTACCGAACTACTCTGTAATATACTGTAAAGATCAGACAGTGATGAGTTGCCATTTGGCGTACTATTGATATTGTTGTTGTTGTGGTTGTGGTGGTTGCTCACACCTCCATTGCCAGACTTTGTCGTTGATGTCGGCGTTGATATTGCTGATGGAGCAGAGTGTCGTTTACTATTGTGCATCGTGGTCGTTGTGGTAGTAGTTGTTGATGATCTTCCGTTTCCATGATTGCTGACTACACCGCGACCATTACCATTGCTACTATTGTTATTGTTGTTGATTGCTCCACCTGCATTATTATTGTTGTTTAGTGCGGCAGCTCTACTCCTCGTCATCGGGAATGATGAGAGTATACTATTTAAGCCTGGACCGTCGTTCATTCTCAGATTTGATTGTTTGTTTGATTGATTGAACTTGTTGACTGGATGATTGATTGAATGAATGATTGTTTGATTGATTGAATACCTTTACAATACTATATATATCTATATATCTACTTATTTAGATCTATGACATGCACTTATACTTCAGCCTTATACACAGGCACATTGGATATTGGATGTGACGACGTTGTTGTGTTCTTGATGTATGGAGTGGATTGATAGATGGATGGATGGATGATCTGAACTGAACTAAACCTGAACTGTTGGTGTGATGGTGTGGACGACTGACTGACTGACTGACTCTCTCCAAAACAATGAAAGGCACCTGACCCTATTACTGTGTATAAAGTACTACTCAAGTTATGTTATTGTTGTTGTTGATGGTGATGATGACTGTTGCCGTAGCTGCAGCTGTTGTTGACAATGACAGCGACTGGTGGATGATTATAACACACTTTCCTACTACTACTACTACCTCTCTCTTATGTATCCAGTAGGTTGAATTGAATTGGGTTGAGTTGAGTTGGTAGGGAGTGGAGTGACAGAAAGAGTGTGAGAATGTGAGATTGAGAGTGCTAGTTGCGCTCGAAGCTGGCCTAGATTGTTCACCTGCTCTCTCTTCCTTCCGCTCACTTGCAAACACAAACACACCTTCAAATAAAAAATTTTCCCTCCTTTTTTTTTGTAATGTTTATTGTGTTTTTACAAAAGGGGAGGGAGAGTGGAGAGTGGGATGGGAGGAACTTCCAGGGTCCATCATCAATGATCCTGTCGTCTGTCTGTCTTGTTTGAGACCTTGGGTCGGCTATGACTATGACTATGACTATGACTGTTGCCTGTCCAGTTGCTTGAGGGCTTGGTGTGTGATGGTGTCCAGCTTGTCGATAGCCTCACGAATCTGTTTGATCCTTTGTGAGAGGCTAACTATGCACTTGGCCTGTTCATTCAACGACACACACTTGTCAATCAATTCATGAGTCTCATTCACACTGCTGCCAACAGAGTCACAAGTCAGATCATTGGACAGCTTATAAGTATTGAACAGCTCTACTGATCCTCTGGACATCTATTGATTGAAAGTTGTGTTAGGATGGATTGATGGATTGATGGATTGATGGACATACCTTCATTAGACTGTAGTTTAGATTCCTGGTTAGGATGACCATTGAGTCGGCACATCTGATGGCATCCATTTCGATGGCCTTTAGTGTCTTGAATCCAACTTCACTTAGAACTGGTATGGATTGTGTCTCAAAGTATAATGTATTCTGTTGTCGCAGTAGTTGTTGTTGTATATGTTGTTGATCTATATATGCATTATTATTGGTTTGATTTGTTATATCTTCAGATTCCTGTGATGTTGGTTGTTGAGTTGTTGAAGATGTTGTTGTGGTCGATGTTGATGTAGTTGTGGATGTTGTTGGCTCATCTGTTGTTGATGTTTGATTGGATGCCATCTTATTCTTCTTCTTCTTTGTGTTGTAGTTCATGGATACAAGTGGTACAGCGTTGAAATTGACAACCTCTGCGAATGGTGTTGGAACAGATGATTGACCATGTGATGTTGATGTTGATGTTGATGTTGTTCCATTGTCTGACGACACGACATCGCCTCCAGTAACTGATGAATCAATCCTATGTTCACCACTATGTTGTCCATTTGTACCATCGACTGTTTGATTGTTAACCATCGAGCTCGATGTTTGGACGCCATCGGCCGACTCTAATGATGGTGGCGTGGTTGATAATATAGTATTGACATCGCTCAATATGGTCTGATATTGATCACGGTACTTCTTCATCTCTTCGGCCAGCTGGTCCTTCATGCGTAGTGATTGGGCACGACGCTGACGTGATCTCTGCTCCTGCATCATTCCATCCTCGCCATCATCGATCAGTGAGCCAGCGGCAGCGGTATCTGTATCGACATCATCTGTTGATCTTACAGGTACATCACTCTCACTATCCTGATACTTCTTATTATAACGACTCATCATTGATGCCAATCTCTCCTCCCTTTCCTTCTGTTTCTTATTCAATGTCTCATCAATGTTCACTCCTTTGACTAATGTCTCATTGTCAACACTATGTTTACTATGTACTTGTTGTTGTTGTTGTTGTTGTTGCTGTTCTTGTTGTTGCTCTTGTTGTTGATGTTGATGTTCAGGTTCTTGTTGTTGTTGTTGTTGAGAGCTCTCATTGTTGTTGTTGTTGGCTTCATTGTCGATTGAGGCTACCTCTGAGGTGTTCACTGTTTGGACACTATCGTTGTCAACAACAGTATCATCATTTTGTTGTTGATCCATTATGTATATATATATGAATGAAATGAGATAGATAGGAATGAATAATAATAAGTCTGTTGTCCTCAAGAATATCTCTTCATAATCAGTCCCTTGAATAGACTTCTTTGATCCAAAGTGTGTGGTTGGAATCAATCAAACAAAAAAAAAAGATATCTTTGAGGTCTTCAACTCTTCATTCACTCTTTCATTCCTTTCACAATGCAACAAGTAATATATATATATCTTTAGCTTATTCCATATTTGTGGATACAACAACAATAATATTATAATGTAACTCATTCCAGATTAACAATTTAAAATACACACATAATAATTATAATATAAGAGTTAATAAAGTTTACATTTATATTGTTCAGTAATAGTATTAAAGTGAATGAGACAAGAGATAGTGTAAGCGAGTAAGAATAGATATAATATAGAGTAGTAACTTGATTATAAATGGGAATGGGATTATCCTTTTTGAAATGGAATGACGAAGTTTTTTTAGTTTAGTTTGTTTTTTTTTCAATTATTATTTGGAGTGAGTGAGAGTGTGATTGAATGACATCACTTGAGTTCACTTCACCCAGGAGTGAATGCACTGAGGATCTCTGTCTCGCAACCAACAACCAACAAACAAACAATCTAAAAAGTTGTGAAAGTTATATAACATATATACATACATACTTACTTACATACATACATATATTACACATAAATAAATATATAAACATATAACAAGAACAAGATATGGGAGGACACGGCGAAGAGCACAACACTAGAACAAGCAAGTCTGATCAAGAGATTGTAAATGCTGTTAGATCACTGGCCGAGAAGAAGAAGGACGAGGGACTGCGCGTAGTGTTGATCGGACCACCAGGCTCAGGAAAGGGCACTCAGGCACCAATCATCAAGGAGGACTTTTGCGTGTGCCATCTGTCGACAGGTGACATCCTGCGTGCTGCCATCGAGGCCGGCACCGAAGACGGAAAGAGAGCAAAGGTCGTCATGGACCAGGGTGGTCTGGTACCAGATGATCTCGTCGTCAACATGATCAAGGACAACCTTGCCAAGCCCGAGTGCTCCAAGGGTTTCATCCTCGATGGTTTCCCACGTACCGTCGTCCAAGCAGAGAAGGTATGATTGATTGATTGGACTCGCGAAGTAATGTAGTACACATAGCTCACCAACCAACCAACAAACAATCAAACAAACAAACAGCTGGATTCAATGCTCGATAGCGACAACAAGAAGATAGATCATGTATTGAACTTTGAGATTGATGACTCATTGCTGGTCAGAAGAATCACAGGAAGACTGATCCATCCAGCCAGTGGCAGGAGCTATCACAAGGAGTTCTTCCCACCCAAGGTTGAGATGAAGGACGACGTGACGGGCGAGCCATTGATTCAGCGATCGGACGACACCGAGGCCGTGCTGAGCAAGCGTCTGGCCAGCTTCCACACCAACACCACACCCGTCCTGGCCTACTACAAGAACAAGGGCATTCTTTCGACGCTCGACGCCTCCAAGTCTGCCTCGTTCGTCTCCAATCACATCAGGGCCATCTTCACATCATCATTCCATTTCCCACTGCACAGCAAGCTGTTTCAAGCCTTCAACATTCCAACCTCCTACGAAACCTCTTCTTCTTCATCCATGAAGGCTTCGCTCTAAGGTCGGTCATCATCATCATCATCATTGTCCCTTTTCCCCTCAAAGGTATATCCATCTCTCACTCACACTTAGCTTGGTAGATGACTCGCTCGCTCCCACTCTCTCTTCCTTCCTCCTTCCCCCCAAACGAATAAACATCCCTTTTGATCATCCATTCATTCACTTAACTTCACTTCACTTCATTCGTTCGTTTGTTTGTTGTTTGATGGTGGACCAACCAACGACGCAACATCCAAATGTCAACTTGTGTCAACAAAGTGAAAGAAACAATTGTTTGGGCGCGCATCTCACTGTTTATGAGAAAGATATTTGACAATTTTGTAGGACATTACCTCGAGGTCGAGCGGATACTCCAGCAAACACTGTCACTCACTCATATTCACATTCTAGTTACATACATACACATTTTTATATATTTGTATAACATTACTCATACCCTCAGCTCATCCCACACAGCTACACCTACACCTACACACACACACACACACACACACACACACACACACACACAACAAGATTATTACTCATACCCTCAACTCAAAGAGTGAACCAAGTCAAGTAAGTCATACACACATACACACACACACATACTCTACTTTTAAAGATATAAACAAACACCTCTGTTTGTTGTTGGACCATCTTATAATTGCATTACAGGTTGATAGTGTGTGTCAACTAAATATAACAACAGGATATAGTGATAGAGAGAGAGAGAGACAGAGACAGACAGAGACATAGGATACAGATAATCAGACAAGACACAAAGAGAGACAGACAGACAGAGAGAGGAATACAGGTATAGATAGATGTAGGTGTTTTAAAGACGATGTAGCGGACCTATATCTATCTTTAAATGTTATCACCAATGTTGTTATTTAAGGTAGCTACCATAACTGTGGTGGTGCACCGAAAGTACAAGCTATGACATAACAGGACAAGACAAGACATCAATCATGCCAATCAATCATCTACACCTTGTTCAATGGATGATGATCATCATCTCATCATGACCCATCACATTGAAGACATCCCCGATGATATGATTGAATTGAATTGAAATGTTTGTTATCTGATCCATTGACCATCTTGTTTGTTCAGCGAATCGTCTAAAGTTAGTTTACTTAAGTTGTTGCTTACTTTGCTTGCTTGTTGTTTAGAGGTGACGATAACGACGACACTCACTCACCACACGCAATCACCTCTCTACCTCTCTCACTCTCACCTCTCTTTGTTTGTTGTTTATTGTTGCTATTCTATTCTTTCTTCAATACCTTTGTACATAGATACCTAATACTTATTCAAACAAACTTCAATAGACAACAGACACAGACTCAATCAAACAAACAGGACCAACAGACAACAAACAACATTAGAAACACAGGACACACTCACAAACACGAACATTCATACATAATATAACACATAATGGAGCCAAAGAGGAGAATGTCAACTCCAAAGAAAGGCAGGTCCAGTCCTCATGTGGGTGGCTCAACAACGGCAAGGAGACAGAATAGTAGACACAAGGCAGGAGCCGCAGCAACTGGCAAGGGCAAGACTAAGCCCGTCAAGCCTCCTGTCGCCTCACACATGACGACAGCCGTGGCAAGCAGCATCGACATGATAAACAACAGCGACAGCAGTGGCGGCGACTCGCCTCCCACCGCCGGACAGGCCGACGACACCCAACTCTCGCGTCTCGAGAAGCTGAGCCTGAACAAGACGATCTTGGACATCAAGTCACAGCAAGAGGACGAGGCCTATGCCAACAGGAAGGAGAAGGAGCGTCTGGCCGAGGAGAGAAAGAAGCTGACCAACGAGACGCTCAAGAAGATGCAGGAGGAGGAGAAGAAGCTCAAGCAGGCAGAGGAGGAGAAGAAGCGAATGATCGAGAAGCTGAAGCTCGAGAGCAAGAAGGAGGCCGAGGAGCTCAACATTAAGATGTCCGCAAACGGCGGCGGCAGTGCGGGCGGCAGCATCAACGGCAAGTTCGTCTATGATCCAAAGAAGATGGGCACTATCAAAGGCATGTCAACAATTCGTGGTGACGCCTTTGCACTGCGCAAGTACTCGTCATCGTCTTCTCTGGGCAGAAAGACCGCCAGCAACCTGTTCAAGACCATCTCTGTGCCCCGTGTGGCCAAGTCACAGATCAGTCTGCAGGATCTATTCATGCAACACAAGGCAATGTCTTCGTCAGCTGGCAGCACACTCACATCCGCTCCACCAACCCTTATCGATGCGCCAGAGCTATCACGTCAACTAGAGGAGAAGCTTCATTTACACGCACAAGCACAGGCACAAGAGAAGGAGAAGGAGAGGCATCATGATGATGAAGTGTCAACATCAACGACTACAACAACTACCACCACGACTACTACGACCTCTTCTACAGCGCCAGACTCACCATCGACTGAGGAGGGATCAAGACGTCCACTTTCAATGTCCATTAGAAAGCCGACATTCTACGGATCAGTGGGTCACTCATCAAAGGATGACATAAAGCAACAACCAAACAAGGAACTGCACAAGAAATGGGAGGGTAAGTAGGGGCGATCAGGTGATCAGTCACGTGACAGACCTCTAACACTCACATCATACCATACACAACAGAGTACGTCACAACATTGGAAAAGGAGCATGCGAGACAGGAGGAGATAGAGAGACAACAGGAGCTGGAAAGACAACAAGAGTTGGAAAGACAGAGATTGCTCGAGGAGGAGGAGAAGAGAGCAGCTGAGCAAGGTGTCACACCAAGTGGTGATGGCGCCCAAGTGCAGCAGCAACAGCCAGTCGAGCAGGTGACAGTCGACACAACAAAGCCTCACGTGACTGGTGACCAGACTAAACAACAACAGGAGGACGATGAAGACACTCAATCTGCTGCTACAACCAAGGTTGATGGAACTGAAACAGAGCCATTGACAGAGGAGCAGAAGCTACAACAACAACAACAACAGGGTGAGCCAGAGTTGCCTCCTGGACCCGATCCCAAGGCCATTGCAGATGGAAACATGATCATTGAAGCCTTGATGAACAAGCCCAATGCACCAAAGGTGGCCAAGCCAGTGTCGATTGAGGAGGAGGAGTTTGCGCTCTCGTCCCAGCGTCCTCCAGCCATGGTCAACATCTTCAAGTATGGAGTGATCGACATTGACTTCTCCATACTCTTTGGCGATGCAGACGACCTCCGTGGCTTCATTGTATGGACTGTCACATCCTTTGGCGTCGAAGAGAGAGACTTTGATGACTACCCAACGTTCTTCTCAAAGGACTCTTATCTTGTATTATATGTATGTTGTCAAGCCCTCGGTGTGTTGACACTCACTCACTAACTAACTCAATCAAACAGTCGTCAGAGGAACAGAAAGATTCCAAGTTGTACAATATTCACATATGGACAGGTGCCGATTCACCTTTGGATAGAGTGGGTGCGTCTGCAATGCTGGCAGTTCAGCTGGCAACACATCTGGGCGGCAAGGCCAACATCTACAATGAGTACCAGGGTGATGAGAGCGAATCCTTCTTGGACTACTTCTACGATGAGTTCAGCGGCATCAAATACAAGTCTGGCGGCAACGGCTCCGACTTTAACCACGTGCCAAAGCAGCGTCCGATCGGCCCAACCACTCTGCTCAAGATCGACATCCCCTTGATTGGTGACAAGAGTGGCCGCGTCAGTGTGCGCCACGTCGAGATCTCGTCCAAGCTGGTCAAGCACGCCGGTTCAGAGTTGGCATTCGTCCTGGAGAACGACCAGCGCATCTATGTGCGTCTGGGCGCCAAGTCGTCACTGAGCACGCGTGTGCTGGCGCGCAACGTTGCCCGCGACTATGCTGCCTACTACGGCAACAACTGTACAATAGTGGAGCTGATCGGTGGCGATTCACACCTGGATAAGGAGTTCTTCAAGTATCTGAAGGAGCGCAAGACCAAGAACGACAAGGACAAGGACTTCCCGCACAGCGACGACGACGAGACCATTGTCAACCTATACAAGACTGCCCAGCGACCAACCGGCAAGCTTGACCTGGACTCAATCACAGACCAGTATCCAATCAGCGTGTCGGAGCTGGGTGACAATGAAGTGTTCATCCTGGACTGCACCACAGATATCTTCCTTTGGTACAATGGCAACATCTCGCTCAAGAAGTTGGTGGCGGGCCGCGAGTGCGCGCTCATGTTCTTCAATGAGTACGAGCGACCCAAGTGGGCGCAGGTCATCGAGTGCCAGAAGGGCATGGAGCATCCGCTGTTCAAGCAGCAGTTCAAGAACTGGAACTGCAAGCTTCCCGTCCTGCCGCACCAGCAGCCATGCAGCGTCGACCGCTCACTGAAAAAGCCGCTGCAGTACAACTACAACAAGCTCCTGACCAGCATCAAGGACGAGGTGATCGAGCCCGTGCTCAAGTACAACGAGAAGGACATTGTCGATGTGTACGCCATCACCACGCCCGACCTCGAGTTCCACAAACTGGAGCCCAAGGAGAAGTCGCACTTCTACGAGATGAACAACTACATGATCATCGTTTCATCGCGCAGGAACACGCCAGCCACCACACCAGCCGCACCCACCGCTGGCAGCATCAAGGGTGCCAAGAACATTGTCAACGTCGGTCCAAAGCAGCAGTCCACCATCTACTGGTGGGAGGGCACGCATGCCGACACCAAAGGATTCGCCGCATTCTTCCACGGTCTCTATCCAATCATCTCGTCCAAGTTCCAAGAGAAAGGACAGCTGGCGCCACGTCTAGCCTACATCCACCAAAGGAAGGAGCCCATCCATTTCATGAACCTATTCAACAACAAGTTGATCATTCACTCAGTATGTATTAGTATGATTGATTGATCCGACGATCATTCATTAACTCACTCAATCAATCAATCAATGTAGGGATCGAGATTCGATGAGCCAGATATCTCTGACAAGATATACCATGTGTTGGACTATGATGATGAGATTGTATATATACAACAGGTGGATCAGAATGCCATCCTACTGAATTGCTTCAGCTCCTACTGTATCATCTCGGCCCTGAAGGAGACCATTGTCGTTTGGAAGGGAACACAGAGTTTCATTGACGATGAAGAGTTGGAACTCTACGCCTCCTATCTTGATGAGGTATGTGTGGTTTGGATGGGACCATTCCTGGTCACTCATCAACAATCACTCACTAACAATCAATCACATAACAACAGCACTACCATATCAGTATCATGCGACAGAGAAAGGCAGAGAATGATCGCGACTTTTGGTTGTCCCTGCCAGGTCTGAAGAGAGAGGTGGTGGACATCAACTACCTGAGGAACAAGTACTTTAGGTTCTGCTTCTCGGAGCAGTCCGAGTTCAAGGTGGAGCGCATCACAAGGTTCCATCCAAACGATCTCAAAGAGGACCAATGTGCACTCTTTGAGACCAAAGACAAGCTCTATCTCTGGATTGGTTCACGTGCCACCATTACACTAATTAATATATCCACTATATTTGTAAACGTAAGTACTAATATCATCATGCCCTGTTTGGCTGGTGGATCATGCATTGACTGACACTCAATCAATCATATAATAGGATTACTGTAAATATGAAGCAAAGCCACCAAAGATAAAGAAGATACAACAGTATAGGGAGTCTTACAAGTTCAAGATGTACTTCCCAGCATGGGATAGAAAGGATGTGTTGATCGACCCACTGGAGATCAGACAGCAGCAGTTGTCACTGTTGCACACGCTAGAGTACAGGGCACAGGTGGAAGAGGAACAGGCGTTGTTCAACGAGTATCTAGAGTACGCCATGTCTGCTGAGGACCTTGACGAGATCGAGGACTTCCAATCATGGGCCATGATCCAAAAGGGTATCATACCACCAAACCACTGCTCTGGCAATGGCAACAACAACAACTCATCATCATCTGCCGCTGGTGCCAATGGAGGCAAAGACAAGAAGTCCAAAAAGAAGAAGTTCTTTGGATTGTTCTAAGTCGATTCGCTCGCAGCAACAAGTTGACAATAACATCAATCAATCAATCAAACTCGTCTCGTCTTTCCCTGTATCATTCATTCATTCATTCAATCATTCGTTCATGTTGTTACTGTTGTTGATGAGTTGACAACGACAGAGTGTCGGTCACTGTGAACATCTTGTAGTTCTTTATAACAAGTTATAGTTTAGTGATTCCTCTTCATCTTTTGTTGTGGCTGCTTCTTCTTCTTGCCCTGACCTGGTACATCAGCCTTCAACACGGAGAGCTTTCCGTTGTTCTTTGCAACACGGTTCGACATCTCCCTCTCTATCTTTTGTGAAATGCCAACCTCCATTGATCTAGTAATCTTTCTCTTTGCAAGCTCCAATGCTGACTTGTTCGTAACCTTCTTGTTCAAGCCAACTGTAGTAGTTGATTGATTGATTGAGTGATTGAATGAGTAACTCAATCAATCTAACCTAACATAATACACTCGGTTTGTGAGTTACATACCCATTGACTTCTTGACAATTGATGTGCCAGTCTTCTTTACTTTCAGTGATTGTTGTGCCATTATTATATAAATATATGTATATATTAGTTTATTTGTATGTATGTACAAGTAGGTAGTATTGATTGGGAATAGAATAAGAGTGTTTGTCGGTCGCGTTATGAACTTTTGGGTGAAAGTTTGGTTCAACGCCAACCCAAAATTGATGACCTCATGCAACACACCAACATTCTCCATTATCACACCATCTCCAAGATTTAATGTTCACCACAACTAAGATACTTGGTCATCGTCACTGACCTTGAAGGTGTCATGTCAATCATCATCGACATCTGACTGACTGAGACTGACTGACTGACATTTGATTCATTCAAACAATCATACATACATACTTACAACATCATCAATATATCTTCTTATTCTTATAATCATTAATGATTTATAAGTGTTGTGACAACACTCAACATCGAAAAGGTCATGGATAGCTGGACTCCTGACATTGGAGGACTACATCAACTCATCCTCATACTCAATCAAACAAACTCATCCAATCCAGATATCCAACGAAGTATATATAATGTATGTGAATGAATGAATGATTGAATGAATGAATGAAGATGGCTTACATCCAACTAAATGCATTAGGAGTTGAAAGCATTCAATAGGATATCAGATTATAATAATTACTTGATGTATATTGTCAAGCTTCAATATCTTGAACCTCATGTACGTGATGCATCAGCTGTACAACTTAGACATAATATCAAGACGTACTATAACAACTTTGTACCATTGGTACAGAGTTATATAAAGAGAGAGGTTGTCAATATATTGTCCGATCCAGACATCAACATACGCCATACTGCATCCAACCTAATAGTTAACATCATCTCCAAGAGTTCACTTGAAGTATGTATATTGTTTGATTGATTGATTGATCGAGGTTGGCTGCTTACTAACATTCATTCAATCATTCAATCATCAAACATTTAGGAATGGACTGACCTACTGCCATGGCTACTGTCTGCATTGGACAATATGAATGAACTGTTGGTCGAGGGAGCATTGTATTCACTATCATTGATGTTTGAGGAGTTTCCAGATGAGATAATCGAGTGTGATTTGGATGGCTCCATCATCGATCAGATGATACCTAAGCTCATGGAGTTCTTGGACTCCCCTTCTCAATGTTGTAAGAGACGTGCGCTGACATGTCTACTCAATCTAATCGATGCAATGCCTGATTCACTGTTGGCAAACATGGACGACTACTTGCATGGACTGTTCTCATTGACTGATGACGAGGATGATGGCATCAGGATCAAAGTGTGCCGATCATTGGTTGCATTGGCAGAGGTGCGCATGGACCTACTCACGCCTTACATCGATCAAATCATTGAGTTCATGTTGCATACACTCAAGGATGAGAATGAGAGTGTGGCAGTCGAGGCTACAGAGTTCTGGTGGGCCATCGCAGAGTCATCACAATGTCAGGACCTGTTACAAGAGTCACTTCCAAAGTATGTTGTGGTCATATGCCATCGATGGCTGGCTGACTGGCTGGCTGACTGGCTGGCTGACAAGCACTAACATCAATCACTCACATCACAGGTTGATCCCAATCCTACTCAATCTGATGGTATACCCAGTCGACCAAGAGGATTCCGACAGTCAATACAATGACCTCGATGAGAATGGTCAAGCCAAGGTCGAGCAGGACAAGGACAAGGACAAGGACAAGGACAAGGACAAGGACAATGATGATCAAGAGGCGGAGGACGTAGAGGCAGAGGATGATGAGGAGGAGGACGAAGATGGATCATTGACATTGAGAAAGAACTCTGCACAAGTCTTGGATACATTATCGACCATCTTTGAAAGCAATGAGTACTTGTCAATTGTGTTACCACTTATCGAGAATAGGATGAACCAGTCAAGTACATGGACAGACAGAGAGAGTGCAATCTTAACACTGGGAGCCATTGCCAAAGGTTGCTACGATGGCCTCGTACCACATCTTACAACAATCATACCATACCTGATCAACACACTGAACGATCCCAACCGATTGGTTCGATCGATCACGTGCTGGACACTCAGTCGCTACGCATGCTGGATGTCAAGCAGTGAGGCAGAGGAGTTCATTGGTCCACTGGCAATCAACTTGTTGAACAGGATACTTGACCCAAACACGAGGGTACAGCGTGCAGCTTGCAGTACATACTCAATCATCGTAGATGAAGCCGTGGCCTATTTGGTACCATACCTTCCCAACATTATATACACATTGGTACAAGCATTCGAAAAGTACAACCACAAGAACCTGCCACATTTATACGATGCATTGACAGCCACAGCCAGTTCATTTGGTGGAGAGATCAACAAACCAGAGTACATAACTTTGTTATTGACACCATTACTTGAGCGATATAATACTCTGGAGGACACAGATGAGTAAGTTAGTTTGTTCGACCTGGAACCTTGTACTTCATTCCAAGCCTTAAGCTAACCAACCAAACTACCCATTCAGTAATCTACTTCGGCTGATACGTTGCCTCACGCCAATATGTGCCGCGATTGGCGACGCACTACAAGACATAGCGGTGATATTCTTTAATCGATCAATCAAACTTATTGTCGACACGTTGAATGCTGAGAAGGTATATAGTCAATCAAGCAATCAAGTATACTGGACAAGACTAACATCGTGGCACACATTTAGCGTTTCATTCAAACACCGAGCGAACAGATTGAACCAAATCGTGACTTTATCATTGCGTCGTTGGATCAACTTGGCGGCCTGACAATGGGCATGGGAAGGATGATGGAGCCATTGATGGCATCCAGTAATCTCGCTCTTATCATGATAGAGTGCTTCAAACATTATCTGCCGGATGTACTCGCCAGTACATTTGCTTTGCTCGGTGAGCTCTGCCAGCATTGTTCAGCACAACTTCGACCAGTACTTCCAGCCATGCTGGCTTGCGTCACAGCCAATCTCAGCACCAGCCTGGGAGGCGATGAAGAAGACGACAACAACAACAACGTCAACAACGAGGCAGTATGCAATAATGCATGTTGGGCATTGGGAGAGCTGCTCATTGAGGCACCAGACGAGGTGAGCCCCTTTGTTGAAGATGCACTTGTACAGCTGATTGACATCATCTGCACTAGCCAACACAGCGGGCTCACTTACAACGCAGCCATTGCACTTGGTAGACTTGGCCTGATCAACACCAAGATGTGCGCCGAGCACATCGACTTGTATATACACCACTGGTGTCAGGTCATGCAGGGAAAAGATATCGAGCAGGAGCGCGACATTACATTCGTACATGGAATGTGCGCGGTGATCATACGCGATCCCCTTGGAGTCGCCAATCATATAACCGACATCCTTCAGACGTTCAGCAGTTGGAGCGATGCCGTTCCAGACGACATTAACGAACTCATCAATGGACTATTCCGTACGATCAAGCAGACAATGTTTGGAGACGAGGAAGAATGGAAAGAACAGGTCTTATTACTTCCAGATGATATACAGCATGTTCTAAAAGATCGATATCACATGGATCTTAAGATTGAAGATGGAGACGATGAATAAAACAATGTTATTATTATTGCCTTACTCGTGAGTAAGAGTAAACAAGTCTTCGCCTGGCTGGAGAGGCTCGTGTTCGTGTTTGGAATCACATCCTTTGAGCTTAGTGACCAACTCTTTGGAAAAGTCTGTGAGCACCGAGCGCATGTGAACTCGATAGAGGTTCATGCGACATTGATGTGCTGCTTCTGGGTCTGTGTTTGTGCCTCCAATGATCATCTGCTCCAGATGCATTGAGTTTATCAGTTGGAATGAAAGGTTGCCAACAAGGAGCAGGATGTCTATTGGGTGCATCGGTCCATTATGTAGATTGATACTTGACATTTTGTCAAAGCATTCATTGACATAATCATCGTCTCTTGACTCTATTGAATGAGCAATCTCGTTGAAGTACCTGGCAACTGCTCCAAGGACAATGTTTGAGAACTTCTCTGTCTTGATCGCCTTATGACCCATCACTCGGCACAGACCAGATACAGTACCCGATACAGAGTCCATAACAAACTTGATGATCAAGTCATAGATCTCCTGTTGTGGTGTTGGACTAGAAGTTTGATTAGTCATTGTAATAGTTGTTGATTATTTGTTTGATTGAAAGTAAATAGATTGGTCCCGGGCCCCGAGGCCTTCTTAAGATCATCTGATAATCAAAAGATCTAGTTCTAAGAATGATCAAATTCCAAGTGTTTGGAACCTGGAAATCAAAGTTTGAGCAAGAGTTTATTCATTGATCATATGAGTAACCAATCGTTATCTTGACGCGCCATCTGACATCCATCACATTGATTGGACGATGAACATTGGTGATCTTGTCCAAGATGATTGATCATGTCTGCCAACGATGCTCCATGGTGTTCACAATCAATGTGTGAACATTTGATGGAGTCGAGCAAGCCTGTAAACTGTCCTTCATCCACGTTATTAGTGATGCTGACGCGTAGATCAGGTCTAATGATGTTTCTGTTGGCATCAATGTTGTTGATGTTGCGTTGTCGTCTGGTGGGCTTCTTGGTGACCGATGAAATGAGTCGACAACCGATGCAGCTCTGCTTGTCGGGACAGTTGTGGACAATCCTTCTGATGTGATTATACTCAGCCGACGTATCTTTGACAGAGTAGTTTTCGCATGTTGTGTGAGGACATTTGGTCAATCCTCTGGCCAACAACATCTCAATTGACTCGATGTCATCCACAGCTGCCCTGAGCCCAATCCTTGCATACGTTTGGTAGTTTGGACATGCGGCAAATGTCCAGCTGCAGGAATGTGCCACTTTGCAATGTTGACGCAAGTCACCATACTGTGGCATTGAACTTGTGCAGTCTTTGTGTTGACATATGACTGGTGGATTGTTGTAGTTGACATTCAGAGGCTGACCAGGGCTTTTTTGTCACTTTGGCTATTAGATGATGATGATGATGCTATTGTTGTGAACTTGTTACCCGCCAATGCTGGAGACAGGTCATCCTGAACGGTGGTGGCTCTTGCCATATGTAAGTCACTTCTAAGACATCCGAGACAGTTCTCACGGTCAAAGCACAGATGATTATTATCTCCAACCTTCCTGTTCAAGTGGCTTGTTAAACTCGTTCTTGACTTGAAGAAGTCAAAGCAAGACGTGTGCAAACACTTGATGAGTCCATCACTAATCATCATATTGATCGATTCAGTGTCCTCGGGATCAGCTCTAATAACCCTGATTCGATAACTTCTATAGTTTGGACATGAACCATATGTGCCTGTACAACCATGATCTGAAGAGCAATGTTGTAGCAATGTAGTGATAATATCACCAGGCATCTGTTTTGTACAGTCCTCATGTAGACATGAGAACGTCATTATTACATTGAATAAGTGATATATATACTATTAATTATCTGTTTGTTATCTGTATCAAAAGTTGAACTTTGACTAACCCTTACCCTCGACCTCGACCCTAACCCTAACCCTAACCTAACACTAACCCAACAACTACATTCAATCAATGATGATCGAATCAATCAATCTATCAATGAATCATATATATTACATAAATAACTAAGATAGATCAATGAATACAATGATATCAAACAACAACAATCATTTCATTAGTAGTGACGTTAATGAGAAGGAAACAGAACAGTTTCAAAGAGATGGATTCGTGTTTATAAACGATGTAGTATCAAAGGAGATGGTCAGTAAGGTAAAGGAGAGAGTGTCGCCTTTATTTCATGGTAACTTCGAGACTGGTATATTCCCCGATGAGTGGCATTGGAGACCTGGTCTCTCGAAAGATGACATCACAAGAGAGATTGTCAATGCTTGGAAGTGTGACAGACGCTTCGCTCAAATGGTACTCGATGAACGATTGGGCAAGATTGTTGCCAAACTCATGGGATGGTCAGGTGCCCGTATTGCTCAAGATGATGTCTTTGTATGTTAATGAATGAATGAACTTCATGAGGATTCACCTGACTGACTAATCAATCAATCAATCAATCAAAGTGGAAGCCTATTGGCGGAAAGCCGATTGGATTCCATCAAGATCAACCTTACATGGGATACTTCACGCCAAACTCGGTGGCTACGATGTGGATTGCACTCACAGATGTGAGCATGACCAATGGTACACTGGAGTATGTTAAGGGCTCACACTTATGGCCAACAACACATACGATTGAGGAGGCAGAGTTCCATGCTCCAGACAACTACCTGGCACCTTTGGCACACGCCGCGGCATCCGCTGGCCAGAGCGAGTACCCTCGCACACCAGTCGAGATCACGGCCGGTTCGTGTAGTGTTCATCATGGAATGATGTGGCATGGCTCGGCCACCAATCCATCGCCACTACACGAGCGCATCAGTGTAGCCATCCACTATATCCCCGCCGAGAGTGAGTTCAACAGCACCAAGCCTGTAGGCTACATCTACGGTCGCTACAAGATGTATCAGTCCAACCGACTTGACGAGAGCTTCTTCCCCATTGTCTACCAGGCCAATGGCTACAGGTCCGAATGCATATCGACGTTTATATAAGTGTATGATCGATTGATGGAGGGGCACCACTTAGCCCATGTCCATGCTGCTGCTGTGTCCACCGCTGTTCTTCTGTTGTTTGCTGTAATATACGTTTCCTGGTTGTTCCTTCTTCTGCTTAGGCTTTGATGGCTTCTTTGCCATTGGCTTCTTATTCATAATCTTGCTCTGTTGAGCTGCCAGCTTCTTCTGGTCCTCCAACTTCTGATTCTGCATCGCCACAGAGTTGGTCAAATGTTCCTTTAACGTTGCGAAAGGATCAGCCTGGAACTGTGGATGTGATATAACACTCTTATACTGTTGTATCTCTCTTGCACTAATGAACATGTCAGTCACTATGAATGAATGAATGAACAACTGTTGTCCAAAGTACATACGCTATCTTCTTCTTCTTTCTGTTTGTCATTGTGGCTGATGTACCTGTGCCTGGTCGTTGGGCTTTGTCATCGTCATCATCGCTACCCATCAGTTCCTGTAGAGCAGACATGAACTCATCAGAGTTAATCGATAGTGATGAGGCTTGTTGTGGTTGTTGCAGCTGTTGTTTTCTCTGTTGTTGCTCCTTCTCCTCAGATGACAATGGACCAGGTTGTCTCTTTGCGAATGGTTCAAGCTCTATTGATTGAATCATCGATCGTCAGTACTAGTGTCAGCGTTGTGATCGAAGAATGTAACATACTCTTTAGGAATGCTTGCTTCTTTTGCTTGCGCTTCTCTTTCTTGGCGAGTGGCTGTGGTCGTCTGTCGACAAACTCTTGGGGTTGGAGTGGCAGAGGTGCTGGTGGTGCTACGTTGTTCAATGATTTGATGTTGTTCTTCAATAGGTTGATATCCAAATCGACATGAGGCACCTTTACGAATGATGTTACATTCGCCTTTTCAAAGACATCCTCTTCAACATCATCATTTCGTTGGGTTGATCCCTCATTCTTATTAAACTTTGGTGCACTGCCATGTAACTTTCTATTATGTGTAACCTTTGGCATTGTTGTTGTATCTCTATCTTCCTATCTGTATGTTGATTGATTGATTTGAATGAATGGGTGGGTGATTGCTATCAACTTTCGTTCGTTTTTTCAACTTTTGACTAAAATCAAACAAATAGTGATAATTCAACAAACAGATAATCATAAACACACATATTCATTCATTCATTCATTCATTCGGCATGTCCACCACGCAGGTGGAAGGGACATCGGTATTGTCCCATCGTTTATTCGATGTCTCGGCGACTTGACTTGGCATTGGACTTGGACAGATTGATTGGCCTTCGTAGGTCTTGACACCACCATCTTGATGATGAATGACTCCAACCAACCATGTACACTCACCTGCCATAGTGAGAAAGAAGAAGAGATACTTGAAGATTTCTTGATAATGTTGATTCCATTGACTAGTACAAATGTGCGTCAGTGGATTGATACAGATACCTTGTTTGGGGACCACTCCATGTCCCAGGCAGAGGAAGAGCACCATCGGTTCATTCAATCATCTTGGATCGGGCGTTGGAGCACAGACGTTGGCTTACGATCGTCTAGGTCGGGGCAACAGAGCAAACTAGCTATCTAAGGGTAGGTAGGTCGGTAGGTAGACCAGATCAAACATTAGAGCAACTCCAGCAACATCACCAGTTCAAAAAGCCCAGCACTGGTTCACCAGCAGCAGCATGAGCAACAGCAACAGCAACAGCAGAAGCAGCAATAGGAGCAGTTCAATCAGATCACCAGCGGTCAATACTTCATCCAAGGGCATCAGCAACCTGGGCCAGCGGTCAGGGTCAACAGCAACAGCGGCAACAGGACTCGTTCGGACATTGGCTGAGGGTCATGCGAGAGGGTCTAAACTTGTCTAACACCATGTGGGTATTAGTTCGGGACGACACATCCTTCCTTGTGGTACCAGCACCAAGGGACTTCATTGACCAGGACCCAGACAGCCTGACAGAGTTCATTTATTCACACGCGCGCGCACGGGAGAGATGGCAACTTGCATTCTTCATTCATTGGCTTGGCCTTGAGCAGGACTCCAGGAAATTGAAAAGACTTGATTGACTTGATTGATTCCTTGATTGTTTGATTGAATTGATTGATACACATACATTATTTAAATCACTAAACCATTCCCTACATCATCGTAGTAGTGGATGTTTAGAAGAAGGATGGCCTAAAGTGATGAATAGTATGAGTGTGTTAGTCGTCTGAGATTGATTGGAACTATTCCAGTTTCTACTACTTACCATTGTGGTGGCCTAAGTCCTTGTCTGTTGTTCATTACCGGTTGGTCACTACCTTGATGATACTGCATATTGTAAGCGCCACTACGGCTATGATTGATTGAAAATGAAAAGGAATGAATGGATGTGATACAAGAGAGCAGAGCACGTGGATGAAAAGAGAGAGTGTGTCAGTTCTGAACCCAGAGCGCAGCAAGAAGCAAGCAAGCAGCAATCAGCAGCAGCAGCAACCCGAGAGATAAGTTGATAGAGTGAGCCCTAAGAGCTATAGCCTAAGCAGTTCCTACTTTGGTGGGACTTCAGTCTCCCCTTTAGACGAATCATCATGGTGAGCGGGAGCAGCGGTCGGGGTCGGGGTCGGGGTCTGAGTAGGGGCAGGGGTGGCAACAACAGCGGGCGAAACATCAGTGTCATGTGGACGGTTGTCATTCTCAGGTCGATTGTCCTGATCTGGTCTATTGTCATTCTCTGGTCGGTTGTCTTGTTCAGGTCTAGGAGTCTCCTTCTTGTAGCCAGGGCGACGTTCGGGGCGACGGTCATCATCGAATGCCAAGGTCGAACAGACCATCAGTGACATTATCATTACCATAAATACTAAAGTGAACGATTCATTTTAAATGACTCTGAATTGATTGAAATGATTGATTGTGTGATTGAGCTGGATTCGATATGGAATTGAATTGGAGTCTGAATTATTAATTATGGATGGAATATTTAAATATTTAATTAACTAACTATTTGTTGATTGATTGATTGATAACGTTAAATGATGTGACACGAATTGTATTTATATTTTAATATTTATTTTGTTTATTTTTGTTGGTTGTAAAGGATCATGTTGATTAGGACGTATCCCTGTTTAATAAACAAGTGTCAAGAGACATATCCGAATTCTGCCTCGGTATTAATGGTAATAATTAAATACAAATTTTAATTAATTCATCTATCACCTGGAAAATCAATTCATTTATATCAAGATCCGGTAGAGACGCCTACACACCTACACTCTAAGCCATATACACACTCACTAATCTGATATCTCTTCCACCCACCAACACTATTCATCTTTTACCCACAAATGACCTGTCTCTGCGATGTTGATCAACCCAATATCACGATCTTGATCCACACTGTGTCGACAAGATACCTTTCTTTAGTTCGAATTATTTCACTCTTGGTAATGAGAAAGATTGATTGAATGAGTGAATTAATGGTGAATGATAGGGAGATATTAGACCACCTTACCTCTACCCAAAAAGATTGATGTATGTAAATAAAGTAACTCATGAGTAATGGATGGATAGTTGGCTCGATGGTTGGATCGCAGGTTGTATATATGGATTGATGGTTGAATGAATTTGAGCCACCCATGGAGATCAAATTATAACATGAATATATTCTTGGCCTGGTACCAAACTCGTACAATAATCCCCACGATATAACGATATGGTTGTCGTCGTAATTGTACACCTATATCAGATTGGTTGGTTTCATACCCCAACTTCATCATCCTCATCTCTTTAATGATGATACTCTCTCACTGACCTAATATTATTGGATTGATTGATTGAGATATTAGAGTGTAATACGATCTAACACAATCACACTTATTGATCAATCAATAAAATATAATCTATTAAATGTAAGTTCCTCCTGAACAAACAGTCACACTCGTGATCATTATGATGAACACTAGTGACCAATTAGATTGATTAATTAGATTTCTTATTATTTGGCTTGAACTGATTATAGTATAATAGTCTTGTCTGATGGTAAGAGTTTATGAACTTGATCAAAGTATAAGACGATAAAAATACCAGGGACAATCTCAATTCAAACCCCTTTTGATCAAAAGGCAACCATGATGGTTGGTCCACTTTCACCACGACAAACAAAAATACCGAAAAAACACTGTTTTGATCATTGTTCATTATATGAATAAGGGTTTGGTCGGTTATACTTCCGCATAGTTCTTACAATTCTAAAACAAAGATCTTGATGGGTATGTAGTGTTGTGTTGTTAAGTGGTGTGATGTGTTAAGCAAAGGCGGTTATTCTCAATGGGATGAAGGCAATGGAAGTTGGTCTCTCTCTGAGACCTTCATACGAAATGGTTTTTGGGTCTCAAACTGGAGATGTTCTGGTAACATTGATATACTTAAACTTTACCTGCCAGTTACATGGACCCGTGTGATTGATTGTTCCACCGTGCGGAAGCCTCTCCTCCATCTCAACGACCATCGTAAAGTATAAACTACTCAATCACTCAATGTTGAAATCAATCACTATCTAAATATTTCTAACATTACAATCAATTATTTGTGTAACATTTCTTTAATACTATTACCTACTTTACTCTTTATTTTGTAATATACAATGTCCAATAATATATTTAAATCATCAATAATATTTCTGATCCTTTTGGTATCCTTTATAAATGCCCAAATAGGTACATTGTCGGGAGGTTCAGATGCTGGTTCAAACGGTGGATCAATCATATCAAGTGGCCAATATACTACAGAGAATGGTATTATTATCTCTGGTAGTTTAGTACCATTACCAGAAACAGATACAACCTATACATCAGCTGGCATGTCCTCAAAACCCTCCAACTCGGATACATCCTCTACCTCAACGACAACTACAACCTCGTCATCAACCTCAACACAGCCACCAGTGACACAGCCACCTTCAACACCAAAGCCCTCACTCAATACAACCTCCTCTTCATCATCTGGGAAGCCTAATCCATCTTCATCCTCTTCATCGTCATCATCCTCCTCAACATCGACTCCACCCAACCCATCTTCAACAGGCGCAACTACTCCAACAACACAACCTGATGGACAAGATGACCATGGAAACTCTGCATCCAAAGTAGTACTTATTTCATCAACACTACTTACTTCATCCCTAATCACACTTGTATTCCTATTATAATGATAGAGATAATAATAAAAGACATTGTTTATAACTAGATAATTCTAAAAATTGCCTTGAGAAGTTGTGTTTTGTTGCAACCCAATTTTGTGATTTGAGCTCATTCTGTTTGAAGACGAGACAGACGAATGACTTCAGATGAGTTAGAGCTAGAGAGATGATGTTGATGACAATGTCAGTGTCTGGCTCAAGACCATGTATATGGTCTAGTCTTATGAAGTTATGTGATAGGACAAGATGTATAACATCATATAGATCATATGCATCATCTTCGACAAAAGCAAAGATGAGTGCAGAAGAAGCTGCAATAACAAATGCAATAGATCCAGCGACATCAACAACAAAGACAACAACAGCTATTATACCTTCAATAACAATATTCACAAAGTCAAAGAACAATCCAACTATAAACGATGGGCGACATGGTGGTGGACGACATCAACAACATCAACGAAGAATCAAGACGCCACCTGGCAGTGTCCTCACCAACAAACTCAATCAAGCCAGGACACAGATACCCTTCCCCACCACCGTTGACCAATACGCCGACTCCTTCAAGACATCACATAAGATTGCAACATGGGCCAATGGGTAGGTTGACCTAACATCTGCTGCCTGCCGCGAGCTATTCACTCACTTACTCAATCAATCAATGGCAGGCCAGACTTGAGTGCGACGCGACATATATTACTTAATGGCTCATCAGAGGACACGTCTAAACTGTTTGATAAGCTGATATCATCAAAGTTCTTGGACATCAATATACTTAATGCATTCTTTGAACACTTCCTGCAGTGTGGCGATCTTGCTCAAGCGTCTCGCGCGATTACTAGTGCCAATGAGAGAGGACTCAAAGACAACAGACGATTCATAGAGCTCAATCTGCGATACTATGTCATGGCAGGCGAGAACCAACAATGGCTGCGACAGTATTTCGAACAGATAAACTGCATAAAGACGGACAACACATGCACGATCGATGTGACCACCGTGTTGGACACGCTGCTCTACCTCGAGGATTACGCGCGCGCACTGGCACTGCTTGAAGCCAACTTTGACACACATTCTGGACCAATGCTCAGCATCTACCTCAATCACTACATCCGACGCATGGGCGACATCTCGGGTGCATTGTCCTTCTTGCAGAAGTACATCGATCAATGCACGGAACACACATCGTGGTGGACCACCAACTTGGCCTCATTCATATCCACGCTCGACGCCAGCAAGCATGCCAATGTATGCATGGCACTACTCGAGTTACTGGCGACCAACAGTATCGAGATCCAACCATCGACATGGTTGCGCATCATTCATTGGGCGTTGTTCAACGAGTCATCGTTACACATTGCCCTGGACAACTACGCACAGATCAAGAACAGCTTATCCCCGGTGGACTACCTACCGATATACCAAGACATCCTGGGGTCGAAGCTCCCGGTGACCCCGGCTTACTTTGAGGTGTTGGATCGGTGGCTATGCATGCATCCTGCTCCCCCGGTGGAGCTGTGCTACCTCTACTTTCTACATGCTACACGCCCGAGCCATCAGCTCATTGGCATCATCAGCAGCATGTCAGATCTACATGCCCAACTGATCGTTCTGGCTGAGCGTCTGGGCGCCACACATATCGTCACAGAACTGACCAAGCCACTACAATCGGCGTCGACAAAGCGAAATACGGACACAATCAAGATGGTCATATTATACTACCTACATCTTGGTCACTTCTCGCCGGCACTCAACTGGTATCACTCCAACAACTTCGACTCCCCACTGATCTCGTACGCCCTCGCCAATCACTATACACAGCACGACCTGATGCCCTCCTCCAAGCTCTCAGCAGTGCACTGGAAGAACCTGCTCTTTGTGCGCCACTCGCTCAACTTTGAAGACTGCCACAAACAAAGCGCAAAGTTCAAGCAGATCAAGACGCATATGGCCTTGCCATTTGAACACTTCATTGCAAGGCCCCCAACACTCAAGGAGCAACTGGATCAACAGAGTAGCATCATCACCCCGGTCGAGGCAGGCCTGGTCGATCTGTGCAATCAAGTACGCGATTACAAACAAAAGATCGATCCAGATATACCCGCTCCACTGTTTGATGAACTGGCGCGAACACTAACGATGGTGTTTGAGTCGGTTACCAACATTGAACTCGACTACACTGCCCTGTCCAACGCGATTACCATCCTCCGCGACAATTGGACCAACGAGAGATTCATGCAGTACTGGTGCAACGAGCTGGGCGATCGCGGCAGACAATGGTTGTTCACGCCCAACTACTACATCAGCTTCTGCGACGAGTTTGACGAGGCGGGACTTCAGGTCCTCTTCACGTATGTGGACCCTCAGCTTCGTAGATCAGTAATGTTCCGCAATGTGATGTTGGAGAAACTGCTCAATGATCCAATCAACTCAACACTGGCCATGCAACTCATCGAGAAGATGTTGTCGGACAATATAAGAGTGTCTGGACGTACTTGGAATCAGTTGGCAATGCATGTGGCGCGCGGCACGATCAAGATTGATGGCGAGGACTTTGAGCGATTCAAACTGATTCAATTCGGAAGCAGCTACATAGTGGACACTATGAAGTGCCAGAACATGATCAACAACAAAGACATTGGAGGAGCAAAGGAGGTACTGGCCAGTCTTCAACTAGTGAAAGGCAGCAAGTCCAGCAATCTTGCCACACTCTTCACACTTTCACTCAACCTTTACAAATTGGAGAAGGGCACGCCACCCAGTGAATGGAAGGCCGTAGACATTCTGGACTACATACAGATAAGCCCCTCCCATAATGGTTTCTATGGTACACTTATCACTACGATGCGATCATTTGGCTGCAACTCCAAGGCCATCAATGATGTGGTGCTGTTGAACAGTCGTCTCCACACCACTTTGATGGACGCTGAAGCCATCGAGAGTGTGGTTAGCATGCAACCAACGCCCGAGGACAGGATAGCCGAGTTCTTAAAGTTTGTCATAAGACCCAGGGCAATCAGTAGGCGATTCAGTGATCAGCTACAGGCTGACAATACCATCGTCACCAATCGATCTGTTGCCCTATACCTGAGGAAGGTCAGAGTCATCCAAGTCCAGTCCATCTCGCCAGATGTTATCCAACTAATAAAAAATGACAATGGATTGTGATTGTGATTTACCAAGGGTCAGGTGATCAAGATATGTGTGCACCCCCCACTTCCAAAATTGATTGATTGAGGCCCAGCCACTCTAACACTCACCATGAAGGCCCCAGCCTCAAAGGGCACACCCACATTTATCATTGAAGCAATTAACAATCATAAGATCATCAACAAACAGATAGGTATGACAAAGAAAGATAAGAGACAAGATAGGAATAATAAGAAGAATAAGTTGATCAGTACTCAACATCCTAATCAGGATGTGAATGATGTGATTGGCGGTGGAGCAGGAGCAGGTGGATGGAATATGAAGACAAGCTCAATGGCTGACAAGGCTGATAGACATCAATGTTATGAGACAGCTGTGCAAAGTCCAAAGGCAGACATTGGCTTTTGCAACAAGGTGTTCCATCTGTACCGTCATCGCAAAGCCATCCACTTCAAAGAGGACTTCTCTGGCACGGGCATCCTGGCCACTGAGTGGGTCAAGTCAGACCCGGAGCGAACCGCCCTCTGTGTGGACCTTGACGATGCCACCCTACAATGGGGCATGCAGCACCATGTCAAAGAGGCCGGCGCTGCTGGTGAGCGCGTCACAATGAAATGCGCCAATGTGCTTGATGTCAAAGACCCCAAGGTGGACCTGATCGCTTCATTCAACTACAGTATCTGTCTTTTCCATCAACGCTCACTCATGCTACGATACTTCCAAGCGGCGTATGAGAGCCTTGTCGATGATGGCGTGCTCGTCTGCGATCTGTTTGGTGGCTACCAGGCCACGTACACGCCCACCGTGCAGCATCGTCGCTTTGACGACTTTGTCTACACATGGTCCAAGGAGCACTACAATGGACTGACCAATGAGATCATGTGCAGTATCTCATTCTCATTTGCTGACAAGTCGTCACTGAAGCGTTCCTTTGTCTATGACTTCCGATTGTGGACCGTTGCCGAGTTCAAGGAGGCAATGCTGGAAGCTGGATTCAAGGATATTCGTGTATGGTGGCGTAACGAACGCAAGGTCAACCAACCCAGTCAAGATGATAGCATCAATACTAGTGACACTAGATCAAACAAAAAGAGTGCTACAAAGGTTGATGATGATGATCAGGCTGATGATGTGGATGTGGAAGTGGATGAGGCAGAGGAGGAAGTTGTAGATGAGAACAAGTTGAGATATAAGGAGAAGAAACAGATGAAGCAACAGAGAAAGGGAGCCCTGGAACAGATGGAGGAGTTGGAGATCAATCAAGCCAAACAGCAAGAGGCGTTACTGGAGCATCTTGGTACCTCTAGTGATTATATTGAGGTAGACTCTATCCCACAGACTGCTTCATGGAATGTTTATGTCGTAGCGCTGAGGTGAGTAGTATGACTGGACAATAAAACCCTCACCTCAGCGATCGCATGGTCTAGTCATCGATTGCCACCTTCACCCCCATCCATCCTGTTGCTGTTTCCACTTCCTCGCGGAAGTTTGTCACCACGTCAGCCACACTCAAACATCCATTTCGTGAAGTTGCAACTTCAATCATTCAATCTTTTAATACATTACTACATGAAGTAATATAACAATGTCATTTAGGATTACATTACAACATATTAAAGAGGACTTTAGAAACATTGAGAGACTGGAGGAGAATGGAGAGTATCTCAATGATCTGGTACAACAACTACAGACTGAGAAACAGAACACTACAACAGCAACAACACCCAATGCTACCGCCACTACTACTACGACTACATCTAATGCCAAGTTAGACATATTCGATTATATACTAAAGAATGTAGACCTTAGCAGTGCAGACATTGACAATGAATATGAGTATATAAAGGATACATTGATAGACAGTAGCAATAGCATAGACAACAAGAGCGGGAGTAACACGGATGGCAAGTCAACCGATCATGACTCACATTCAACTTCGAACAAGTCTGCACATCATCATAATCAACAACAACAACACCATCATCAGAGCGATGCCAAGGTCACCGACAACAACATAAAGTCACAAGATGATGACCAGAGCATGGACAACAACAGGAGAAAGGAGGTCATCTTTAAGAAGCTGGCACAGCTTAAGTTGCATGATGACACATTCAATCAGGCGTTCAAGTTCATTGAGACAGACAACTGGCTCAACTCCAAAGGTTTAGCACTGGTGTCTGATGATAATACTGCCACAATCAAGAACGAGCTGACACAGTGCATTGCTACCATCAATGACTCGATACAACAACTCTCCTCAATGACCTCTCCAGAACCATCTGTGCTGTGATTGAGCGAGACAGACAACAGAAGCAGACTGTATATACAATATAAAGGATAACCAAGTTATATTTATAACTTGATGTTTATTATAAATGTCAAGAGGTCACTGGCTGGCGTCGGCACCAGAAGGATCACCATCATAGTCCAGAGTTGCTAGACTTGTACAGGAGCGCCCAAGGTCTTCTTACCTTTGCTTGCCGTTGTCAAGCGTGATCTTGATCTACTTGTCTGTTGTGATAGGAGGGTATTTCTTGTGGTGTTGTTGTTGTCGGTTGCGATTGTATTCATTTGTCAAAGTTGTAAGTAGTTGTCTAATCGTCGATCCATTATATCTATCTATCTTGTAGTTCGCTCATTCGGTCATTCAATCTCATCCATCCATGATTGTCTATTCTTCCAATAACCAACCAAATCAATGATGATGATGTCCAATAATAATAATATATACATTCTTGTTGGCCACTTGCCAACTGAGTCCAAGGGTCCACGAACCATCCAACTCAATATTGTGGAACCAGTTCTTACCAAATGTGTCGACTTATAATGTAGAAGGAAGGAAGGAAAGGTGTGATGGTCAACGGGACCATAGGTGCAACGTGCGTAGGTGGGTGGTGATAGGTTGATATACAACTTCTCAGATGGTAATGGATGTAGACGAGGTGGAGTAGAAACTATTAAAAGCGGACGTGAGGATGGACTGTGGCAATTGAACGACCCCATTGATAGTGTTGTTGTTGTTGGTGATGTTGGTATTGTTGTAGGTGTTGTAATTATTAAGGCCACTTGACGATTTGACAAACGACGACTCACGCATCAGTGGGATATTGTATCTGTTGGAACCGAGCGAATCAAAAGGTGCACCAATGTATCTTGATTGTGTGTAGAACGTCTCATTAGGACAATCGCCATTATGTTGACAGGAGCAACCATGTACACGGAGGCAATGGTTACGGACATCCTCCAAAGAACTGAAACATCTTCTACAATCATCATCATGCATGCATTTGTATTCCATTTTGCTATTATTAAGGTAGTTAGTAGATTGGGATTGGATTAAAGATAAAGAGTTGAGTGGTTGATTGAATTGAGGGGAAGAGGAAATATAATAATTTGAATTGAATTGAGAATAAAGAGATAATAACAATATAAATAATCAATAGAGATAATAATATGGAGATTATAAAGTACGGTTTCGTATTTGTATTTGTTATAACAATGAGGTCAAGAAATCCAGGAAGTAGAATGAAAAGAAATCAAGAAAGTTAGTCCTTATTATTTGTGAATGTTCGAGAATGTGGAGAAATAATGAATGAACGATTGTCATGTGTTGAGTGTTTATCATTTACGAAACCTCGTCAAACAGTGTTGTTTGTGTGGTGTTGCAAGCATAACATCCTGTCACTCTCACACACATACTCAAACAAATTGGACATATTACAATTGACGTATAAAGTAAAGTTTAAACACTTAGTACCTGTATGGATGTTAGATAGAGAGATAGAGATAGGTTGAGTGAGAGGTTATAAGAGATACGACCATATAATAATAATCATACTGCCAGTGTGATGATAAATTGGTGTTGACTACAACCAATTAAAGCTAGCTGCGACAACAATCACAGTAAGAATAAACAAACAAACAACCAAACAACCAAACCAAGTTGGTTGGCAGTGGGATCGATTGCAATGTGGACATGGTGACTGGTTACGATGTAAACATGTTGGCAAATGTAAGGGTACAATGGCAAAGCGGCACTTGCTTTAGCAACAACAATCAATCAATCACCTTCGCCATCTCTAGTGATCTATCTATCTATTTGTTGTTGTAACTTCGTTCCAAGTTCTGGAACACCACCTACCGAATACCCATTAAAACTAACTTTAATGGATGGACAAAGGTTCTAAAGTCATCACTTATTCATGAGTATATTTAAATCACTTGACATCATACCCTACCCAGTCAGTGTTCACGAACAACAACAATCCGTGCGCCTCATCATGTGTGGCATGGCTACTACTTGGTGATGATCATGGTCAACAACTCCATCTTTGAAATTTCCATTGACGTGTTGGGAATGGAAGGGACCTGAATGCTCCAACCAAAGTCAACAGATATCTGTTTGGTCACACCATGAAAGGTGATAGCCATCAACCAGAAATTGTGGTTACAACCGGTATCTTTCAATTCAACTTGGCAGTATCAGATGATGATGGATGACAGCCCGGCCCGTGAGCAATCATCCAAGACCCAGCCAACGTAGTCGAGAGGTGCAGGCCTATTGGACAGCCCCAAAGACCAACCAAAAGTAGCCTATGGTGTAACTTTGGTAAATATCTCTAAAAAGAGAGTCTATTTTAGACAACGACGTATGCAAGCATGATCGCAGCCTTCGAGTGGTTAATGGAACGAACTTATAACCCAAGCAATCAGTCATCATACCATTGAGAACAAATCCATATCAAATTTGGGTCACAGTCATCATTTCGGCAGGCAGATTGGAGCCAACCAAGATACATCCGCACTCACCTGATTATACCTCAAGTGAAATCAAGCGGATGCTCATGATAGGCCCATGTGGGCCATGCAGCCCTCCACTGATCAGTGACAGCGACTCGATTGCGCAACCGAATCAAGATCTAAAAATCAGGGATGCGCGCACTCTCAACATGGGGTGACGAAGGACCCAAGCAACTTGCGGTCGAGCCATGTGTCTAAAAACAGGACCAACGAGCATCTGCCGCCTCAAAGGGGTACGGCAAGCAGCCTGGCCATCACTCATTGATCAGAGTGTTTTGATGGGGCCACTCGCAGAGAAAGATCAAAAAAACCAAACCAAACAACTGATCACAAACAAAACCAACAAAATCAATATTGTGGAATGCATTAGATGACAGGGATGTCCACCATCACCACTCCGCACCACCGAGAATACCCAAACCATCAGGTGACCAATTGAGAGTGTCACACCCTTTTACATCTTTTATTTGTTTGTTTCTTCTTTCTCGCTTCGTTGTTTGTTGTTGTTGATGTTGCGTTGAGTTGTTATGCGTGTCTTGTTTGCTTGCAACACTCTTTCCTTCCTATCCCCTCCTCATCCTGTCATCTTTTAACATTGTATAGTACCCACCTACCTATCTCTTTCTTTCTTCCTATCTACCTCTCCCAGTCAACATTTTTTTTTTAAACTCTCTCCTACCTCTTCCTTCCTTCCTTCCAACCTTTTCCATCACTCACTTTTCAGCCATCATCCTCATCACTTCCCATTTTCTGTACCATACCAACATATACTATATAACTTTCTGCGACATCCATTTTCCTCTTCCTCCTCCTTTTAACGACGACAACAATCAATCAATCAATAATTCAGTCAATCAATCAATTAACCCAACCAACATTCCCATTGCCAATCAACATCATTCAAGTAACACACACGTTGCTTTGAGAGAGTCCTCATTACTCGATCAAAAACTAAATATCACCTCAATCAATCACGCCCCTTCGCGCGCCCAAAGTAGCAACACACAGCCCCATAACTTCACCCACACAACACACTCTTGACGAACCATCTTCGACCAGTCCGTCATTAACATCAATCACCCAACAACATCCGGAGGACATACCAATCCAAAAGGTAGGATAGATTGGATAGGATCAAGTTCAATTGGATTGGATTGAACCAATCAATGCCCACAAGCTATTTGCAACTTGCTAATTAAACCACTCATCTCATCAATCCACAACCTTGTCCAACTACTACTTCCTGGATCACGCAACTGAACAACAACAACAACAACAACAACAACAGGCGGGCAACAGACATAACAGACATATCAAACAACATCAGACAACAGCAGCAATAGCAACAGGCCATGTCAAAGACGTACAAGAAGGCCTGTCTGCACGTTGGATGCAACAAGGACTATACAAAGAATCATTGCTCACAGATGCACCAGTGTGGCGGCGTCTACGAACAATGTCCAAACGAGCGAATCTATAGACGCAAGACACACGCCGACAAGATCTTGTCACCCGTATCCACCAAGCCCAAGATCAAGATCCGTTGTCTCCACAAGAACTGCAATGGCGAGTGCTGCAACTTTGCCAACGTCGAGGAGCACTGCAAGGCGATCCATGGCTGCACGGGCACATATGCGCGATGCCCCAACGAGCGCGGCTACCGTCGCTCCAAGTTCGAGGCCGACCCCGAGGACTTTGAGTCTATCGAGATGTTGTTGGCGGACGGACGCATCAAGTGCCCCCACACATCGTGCAACAACTGGTACGCCTCACGCGAGGGTATGAAGAGCCACGTCCGCAACAGCAAGCACATCCATCTTTGCCTCGACCGCCAGAGCTGCGAGGGATGTCAATTACGGGGAGCACTGGACGTCAAGCGCAGCATTATCGCCACGCGCACAGGTCCACCCATGCCCGACTGGACGCCCAACTCACTGAAACGCAAGCTCTCACCAGGTGCTGGCGACAGTGAGGAGGACGATGACGAATATTATAGCGGCAATGACAGTGTCAGTGGCGGTGGCCACTATGGCGTCGGTAGCAGTGGCGGCATTGGTGGCAGCATTGGCAGCATTATCAACGGCGGCAGTAGTGCCCCTCGCGGCAGCACCGGCAGCAGCACAAGCAGCACCAGCAGCAGTCCCTACCACGGCGGCCAGAGTAGCCCATACAGCGGCGGTCTGAGCCACTCTCTGGTCGGTGGTATGGAGCACAACAGTGGTGGCGGCATTGGTGGCAACGGCAGCAACAACACCAACTTTAGCATTGTCAACATTGTCCACAGCAACAGCGAGAGCAACACTGATGACGAGGAGGACGAGAGTCCTTTTGGCACCAACTACATATTCAAGTGTCCACACTTTAGCTGCGCGGAGCGCGGCGATCTCAACGCCATCCGCAACCATCTCATTCTGAACCACAACTGCTACATGTCGCGTCAATGCGTCGGCTGTCGTATGACATTGGAGATGAAGATGCGCGACATCAAGTACAAGCACGAAGCAACTCACAGGGCCCAGACCATGTCGTCACCCTCTGCCGGCTCGCCACTCAGTCTCGCTCAACACCAAGTACATCACTCGAGTCCCTTCAGCAACATCAACCTCAGCAACATCAACACCAACAACAATCACAACAACAATCAACATCACCATCACCATCACAATGTCATCGAAGGTGGTCATCACAGCCAATTAATGTCTGGCGGTGCACCCAGCAGCGATAACAGTGAGTATGGTGTACTGGAGCTGCCACAACAACCACAACCACAGCAACAGCAGCAGCAGCAGCCATCCAAGAGGAAGAAAGAAGATCACGATGGCATCATTGCACATTAGAATATACCATATATATCTAGTCCGATTATAATTATATTATTATTTTTAATTACCCAACAACAACAACAACTTCTCCATTATCTCTATCATCCAACAACCCAAACTTTATCCTGCCACAACAACAACAACAACCTCAACCAACCAACCAACCTCACTCATTCACTCCTTCTCCTTTTTCCTTTTTCCCAGTATCAACACTGGTCTCTTCTCTCTTCTCTCTCTTCTCTCTCTTCTCTCTCTTCTCCCTTTATCTTCTCGATCCGACATTCTTCAACCTTCTTTCAATCAACCAATCAATCAAACAATTAATCAATCTTATCGCACAACATGTTAACAACAAAATAACAACAATGACTTATAACAATAAACCATACTATGGCCAAATGGCTACTCCTTTGCGAATGTAATCATACATGTATAACATCGTTGTCTAAGTGTATCGTCCAATCATCCTTGGAGAAGACAATGATGGTGGACAACCGAACTTCCTCATGGAAATGAGTAAAAAACAATGACAAGAGCGTGGACGAGCGAAGCGAGAAGGACAACAAAAAGGAATGCTGCAACTTTTGAAATCATTATCTCTTGTTTATTGAGCTTGATACGATTATATGTATCGAAGATCTGTCAGACAAGGGTATAATAATAGGTCTTGCGTTAATATGGCCGTGGACTATAAACAGCAACTGTTGTACTCATCAACAGACTTGTTGTGCCAGTCTGAACATTACCCAAACATAACAACTTTAAAACATAATGATAAACAAACAACAAAGTCAAAGGTTGTAGTTGATATGATGAACTGATCATTATAAATACGAGTTCAGTGATACACCTATTGATCAATCACAGTGTATCTCTCGCTTCGTGTTTAATTGATCAGTTCAAGTCATTCATTCATTAATTGTCAAACAGATACATTCATAACAATAACAACTATGCAATTCAACAATGAGGAGGAGGAGGATGGCATATGTTCAACACATAACAAGAGACAAGAGTTCATATGTATCGATTGCAATTGTCTTGTTTGTTCAATATGTATGACATTCGATCATAAGAAGCATGACTTGGAGAGTGTAGACGGTTTAAGGAATCTGATCGATCAACAACAATATAACAATGCGCAAGTACTAGACTGACACTGTTGTGGAGTACATTGAAGAAGTTGGCAGAGACACATCCATCAATCACTCACTCAATCACAGTGATGTCACCAATCACTTCAGAAAGCTGCATGAGTTGCTCGTCGTTGAAGAGCACAAAGTCACATCAAAGATCAAAGACATGGTGCAACAGAGTGAGTCAACGATCGATGACATTATCAACGAGATCAAAGGTATCAATGCGCTATTCAAACCAAAGTGTGATAGCAAGATCGACATGGACAACATGGACAACTTGGTCACATTGATCACGACGTGCGAGACTATCGACCAGTTCATCAATCAATCATTCACATCAGAACGTGATGTCCCAATCACGATCACAGACACTGAGTTGTTGACAATGACACAGCAATGTATCGATCGAATGAACACAACAGGGTACAAGAGTACTAAGCCACATCAGTTGGAAGTGGACGATGCCGCGCTGGGTGAGATCAAACAACTACTCCGCTCTTGCTTTGATTTGATTGATATGTCACACCATGACATTGACAATTGATTTGATTGAAATCTCTACCAAGTACCAATCTTTCACAGTTCGCAAGATGATATAAAAGTGATGATGTGAGAGGAAGATTGAACTCTTTGTGTGTTTCAACACAATTGATTACTAAGATCTCTGGTGTATTCTCCATTATTCCTTGCTTATTCAATAGGCTTCTTTTTGTTGTTGTTGTTGTTGTTGATTTGACAGACTGGAATGAATCAATTATATTCTTTACAATTGGGTAAAATCGTTTACAAACCATTGATATACAAGTAAGGTCAATCAATATAACAACTTGATTGTATAAATAATCACCTTCGACTAATAATTGACATATTGTTTAATAATTAATATGGGAAGTTTATCCATTTGTTATAATATATATTATTTGTGTCACTATTATCTGTTCAACTCAATGAATAATAATAATAATAATGATGTGCTGAGTTTTATGTCGACTTTTGTATCAAAGTTATTAAGATATGTTCTTAGAACTGTACACTCATACAGATATGAGTAAAGATAAAGATACAGATTGTTGGGTATCAGTTAGGGTCAGGACTCTATTGCCTCTTCTCATCGATCAGAATAGGGAGCAGCAGTTCATACAGCGACATGTGAACCTGTTGAACAACACTCGTTACTCAATCTATGCTACTCCAGCATTGGTACCACTGCTGCAACACTACATACTCGATCAATCATTGCTTGCTGTCAGACACATCAATGCCAATGATGCTGCTACAATCGTGCAACTAAACATACAACAACGATTGGTCGAACGAAATGTGTCGACGACATACTCAACAGCTGGTGCTGGTGGCAGCGGCAGCAACACATACTCAGAGACAGTTTGGATATCAAAGGATCACATGCAAGCACTATCAATTGAGAATGGGTCGATCATACAAGTGTCAGCAGTGTCTCGACAGTCAATACCAGTGGCGTCATGTATAACACTAAGTCATCAAAGGTTGATGTCATCAATCGATGGCACATTGGTACCAACGACTACATCAGGATCAGTCACACATGGCATTGATACTCGACAACTTCTCATCAATCCCATTGCAGGGCTTGCACCGGGTACAGCTCTACAAACCAATGGTGGCGTCGTCAACATCATGCTTCGCTCAGGTATGATCTATCAATGCAACTATTCATTTAGAGGTGCTACACAATCAAGAGCAAGCAGTGGTGCAATCACAGACACATGGCGCATGATAACAAACAACACGATCATACAATATGATGACAGGGAGCAATCACAAACATCCAAGTTGGACATCGATCAGTTAAACTCATATGATGATCAACGATCAAAGATCAGAACATTGTTGAACATCAAGTTCAATCCAATCAAGAGTGCGCAGTATCGTCAGTATGGTATGAAGCCACCTAGATCATTGCTAATATATGGTGCAGGATCATGTGGAAAGAGAACACTTGCAAAGGGCCTGGCAAAGGAGATTGTTGACGCAGGCATGGCCGACGTCATCACAACTCTATCAACTCAAGATCTTATCAAGTACTCCTCATATGTTAAAGGATTTCAACAGCGAGCCTACGAGGTCAAGCAACTAAAGCGTGTAATATGTATGTATACATGCTCAGTCATTCAAGTGAATGAATCAATCACTAACACTGACCTCACTTGATTGGTGATTAGTTATCATGGAGAATGTTGATGAACTGTTTCCAAGCCCAAGGGAAGAGGGTTCTTCAAGTTCTGGTTCAACAACTGATCAATCAATTGTCAATGCGTTTGTAGATATGCTCAAAGATGGAGCTGAGGACAACAACAATATATTTGTAGTATGTACACCCATGGACATTGCCTCCCTCAATAACGGTGTCAATCGATACTAATAACCTCAACCATCATCAGATTGGCATCACCAAGAGAGTTAAGAATTTGAATTCAATAGTTAGGACATTGTTTGATGTATGTATTGCTGTTGTTGTTGGATGTCGACCAATGGATAACTAACAGTACCATTCAATCAACCAACCAATCTTTAGGACGAGATTAAGATTGAACCTCCACAACCAAAGAAGAGAATTGATATCTTTAGGAATCACTTTGGGTCAGAGTTTGGAGTGGATCATCAATCACACAATGAAGATATAATACGACAAGTTAATGATGACTGCAGTGGAATGGTTGGAGGTGACATAGCTGTCCTCGTCCGCCAAGCCAAAATCAACTCATATCGAAGAACACAGGCGACTAACCTAAGAGAAAGTAAGTCTGCAATCTACCTCACTGAGTCCTCGAACATGGAACTGACAATATCATTCCCAACTACCATAGTCAAGTTGATTAGGGATGACTTTGTTAACAGTGTGATACAACAAAGACGACCAGGCGCAAATTCATTGTCAAGACTCACACCATCCATTCCAAAGGTATCATGGGATGATGTTGGTGGATTGGATCAGGTCAAGCAATCACTCATGGAGATGGTGGTATGGGATTACAAACATGGCGATGCTTTAAAGAGGCTGGGTGTCAAGACACCTCGTGGCGTTCTTCTTTACGGACCCCCGGGTACTGGTAAGACACTCCTCTCACGTGCCGTTGCCTTTGAGGCCAATGCCAACTTCATTGCTGCCAACATCTCAGAGTTGGTACAGGGCGAGATTGGAGAGTCTGAGAAGCAGGTTGAGGAGCTGTTTAGAGTGGCCAGGAGTACAGCACCTTCAATCATATTCATCGATGAGATCCAGTCGATATTTGGACAACGTGATGCAAGTGGTCAGCATGGCAAGAGTCTGATATCACAGATACTCATCGAACTCGATCGTCTGAATGACGAGGACCAGGCCAATGGCAAGCGAGTCATGGTGCTGGCCGCGACCAACCTTCCACAAGCTATAGATGACTCATTCCTGCAACCAGGTCGATTCGATCGGGCACTCTATGTCGGCCCACCCGAGAAGGATGAGCGTCTAAAGATCCTGAAGGGCTTGGCCCGATCAATGAAGTTGGCTCCCGATGTGGACCTGGCCGAGGTTGCCGCTTGGACCATCAACTTCACGGGCTCTGACCTTGCAGGTCTAATGAAGAAGTCAGGACTCTATGCCATCCAGCGAGACATCAATGTGGAGGCCATCAGCCGAGATGACATTCACAAGGTGTACTGGGAGACCAAGCCAACAGTGACCATGGATCAGTTGTTCATGTTTGAGAAGTGGAACCAAGCGCATCGTAACAATCAGCCAATGACTTAAGGCAATAACACATTTGTTCGCGAACGAGGATACCTTCCAAATCACTTCAATGTCATGTTTACTTCTTTGTTGTGTAGTACAGGTAGACGTTGTAAGGATACTCAAACTGCTGGTTGTTCAGGGTCTCTGGGAACTTGTCCAACTCTTGGTTGATCTCCTCGAGCAGATGCTTCTTCTGCGCATCGCTCAGCAGTGAGATGTACGAGATGGACATTACGCGATTGCCCAGCGACTCGCGAGTGTAGTGGTGCATAAACTTGTACTTCTGAAGCTTGAGTGGGAGTTCAAGAAGATTGGCAATGGCAGGGTTCTCAAAGGCAGCCTCCCATTTGAATGAGCGGAACTGAGGTGTCTTGTTGTCATAGTACTTCTCGTGGAAGATGTCAGCAGAGGCGCGAACCAAATGGTTGGTCACATCCATGTCACACCAGACCATGACGAGTGGTGCGCCTGGCTTGAGGACACGGGTCATCTCACGAAGTGAGGCCTCACTGTCGAACCAGTGGAAGGCTTGAGACACAAACATTGCGTCAACCGACTGATCGGCCAATGGTATCTTGGTGGCCAGTCCATCAACAACTGAGTACTTGAGCTCAGATCTTCCTTTCTTGATCAATCCCTCAAGGATATCTGTGCAAGCCTGTCTAAACTCTGGGCTTGGTTCAACAGCTGTAATGTTGTTGAAACCTCCATAGCCTGCCAGCAGTTCAGTGAACTTGCCTGTGCCTGTTTGTTCATTGTCATTGTCATTGACATCACGTGTCAGTCATGTTGAAGTTGAACAGTTCAAGTGACAACAATATGTATGACAGACAACGTACCAGCAGCAAGGTCAACTATTAAAGAGTTGGCATTAAGGTTGAGATTGTTCTTTATAAAGTCGATGGTCTCTAATGGCAAGTTAGGTCTTCCCTTGACATAAGCATCAGTGGTCTCCTTGTTATGATAGCCCTTAGCAGTTGGATGTAGATCAGTAGACATTGTCTGTTGTTACGTTTAAATGATGATGTGTAGTTTGTAGTATGTATCTATTGTTGTAGAATACAGGTGAGGCATATGCAAGCACTATTAAATAGAGTTGTCAACAATGCGATGACTGACTTTGGTGCAATATCGGAGTGGGGTAGTGTCTCTCTCTTTCCCAGGGATACACCACATTGTACAGAGGGTTATAACCAAAACAGGGACATGCAATCCCATTAAAAGTATCTAATCAGGTTCATTGCTAATTACGTGTCCCGACCGAATGATGGGAGATATTTAGTGGCATAGGTCAGGATCGACACTACACCTACAAGAGACTTATTGAGATTAATTGATTGATTGAGTATTCAAAAAGGTATCTTTTATATAAATATACAGACTCAAACGTTGGATCAGTCACTACTCATACGAGCAACCAATCATGTTGATGATCACAGTTACGAGACAACTTGCAACCATCACAATGTTGTTGTTGTTGTGACACTGGACATTTGTGTGGCAGTCGAAGATGTTGGTTGATCATTCTTGGCTGGCCATACTCCTCACATCCAACGTGTGGACATTTGATGACATTGAACGTGCCCTCGCTCCACATGTCAATGTTGTTCTGCTGATTGCTGCTGTTGTTGGATGTCGTTGTCCTGATCTTCTTCCTCGAGGGTGGATTAAGTTTTGGTAACACTGTTCCACTGATGACCACTCTTGAAAGGACAATGTTGGGACCATCGACAAACATGCCTCCCTCCTGACAACCCTTGCATCGTTGTGGATCGGAACACTTGTGCATTAGCTTCATGTGTAGCTTCTTGGAGGCTACACTCTTGAAGAAGTAGATGCACTCTGAATGATCACACCCGACGAAACGGTCGTCAAGGAACCTCTTGACTGATTGGGTGTCGCCGGGAGGGGCATAGAATCGGAGACAACGGTATGCTCGAGTGTTTGGGCATGCTCCATATGTGTGATTGCATCCATGTAGGGCCTTGCAGTGTTCAAACATGGACTCCTTGTCGTTGTAGTCCTTGGTGCACTCATGCTTACATTCATACTTCTTGGGCTCATCTTGTTTAATTGGACCAATACAGCCTGGACAACTTCCAGGATCAAAACATCGATGCTTATATTCCAAATGGCGTGGCGGGGGTATGAGAGTGGTCAAGAAATAGCCACATGTTGTGTGAGGGCACTTGACCAAACCTCTGGCTGTCAGCATTGCGATCGATTCAGTGTCGTCCAAGGAGGCTGTCAACCTCATCGTTGATGCGTATCTCTGAGCGTTTGAGCATGCTGCGTATGTCCATGAGCATTTATGCGCTGTTCGGCAGTGTACGCGCAATCGTCTATATAGCGGGTGGGTGAATGTGCATCCCTCGTGTTGGCAATTGAGATGGGGCAAATCTTTGATACTGGTCCGAGGCACCTTGAGTTGCATGTATATGCATCCTAGACAGCTCTCGTGGTCGGCGCATTGATGTTCCTTTTTCTTGGTGTGATCAAGCATGGACTTCCGAGCAGTGTACAACTTGTCGCAATTGGTGTGAATACACTTGATCATACCATTCGGCTCTCTGATTGTCGATGTCTTGCTGTTGGCCAACATGTTATGGTCTGGGTCGTCGTCGTCCTCATCATCGTCATCTTCGTCACCATCATCATCTTCGTCGTCATCATCATCATCAGATGTGATGTGCTTGGCCTTCAGAATTCCAGGAGGCAACTTGAGACCAGGGTGCTGGTTTTTGTTGTGTATCCGCAATGATGTATTCTGGTTGAAGTATATGTGGCATGTTGAATGTGGACACTTGACAAGTCCTTTGGCCATAAACATCTGGATGGACTCTTTGTCATCAGGCGAGGCGGTGAAGAATCTGGTGCGATAGGTCTGCTCGTTGAGGCAACTTGCATACCTCCGTTTACATCCATGTACTATCTTGCAGTGTTCAGACAGATCTGTAAAAATGTCATACTCTTTGTTGCATCCATCGTGCAGACAGACGAACGACTTGATCGTAGACTCTATGGGAAGTGTGCGCCTCATCATCAACATAATGTTGCGTTGACATCCTGGACAGCTGTTGGCGTCTGGGCATTGATGGTCTCCACTTCTAGCCCGCAGGTGTCCGAGCATGTTGATTATTGACCTGTAGAAGCTGAAGCATGAAGTGTGAAGGCACTTGATGAATCCATCGGCCAGCATCATATCGATTGAGTCCTTGTCGTCGGGATCAGCCGTGAACAATCTTGTCTGATACGTTCTACTGTTGGGACACAATGCGTATGTTGCTCTGCAATCGTGATCCTTTGAGCAATGTTTGACCATCTCATGATAATCTCTTAAGGACCTTGAGCAGCCCAAATGAAGACAACCATATATCCGTTTAGTCAAAGCTGTTGATGTAGTTGATGTAGTTGATGTAGTTGTTGTAGTTGATGTTGTTGATGTTGTTGATGTTGTTGATGTTGTCGTGTTGTACTTTGACATGACTTGTATTATTCATCCAAGTTGCTCATATTATGTATTTGATTGTTTGAGTGGTCGAGCGAATGAATGAACATGTTCACGTGAATGAATGATTGAATGTGTTCAAAAGGTTTGAATTTATTCTTCTTCAAAGAACTAACCAATGTTGTTGTTGTTGGACTCTACTTATTGATGTGATGGAGAGAGCCTATGTGAATGAATGAATGATTGATTGATTGATTGATAGCCAACATGTTGCCAACCTTGAAGGGTTAGGAGAATGCCCACCTGTCGTCTTGATCCTTTGGTTGAAATGTCTTCTTTCGATCCTTTGGCTTCTTGTTCTTTAGTTGTTTATAGTATTCTCTCATGGTCACTGGTGTTGAGTTATCTATTGGTTCAACAGGTCGAGAATGGCTTTGTTCGACACAGGGTCAGATTGATTGATCGTTTGATTGAGTTGAAGAGTGACACTCAGAGTCATGCATGTACACTATCCTGTAATACTACGTACTTGTCATTCGTGAATTGCTTATCAAAGGATTGTTCTCTTGGTTGTTTGGACTTCATTGTATAATTGATTGATTGATTGATTGATCTGACTGACTAACTAATTGGTTGAATGAATGCTGTACATGTGGCCTGTCTATGATTTATTATTATTACAAGGTTATAACAAATACATGTCTAGATTGTGATTAACTATTGATGTATTAATATATGTCAAATGTTTATAGATATAAATATATCATTCTATTCTATTTCTTTGATTGATGAATGGAGAATGAATCAAAGATTGAATGAAAAACACTCAAAACCACGAGACGAATGTGAGTGAGTGTGTGGGTGATGGGATAGTTCCAGTCCGAGATGTAATGTGATTAAATCTTAGAAAAAGTTTAATAATGATTGATTGATCGATCAATTAACTGGATTTATACCAAACTGGATATGTCTGGTAGAGTGGCAGTCCACGCCATGTCAGTGTGATGTTATGTTGTCCACCACTGTTGGCAGGGAAGTTACATGTTGACTGTTGTATAGCATTGGTCGAGCAGGGTATCACTGTTGACACTCCTTGGACATCGACCGAGTAGACTGGTTGCTCAAATATGTAGGGTGTTGCGAATGTTACATTCTGGCCTTGAGTGTTCAGTGCGCTGGATGGCGTGAGGAAGCTGAACAGCGTCGATGAGGAGATCTCAAACTGGACACCGATGGGCGGTTGGGCCATGGGCACAAGGTTGACGATACCATTCGTCGGTATACCAGTGATGACACTGTTGGCGCTGTCATTGGTGTAGACATACACGTTGTAGAATGTTGTGTTGCCAAAGAATGATCGAGTGTTGTTGACAAATGAGTATTCGGCAAGCAGTGATGCTACGTTGTACTTGCCCAGTGGCAGACTCATCGTGTCTCCCCTGGTTCCATCAAGTTGGGAGAACAATGATGGTGGATACAATGTGTTGGAGGCGTTGGAGTACGCGTCGTAGAATCCAAAGTATACAGAGTGGAATGATACCTCCTTGGTTGCGGGCACGTTGAACACATGTCTGTTGACGATTGGTATGAGTGAGTTGGTTCGAGGCCAGAAGGTGATGTTGACGGGCACTGGCGGGATGGTGGCGTCCGTGTAGACACCAGAGATCGAGGGCGTGATAGTATTTGACCAAGTGCTAATTCCATTCCAAGAGTACGTGAGTACGAAGAAGTATGCTTGCTGGGGTGGTGCAATGCCAGTGTATCTTCCAGTCATGTTATTGTCCATGTAGTTATTGATGGTCAATGTAGTACTGTATCTAACATTAACCGTGTTGTTACTAAACAATGGGATACAGCCATCTGGGAACTAGTTAGGTTTGGGGCGAGGGCGAGGGCGAGGGTTAGGGTCAGGGTTTGGGCGAGGGTTGAGGGCAAGGGTACTTACATGTGTTCTGGTGATGGGGTTGTTACAGTAGACCTTGTAGTCTGTATCACAGAAGTCCCAGTTGGATATTTGTGTCAATCCCCATTGTACTTGCATGACTGCACGTTCGGAGAAGAGGGTGCCAATGCAACCGTAGATGTTGGCGTTGGTTACGGGGATGGTGAGGTTGACGTTCTCGTAGAAGTCGATGGTTATGTTGTTTAACGAAGGGAATGCTTTGGAGTAGGAGCTGGTGTTGATTGAGACCACGTACTCATTCTGGACGATCATGCCAATGACGTAGCCAGAGGCACTAGAGATGAATGTTTGAGCGGCACCCAGTGGGTTGATGAGGGTAACGGCAACGTTGGCCATTGGCGGGTCACTGCTTGAGTTGTACACTCCATCATTATTGGTATCATTGAACACGAACAGTTGGAACTGGTATGTGGAGTTGCTGATGTACAAATCATCAGAGAGTTGTCCGCCCACGGACATGATCAGACTGGCGACGGTAGATGTCAGGGGACATTGAGCGTATGAGCTGTTGACGAATCCAGTGGTGCACTTTAGTATACTGTTGTCAGTGTACTTGATATCGATGTATGATGATCTTGTCCATTTGACACCGGCAGCCGCGGGGAAGAAGTTACGACCCATCAACATGATCATGTTTGTGGTGCCATTGTTGAAGAATCGGTAGCCAGTGATGACTGGGGGCGCGTATGATACATAGTTGTCATATGCTCCGTATGTCGCCACTTGTCCACCAACTGATGCTGTTATGGGTAGCTTGGCTCCAACACCTGGGGGCACTAGACACTCAACGAACGTGTCAAAGGGATTGCAGTAGGCGAGTTCAATGTTGCCGATGCGGATGTAGTCGATCTCTGTAGCGGCCAATCCCCAACCCTCACCGATGATCTGGACTGCGCCACCTGCGGTGGACAGCTGGTCGGACTGGATGACGCCAGTGATCAAGGGTGGGAGGTATCCGAACTGAGTGTTTGAGATTGATGATTGATCGCCAGCCTGAATGGTAATGCTCTGATTGCTTCCGACTCCCTCATCCAAACGCACCTTGATGTATGTGTTGCTGTAGTCGACCACTTGGAGCAACTGATCTCCCATGAACACCATGGGTGGGCCGTATCCATCAGCGATCGAACCGAATCCATCACCATGGATCACAACAAAGTCACCAGCATCCGCTGATGGGGGCAAGAATTGTTGAAGTTCTGGTGCCTGGTAGTCAAAGGACATAGTGGGGATGGTCTCAATCGTGAACTTTGATGTCTGGCCTCCGACCTTCACCGTAACCGTCTTGTCCTGGCCGACGCCCGACGGTGAGTAGCATGCCAACATGGTGGTCGTGATGCCCACGACAGGGTAGCACGGTGTGCTTTCATCGATTGTGACGTCCACAGAGAATGGGTCGCTGCCAAAGTTGTCTCCAGTGATCGTGAGCATCGTACCTCCCTGGCTGTCAAGTGTGTTGGGTGCCACGTCTGTGACGGTGGGCGCATCGAACGAGAAGTAGAACCTGGTGCGCTGGAGATTGTACAATGTCGTGTTGCTGAAGAAGTGGAACTCCAAGCGCGTGCCAACACCCGCTGGCGTTTGGAACTCAATCTGCCATGGTGAGATGACCTGTGGCTCGGCGACCTGGTAGTCGTCTCCGATCTGGATGTTGAGGGTCGAGTTGAATCTGAAGCCATTGATGGTGGATGTTACGCCGCCAGCTGTTGGGCCTGTGGTGCTGGTGATGTTCACGACTACGGGTCCGATGCCCGCGCACAGGTTGTCAAAGTTGTGCGAGAAGAAGTCGCCAGAGCTCATCATTTGGATGTCACAGATCTTTGAGTTGATCGTTGCGATGGCCATACCACCATACTCTGTGCCAATGGATCCGTTATAGTTGGGCGGCTTGGGCAGGAAGTAGGCGTTGAAGTCGCCATACTGAACCTGAGAAGAGACGGCCGACACCATGGCGCTCTCAATGAAGAAGGTCATGGAGTTGATAGTCATTGGCGAGCAGACCGCAATCAAAGTGTCGTCTACATTGATTGAGTTGTAGCATAGATCAATCACACTGCCCACTTGGTCGCGGTTCAGCTCCGAGATGAACTGGATTGGCTGGTTCTGTGTTTGAGACCAGGGATTGGCAATCAGCACTTGGACGGCCTGGTTGACGCCTGTGATCGTGGCCCATTTCCTCATGGACTGGATCAACTTGGTCATCTCATCGTCGCTCAGATAGAATATCGAACTGTTGGTGAATGACTTGTGTGCATCCAGCAATTGTTGGATGGGTTGCTCGAGGTACTGAGCTCCGATGGCCAGGGGAACCAAGCTGGGGAATAGGCGATCGGCATGAGCGTTGATCTGCGGTGCGGAAGCATGAACGAGGGAGTGTGGGAGGGCAAAGAGCCTGGGCACTGGGACACCAATAGGTGGTGGCGCGACCAAATAGTTGTTGATGAGTGATTGCTTGTTGGTGGGAGTATCGTAGGCAGGGTTGGCCAAGGCCATAATTGCGAACATCTGTGCGAACGAGGTCACGCCATTGGCCTGGCGGAGCCCGATCACTTGGGCGAGGATTGTTTGCCAGGGGATGACGTCGGCGTTATTGACACGCGGAGTCCTACCTCCATTGCCATCGGCGATCGACATGGACATCATGTCCCATGTGGCCTCAGCCGTGCGGTAGAACAGATCCCATTGTGATGGCGTGGTAATGTCCACGGGTTTGGGCTCGGTGTACGTCTCAATGTTGGGCATATTCGGGAAGTATTGTACGACGCATGGGTTGAATGCGCCAGTCTTGACGAAGGCGCCGGGGATCGAGTTGTAGATGTACTTGGCAATGGCGTACAACACACCGTTGGCCCAGTTAGGCAGGGCAGTGTCGATCATGTAGATTGTCTGGGCCTGTGGTGGGAAGTTGGACTGCTGGTACACGTACGCCAACACTACGTCATATGACAGCTCCTCCTCACAGATGGGCGCAAGCTTACGGATGGTATACTGGGTTTGGACTGAGGGCACCTGCACCGCGCCATCAACAATGTACTGGATCGGGGGCAGAGTGGCCGGATTCATCACTAGCACACGTCGCAACACATCGGTGAATTGGATGACCTGGAAATCATTGATGGGCACGATGTCGAATGTACGTAGGGTCATAGTTTCAAGGTAGTCTTGGTTATAGGCGTTGGGGAACACCAGGGGGGGAGGCGGTGGCATGGCTACAGTCTCGGGCATCCTAGTGCGGCGGGCATTGGCTTGAGTGCAAGCTGCTGGTGGGAACACGGCGGGGTCACTATCACACATCGATGCGACTTGGACATCGGCTGCAACGTACATGATGGCGAATGTGTCATCTGAGACGTATCCACTGATGCTCACCTGGGGTGCGATGCTTCCAAGGTTGTTGGACGGTCCTCCACAATTGACCAAACTGTTCCTCAGCGTCAAGAACTCTGGCGATACGTCGGAGGGGTTGGCCATGGTGGCAAAGGTTATGACACCCATTAAGGGTGGCAACATGGCGGTGACGGCGCCGTTGATTGCCTCTCTGATCTCAAAGGTGATATCATTGGCCCAGGCACCCCTGGTGAACTTTAACGGCTGTATTATAGCCTCTCTAAGGTACATTGAGTCGCCAGCTGAAGGTCTCTGCATCAGTCCCGTGGCTGTCGTAATAGAGTTATACGACCTAACCATGCTACTGTACTGGAATGACAAAGTTGGATGTTGGAAACACAACACACCTCCACCTCTTGCACCCTTTTGATTGATTGGTTGATTGATTGATTGAGTGAGTGAGTGATGTTAGAACGATTGGGAAGAGGGAGGGGAGTGATGGTCATCAATCATACTTGTCCGTTATGTCTGTTGGAGTCACCAACACAGAACATGTTCTCGTTGGCTGCCATGGCATTGGCGCCGACTACTGGGTACATTGGGAATCCTAGTTTGGAGTGCTCGTTAGACTTTCCAGAATATGCATAATCTGAATACTCCCAATTTGCACCATTCAAGGTCCTCTCACACAGGTTAGGTGGTAGATCTAATCATCATCAACAAGGTAATTATAAGTATGATGTTCATCCATCCATCCAACTTCCACTCCACTCCAGTCGAGTCGATGACTTACGAAGGTAACCAACATTGATGACGGCATTGCTTGAAAGCATTTGGACTGGAGTCTTGTAGAACATTTGAACGAACATCATGCGTTGGTAGGAGTTGGCGACGACGGTCCAGATGTCGATACCATCGTATGTGTTTTTGTTGTTGTTGACCACAATGAAGCGACTGAGAGCAGGTGGCATGACCGCTACGACGGGTGGGAACGGGACGTTATTGGGTTCGATCGTTGTCTTCATAAAGTAGTTGGCAGTCCTGCCGCCAATGTTGAATGGGGCCGATTGCCAGTAGCAAATGTCTATGACATTGGGGTTGGCGGCGATGGCCGCCTCGCACGCCTGTTGGAAACACACTTGGTTGCAGGTGGGTGGCGCGGGTGCGATCTGAATACGTGGTGGCAGTCCCAGCCACAGTGACATGTAGTCGTAGAAGAAAGGGAAGGTGTTCTGTGTGGCCTGGTTCCATCCAGCCAGGTTGGGCAGGTTGCGATTGGTGTACATGCTGGCGTCGTTGTGGATAAGGTAGTTGAAGGGCATCTCGATGCTGGTGAAGGGGTAGCAGAAGAAGTGCTGGTTGTTGTCGGCCTCGCCCAGCCATTGCATTCGTTGGTTGACATTGTAGAAGGTGTTTCCGTTGATTGCTGGGAACACTGGGTTGGAATGCAAGACGTGGATGCCCTCATAGTCCGCCGTAGCGGCGTTGTACTGGAAGATAACGAAGCCCTTGAGATGGCCGTGGCCGAATGGTGAGTTGAACGGGCGGGCACGCTTGCCGGCGGGGTCACGACCACCCTGCTGGTCGTTGAAGAATGCAAAGAAGTAGTCGTGGTATTGATCAAAGGTGGCGGCCAGGGCGCTGTAGGGTGGTCCGTTGACGTTGGACAAATGAGTCAGCCTGACGAGTTGGTCGCGAGTGTTGTCCATGTAGAGGTACTTGGCATTCGTGGTCTTGCGCAGCTTGTAGGTGAACCACCAGTCGACAGGTGAGTTGGATCCGTCGGCAAGTGGTGGGGAAAGACAGGCGAGGCCATTGGACTTGTATTGTACATTGTTGATGGAGGCTACAGCCGGGCCACCACCACCGGGCACAACATTGATCACAACTGCATGCATACCGGCGGCAGTGATTGGCACGTCACAACCTATTTGATCCAAACCACCGACTTGTGGCTTGACTACCACATTTGGACAGTTCACACCACCCACAGTGATTGTGATGGCAGCGGCTACAGCACCAAGATTGTTGCCTCCCAGTGTTATGGGTACGATACGTTTAGAGTTACCCTGGATGGGACTGATATCGATCAAGTTGGGTCCAATATAGTTGATGGGAAACGGCGAAATGTATGGTACGCCACTGGCAATCACTGTTACGGGGTAGTTGCCGGGAAGGTTTGGCGGGATGGGACATGTGATCTGGGCTGCGGTTATAGCACATCCAGCAACTGGCACTGCATTGATGGTGACTGTTTGAACAAAGTCGAGATGAGCTCCATTGAGGGTAAGCACTCCACCACCGGCGGGCATCGTGGTCGACTGTGTCTGGCCGGCAATGTTGAGGTCAAAGTAGGTGAAGGTCTGGGCAGGGTCATAGTTTTGTTCGTAAACCTTGAATGTTATGGGGAAGGTGCCAGCGGCGGCGGCGACGGGGGCATTGCACGAGAATTGTGTAGCACTGGGCATGGCCAAACCCGTGCACTCAATGGCGTTGATGAACACCTTGGTGAGCGTGTTGATTGCCGCGCCGTTGGGTGGCGTGGGGAAGTTGGTAATGGGGATGGTGATGAGGGTGGTAGTATGGAGGAATCCATCGACAGGGACTGACGCGCCAAGGGTCGGAGTCAACACGGGGAAGTTCATCGCGTTGGACGAGACAGTTCCAATCTCAACCGTGACGGCGTTGTTCCCAGCCGTCAACAATGAAGCGTCCACATCAAAGAATATTGACTTGTCATTGGTCGTTGGCTTGAATACATTGGCTGTTACCGGGCCAACCTTTACAGCTGTCACACCATAAAAGTTAAGACCCTGTACCTCCAACAAGTAAGAACCCTTTGTGATTGTGTTGATAGGTAACAATGCTTGGATGACGGGGACTTTGATTGATTGATTGATGGGTGGTAAGAGGGCATGTTAGTGCTGGGTACACGCATGCGTCAAGGAATGGATACTCACTGAAATATTTGAACTGCTCGCTGGGAGGGGATTGGTAGTCTTGTCCTCCGATTGTGGCTACAAGGGGGAATGAGGCATCATTGGCACCGGCAAGGTTGTAGGCTGAGGTCTCACAATCAAACTGAGTGGCTGTGACTGAGATTGGATCCACTGCACAATCTGATCCACCAATAGTCACGGCGGTGACCTCCTGGAGGAATAATCCAGTCACTCTTATAGTCGTTCCACCAGCGGACAAACCCTCCTTTGGTAGAATAGATGTTATTACCGGTTCTGGAATGATTAATCGATTGATCGATTGAGTGTGTGAGTGAGTGATATGAGTGATCATTTTTGGAAGTATTAATGAGTGACATACCGTAGACCTCAAGGTTGATTGCGGATAGGACGTTCTGTGGACCGATGGTCATTGCAAGCACTTTGTTCTGGGACGTGCCGGGTGCTACACCGGTAAAGAGGGGCGATGTACATGTGATCTGCTTGGAGCTGACAATCACAATGTTTGTACAGTCCTCACCGCCAAAGGTGATCTGTGACTGTATGTTATGAGGATCATCAAATAGGAAGTTACCATTCAATGCGATAACCTGCGCCATACCACCAGTAATGGACGCAGGGGCAATGTCGTCGATGACAGGATCTACATTCATTCATTGTAAGTATGTGAGTTAGTGATTTGATCAATCAGTATGATGGGTTAGTGAGTGAGTGAGTGAGGGATACATACCAACGACATCAAACTGTTTGGGACCAGTGACGACAAAGCCAGTGTAGAGTGTGATTGTGACAGGGAGTGCTCCAGTTGCTGGCTGGTCGCCCAAGGTACATACGATCTTTGTGATCTTGTGGTCTTTCACTGTACAGCCAATTGTGCCCACCCTGACGACAGGGACTGGATCATAATCGTCATTCTTTAGATAGTTTCCATKATGATTGTTAAGGTACGACCATTTACAGCTTGGAAGTATTGCTCAGGAGTAAAGTCTATGATCTCAGGCTCTATGAGTTAGTGAGTGAGGGAGTGAGTGATTGATTGATTGTATGTAGTGATTGGAGTGTGTATGGAATTTGTTAGTTTGATTGATTGATTGATTGATTGATTTCCTTTTTTGGAGACCATCAGAAAGAATACATACCAAGATAGGAGAAATCAGCAGTGAGTAAGTTGACAGCACCCTCTAAGATGTCGAATGCGAAGTCTAGACTGGTGTGGCGCTTCTTACCACCTCCGGGGGGCTCGGGTGGCACGGTGTAGGTGTAGATGGTGCCAACTTGGCCGACAAAGGCGAATGGTACGGCAACACCAGCAGAGGTTCTTATTTGTACGATGGGTATAGAGGCAAATCCTGTACCATCCAATTGGAATGAGGTGCCACCGCCAAGCCATGAAGACCTAGATGATATTTTGGTAATGACTGCACTCACTGGATCCAATGAGCACATCAAAAGTACCAACACCATCAGAGTCAACAACACCTTTTGGTTGTGTATTGATGATGAATGATGCATCATCGTTGATTGTTTGATTGATTGTTTGTTGATTGATTGATTGTGATGTAGTTTAATGTAATGTATATAGATAAGACGAATGATGTTGGTTGAATAATGACATGTCTGGACAGGAGGACCGGGTTGTTTAAGTAATGTCAAGTGATGTCACCATAAGGATTGAAGGACCTCGAAGGCCTTCTGGGTCTCGCTCGGTCTATCCACAACACAAGGTTTGGGGGAAGCTTGGTATCGAGTGGATATCATCTGAATCGATGTGATTGTTTCGCGAACGCCTATCTATTTCTCGGCCTTATGATAATATGCGCCCAATGTGTAAGTCGTCATCAGATAGACATCTACACAATAGAGTTGTGTTGTACAAACATGGTGCACCACCTTACCAAACGACACTCAGTTCAGTGAGTGATCATACATCACAACGGTCAGCTGACCTGACGAAGTTTTGAGTGACATTGTACAGATCATTTGGGTGCACGACCAGAATAGATCATCAGTCGCCACGCTCTCGATCAACATTCAAAATAATAATTAATTAATTACAATGCGGGGTTTTTGATTGATTGATTGTTTGATTGGTTGGTGTGTGGTGATCAGTCACCAATTGGGGTGGGAGGGGCGGAATGGGGAATTGTTGACCTTGGTGATGAAGATTGAGTGAGGCAACCAAAACCTTGTGTAGGTGGTCCGCCAAGTCGTTTATGTGTAAATTGTACATTGGATTGTATCGATAGAAAATTGATTGATTGATTGATTGATTGATTGAGTGATGGGGGTTTGTTCAATTAATCCTTATTTCTGCGCATCTTGATTGAGAAATCCCTGCGTAGTATCTTTAACCGCAGCGAGTTCTTCTTGGCTACAACGATACCGACGCCAACTAGGATGGCAACTGATCCAACTACCACTGTCACCACGATGACTGGTATGCGCCACTTGGCCTCATCCTTGTTGCCACAGGCGCCATTGTCCTTGCCATCCGATTGAATGAGCAGAGAACCAAAGTTGGGATCGATCTTGGCCGAGCTGCCAAAGTTGTTGACAGTGATGGACGTCAGCACGCTCAGTGTGTCAGGGTTGGCACGCTTCAGCTCCACCATCGACTGATCACTCTCGTCAACCAGCTCCACTGTACTATGTGTCACACGACCATCAATGATCATTCTGTCCGAGTAGTAGGCCTTGAGCATGCCCGATCCCTGCACGATCTCCATCGAACGCAGCGATGATTGAGAGTTGCTCACCTGGCCGGCCAGCTTGGCCTGCTCACATCCATTGGCGCCACTGCCTGCCTGCGCCAGGAAGAAAACGCGCAGCGAGTTGAGTTTGTCGTTGAACGTCCATTGATCCAGATGGATGGTGTACTTGATCGAGTTGGCGGGCACCTTGAAATTGTCGCCGGCAAAGTTGTACGTGCTCTCCTCCGTGAAGATCTGCGTGTCGACCGTGAGCACAAACTTGGCGTCGTCGCTGTACGTGCCCAAGTATGTTGTGATCGATGTGTCGTTACTGCCATCAGCTCCGGGCTCCGCGTTGGTCCAGGCGATGTCCTTGATGAAGCGCTGTTTGATGATGGCACCCGCGGGAGAGACCTCGCGAATCTCTGTCATACTTACGTTGAACTCAACCTTCTTGCTGACTGAGCCGAGCTTGACCTCTGAGGGTTTGTTGTTGTCGGGGAGCTTGGGTGGGTCACTGGTCTCGCCACCAACGGCCAGCTGTTGGCTGCAGTCAATGCCGGTCCAGCCAGTGCTGCAGTCGCATACGCCAGTACCAGTGTTGCATGAACCGTGTTGGCCGCACGCGGGACAGGGAGAGCTCCTGAACAGGTAGATGAAGGCATCTCTCGACACTGTTGTGTTGTCGAATGTCGCATTTACCGAGAGTGTGTGAGTGACGTCGTCATTGTACTTCACGTCCGACTTGAAGTCGCAAGTCATCAGTGTGCCGTTCAGAGCCGGGGTTGGGTTGGTGCAGGGCGATCCACCAATGGTCACGCTCATATTGAACAGATTGAAGTAGCGACCATATATAGTGACGGGCGCAGGCTCGCCAAAGTATGTAGACGAGACAGAGTCAATTGTGGGCATCATGTACTGCAGGGTGGCGGTTACGACGCTGCTCTGGACAGTGGTCATCTTGAGAATGGCGCTGCCGCGGCCTGGAGGTGCGACACAGACCATGCGGAATTTGTTGCCGCCAAGTGTGTTGACCAAGGGGTTGGCGCACGCCGTGTCGTTGATCGTGACGGTGAGGATGGGAAGGCCGTCAAAGTTGGTCATGGCTATGTTGTATCCAATGATTGTGATGTTTCCACCTTGGATGGGGATTTCTGGTCGAGTGATAATGACTGGCCTGATGATCATGGCAGAGCCATGGTACTGTTGGCCGGCGACAGTGTAGATGACATTTTCAGTTGAGCGAATGTCGACGCCACTGAGCATCGCGGTAACCGTGGAGTAGCTGAGTGTAGACCAGGTGGTGATTGGCGTCACAGTTGACACGGTGCTGAGGGATGGAAGGTTGGTGGGCGTGGCCAAGAATTTGCCTGAGATTGAAATGGACACCGAACCGTTGCTAAAGGAGTTGGTCACAATAGTGTCGACGATGGGTGCCGGGTACGAAACGGTCACAGGCAAAGAGCTGGCTACAACGTCGTTATATGTGCTCACGATCGTGAGGGCGAGGTTGGCGCCGAGGATATTGGGTGGATTGAAGGTCAGCGTCTTGGACGTGACGCCAGTCCACGAGTCAACATTGACGAGGCTGTTGCTGATGTTAATCCTCAGGTTCTGGAATGTGTTGAAGAACATGCCAACAATCGATGACTTTGCGCCAGGGTTCAGGAGGCCGGTGGGTCCCGTCTCGATCAAGGGGGTGAGCACCACTGTCTCGGCAGCCGTGGCCAAGTTTAGTCGGGAGAGGATCTGGAGCTGGCCACTGAGCATGGCTGAGTTGAGATCGAATGTGCACCTTATGGCCGTGCAGACGATGTTTGTTGCCGCGGAACCACCGAGCTTGATGGACCAACTCGGGGAGTACAGATCAAAGTTCTGGCCGGTGATGGCGCCGCTGGAGCCAGACTGTTTGAATGATGGCTTGTCCAAGACGATGCCATAGTATGTTACGGTGGTCCATTGTGAGCCAAAGACATCTTTGGGGTCGTTGTAGACTTTGACTTCGAAGGCCATGTTGGAGCTGAGCACCGGCTGTCCGGCAGTGCAATTGAGGTGGTTGATATCGAGAACGACGACGTTCGTGCACTCCACTTGACTGATCGAGTTCTTGAGTGTGACAGTTGTGACTCCTATAATGAAGCCTGAGCCCTGGATCTGGACCGGGCCACCCTCCAGTGGTTGGCGCGCACCAAGTACCATCTGGGCCAGACTGATCTTGGGAGAATTCCACAAGTAGGCCATGGTGGTCTGTGAGGCTCCACCGGCTGCTCCGGTGAGGTCGATGGTCACAGAGAAGGTTCCATAAGGGATTGGTGATGGATTGGTGCAGAGAATGTATGATATCTTGTTGTCAAAGCCTCCCAAGCAATTGATCGTAGGAATGTTGACACTAATAACACTCCTTCCAGAGAAATCGCCAAACAATGTTATCTGACTACCTGATCCAATTGCCATTTGTATGTCTGTGATCATTGGTATCGCGGCTGTTGTCGGGTTGGTATGGTAAGGGTTGAGTGATTAGTGACGTGCCTGGGGGTGTGTGACCTCGGTCGCAACAACATCAACAACAACAAAAACAACATACTTAATGGCAGAGAGACGGTGGAGGTGTAGGTCTTGGTAACTTGGCCATTGGTAACATTTAGACGGAAGTTGTAGTCTCCAGTGGATCCTGGTGGTAGGTTCACCAGAGCTATGGTGGTGTCCTTGATATAGGCCGATGGACATGGCTGCCAGCCCTCGGGTTGGTTGCCCTTCATGACGTAAGCATTCAACTCGGAGAAGGGCATAAGGAAGCTGACGGTGGAGCTCACCTTGACCTGGGGAGGAGTAGTTGATGTTACTATAACAGTGGGAATCGCAGTGGCACTAGGCAGGCCAGCTGTAGCAAAGAAGCCAAACTTTTGATTGGGGTCGCCGTTAGTGCTGACCAAGTAGTCATTGTTGGAGAGGTCAGCCTTGGAGTGATAGTAGAGGGGTGCGTCGCCGTTGGCTGGTGCGCCCGGTGAGGCAATAACCTGGCCGTTATAATAGAGTACGTTGTTCGTTCTTGTGATACCGGTCCAAGCATTCCTGTCCGCGGTGGCGGGAAAGAACATTGGTATAAAGTTTGTGATCAATACTGGAGTGATCACTCCAAACAACTGGAACTCTGATCCAAACACTGAAGTCTGTATCAGCATGCTCTTAGCTTGGCTGTGTGTCACTTGCCTTCCATGGAATTGATGCAAGAGTCCTGTTGTATCCTCGACTAGAAGTATGAGTGTGATTGAGTGTAAGTGAGTGGAGGTGGGATGATTCCATTTGCCTGATCGATCAATCAATCAATCAATCAACATACATAGTGTGGGCCTGTTTTGAGTAGAGTAGAACCTGTTTGTAATGTCTGTGATGTGCAATGGTTGATACTTGATGTCGGCTTGACCAAAGTTGGTGATGAAGACATCGTATCCAAGAGTGTTGGGCATGGGATAGTTACCAGACGAGATAGTAAATGTCGTCGTCGGTGTCTGGACGGTGGCGTTTGTCATTAGATACCTGAGACCCATGCCATAGAAGAATGTGTTGGACGAGTTGCCCTTGATCGCTGCCACCCATGGAGTGTTAAAGGTGATCTGATATGTCGTGGACTGTGTGCTGTTGAACACCTTGAGTGTGACGCCGACGCCAGAGAGCGAAGCGGAGGGTGAAACGACGGCCATAAAATCACACTTGTAGTTGTAGCGAGCATCGCTAGTATACGGTGACAGTGTGCATGCGACTGATGGAACCCCATCGACAGAGAGATTGGCCTGGTAGTTGGAGAGGAAGTTGCCAAACCTGATAAATGTGTTGCCCATCTCCTCGCGAGACACAGTGATGTCCTCGGGGTCATTGCCACCATACTCCCAGATGACATAGTTGAGCGATGATTGGGTGGCCTGCAACCACACGCTTGGTTCGTTCATGTTGAAGTAGAAGTTGGAGATTGCGCCTGCATCCGAGGACAACGTGATGTTGGGACAGTACTGGTAGCAGCGCTCGGGGAAGTCTTGATAGAATGGTGCGCCACGTGTGTGTCCGCTTGCCCACCACCAAGAGATATTGTCGGTAGTCATGGTACCAAGCCAAAAGGTTGGCGCCACAAGAAATGATGATGACATGGCCTTGACCCAATTGACCACAAACATGTACTCATCATATGTCTCCAATGTGAGAAGGTATCTGGACAATGTGTGATGGGTGTATGAGGGGGTGGGGGGAGGGTGAGTGTGTGATCGATCAACATTGGATCATTCCAACCAATGAGTGAGTGAGTGAGTTGACTTACCTCTTTCTGTTCATGGAATCGCTGTGGGGCGGATTGAACGAATCGACGTTGGTGATGGTGGCCTGGCTTTCAGGAATGACCTCATAATGATGTCCCTTGTAATCAAAGTATGGTACTGAGCCTGTAGGTTGAATAGGGTTTGGGGGACCTCCATTGCCCCATGCATTGACCAATACTGTATTGCGGTTGCTGTTGATACAAATGCAAACAAACAACAATACCAATAAGGTAGTTGTTGTTTTAACAATCATTATTATTATTATTACAACTAACTTATATATATATTTATAAGTTGTATTCTATATAGTTTACAAATAATAATAAAGGATGTATCAGCAAAGAGGAGGACCTACGTGGGTCGAAGCACGTGCCGTTGGTGTCCTTTGTGTTGGCATCGTAAGGACATGAATGAGGTGGTAGGTGGGATGGACACATAAGCACCGGGTTGGTAGGTTTGATCCGATTGATTATAAATGCGATCACTCACCATCATTCTTTTTATGTTCAAAAAAAGACCAATCTCGTCTCCAGATCACCCCACCAAAAGGGTCCACAAGATGCAAAAAAAAATATCATGATCGTTGTGTTGTAAAAATAACAATGATGGTGGACCAAAGGTCCTACCACAACCATCAAAAAAAACAAGTAAACTCTCAGATTATTCCTTGTAGTTCAATGACATTTACACAAACAGGTAATAACGTATTGATTGATGATGCACCTTTAATCAATCATTGATGAGGAGGAGGCTTGGTCCTGGGCCGCGCGAGGAGGTCGTAGTTTGGCGCCTCGTAGAGTAGTCCAGGATGTGGAGACTCGTCGACTAATGCTTTGGTCGTTCGTTCGAATTGTAGTTCTCGATAGAGATTACCTAATGCGTCATATACCATCATCTCACCCATTTGCATTCCAACGCACTTCCTTGGACCATCGCCGAATGATGCCGGTGACTTGTCGTCGCCAATGAACCTTGATGGATTGAATGTCAATGGATCCTTCCACTGTTGTTCAGATATACATGATGTGTATACATTTGCAATGACTTGTGTCTAAGTGTGATTGTTTGATTGATTAGCGAATGATCAGCGAGACTGAGGTGAGGATGACGGTCTATGACTTACTCCTTTTGGAATGAAGTAGCCTGCAAGTGTTGTGTCCTCAACTGTTTGATGAGGCAGGAGTAGTGGAGAGGTAGGCTTTAGTCTAAAGCCTTCTTTGATTGCACTGTAGAATAATGGAAGTTGTGTCTTGTTGGACCATGACACTGGCTTGTTTGATGGTGACTTTTCCACAATCTCTTGGTACAACAACTCTTGTATCTCTGGTCTGTTGATCATCATTAATACTGCCCATTCAACTGTTGTAGCTGCTGTATCAGCTGTAAATGGGGATGGGTAGGTGGAGAATGTCAGTCAACTGTACTCCAGGCTGTGCACGTCTGCGGAGGATACATACTTCCAGCGACCATTAGATCCAGACAATTCCTTTCGATGTGCTCAATGGTGTAGGTATGTTCAGGGTCATTCTCCATCTCAATTAGGAAGAGATCAACGAAATCCCTTGGACTATGGATGTATGATTGTTAGTGCTTGTCCAGTGAGTCATGCGATTGATCGAAGTACATACTTGTTTCGATCAAGTGTCTTCTGGTGCTCAACGATTCGTCTTCGGCTGAACGACAAGATACCAGATACAACCTTCTCAATCTCATGATGCTGTAGTTGGTGTGAGTCGTTAGTGGATACTTGCAAGGCCAAGGCTAAGCCAGCACGGTACATACATTAAAGAATGGCTTTAGGATATGAATAAAGTCGCTTGGATTACCTTGTACCATCAGTTTTGTTAATTCTTCGGCAAGGTACATTATCTCCTTCTCTTCATCATTCCTTTGTTCCGAATCATATGTGATCTCGGCTGAGAAGGTAAACTGGAACATACAATTCAATGTATATGTATGTGTATACTTCTTAAGTTGTATCTATACAGTATATATATTGGAAGATATATTTGTCAGCTGACTTGGATCATGATTGATCACATCATCGAACAACTACTTACAGGTTGTCCTTTGGCAATATCACGTTTGATCGCGGCAATAAGTTTGGACACTTGATCCAGAATGATGGTCTCAAACTTCATCAACTTGGTCCTGGTCAACGTCATTCCAAACAATGTTCTCAACTTCTTCCACAGCTCGCCATTGGAGAAGCTGAGGTCTTTCTCATCTTTGGTTGTTATATGATTAGTTGTCAATGTTAGCATTCCAGTCGAGTCGTGTCCAAGATGGCATACATACCTCCAACTATTAGTAATGATGGACCGAGGTAGCGATCCTTGAACACCTCGGATTGTGTTGTGAATGCTTCATGGATGAGTTTGGAATCGTTGAGTACTACTGTGTAGATGGAGCCCATGTAGATTGAATAGATCTTGCCATATTGTAGATATAGCTTGTGAAGACTCTCATAAGGCTTGCCTTTATCAATCATATGAAGATTGCCAATAAGTGGCAGATGTGGCGGTGTCGGTGGTCCATTCTTTACTCTGTTATTATTCTATTTAGTTTGGTTTGATTTGATTTGAGTCAGAATGGATTGACTGATGGATGTGATGAGTGATTAGTGATGGAAACATACCAGATGTAATAGATAAACGATTATAAATCCTAATATTATTGATATGAAGAACATTGTATGTTGTTGTAATGATTGATTGATTGATTGAATGAATGTATAAATGTCCAATGCAACTCAATGAGTATTGTAACTTGTTGAAGGCAATGGATGTGAAATTGAACAATTGTCAGCTGAGCACCATTCGTGTCAAGGTCAGTATCTCTCAAGAGGCTTGTTTTGTTATTGTGTCGAGTTGTTGTCCCCGTTGTTGTACTGAATGTGTGACTCTTCGGGATCGGAGTAAATTGTTAGATTGATTATTCTCTCTTATCTTGTCTTGTTTTGTTGTTGTTGTTGATATTGAGAGCTGATAGATTGTGTGAATGAATGAATGAATGACTTGACTTTGTTATGAATAGTAGTGTTTGAGTGTCAACAACACATTTAATGTTTGACAACAACAACCCATCTCACCACTTCGTACCCCCCATTCTATCACCAAGAGTCGCACGAGTGAGGCCTATCCATGAGCCAATCAAAGGGTCTACCATCCACACCAAAAAAACAGATATTTGGTTTTCGAAGAGGCATCGATTCCATTCCAGATCAACTTGAATGAACTTCCTTCTTCATTTATTCAGTATCCCGAACAACTACACTTACTTAAGTGTATAACAAAGGAATGAGATTGATTGATATTAATGATTGATTATCTCTAGGTGTTCATTGATTTCGTAAAGTAATTGAATGAATGAATGAATGGTTGAATTAATGAGTGAGTTGAGGTCTAAGACGAATTCAAAATACACATAGTTAGGGTTGTGTCAACAATTGATCGAGTTATACAACACACAAAGATATATAGATAGAGATAGATAGATAGTTACAGGGAGGGTTCACATCATATATAACATGACAATAGCGATTGAATGTGTACTAGAGTCTGCAGTGTATATGCCTGGTGATACACTATTCTGTAGGATACACATATCAAACAAGACAACATCCAATGCAATCTTTGTCCAGCCACCGCCACAACCATCTCCATCACCTTCTTCACCAGGCATCAACAAATCAAACAATAACAACAACAATAATAACAATAATAACAATAATAACAACTCAGTGTTGAATACATCATCATCGGGAATCGACTCGATATCATGGATAACAGCACAGGTCTATGGCAACATGGTGATTGAACCAAAGTACTTTAAGATGTCGACGTCAAGCCCAAAGATGAGTAGTGCTGCAAAGAAGTTGGCTGCAACTTCATCGTCCTCTGTTATAAAGAGGGTAGGTGGTGCGCCAACCACAGGCATCTCAACGGCTACATCACTACCCAACACGATGGATGCAGGCGAGAATGGACGTTCAATATTCGCTTCGCCAACGACCATCCTCGGCTCAGACATCCAAGTGCCACCGGGCCAGACACGCTCATGTAAGCATCATTCAATCATTCAATCAAACATACTTACTCACTCATTCAATCATTCAATCAAACAATCATACAGTTATATACTATCTCACATTGCCTTCACCTTTGCCACCCTCATATAAGGGCTCAGCTCTGCGCTACAGTTACTTCCTTTCGATTGCGGCACAGCTGCTCACTCATCCAGCACAGATCCTCACGATACCAATACGTATACTGACACCAGCATCAGCATTGCGTGAGGTCAAGTTCAAGTTGAACATCACCAATCATCACTTTGATGAAGGATCTACAGAGACGCCACAGGACAATCCCAAGGGACTAGAGGTGGTCTCCAAGTGGCCAATCTCTCCCTTCAAGAAGTCACAATACTTCCCCGTGCCCTACCCTCAGACCCTATCCCAATACGACTCAAACAACACCAGGAAGTCAGTGATCGACCTCCTGAGCAAGTACTCAGTGCCAGGTATGTGTGAGCAATGGTCGGGTGGCGCGTGACTGGCACTAACATCGCGAACCTCCATCTTACATACATACTAGTATCAATGAATATATCAAAGGGAACGGAGAAGCTGGCGACAGTGTCAATTGCAAAGACAGCGTATTCATTGGGAGACACTGTTTGTGGAACGTTTGACTTCTCAATCGCGACAATACCATGCTACAAGATATTGGTCAAGCTGGAGTTTGAAGAGACTATCGAGCCCAAGTACCAGGTGACACCCAAGAACAAACCCAACCGAAGGCTCTATGGCGAGCTGCACGAATATACAACAAACCTCCGACAGACACACTTTATGTTCCACATCCCCGTCGAAGCATCACAAGAGTTCTCCACAAAGCATGGTATGTATACATACACGCAGTCCCGTTTAGACCTGCTGGACCAAGGCCTGACCCTTACCCATCCATTTAGTATCAGTCAAATGGGTACTACGCTTCGAGTTTGTAACACCAGTCAAGAATCCGAATCATCAACAACCTCTGCCATCACAACAACCTCAGCAGCAACAGCAGCCACAGCAACAGTTGCCTCGATCAAACTCACAGAACATCATTCACTCTCCTACGCCGCATCAGACAAGCAAGGACAACCTATCAGAGATGCACGCGTCACATATGGCAAAGAGCAGTTCATACAATGAAGACCTTGGTCGACAGCAATCAAACATCAACAATGTCTCCACTTCAATCCCCACGACAACATCTGCATCACAATTGGCCGGCACAAATGGTGGCGATCCCTCGACGACAAACAACAACACCAACAACAACAACAATGTCTCTTCATCTTACTCTTTGCCCTCGACGCCACCATACACTCATTCATCATCCAAGGCAAATCGAACAATATCAGAGGTTCCCAGCGACAGCGAGAGCAATCTGAGCTCAGACAGTGGCGCACTCAACGATGACTACACAATCAACAGCAGTTCCAACAGTCACTTCAGGGCATCGACGGCCAGCAGTGGTTTGGTCAATCACAATCAATTCAAGCGCAACGTCACGCATCCAGTAGTTGGCGTGTTGGTGAACAATGACGAGAACAACATTCCTCAAGTGGATACACTACATTGGAGTTTACCCATTCGCGTATTGGTTAGCGCGCCACCTCACGAGCTGTTGCACACAAACAAGAATGAATTAATACTGTAGCCATTCCATCGATCGATCAATCAACCAATCAATCACTTTATTCCAAAGTATTCAGGAAGCCTAATATCTTCTCAGATATGTCGTCCAGGATCTCTTGGGGCACTGGCCTATCGACATACTCGGGCAGCGCTGCGAGCCTTGTATCGATATCTGGGTCGCGCAGTATGTTGTTGGTGCTGGTCATGATCCTGCGAATACGCTCGAGATGTACGCTGGGATTGTGTGGCTCGCCATCTGTGAACTTCTTGAAGATCTCGACTTGGTGCTCCCTTGCACCCTCCAGTCGGCTCTCTGCAGCAAGTGACGAGAGGATGTCGGCCACGGTGTGATGATTCGTGAGGTTGAGGCTGTCCTTGAAGAAGCCCTTGTCAAATTTGAGTATGTTCATTGTGAGCTGGCCCAGACCGCCCTTCTTCTCAATCACGTAGAAGAGCGCGCTGTATAGGTTGCTCATGTTGATGGTCTTGGGCGTGCCAAAGAAGTCCATCAGTTTGATGACGTTTGTCGTGTCCTTTAGTCCGTGCATCGTATCGAACAGGTTGGCGACGACGATGAGGAAGGGTCGCGTCTTCATGGCGCTGGTGGTCATGCGCAGGTAGGCATAGGCGCGCTCGGTGCTACGCGTCGCCAACATGTTGAGCTGGAACAGCGCGCGGCACTCCTTGTTGGATGACGGCATGCTGGTGAAGTAACGCTCGTCCAAATAGCCGAGCTCGACAAAGTTGCTGGCCACCTTGGGATAGATCCAGCTGTACACTGTAACGTTCTTCTCGAACATCTTGAGTATGATGTTGACGGCCAGCTCGGTGTGGCCGCTGTTGAGAAGGCCGCACAACGTAGAGTTGATAATCTCGATGTTGGGCAGGGTCAGCGCCGACATCTCGTTCTGAATGTTCCTCCAGCCCTGCGCCAGGTCGTCGCGCAGGTAGGGCACGTAGCTGCTGGAGCGGAAGGCGATGGCGCGGAAGTAGTCGGGCGAGTGCAGTACCAGACTGTGCCACTTGCGCAGGCCACCAAAGTCGATCATCATTCGTATCAGGAAGGTGCCATGCGGCAGCAGACCTTTGGAAAAGTAGTGATTGTGTAGCTTGTGCTCGATCGAACGGAACTGCTTGCGTTCCAGTAGATGTTCCAGTGAGCGCTCATGGTAGTCGTCGGTCTTGGGCGGTGTGCCGGGATTGGTAGACACCTGGCCAATGGTCTTGATAAACTTGCGCTTGTAGAGCATGCGGTGGTGGCCGCGACGTGTCTTGTCGATGGGCAAGTCGAGCAGCAGCTGCTCCCAGAAGCGCATCATGGCCTGATGGCCATCGCCCTTGAACTCGTGATAGACAATGAAGGGATAGATCGTGCTCTGGTTGGGCACGAGACCCATGATGATGCGGCGACTGTACCAATGAAGTGCCATCTCGTAGCGCTCGGTGAGAAGGTGTAGCAGGATGACGGTGTTTGTGATCTTGGAGACGATGGCCTGTGACTGGCAGCCCGGCAGCAGGCGCTCGACACACTCCACCATCTCGATCGAACCGACAAGCTCGTTGTGCACGATGAAGGCGGGCAGGATCGTGTGGTCGACATCCATCTCGTTGTTGATAATTTTGGCGAACTCTTTGTTAATGTCGCTCGATCGTTCCAGACGGCTGACCAGGCCGCGAGTCTGCACGCTCAGGCCAGACAGCATCATGAGGGCCGACCAGTCCTTGTGGTCGGCGTCAAAGTAGGTGGCCAACAGGTTGCTGCTGCGTCGATCGTCGATGTACTCGGACTGCAGACGATGCAGTAGCTTGGTCAGACGGAACATCGATGTGATGTGCTCGTCGCCCGCGGGGTTGGCGCGGTCCTTCTTGACACTGTCCATGAGCAACGCGTTGATGGCCTCAAAGTGGTGTCTGGCAGCGAATGTGGCTACCAGGTTCATTATCAGTTCTTGGCGCGGGCTGTTGGCCTGCTTCTTGACATTGAGTACATAGCGACTGACCGTCAGCACCAGCTGGACAATGTCATGTGGTGGGCGAGTATCCGGGCTACCCGACACCTTTGGTGATATGATGTAACTGACCAACGCGCAAGCAATCCAATAATCCGCCTCCTCCATAATCGACAACACTTCGCTCGTCAACTTTGCCGCTCTTCCATTATGATCCCTCAAGTATTGTACCAGTCTGATGATTGATTGATTGAGTTAGTGATTGTGTGAGTGATCGAATGGTAGGGTGGACCGATTATGATCATATCTTGATCATCAGTGCACTGATACATCTTGATCATAGATCTTGATCATATATCTTGATCGTTCAGTGCACTGATACATCTTGATCATCATCAAGGATGATGGATGACCTACGTTTCGCTCTTGTGCATGTCCATGTATCTTTGAAATGTGTCCTTGTCTAGGGGAGGCACGTGGAGTACCTCTTGTTTCTCAAACAATGGGTTCTTGTCGGCCCAATGAGTGCTCAAGTATGATGTGTACTTTGGGTTGTTCCTCGGTCTGTATTGTTCTAACTGTTGTTTAAGATGATCGGGTGGCTGTTGTTTCTGATGTATATGAGGTTGTTGTTGATGTTGATATTGCTGTGGATAATGATAGCCTTTGGATGATGGTCCATGATCATCCTTCGAAAGGAATGGTCTCCTCTCCATCTCTGGTTTATAACGTGATGCTGGGAATGCTGGTATTGGAGATGGTGGCGCATAGTCTGTTGATGATGTTGTTGATGATGTTGATGATGATGTTGAGTTCGACGCCTGTGTTCCATTACTACTAATACTGGTGCTGCTTGTCCAATGTCTGTTCAATGTTGACGATGGACTGATCAAAGTTGTAGGATATCCATTGTTGGCAACAAAGCCATTGAGTTGCAATCTCGAGAAGTAAGGTGCTCGTGACCTTACAAAGCAAGATAACATGCTTGTTGTTCTTGTATCTGTATGTATGAATTAACAACTATCAATTGATAAATGACAAGTACTACAACTACAATGACATCAGAACTTGGTTGGGCATGAAAAAAAGCGAAAGAATCGGTGTGTCACTTGGTCTTTTTTTGGAATGATCAAAATCCCCACTTTGTTTTGCACTTCATCCAACCTTTTCAATCAATTTAACAAACAATCATTATTTATCTATCTATTCAAACATATAAAACAACATGGTCAAGTCATTTGCACAAGCATTGGATCTCAAGAATGATGCCGAACTCATTGCCGAGTACAAGAAGTATCACAGGAGTGTCTGGGTCGAGGTCAAGAATGCCTTAAAGTCAATTGGTATGATTGTTTGTTTGTTTGTTTGATTGAATTGATTGATGATACTTATATTGATTTTTGAATGAATAGGTATAACAAAGATGAAGATATTCCTTGTTGGCACACATTTATTCATGTATTATGAGTCCACTGATGACTTTGATCCAGCAAGAGACTTCCAAAGATACACTGATCTGACACCAAAGGCCAGTGAATGGGATCTTCTCATGAGGTATTGTATCACATCCATGTTATCATCATCATATGCGACTCACTCTCACACTCACCTCGAATGAATGAACCAAACAAACAAACAAACAAACAATGTGTAGAAAGTTCCAACAAAAGATACAAGAGGCGAAGGAGACGGATTGGTGGTGTCCAATGGAGGAGGTGTTTGATCTCGAGTGGTAAACATTCAATCACATCATCATCATCCTTACCATCACCATCACAACTGAGCCTGATAATAAATCAGGCAAGGACACATGTTCAAGTGCGTGTGTGATTGAGTAAAGTAGATGTTCACATAACAATGGTTAGCTAAACATGAACATGGCCCCCTGCCATGTAATGAATGAACCATTATCAACATAACAACGTGGATAGTAAGTACCTATCCAACGAATGTTCATACTGCGCAAACACCCCCAAGACACTGTGCCCGGGATGTATCCTTTACCATAATGGCCTTGCAAGCAAAAAGGCCCTAAGGAAACCAATTTCAATGAATGGGCACTCCCAAAGACGAGGGGTTAACTACTGGGACTCACCCAACGACTCTTCGATCACATGATCACACACATTAGATATTAACTTTATTTATGTGTGCTTTGGGCCGAGGAAAAGACAAGACACCTTACATTCATTTAACTCATCATATGTTGGCTGATAGTGAGGTGGACTAAACGAAATGTAATGTATTCTTCTTCTTTCCTACATTAGTTATAAGTCTATCTAGTCACTTCAAGTTCAACACAAACAGATAACTGAGACATATACAATCATTAACTCAAGGTAATTAATTAATTAATGAACACAACTCAAGTGTAGTGGTATGTGTGTTTGTGTGATTCGCACATGATCATTCAAACATTCATTATCTCTTTCAAACAGTTGAACTCTAGTTCAACATGGGGTGTGTAGTTCGAGGATTCGCCTCAATCACACCCACTGCACACTCACTACACTTTATATCATTCAATCGGTCGACCGATTCAAACTTAAGTGGACCTTTGGATCTATCTCACAATGTGTGTGTGTGTGTGTGTGTGTGTGTGTGTGCTTTTGTGTATGATACTAGTTAACAGTTGACCAAACAAAGAGATCATTATACACATTACCAATTATATGTTGTGACAACTGATAAATGGGTTACAACTACTCTAATCACGATGGTATGGTACATCTCTAAATATTTTGGATGGATCACTACAATTATCACAACCTTACAACATATTCATATCAACAACCAATAACTACTTCTTTCCATTCCATGTTAGTTATTAATAATATTTATTTATTTATTTATTTATTTATTTAATTTATAAGGTATCCACATGTGACAGAGTGTGATTGAATTTCCATGGTCATTACATCATCATAGTCATTCACAGCAAGCACATATCATCGACATCCACCTCATCATAATCGATCAATCAATCACCACCCACAGCCAACAACACACAACACATCAACAACAAGAGTTATTTAAAGGAATGGATAGGATTATGATTGATTGTTTGATTAATTGATTGATTGAATGAATTGGACTGACACACTGTCATTGTGATCAATCTTATCATCACACATCTCAACCCTCACCTCTCACACTCCTACCATAATTCAAAGATTGTCAACACATTGGCATACGAACACCACCCTCTCTATCCCTCCCTCACTCCACACACACATTCACACACACACACATATAACAACTACATGTACATATATATCCGTGTGAGATGTGAGATGTGAGATGTGTGTTGATGTTGAGTTACGCTGACTTGGGTCACACTCAAGGTTGGTGTTCCTGCCTATCACACAACACACTATTCCTATCCAATCCTTCACAATTCCTAAACCTCTGTTCCTTCCTACTTCCTATCACTTCCCTTCAAAGGGAACTCCTCCTTCTTCTTACTTATTCATATACCTTGATTACTTACTCCTCTCTATCTCTTAATCAATCAATCAAATAATGGACACATCAACAATGTCATTAGACTCTGCATCCTTGTCAGACTGTAACAACACTATTAACAACAGCAGCAGTATCAGTAGCAGTGGTAGTTGTAACAGTATTGAGGATAACATCAATAACAATTCAATATCAACTACGACTACGACGCGGCATCAACAACAACAAAGACAGAATAGTTCAATACTCCAACAACAATTACAGGAAACGACAAACGATTCAGCTTGGACATCGAGTGGAACACCATTCTCTACATCTTCATCATTATCTGATTTATCAAATATATCAACTGGTGGAGGCAACGAAGACTCAACACAAATGGGAACACTGACAACAGGTGAGCGAGGCGGTTTCCAAATCGACCTTGCCAATCGAAACTTCACAAGGATACCAACACGTCTCCCAGTCGACAAGGAGAGCATTGAGTCCTTTATCATCAGTCTGAACAAGATCACCACTGTCCCCGACACATTCTATCAGAACTTCACAAGTCTATACTCACTCAATCTTGAAGATAACAAGTATGTTGTTCTGGCCTGGCGGCATACTCCCATTCAATCAATCGATCACTAACTCATTCATTCAATCAATCAAACATACTAGACTAAAGAAGTTGCCAAAGACACTAAAGAGGTTGCCATGTCTACAGGTGTTGCGACTTGGAAGGAACAAATTCAAAAAGATACCAAAGGTTGTGTTGGAGATGCCAACGATTGAGACATTGGACCTATCACATAATCGTATCGAATCAATACCAAGCAGAATCAATCAATTGGTGGAGCTAAAGGAGCTCAATGTATCATATAATCACATTGTTGTACTGCCCTCGGAATTGTCAGAGCTCACTCTCTTTGTTCTGGATGTCACTGGCAATGCAATCTTGTCACCACCTCTGGAAGTTGTCGAGTTGGGTATCGAGTCGATAATCGATTACTTACTCGAGGCCAAACTGTCCAAGTCAGGAAGTGGCAGTGGATCAAAACAACAAAGCAACAGCAGCAGCAGCATTGGTATGACTGGTGGAGCAAGTGCAGCGTCATCAGTGAGCGAACAAGAACAACAACAACAACAACTTCAGAAGAAGGAAAAACGAAAGTCAGTTATCAGGGAGCCATCATCATCGTCATTGTCATCATCGCAATCAACAGCGAAGAAGTCATCAGACTACGTACCATTCAGCTTCCCCTCGAGACACCTTCGTCCCACCGTCACTGCCGAACCACAATCACCAACGTTGTCAACATCTCCAACATCAATATCCAACACTGACTACACGCCCAAGCGAGTCAAGGCCAAGTCATCACCAAAGAGAACAGAGTCCACATTATCGTCAGATGGCTACGACTCAATTCCAACCTCTGCTTCGAATGAGAACTTCAAGGATAGGAAGGGATTGGTCAGCAGTGGCAGCAGTAGCAAGAGAGAGAGGAACAACACATTGACGAGGAGTGCCGCTGGCAAGGAGGCCGGTCGCGCGTCCCTTGATTCCGATGATCAGACATCCTCCTCGTCGGATGACCAGACCACCATGTCCACTACCTGCTCGCTGGCCTCTGGAATGCTTCCGCTCAAGTTGGACGGCATGGAGCAGTCGCCCGAGGAGTTTGAGTTGAGCTCATCAACATCCAATCCAAACACGCATCCTTTGACACCAAGTAGCTCACCCCGATCCAACTCCAGCTCCACTACCAAGCCAATGTCACAGTCGTACAACAATGTGACGATTGGAAGGTCGTCAAAGAATACACGTCCAGGTGCCGTGCTACAGAAGATGGCAACCGTTCTGAACCTGTCGCGTCCAATGACCAGGACGTTCACCATCTCACCACCCGAGTCTGGCGCGTCGTCCACCACATCCTCGCCCCCACAATCACCAAGTAAGCAAGCCAATGAAAGTGTTTCAGAGGCCACTAGCGAGCGACCAAGAGCCAGAGACAGAAGAGGAACGGTAGCAGCGTCTGAGATGACCTGAGGCAGTACTTGAAGGCCATCGACAGCAGCTCGAAGCTACCCCCACTGATTGACCTGCTGCGCGACGAGCAGGGAATAGAGTGCTTCCGATCATTCCTCAAGACTGAGTTCTCGGTCGAGAATCTGGACTTTTGGATGAGGGTGGAGCGTTACAAGGCGATGCCAGCACATGACATTGACAGCAAGAAGAGAGAGTGTAACAATATCTACAAGCAATTCGTGTGTGAGCGTGCACCCAACCAGGTCAACCTTCCACGCTCCGTTGTGAAGAAGGTTGAGGATTTGATGCAGCCGACCGAGGCCACAGTCTTGGACAGTCCCACATCATGGTCAAGAGTGTTCAATGAGTCGCAACTCCACATCTTCATGCTCATGGAGACCGACAGTTTCGAAAGGTTCAAGCGATCTTCATTCTCAATCAAGTATATTCAAAGTCATTCAGATTGATTGATTGATTTAATTGGTTGATGGAATAATAATAATAATTTATTATTTGATGTCAGCATCTAGGTCAACGATTAAACATGCACCTCGAGCACGACGATTGACTGTGTCAGTGTCTCCGAGTGAACTCCACTTTTTGTCTTTGATTGAGTAGTAGCAACTCTCATTGTTTCCAGCCATACATATTAGTCTGTCTTTCAATGGATCATACACTGTAGCACAAGCTCCATTTACAGGACATCGTAATAGCATGTTTTCAATATAGTTCCATCTGCCACTAACAGAGTATCGATAGGAAGTATCCTTGGTAATGACGTAGATGACGTCCTGGCCATCGAAGCAACAAGAGGACACTGCTCCCGGGAGCCCTATGACGTGCGATGTCGTCTCCTGGGTCAGGGTGTTGAATGATATGACGGAGAAATCCAACCTTGACTGGGCAACTATGTATAGACGAAACTCGTGGAACACAACAAAGTTCCTAAGACAATTGGAGGATGGACCAGTGAGTTGTCCAAGTTGTGTAAACTCCTTCGTGTGGATGTCGAAGCAATCCACACGGTCCAGTACCTGTCTGTCATTAAGTCCTCCGACGAGGTATATGGTGTTATTGCCATCGTAGCATTATTGCCACCGCTGACATTGGTGATCGGTAGATATGTGCTCCAGTGTCCTCCTTGAAACGTGAGCTTTGCGTAGAATGATGAGAGTCCCTGCCACCAAACGCATATAAAGCACCACGAGCGTAGACCACAGAGTTGTACGTCCCAATGAATGAGCTCTTGGCGTCTTTGAACGTACGCCATTCTATATCGCCCAGTGAGAGTAGTGCTATCCCAGTGTCTGCCACCGACACGACGATACCATCTTTTGTATTCATTGGAGCCCTTGGCTTAGGTGCCAACATTGGAGTACCAGCAATGTTGAATATGCTGAAGCAGGTCTCTATCTGGTTCTGGATATAATTCAACTTTTTTGAGTCGGTCTCGACTCGGTACGCCTCCATCTTGTCCATGTACACCTGGTCATATGTTGTGAGCAGCATATGTTGATGATTCTTGATCATTATCAACAACTCATTGTCACCCAATTGTCCATTATCATCTGATTGTGAATTGTTGTACTTGTTGACAAACTGTTCAACAGAGTCACATGATTTGATTGTCGTCAACGTAGCATTATCGATGGTGTTGTTGTCATTGTTGAGGTCTTTTGGGAGAAGGTGTGACATGTTTAGCATTGAGTTGACATCATTGATCTCATTGAGTATGTTGTTGATGGTCGATCTGATGTGCGCCATCAGTGTGTTGATCGGTGTCTTGACCTTGTGCTCCTGCGCAATGAACAGTTTATATAGTTGTTCAAAGTGATCGCTTATATCTTTATGTGACTTCTCCAAAGATTGATATGAATCAACACATCGATTCAGAGTCTTCCAGAGATGCTCCAATCTTGGTGTAAACCATAATGATTTATAATCCTTTTTAAAAGTATATCCTTTATACTATGTATATGATTCATCTTATGGCCACAATGATCAGATACACAAACAGAACAAATCAACTGTTTACATGGCCAACACATTATTCTCTCTTTCTTATTATGTGCATTGCATATTGATACATCATTATTATTATTATTATTATTATTATTACTATCCATGTTTGTGGTAAATGTTGAAAATGACACGTTCAAACGAAGAACTTTCGTCTTGTCATCCTCGCGTCACGACCACATCTTGTTTTAATTTCCGATTGAATGTACATGAACCAACTTATTGTCGGTTAAAGAGTAGTAGGTGTAGGAGTTGTAGGAGTAGGAGTAATATTTGTATTACAAGTACAGTTGTTAACATTATGAGTGGCATACTTGATCTTTCCAAAGTTGAACATATGTGTCATTGTGTTTGAAGATGAAGGAGGTGGAATGTAATCCTCAATCTCTCCAAAGTTGACCAATAGATGTACTTTAGGTATACTTATTGATGGTATCCTATGATTGATAATACTAGTGAGCACAGAGTATATCATATTTGATGTATTTGTCTTTGCAATCATATCTTCACGGTTGTTGTTCATCTTGTTGTTATTGTTGGAGAGTTGACCCATGCTGGGAGCAGACCATATATATTTAGATAATGAATTATAAGATGAACGTACACCATTTGTACCTTTATAGACCAATTCAACAGTACCTGATACTGTTCTATTTGTCATATCCTTGGTAGGTTTATACATCCAATTATACAATACATCTTTGGTAACTGCAAGTCTACCTGATGATGGATTGTTATCTATTGTTGTTATTGTTGTTGATGTTGTTGATGTTGGTATGTCTTCAGCAGTCATATTTATATCTACATCTATCTATCTATCAAACTTCATTGAGTTGTGTTTGATCACAATGATAAGTTTACTTGTCAAATTCGAATTTGTCCCATAACTTAAGTTGAAAAATTCAAATTTTTGCAACGGCTAGTTCATTCATTCACTCAACTCCTCATTCATTCGACTTACTTACTACCTACTTTTACAATACATACATATACATACATATACAACTCATTATCATCAATTTGTTCATTAATAGGTTAGAGAAGACGACGACGACGACAATATAACACAAAGATGTTTCATCCATATACACCGAGAAGATCAACAAGACCTGTTGATGGCAACATGTTGGCAAACATGGCACCAATAGAATCACTCAATCCAGATACATTGAAAGACCTTTCAAAAGATGATCTATCTCTATATCTACGTGCTCATAGTATGTATTAGTTGTAACATCGAACGATCTTTCAATGTACTCACTCGCTCAATCAATCAACCGACCGATGTTATATTATTAGATATTACACCAGGTGTATCAAAGCCAGAGATGAAGAAACAGATGCGTACACTTATTCATTCACTAGCAAATAATCTACCTCTACCAATGAGTCAACTACAACCTCAACCAAAGCAACAGGATTTGATAAGCTTGAGCGGAATGAATATGACACAGCTATCACCTGCCTTGATGCCAATGAATATGAACAATCAGAGTACGAACAACAACAACAACATGCCCACCAGTCAAACACCTCCACCAATACCAAACACAATGTCACCCAACAACATCAGTCTGAACCCATCGCCAATCGGTTACATGGGCATGCCATTCGTCTCGCCCTATATGATCAAGCCGAGCATATACTCTACACCGCCACCAACCTTCCCGCCCACCGGCACCGTCTCGGCACCATCGACCACGACAACCACGCCCATCCCGCAGTCTCCACATCTGCCGCCAAAGAGCACGCCCTCGTCACCACCCCACTCTCCGCGCACAAAGGAGAAGAAGGACAAGGAGAAGAACAAGGAGAAGGACAAGGACAAGGAGAACAAGGACAAGGATGGCAAGGAGGAGGAGCAGGACTTCTGCACAGAGTGCTCAAAGAAGGCCAATAGAGAGTGTGTTCATAAGCGATGTAGAGGATGTTGCATCAAGCAGATGATGGAAACAAAGATCATCTGTCTCGTGCACATCAAGGACGAGAGCAGGAGACCGCGAGCCAAGGAGCATCCCCACGCAGAGACGATTCAGGCCTTGATCAATCAGGCCCAGCAGCAGTTCCCCAACTTTAACATTGTCGGCAGCACAACCAACACCCCGGCCGCCACACCTGTGGCAACACCGTCCGTTACCGCGATGGTACCCACGGCCACACCAACGATTGAGCCACTGACACTTGGCGTGTCTCCAGTGATCAAGTCCACACCGATGCATGCACCAATCACAACCCCAACGCGTCCATCGGCACTCAACCTGGCAACACCCTCGACGACATCGCCAACTCACTCGGTGGCCACACCCGCCGTCCCTCTGATGCCGCCACAGCCCGCCGACGGTGCGGTGATGATGCATCATGCTGCGATGGCTCCAGTTGAGCAGAAACAAACGTCAGAGTACCAGAGCACGCACAAGGCTCAGTCACAATTCCAGCTGGCCTTCATCAACATGCAGGCGATGTACATGCAGCAGATCTCCAATCAGCGACTGATCCTGCAGCGCGACGACAAGTTCGCCTTCTTCACATGCTACAAGTGCCAGAAGGTACTCAGTGTCAATGGTGCCAGCCTGTGGAAGCATCTTCAGCAGGAGCATCCAGAGGAGTTCATCACATTCCYTCAAGGAGCAGATCAACAGCGATCATAATATATTCGAAGACGATCAGGATATCTTGGTCATGTCAAAGTCAAAGGCGACAGAGAGATACAATGAGAGGATTGAGTGGCTGGAGGACTTGTTCTCGCCATCGCCTGCACCAGTGGGCGACGACAAGGCACACCATCAGCATCGCAAATCAAAGATTATCGAGTTCCAACAGCGTGTCCAATCATTGATGGACAGCTTCGCATCACAAGTCACACTGGACAGCATCATGAATGAGTCAACATGCTTTGACAAGTACTTTAGCAAGTTGTCAACTTCATTATCAATCGATGTAAGTTGGACATTACATCACATGACAAGGGCAGGACACAACACTAACTTCCCAATCATTCAACCAGGAGTTGGACAACATTCGAAAGCAGTACGAGATGGAGAAGGGTATCCAACTCCCACAACAACATGCAGCATGCTCATTGTCAGCGTTGCAACCAGTGCCAGTGTCGATCATTCAGCAACCAAAGCAGCCAGAGCAACAGGCCTACTATCAATTTATTGAGAGCGACAAGTCATTCAATGTACAAAGCCTATAGAGTATGTGTGTGTGGCTAGCACAGTACTTCTGGCAACGAATGGTTCACTCCTTGAAATAAAGAGGTGCACCAGGTAGTAGCAGTAGAGTAATCAATCATTGGTTTGTTGTTGTTGATCGATCAAGGTGGACGAGTCTACAACACCTTGCTTCGGATAAAGAATTGGTAAATGAGTCCATAGAGTGCGCCTGCAATGTGGACACCTCCAGCCCATTGATCCTTCTTTTGGTATTGGAAGAAGTCGTAGCAGAGGTAGCCACCAACCAGCAGCCATGCTGGCATGGGGAGGATGCCCATCAGCAAGAAGGTGGAGTGAGGGAACAGTGCAGCGTATGCCAAAACGACGGCGTTAACTGCTCCGCTGGCGCCAAGTCCATGTGTCTTGACGAAGCGTCGTTGTTGTCCGCGTTGGCTCTCAATGTAGCAGTATACCAAACTGGAGAAGATCGCTGCGCCAAAGTACATTGAGAGGAAGTGGCCCAGTCCGATGGCTGCCACCAATCCCGAACCAATCGTGTATAGACCAAGCATGTTGAATATAAAGTGCGGGAAGTCCTTGTGTGAGAATGCTGCCGTGATCAACGTCCAAGGACGTTCGCGACAGTTCTCAATAGACAATGTGAAATTCCTGTACATGAATCTTTGGTTCTTGTTCGATACGTCTTGCCACAGGACTGATGAGATGCAGCATGGTTAGTCATTGGTAGTAGGGGGATGGTAGTTGGAGCGAGCGGCGAGCATGATGCTTACAGAATATTGCTCCGTTGATTGCAACAAGACCCCAAATGACAGCATTGGAGGATAGGAAGAACCGACTGGACCTCGATTGATTGTATTGTTGATAACGACCGTATCTATATTGACCTCCAACATTGACGTTGAGTCCATTCATCGATGTTCTTCGATGTAATAATGGTAGATTACTCTGCTGTGTTACTGCTGTCGTCTGTGAGTTGGTCATCATTCTATAGTTATGTAGTAGTTTGCCATTGCCATTGTTGTTATTGTTGTTATTGCTAAGGAGATGATTGATCATTCTCTTTGCTTGATTAAACATTGTCATATTGTTGACATTGTTGAGGATGTTGTTGCCAAAGGACATCTTGCTGTTTGGTTTGATTGAACCAAAGGCTGAGCGCATAGTGCGTCTTGCACTATTCAATATAATACTCTGTAATCTCATTATCTGTTGTTCACTATCTACCTAACTATCTATCGTGATAAAGTGATAACAGACTCAAATGAAACTTGAAAGTTCATCAGATTGCAAGTTCCAGCTCATCATGAGTTGTCCCATAAATGAACATATTTTTGACCGGCCACCAAGAGTTTGGAAGTAAGATGTTGGAATTAGGTTCCCTTTATTGCTTCCAATGGTGGACTGTGATTGATACAATGACTTGGAAGTACTTAGAGAGTGGTAGTGCTACCCTTCAATGCTTGGACCTTTGCTAGAAGACGATCCTCAGTCAACTCATCAGTAACCTCACCGTATAATACAACATGTACAGGCTAATCAGATACATTGATGTTAGTAAGAACGAATGTATATTGATGAATGAATGAATGAATACATACGGCAAAGAACTCATCAATGGTACCCTTGTGTGATGTGATCTTTCCTTTGATCATTGGCGAGACGTTGACACCGACCCAGTTGATCTGGGCCACTTTGGTGGTGACACTGTTGTCAATCTTGTCCGACACCTTTACAATACCATAGCTGACCTTGCTTGAGCTGAGATGTGATACCAACTCACGCAGTCCTCCATTGCCCTTGCCAATCAAACTGAGATTCTGCTCCTTGTTCTCGTATCCAATAAGCATCCAGTTGACTGATGACTGTGGTGACTTGACCTCCTGCACCAGCTGGCGCAGACCAGCTTCATCGATGAATGACAGGCCAACAGAGGTGGTGTTGACAGTGGGCAGCTTGACCTGGGCCGAACGACTGCCATATGCGTTGGCTGAGCCGGCCGAGGTGAGGGTGGGGGCGGGCACGTGCTTGGGCACTGTGTCGCCAGTTCTGTTGCGACTGCCACTGGCGTCAGACACCTTGTTGACGATCTCCTGTTCGCTGATCTCGGCCTTGGACGAGGCGATTATCTCGACGTTGTAGTGACCCAACAGCTTGGTGATGACGGTCTTGTTGGTGCCGTATCTGGCCTTGTCCATTCCCTTAACATTGTCGCCGATCCAGGTGATGTAGACGTATCTGTCGGTGGGGAAGCCGTCGACAATGTCCACGACGCGCAGCAGGGCGTAGGCCATGAGATCGTCGGTGAGGTGGTGAGTGAGCTCGTGGATGCCATTGCGACCACTGGCCTCCAGCTTGATGTGGTTGGGTGATCCGTTGTAGGTGACCAATATCCAGTTGATTGGGTTACCAGTTGTGTGCAGTGCCTGAACGGCAGCATGGAACTCATCTGGGTTGGCAATGGTAACATCATTTCCACTTGCGCCTGGTGCATGCAAGGCACCTCCTCTTGACTTTAATTGACTTGCCATAATTGATAATACTACTAAGTTAAATTATTTATATATATATATAAATAAGTATATGTGTTCAAAAAAGAATGATCAAACTTTGTTAGATTAATTGATTGAACATCCAATTTTGATCAAAATCCCATCATTTTTTTGGGTCAATTTTTGGCTTTGAGGTGTCTCGTCATTCAATGAAAAGATGTCCCGCGCTCATCAACACACAACAATTTGATCACATGAAAAATAACATCACTTTAACTTATACAACTTTAATTATATAACAAGAATGATCTTTAGATATAATATATATATGTTATATGAGTCAACATCGAGAAATATTCAATCATTTTCTTTCAACAATAGTCTATCAACACTACTCAATCAACAATTAATCAATTATGGTTAGAACCACTCTGATCTATAAACTATTAAATCTTTTCATAGATTGATTGATAGAGAACAGGACAGAAGAATCAAAAAAAATAGTTCGTCTTGGAGAGCCGCGACTCTGTAAAGGCAAGTCCTTGGAATTCGATAATCCAACCCCACTGGTCCATTCACCCACCCAATGTTATTTGTAAAGACGAGTCTTTTGATCAATCGGTTGAATCGACAATATGTGTAGTGGTGTAGACCCAACTTGAGACCCGAGGCCGGAACATGTCTAGCCTTGTACCAATCTATAATTGACCAGTGTTAACAATAATTATTGTACATTGGACTTTTCTAATGACCCGTCATATGAATAGAACAATGACTCTCCTCCATTCAATCTGGAAACTGATTAATGGATATCGTCAACAAGACCCGGGTCTTTGTCTGTAGTCCTCAAGACTGTTCAATCAAAGTATCTCGGCAATATTTAAAATATTATAATTTACACCAACTATTTATAAATATTTCCACCATCATTGGGCATCATCAACAATCATTTAATATTCCCAAACATCCAATAATTATACCAACCTATTAGTATAATCATCAATCAATTATTCAATCAATTATTCAATCAATCAATCAATTATCTTAACTCCAACTACTATTCATCAGCCATGGAGTTCAAGAATCAATTACGTATTTTATTATACAAGAATTATGTGTTGAAGAAGAAGTCCAAGTGCGCGATATCATGCGAGATATTGTTTCCAATAGTCATAGTTATATTATTATTCATGCTCATGGTTATTGTGAAGGCATTCAAGCCTGATTATTCATTGTACCCCACGCCCACCTTGGCCTCCAAGCTCGGCCCTCTCGATCGTTTGATGTACGGACCAACTCCACTCACTTCCGATCAATTAATGGTGATTGACCTGCTCAAGACCCGTGTTGCAGTCACCAATGGATGGACGATGAATGAGACCGACTCCTACTTCCTGCCATTCTCCAACCCGACGCTGATGGAAGAGTTCTTTGCCAACTACTCCAAGACCCTCATTGGCGCTGTTTGGTTCAATGGTACCACCTACCCAGCCTCGACCACCGACCCCTTCCAATACTCGATCCGATTGGATTCAAGCGAGGTGTCCCCCACTGATCAGACCTATGGTAGCAACTCTGATGGCTCAATCAATTACGTCAAGAATCCATTCGAGACGGTCCAGGTCGCAATGGATGAGGCCATCATGAACTACTATGGCCTGAACAATACCATCACAATGACCAGCAAACGCTATCCCAACCCCTTCACGGCCACTTGGCAATCCTGGAACCAAGGTCGCGATGGTATCTTCAAGAATGCTGGTGGTGTCTTCATCTCAGCCGCCCTGCTGATGTTTGCCTTCCGCCTTGTCACCGACCTTGTCATGGAGAAAGAGACCAAGATTCGAGAGGGAATGAAGATGATGGGAATGATGGACCTGCCCTACTTCCTAAGCTGGCTGATCACCTCATTGATCATCTGTATCCCTGTGACCTTTGTGATAGCGATGATAATCAAAGGTTCAATGGTCGTCTACCACACTTCCTGGATAGTCGTCATACTCCTCTACATCTTCTATGCTATCACTCTTGTCCTCCTTGGATTCATTGGAAGGTAAGTCCATCACTCACTCATTCATTCAATCAATTATTTTATTAATTCGATCACCTCTTTAACTCCACTTCAGTATATTCTTTGATCACTCCAAGTTCGCTGGAATCCTCTTGTTCATGGGGCTACTTTTGGTTTCAATCATTGGTATCTTTATTGCCAAGTCAAGTGTGTCAAAGTACTTCAAGTTGTTCATGTCTCTCATCTCACCTATTGGAATGGCATGTGCCAACTATCACATGGCCACCGAAGATCTGATCGATTTGGACCCAATGCCCTCCAACACTACTGATCCAAGGTATGTCTATATCTTCCACCCACTGGCCGCATAAAAATTTATGTTGCCAGAGTGTTGCCACCGACTGGCAACACAATTTTTAATGCTGCCACAGATCACTAATCAAATGCAATTCAACTTCAAATATAATAGTGAAATCATTGGAATGATGCTGGTCAATATTGTATTATATACAATCTTGTATTGGTATTTGAACAATGTTATATCTGGAGAGTTTGGTACCGCCAAACCTTGGAACTTCTTGTTCCATCGCTCATACTGGTATCCAGAGAATAATTATGAGATGGTTGATGTTGAGGCATTCGGTAGTAATGACGACGTCGAAGGCATCCCAATGGACATCAAGAAATCCCCAACAGTATCCATCCGCAACCTAAGGAAGGAGTTCCACACTGGCGATGGTGTCCGAGTTGCCGTCGACGGTCTCTCTCTCGACATGTACCCCGACCAGATCCATGCCTTCCTCGGACATAATGGCGCGGGCAAGTCCACTACAATCGGCATTCTCACTGGCTTGGTTCCCCCAACAGACGGTGACGCCTTCATTACTGACTTTTCGATCAGGCGTCAGATGGACAACGTACGCCGCAAGCTTGGTGTCTGCCCTCAACACGACATCATCTGGAACGACCTGACTGTTGTAGAGCACCTCAAGATATATGCCGCACTCAAGGGTATCCGTCGTGAGGACATTGACGCCCATGCTGACAAGATGGCCGAGGAGGTTGGACTGGCTGACAAGAAACACTCGCCTGCTGGTACAATGTCTGGTGGCCAGAAACGCAAGTTGTGTCTGGCAATCGCATTCATTGGTCGCTCCGAGGTGATCTTCTTGGATGAGGTGACCAGTGGCATGGATCCGCTGTCACGTCGTGGCGTCTGGGACTTTTTGCTCAAATACAAACAAGGCCGTACCATCATCTTGACCACTCACTTCATGGACGAGGCCGACTTCCTTGGCGACAGGATTGCCATCATCTCCCATGGAAGGTTACGCTGTGATGGTAGTAGCATGTTCCTCAAGAAGAAGTTTGGCATTGGTTATCTGCTCACGATGGCCAAGACCCCAAACGCCTGCAATACCCAAGGAGTGGCCCACTTCATTCATCAATACATTCCCGAGGCCGTCGTGCTCTCTGACGCCGGCACAGAGTTGAGCTTCCGTCTGCCCACATCCAGCGTCGACCGATTCGTCCCATTCTTCATGGAGCTCGACCACCAGAAGACCCTCCTTGGCATTGGTAACTATGGTATCTCGGTGACCACAATGGAGGAGGTGTTCTTGCGCATTGGCCAAGAGTCACATGGTCAGGGCCAAGGTCAGTTTAACCTAATGGCCAACCAGAATCGTAATGAGGAGGTCATCAAACAGGCAATCTCAACCTCGTCGACTGGCACCACATGGCGCCAACAGATGAGGGGTTTGATAGTCAAGCGCCTAACCACCACTCGCAAGGACCTCAAGACATTCATCCTAACTGTGCTCCTACCCATTGTGTTGATCGCCAGTTCCATCGTCACCTACAAGAGCATGAACACCAAACAACAGTTCTACAATGCCGTCACCACACCCCTCACTTTCTCCATGTCGACATTCGGTCCAGACAACAAGGTGTTTGTTAATTCACCTGATGGCAACATCTCTGGAATGGCAGCATCCCCCTTCGCCTCTGAGTTCCAGTCCCTTCCCATTGGCACCGATATTGAGTCCTTCCTGACGATCAACTTTAACAACTCTGCTGGATCATTGAACTTCACAAGCCCGGTGAACGCCCAGAACCTCGAATACAATGTATACTTCAACATGGGCTCATTCCATTCAATCCCCACTCATGTCAATCTGGTACATGATGCACTTCTCCGCACTCACAATGGAATTGGCATCACCACGACCAACGCACCATTCAAACATGTGCTCACAGCCTTTGACTCAGCCATCTCTTCGATTGACATGAACGCCGTCCTCTACTTTGTCATGCTCTTCATGGCTGGATACGGTCTGATGGTCGCCTCATTTGCCGCCAACATGTGTGTTGAGCGCGTCAACAACATCAAACGACTACTCTACATCTCGGGCTGCAAAAAGGTCATCTACTGGGTCGCAAACTTGTGTTGGGATTACTCAATGGCCTTGCCCATCGTCCTGGTCGTGTCTGGAGTCCTCTCCGCTGTCGAGAGTCAGTATGCCAACCAATTTGGTATCATCCTACTTGCCCAGATCCTCTTTGTCCTTGCTGGTACACCACTTAGTTATCTTCTGTCATACCGCTTTGCAACACATGGCAAGGCCATTGGCGCTATCTTTGCTTTCCACTTTGGAATTGGTTTCATGTTGCTCACCTCCAGCATTAACATGCGAGTACTGGCCGTGGCCCGTGAGTCTGAGAGCTTGATGAACATCGCCAGCCTCATTGATAATCAGAACTATCTCATCTCGCCATTGTTTGCACTCGGCCGCATAATGGTCATGTGTGTCAACTTCCCAGGAACTGCGCCATTGGGTGAGCTAACTGTCAAGAACTACTGGGCATTCAAGATCTGTGGCGCCCCATTACTCGCACTCTTTGTCCACGCCATCATCTGGACCACTTTGATCCTGATCCTCGACTATTTCCCCGAGATCTGGGGAAGGCTCAGGAACCCCAAGGATGCTGCCTCTCCCCAACCACTCGCCGATGAAGATTCTGATGTGGCCGCCGAACGTACTCGACTTGGAGCCGGCAACACAGATGATGTACTTGTGTTGAAGGACCTTCACAGGAAGTTCCCTGCCAAGGGCAAGAATCCAGTCAAGATCGCGGTTCACAACACAACCCTTGGCATTCCGCGTGGCCAGACCTTTGGTCTACTCGGAATGAATGGCGCGGGTAAGACGACCACTCTCTCCATGCTCAGTGGCGACATATCTCCCACAGCTGGTGTGGCCACAATCAACGGCTACGACCTTATCTCTCAACGTGCTGGTGCCCTTCACTCAATTGGCTCGTGTCCACAGTTTGATGCTCTGATCCCCCTCTTGAGTGCGCGCGAGCAGCTCTACCTTTATTGCCGCATCAAAGGTATTCCCGAGGCACTCATCCAGTCAACGGTCGAAGCCTTTATAGCCATGATGGACCTTGGTGCCATTGCCAACTCCAACGTCGGCGGTTACTCTGGAGGTAACAAACGCAAATTGTCACTTTCGGTTGCAATGCTTGGCAACCCATCAGTTGTGTTCTTGGACGAGCCGTCAACTGGTTGCGACCCCCAGGTACGTCGCTTCATGTGGAATGTGATATCGGAGCTTGGAGCCAACAAAGTAATCATCATTACCACTCACTCGATGGAGGAGTGTGAGGCGCTATGCCAACGAATCTCGATCATGAAGGATGGAAAGTTCACCTGTCTCGGATCAAATCAGCACATCAAGTCTAAGTTTGGCAGTGGCTACTCTATCGACTTCAAGATAAAGAAGGACTACCTCAACTCGGCCGCAGACATCATCAGCCGCACGTTGCCAGGCGTCGTGCTGCTCGATAGCCATGACCTCATCCTCAACTTTGAACTGCCAAACCAGGTCGGTGGCCACACGATCAAGGTATCTGAGATATTCCAGTTGATCCAACAACAGCTTCACTTCCTTGTTGAGGACTACTCTGTCAGCCAGACATCACTTGAACAAGTTTTCCTCAAGCTGACCTCTGCCTCCTACGAAGAACGTCTCCATCAGTTGTCCGAGTCACAGAGTATTCAAACTATTTTATAAATACAAGTTGATTTATTAATTCTTAAGAATGATTGATTGATGATGTTACAAGATCAACCAATCATGATGATCACATTGACGAGACAACTGGCAACCATCACAATGTTGTTGTTGTAGTGACTCTGGACATGTGTGTGGCAGTCGAAGATGTTGATTGATAATGCTTGGCTGGCAATACTCCTCACATCCAACATGTGGACATTTGATCATGTTAAACATGCTCTCAATCCAACTTGATAAGGCTTGACATAGGGGTGTGTGATACTTGTTGTCTTAGTGCTGCTAATGTTACTCTTGGAACTCACGAGATGCATCCCACTGATAACGATGCGCTGTTGTTTTCTTCGCCGCCCTTCATTGGAGTGGGATTGATGATCGTCGTCACTATTGTCACTGTTGTCGATGTGAAAGTTGCGTTCGACACATCCTCACATCCATGTGGATTGGAACACTTGTGTCTTTGTACCATGTGTACTCGTTTGGCGTGATCAGTTTTGAAGAAGTAGATGCACTCTGATTGATCACACCTGAGGAATCCATCAGCCAAGTATCTCTCGATTGATTGAGTGTCGTCATGTGATGCATAGTACATCATATTGCGATGTTCTCTAATGTTTGGACATGCTCCATATGTATGTTGGCACTTATGATGCTTCTTACAATGATGATACATAACTTCGGCAGTGGTGTAACTCTTGGTGCAGTCGTCATGCAGACATTTGAACTTGCCCTTCTGCTCGTTGACATTGGATGAACTTCCTGTCAAGTGGCGTTGCTGACTTTGATCAATACAACCTTGACAACTCGAACGATCAGAACACTGATGCTCTCTTGCAAGGTGATTAGACTTGGCACTGTGTGTGGCCATGAAGTGGCCACATGATGTGTGGACATTTCACAAATCCTCTTGTCGTCAGCATGGAGATTGATTCAGTGTCATCAGGGTCGGCCTTGAAATTGGACCTTTGATGGACCTGATAGTTTGGACATGATGCGTACGTCCACGGGCATTGGTGTTGGCGTCGGCAGTGATTGCGCAATGATATATAATTTGTTTGGGAAGATGTGCATCCTTCGTGTTGACATGTGAACTTGGGCAAGGTACCGAGTATCGTCGGCGCCCATACTCGTCGGAACACACACCCTGGACAGCTCTGTTGGTCGGTACATTGGTGGTCCGTTCTGTTGTGATCAAGCATTGCGAACCTCCGAGTGAACGATTTGTCGCAGTTGGAGTGCAGGCACTTGAACTTGTCATTGGATTTCGGTACCTGGTTGGTTGCTGATGTCAAGTTGATGGGCACATCTTCATCGTCTTCAACTTGTCCAACGTCACTCTGCTCCTGATATGCATCATCTTCATTTTCTTGGTCTCTATCTGATGATCCCATATCTTCATCATCCTCGTCATCGTCGTCCACCATGGATTGTTTGCGCTTCAGAGCTGGTGGCATCAAGGATGGTGGATCATGACCTGGGTGACTGCGTCTAAAGTGCTGATATAATGCATCTCTCCTCCCAGTCGACGACTTTAAGTGTGGACACTTGGTGAGACCTTTGGCTGTCAACATCTTGATCGACTCCAAATCATCTGCCGATGCCGTGAAATGCATTGCTCGGTAGCGTTGTTCATTGAGACAGCTTGCGTATGTTCGACATTGATGCACCACCTTGCAATGAGTTATCAACATAGAGAGTTTTAGGTACTCTTGGGAGCAACCATCGTGCAGACAGACGAACAGCTTGATAGTTTCATTGGATTGCGTATACCTTGTCATCAACAAGTCACTTCGGAGACATCCTGGACAGTTGTTGCGGTCTGCACATTGATGGTCTCCACCTTTCCTCAACAAATGTTGGCCCAGGTTCTTGAACGACGCGAAGAATTGGAAGCAGGTGGCGTGCAAACACTTGAGGAGTCCATCGGCCAGCATCATCTCGATCGAGTCTTTGTCATTGTCTTCGGCAATGATCATCCTTGTGCGATATCTTCTGAAGTTGGCACAGGATGCATAGGTCCTTGTGCAACCATGATAGGTAGAGCAATGCCTGTTCAAGGTGCTATAATCTAAGAAGGACTTTGTGCAGCCCACATGAAGACAATCAAACATCGTCATTTGTGCAGTTGTGGTCGTTGATGTGGTTGTTGTTGTTGATGTAGTCGTATTGATTGAAATGTCATTGTTCATTCAATGTTGATAATGCTAATATATATAATGTTATAACTATTTATTTGTTTGGTTGATAGATTTTAATGAATGTTTTCCTTGGATCTTCAGAGTCATGTGATCACCCAGAAGCGATCAGTTGATGATCAATCACGTTTGAAGTTCGCATTCATACGACTAAAGTCTTGGAGACTCTCTGTACCAACTCAATTATCTTGATGTTTCCATTCTCGAATGCTGCTTGCCCGATGACATCCAAGAGCCGAGCGATGTGTGATGGACGTATGGAGGCTCGATGGACGGGTGATTTGTGGACCTGGCCTCCATCACACACAATGTCCTCAAACATATAACCTATCATCTGATGATGGTTCTTACTGGATGCCTCTTTGAGTGAGTTCAGTGTTGGCAGGTACCTCTTGAGTAGTTCAGGCGTGGTACATCGTTGATGTACCAATCGAACCACTTCGACTAGTCCATCACCACACGCAGCCTCCACAATGTTCTCCAATTTATATGAACTTTGGTCTTCCAATAAGAGGTATCCCTTGTCCAAGATGAATGCCAACGTTTCTCGATTGCCTATCCTAAGGGGTATGAGTTGGTCTCTGGGCTTCGGTGTTGAAGCACCGCTTCGGGTCGACAGATCCATGAGGTATCCAATTGATTGTGTGTCGGCTCTCGCCACACACTGTATGATTGACCTTTTGAAGTCAATTTGGTGGAGCCGATTGTTGTCTTGTTGGACTTTAGAGTATGAGAATACGTGGTCGAGTACATGTTTGAGAAGATCGAATGAGACGAAGGACGCAGCAAAGATGATCCTGTTGAAGACCGACATCACAAGCGCATAAACATCGTTAAGGCCTACGATCAGCTCAATAATGTCTGGACCAGTGATCTTGTTGGACGTGGATGGTTCTTTGGATGATATGATCATCTGAACTAGTTTGTTAAAACATAGTCTTTGATCAGATCTGGACATGGTCGTGGAGTTGATTGGTTTGGGCACTCGCTTGAGGATTGCCTTGGCCGTATCAATGTCGCCACATGTCAAAGCTGTTTTAAATGCGAGCATGAAGTCAGTTGAGTACTTCCCATCCACGTCGTTCAAAATGACATCCTTCTTGCCAGCCTTGATAGCCTCCGACAGAACCATCTCAAAGCTGCAAAGAATTGATGGATGTTCCTCCAATCGATTGATCAACTCAATCGACAATATCTCCGAGTTGATGCAATTCACTTTGAATTGTTTGGTATCCTCTGGTTGTGGCTCAATGTTGAGAATGAAGTTGACCAAGTCCACGTTTGTGTTGTGTTGGAGCGCCTCACTGAGATGGAAGTAGTAGCCTCGTGGGGTGGCATCATTGATGCTGATCATTTTGTTGCACATGGTCAAGTTGCCTCCACTTATTGCCTGGAGTAGCAACTCTTGTTGAAGCTGGATGGTGATTGAATCGGGGGAAGGGAAAGTGTGAGTGAGGATCAAGTCCCTCATCTCAACTTGGTCAGGTCGTCCATGGTGTGACCAACAACTGAGTAGCCTGTGTTGGATATTGACAATATCGTCCGTTCCAAAGATGTGGACCAAGCCCAACTCGGCCAGACAATACCTAACAATCACGATGATATTAAGTCGGACTGACTGTACAAGGATGTTGGACAATAACTCGAGGGAGAACAATGAATGCTCTCTCATAAGTTTGAACATCTCCAATGCCCATGGCTCGGTGAGCCATGACGAGACCATGTGGCGCATGGAGTCTTTCAGCTGTTCGACTTTGAAACCCATGCTTATGAGCTTGCGAAGGAATGCTGGATGTTTGATAAAAGAGAGCGCAGGACCTTTGATCTCAACATTGCTTGGTATCTGTGAAGTGATCACAAAGTATTGGTCCAACGCCCGCTCCCAATCATGATGATCGCATGATGATTGATTCGTTATTAGATGGTTGAGGAAATCCTCGGCTTCATGGTGCGGAGCTAACATGGGATTGGTCAACAAAGTGTCCAAGATGGATTTGTTGGGATGTAGCATTGCCAACTCGAGAAGGTGAACATTTGGAAGAGGCATGTTGTTGTATGACATGTTGTACGACTCTTTGAACCATTGTGATGCACCATGTTTGATGTATTCCTCCAGACTGTGTTTTGATAGCAACTCTGCACCCTTCATACAATGAGTGCTACCAAGTGACTTGTGAATGCCTGAAATATTATCCATAATAGTCTTGCACAACTTGTTGTTATTGAACACCTTGTGAACCAATGATTCCAAGTGTAAGGATGCATGTACGGCCATGGGTACATCATCACATACTGTATCATCTCTATCTCTTCGTTTGATGATTGTGTTAGTGTGATTGATCGAATTAATGAACGAGTGATTTGTACATACCTCTTCTTGTTTGATTGAATGAGATTAATGAGTGATTGACAATGTCTGATGATTCGTGTGTGTCCTCTTGAGAGTGATCGATACATGATGATGTTGAGGATACGTAGTCGTTGGATCTTTGGCAAACTGTTGAACTCTGGTGACCCAAAGTGATTCTCAAGTATATGATAGCAATTGTAGTTTGACGCAGTCTCAAGATGGTGGAGCGTAAACAATGGTAGTGTCTTGCCTGCATCTTTGAAATATTGTACAAGGATATCCAATCCACTTTGATTGTCATGCATACAGGCCATCAAACTCATCTGATGAGCATTGTTCTCAATATCGGACATTGTGTACATGTTGATGACATGTTGAGCAACACCTAGACTGCTGTTTGCCAATGCATGTCCAAGTACTTGCTTGCTGGTGATGGCCGATGGTAGCTTGTCCAACACCAATACCACAATGTCTAATGATGAGGTTAATATCAATTGCTTCAAAGCATCCTTCACATCAGTATCTGATGACCACTGAACAAGATGATCGGCTGGGGTACGATCAAAGATGAATGACAACATGTTGTGGTTGCGACTATCCAGTGCTTTGACCAAACAATGCTGGTCAAATGGGAGATTGAATGTCTTGTGTAGCTTCTGTGCGACCAAACTCGAGAAGTCCATTGCAGTAGTGAGTTGCTGTTGTCTACCAAACAGTACTATGGCATTTGAAGTACTATTTGGAAAGTTATCAATGAATCTTAATACGATTTCCTCTATGATCTGACATTCTGGATGAGCAATCGAGTCCAACAAGTACTCCAAGTTACTTTGTGAGAACAGTGGGAGTTGCTTATGCCGTGGATGTGTGATGAACGTTGCCATTCGAGGGGACATTCGTCGCCATGTATCATCATCAATCGTTACAACCTGTGGAAGGAGTGACTCAATCATATCAAAGTCTTCCTTGTGAATGGTTGCCGAAGGAGTGACCCGTAGCTTGGCTGAGTCTGGGATAGTCTTGCCTGCTTTGGTAAGCCCATCAAAGTATCCAATGATCATGTCCTTGGTCTTGTCATCACCCATCGTAAGTGAGTAGATATGTTTGATTAGATCTGTGTGGCCATGATCCAAAGAATCCTTCAACAATTTATGGACGTGGTCTTTGCCGATGAGTGGACCTGCCCCAATGTATGTGTTGCAAAGTGATTTGAATATCTCCACATTGCCATGTTTGCCAACAAGCTTCACAGCCTTGCGCAGCGCTAACTTCAATGAAAATCGGTTGACAGTTGGCAGGTGCTCGACAAAGTATTGGACACTGTCTGGCGTGTTGGAGCGGACGCAGTGGAAGAGTATCATGTACATTATGTTGGGATACAGAACATCGACGTAGAGCATGTCGAACTCCTCGTGCAACATCTTGAGCATGTCGACACTGATGCTGCCTGGTCGAGTGAATGCCCCTCCATCCGAGCCTTCAGTGCGGCAAAAGTTGTGTTTGAGTAGCAGGCGCACAAAGTCAACGTTGCCAGTGTCGATCGCTGGTACAAAGTGAACGAGGGCGGATGAGAGTGATCGTGATGTGCCATTCAAGCTGAGGTAGGTCTTGAACAACTCAACGTTGCCATTCTTGATAATCTTGAGCATATCATCATAAAGAAATATATAATCGATCTTTGTTAAATAGCCCAAGTTACTATTGAGTATATGATTGAGTGTAATAGAGTTGTTATATTTGAATGACTTGTACAATAGTCTTGATACAAGTGTAATTGGTATTGACACATATGAGGACATTATATCGAAGGCATCGATGAACCATTGTGTAGCATTATACTTGATCATATGTACAATGTTGCCATCATTATATAACTTGCTACCCTTGATCGTTGAGAGTATCAAAGGGTAGTCCTTGTCCTTAATAATGGTCTGATTGATGGACAACTCATCGATGGTCCATTGACTATGTAACATGCTCACTTGATGGAAGATGGATGATCTTATGACCCTATTGACCATCATCAATCTGAATGTAATGTCAACATTATTGACAATTGTTATTGCACACATATTATATTACTTGTTATTATCTCTTTGTTTGTAATTGGTCAATTGAAAGATTGAAGAAGTTTGGACTTAGAGTCTGGGGGAGATATTTAGAGAAAACATTTTAGTTTAAAGCAAAGGCCGATGACACAGAGTCGATACAGTTGATGTTGTCCAAATCACTCACCAAGTGTCATCAATCAACATGCCACCACTACTTCAATACTATGGCTAAACTGAATGATCACAACAGGCGCCATCACGGTATACCTCGTCCACAAACGAAGAAGCGCAAGCACTCAATAGTCGACATCAATGAAGAGGAAGAGGACGACAATGATGAACATGATGACCAAGAGTATGAAGACCAATCTGAGAGTCCGGATGGAGACGATAATCTGAGCGATGATTATGACCTCCCCAGCATCAAAACTACTACCTCCACCTCCAAAACAACAAGGTGCAGGCCATCGGTGTGATCAAGTGTTCGCACTCCAACTGTGACAGGTCGTTCAATGATAGGAGAATCATGTGGTCGCACTCGATGTTGGAGCACCAATGCATCGATCGTCAGCTTTGTCCGGGATGCATTCGCCAAGTACTTAAGTTGCCAAGCACCAACCAAGGCAATGCGCCCAGGCTCAAGTGTCATCACGAGGGATGTACATCCACAAAAACCAAGTATGGATCATTACGCAGTCACTGTCGATCTGAACACCAATGCTTATGGACATACGCAGCATGTCCAAACTATCAGACCTATCCATGGATGAAGTTCAAGGCCGATCCTGATGATACTGAATCAATCTCAATGCTGACTGCCAGAGGATTTATCCAATGTCCACACACATCTTGTTGCCACTTCATGCCCAACGAGAAGGGCAAGAGATATCACTTGACAAAGGAGCATCAGTGTCCTGATCCTTCGAGATGTCAAGGTTGTATTGATCAAAGTCAACATATCGACAAGATGAAGGGCGCGTTCAAATGTGTTCATGATGGGGACTGCACCAAGACTACACTTCAACTACGGGCATGAATGTACACTGCAACAAAGTACACGGATGCAATGGCACTTATGGACAATGTCCAAACTTTCGCAAGTACAATTCTAGGCGGTTCTATGCCTACCCCGATGACACTCAATCAATCGAAATGCTCCTTGCCGAGGGATTCCTTCGGTGTGATCATCCCGAATGCATCTACTTCTTCAAATCCCTTTCCGCCAAGAAGGTGCACATGTACCAAAGACACAAGTGTTCTGATCCAAATGAATGCAATGCATGTGTCGAGCGCAACTTTCACCTTGACGACAGTAAAGACCAGGAGGTCGACGACGACGACGATGATTACAATACAGGTCTTCCAAAAAGAACGAGACCATTTGCTTGGCAGCGCAAGGTCACCAGTGGATCACTGGTACGCAATACGAGGAACTAGAGGAGGGGCAAAGACACGACTGCAAACATGAACCTCGGTGGCAACGAGCACCCGGTGGCGGGCAGACCCGAGGTCCAAGCTGGTGTCTGGAATGACACCATATTCAACGTGATCAAATGTCCACACATTGGTTGCCAGGAGTATGGTTCAACTAATGCCATCAACATTCATCTCCGACTCGTCCAACACCTCTGTCCTCCACCAACATCCCAACAACATTGTGATGGCTGCCAGATATTCAATCAATCAGTTAGTAATAGTAAACACGGGGACTGGTTGCTCTTGTAACAAGTGCTGCTGTTGTTGTTGTTGTTCATTGACATTCTGCTCATCATCTCTTCATTTGTCGTCTTTTCATTCTGGTAAAATTCGCCACACTTCCACACTCACCCTAACAATCAATCAGTTTTGGAAGCTTGGACATAAATGGAGTGCAATACCAAAGTTGGCAAGAATAATAATTATCAATTATTTGTACATATACATATACACATATAACCTAACAACTCAACAACAATGTTGGACACACTACCTTATATACTGATACAACATATTGTTGAATCAGTTAATTCCAATGTCGACATAGTTTGTCTAACTCTAACATGTAGACTGCTTTATCAAAAGAGAGATCAATATATACAATCAATTATAAACAATGATGGAAGTACCTTAACATCCTGCCTTCAAATCCTTCCAACAAACACTCTATATAAAGGTAGAACACTACCATCATTCAACAACATCGTCAAGAAGATAAGAAACAATCTTTTATTTGCTATCAACAACAGTGACAACAACGACAATGTCACCAACACCAGCAACAATCAAATACCATGTACACAAACAATCGACATGGTGTACAACGCAACTTTCCTCAGTGCAAATGCTTTCCCTCCAACATTGCTCACTCTACGCTTTGTAGACGAGTTCAACACTGCATTGTTTCCAAATGTATTACCTGCTTCAATCACATCGCTTGAGTTTGGCTACTGGTACAATCAACCGATGAGTCGGGGATCACTTCCCGCAAGCCTTACAAACCTCAAGTTTGGATATAAGTTCAATCAGATCATCGGACCTGGACTCCTCCCGCCACCACTCATTCATCTTGAGTTTGGCTATCACTTCAACGCAGAGTTGGTCGTATCTGTGCTGCCCACTGCCCTCGCAACACTCAAACTAGGCGACTCCTACAACTACTCAATTGCACCTCGAGTGCTTCCACAGTCTCTCAAGTACCTTAATGTAGGCCACACATTCAATCGATACTTGGAGCCTGCATCACTACCAACAGGGCTCGAGAAGTTGGTACTTGGACGTGGATACAATCTTGTCATTGTTCCCAATGTGCTGCCGAATAGTTTACTCAATCTAAAGTTCGACCTGAGGTTCAACAAGCCTATACGTCATGATTCCTTGCCTGACTCCCTTACATCGTTGACGTTTGGTGAGGCATTTAATCAATCGATCGAATCTGGTGTACTCCCAGATGGTCTCATCTCCTTGACCCTTGGAAACACGTTTGACCTTCCTCTAAAGAAGGACACTCTTCCAACAACCCTACAAACGCTAGAGTTTGGCAAGAACTACACTCGTTACATCAGTCAAGGTGTATTGCCAGACTCATTGACTCAGATGACACTACACATCAACTACGATCATGGACTGTGGCACTTGCCCAGCAGTGTCAAGTTGATCAATGTTGACCTGCAGACCATTCAGCCGATATGGTTCCCATTGATGGTGCCCAAACAAGATTTATCAATCAAAAAGCTCATAGGCAAACAAAGACCATTGGCCATTCCATATCATCCAGATGTCAACACGTATCATATCTACCAGAATAGGAATGGACCAATGGTAACAGAGTCACAGCGCAGCTACTACATCACTGTGCGTATGTTATCCAATGATCATTCGGTCGTGCTGTCTGAGAACATTGAAGGATACATTACACACAACAGATTCATACCATTCAGACGATCGAATAAGCATGGTAAAGGACATGTATCTCTGCCTACATCAACAACGAACGAGCCACCATCACCAGTCTCCTCATGCTCAGCTTCAGATAATCTAGGTTACATCAAACCATAAATTAAAAAATCAGTCATTTCGAGGAACGAAACTTAAATTGAGGCGCCACTACCTTTGAATTGAATGAAGACAACAATGTTTCCCTCATTATCTTACAACAACATCCATCCTTACACATAATATAGTAGTATTATTATCCACATCCAACTGCATACCTAAGAACAATGAGTGAATATCCACATCAGATCGAGTACTCCAAGTCTGGCCGCTCGTCTTGTAAGACATGCAAGGGCACTATCCAACAGGACACACTTCGTGTTGGACTCGAGACAAAGAGTCGTGTGTTTGATGGTTATGATGTGTCTTGGTATCATCTTAAGTGCTACCGCTTCGACAAGGTCAACTTTATCAAACAGCTCAAGCACTTTGAGTTGCTCCGCTGGGAGGACTACATCAAGGTGCGCGAGATCATTGGTGATGCCTCGCCAATCAACAATGCCTTGGAGTTGCAAAACGTATGTATTATACCATCAACGAATCGATCAATCAATAACTTATATATAATTACCAATCAAACAGTACAACAATGATGTGTGGAAGATCAAGGATGGACTTGCCGAGCTCAAGCCAATCCAGATCAAGAAGATATACACCGAGAACTATACCTTGGAGAACTTGTCTCCAGCATATGTACTCCACTCTGTCGCCGATGGCATGGCCTATGGTCGCATCGGTCCATGTCCAACTTGCAATGACCTCACAGTCCAATACGATGGCAACAACTACTATTGCAAGGGATGGGTGACCTCGTAAGTCTTACACCTCATTCACCACTCACAATCACCAAACTTACACCAACTTCCACTCAAACATAGTTATACCAAGTGTGATTGGAATGGAAAAGACATCAAGAGGTACAGATTCAAGATTCCAAAGATACCTGGATCAGCCTTCCTGTCCTCTTTCCAGTTCTCCCACGCTCACCCATTCGCTGAGCTCACAGACTACACGCCACCAAACATCAAGAGTGGAGTAGCCTCCCCCACATCAACTGCTGACCCAACCTCACCCGTCCCCTCGTCTGTTTCAGATACGCCAATCATCAAGAAGGACAAGCCAAGAGAGGGCTCGGTCTACCTCCAGGTCGATCCAGACTTTGGCAAGGGTGATATTCAGATGGAGTACAATGACAAGTTTGGCTACACTGCCTACAATGTGTCATTGATCTTTGCAGATATGGTCACTGGAGGCAACAGCTTCTACAAGATGCAACTGGTCAAGAAAAGCGCCAAGTTCTACCTGTTCAGGAAGTGGGGTCGTATCGGCACATCAATTGGTGGCGTCACCGATGCTGTCTACTCCACTCTGGCCGATGCATTGAAGGAGTTCAAGTTCCACTTCCAAGACAAGACCGGATACTCCTGGGAGGATCGTGGACAGAACCTCAAGATGCCCGGCAAGTACTACATGGTCGAGCTGGAGGACGAGGAGCACGACAATGGTGCGTCAGACAACTTTGTCGACGATACGGCTGCCCTCTCAAACGCACCAACCTCGCTACCCCAGGAGACTCAAGAACTTATGCGCATCATCTACAACTTTGGCCACATTGCCGAGAAACTCAAGTCGATGAAGGTCAACTTGGACAAGATGCCTCTTGGAAAGATCTCACAGCGACAAATCAAGTCTGCCTACGCCGTACTCACAGAGATCCAGGACCTGCTCGCGTTGCCCGATACGCCAAAGGCCAAGGTACTCGATGCCACCAACAGGTTCTACACTCTCATCCCACATGACTTTGGCAGGAACCCACCCATCCTCATTGACAACGTTGAGATACTCACCGAGAAGATTAGAATGGTTGACGCTATGGCCGACATTGAGATCGCCAACAATCTGCGTCGTCTATCCATCAAGGCTGGAAACTCATTGGACACCAACTACGCCATCCTTGCCACAGACATTCAGCCAGTCGATAAGGGATCATCGCAGTTTGCCTTCTTGAATGATCTGGCACTCTCAACTTTGGACGGCGACATGTCGGTCACCATTGAGAACATCTTCCAAGTCAACAGAAACGGAGAAGCAGAACGATTCACTCAATGGGATCACAATCCAAACAGATCATTCTTGTAAGTATTTGTTGATGACTTAATGATTGGACATGTTACTGACCCTCTCATATTCAATCATCAGGTGGCATGGATCGAGGACGACCAACTGGATTGGTATCTTGGGACAGGGTCTCAGGATCAGCCCAGCAGAGGCACCAAAGACTGGCCTCAGGTTCGGCAAGGGTGTCTACTTTGCCGACACGTTCAGTGTCTCATTGGGCTACTGTGGAACCACTCCCAACTATCCACATGCAGTGTTGGCATTCTCAGAGGTTGTTCTTGGATCATCTGAGGGATTGTACGCTGACCAATACATGGAAAAGGCTTCCTTTGGATATCACAGCACCAAGGCACTTGGAATGAGAGCACCTGCTCGCTACGAGGATTAGTAAGTATTACAATTGGTAATTAGTGTTGTCCAATCGATCATGAACTAACCGCATGCTTTTCTTTTTGTAGTAACGATGTCAATGTGTTCAGAGGACCTGTTGTCGCGACTGGTTTAAGTACCAGTTGCACTCACAACGAATTCATTGTGTACGATACAACTCAAGTTAGGATAAGATATCTGTTCGTCGTCAGAGTCAATAACTAATCATGGAACACATCACCTCGAGTGATGATCCAATTGGATATGCAATGTAATAAACTAAGATTGTGACTATAAAGTATTTATTACAATGCCAACACTATACCTCTCCAGTGTCGATTCGTATGCTGGATGGGGGCTGAAGTCGTGCCGTTGCCGCGTTGTTGGAAGGCCTCTCTTTGCGTCTGAAGAAATGTGCCATCAAGAGTATCAGCGCCAACAGCACAAGGATGTAGGGAATAAAGTATTGCGAGTCAATGTCGTCGAGGTCTTTGCTGGGAATGTAGGGCATCTGTAGGTTTGGAAGCACACGACTACGTTGCCTCCACGTGATGTTGGCGTACTTGTAAAGATTGGCCCAGTCATAGATGTCTGATTCCAGCTGGTGCGGCCGTTGTGAGCATTGATCCTCCGAGAGGTTCTGTACACCGGTGACCTTGGACATGACAATCAGGTCTCCATCCTTGGGCCGGCTCGGTATGTCGTATTTATACTTGTTGTTCTTGTCGTGTGGCACTAGTGGTGAATCGAGTGTGGTGATTCCAGGGAACACCTCTCGCACGTCCTTTCCGTCCTGTGTGGCACTGAGTATGCTTTCGAGCACCCAGTAGCAATCGTCGACATTCTTTTGATGCGCGCCAATCTTATGTCGTACATCGTCCAAACAAGTTGAATCGCCAAAGACAGCAACAATGCCTGATTGATAACCTTCACTACTACCGCCGCTACTGCTACTTCCACTGTTGTTGTGGCTGCTTGAGGCAACTTGTTCATGATGCATTGATAGAGACTGGTAGAGTCCGAGAATTGGAACGGTCTGTGAAGCTGAGCGTCGCATCAATACCTGACGGTTTAGGTCCAGTAACTCGGCAGAGTAAACATGTCCACCCTTGGGGAAGCCAATGATCGAGGAACCCGAGGCAAAGAAGGCAGAGTTGTCGCCAATCTGTATGTCACCATTGAATACAGTGTCGCCAAAGTAGATACCAAAGTTGGAGAGGAAGTCATTGATTGCTGGGATATTTGCGCCACCAGTGGCGGGAGTCCAATGTCGTTCAGTATTGTCATCGTAGAACTTGATCTTCTCCATGATGTCAAGGTTGTACCAGTCGGCAAACACGATAAGATTGAGTCCTCTGCTACGCACATCCTCCTCGATCTTCTTGATCTCAGCGGGGAAGAACTCCTCTTCGGGATCGACAATGAGCAAGGCTCCATAGTTCTCTGGGTCAAAACAGGTCAGTGGAGAGCCAATGATCTCAAGATAGTAGCCAATGTCTCGCAGTCGTTGATACAAGTTGCGGAAGTTGGTGTGAGGGTGGTCACCATTCCAATCGAACGGCTCGTCTCGAATGTCCAGGGCGTCCTTGGGCAAGAAGCCAGAGGGATAGCGCAGGTTGTGATATTGATCCCAGAGTATACGCTTGTGGCGCGGTGGCGTTGGTATGACCTTGACCTTGACGGGCAATAGCATGGATTGGAATCTGTTCTTTTGCTCGCCAAGCTGTGGAGGTGATGTGATGTTGACCTGTACAAAGCCCTCGGCTATTCCTTCAAAGTCAATGGCTTCCTCCTTTACGCTAATATGTAGTCCAATGTGGCCAGTCCACGGCCAGATCAGCTCTTGATAGCTGAATGACACGTGTAGCAGATCTCCATCGCGGCTGGCTGGTATCCAGCGGGGCGGTGAGACGATCTGCCCTGACACATCCATGCCATTGATGATTGTGATATTTACAACGGTTGGGATACCGCTGTAATACAGCGGTTGAGTGCAGAAGGGCCAGTTGTACGGGCAGCTTGTAAAGTCGACAGAGGTGGGCGAGAATGATGCGCGTGGTCTATACTTGCTCAGCGACTTGTACGCCTCAAGCAGGTTGAGCTTGCCATGTCCCTGTTCAAAGATGTTGGCCTCGGGTATGGGCCGCGCTGACTCGAGAAGCACCTGCTTGATGCTGGCCGGGTTGACAAAGCTTCGCTTGTCCTTGTCAACTGTGCTGATCAGCAGTGCTATGGCTCCGGCTACGACCGGAGACGACACACTCGTTCCCGATAGAGGGCGACACTGTTTGTTCGATGTAAATGTGTTTGGTGCCATTGAGCCTTGAACGTTGGAGCCATAAGTCACAATGTCCGGTTTGATTCGTCCATAACCCTCAGGTATCTCCCATGTTGTCATTCCTCGTGATGAGAACGAGGCTATCTTGTCATACTCATCGATTGATCCGACGCCAATGACATCCGATTGATCTGCTGGATTGCTTAGTGTGCTGCTCAATCTATTCGTTAGTGTTTGAGTGAGGGAGTGAGTGAGCGAGCAAAGAACACATACCCGTAGAGTGGACCATCATTACCGATGGCTGATACGACGATGATGTTGTTGGCGCTCATCTCCCAGACCTTCTCGACGAATGGTCGATCCATGTAGTCATGTCCACCAATGCTTAGGTTAAGCACATCGACTTGGATATGAATGGCGTGGTTGAATGCGTCGAGAAACCATGATGTGTATGAGAGCTTCTTGGTGGTGAACACTCGGAAGATGTAGAGCTCGGCATCTGGCGCCAGACCAGGGCACTCCTCATGGTCACTGGCAATGACGCCCGTGACAAAAGTGCCGTGGCCAATCTCATCGTTGAAGATCTTCTCGCTGGTGTAGTCATGAATCGATTTGACATTTCGGAAGTGTCGATGGTCCTTATGCAGACCTGTGTCGAATATCGCAACCTTTGTGCCCTTGCCCGTGAATCCATTGTCCCAGATGACCTGTGCGTCCAATACCTCGGTGATTTGGAAGGCCTTTTGATTGGCCTCGAACAGATGTCTGTTTGTTCCATCGACATGCTCATCGAGGATCACCTCATGATCGTTCATGTCTGGGATCTGATCGTGGAAGCGACCTTGTGGCTTGCGTCCCACCAGCACCTCTGTGTCTGGATATGGATCATCCCATCCCTTGAGGGGATCGACGATCTTGCGCTCTGGGAACACTGCCTTGACAATGTCACTGTGACTTTTGATCCTGTCCAACGTCTGTCTAAAGAGTATGTCACAATGCGATGAGTACTCGCCACGCTCCAATGGGCAACCGCCACCACCCAGTGTTGAGGTGGTCGCAGTCGTGGTCAATGAGACCAATGCAAAGTCTGATGGCAATGCTGCTGCAGGGTTATCGCGTGGTACTATCTTCCATGATAACAAGCTATCTGTCTTGTCATTCAACATCGATGCCACAACACCATAATGATCACGCTGGTCCATGTACTTTTTGAACATCACTATATACTCTTTCTCAATCCTACTCCCATCATTATTATTACTATTACTATTACTATTATAACTATCTTTACTATTACTACTTCTAAAGTTGTTTAATAATACACTATCCATATATACATGATTGTTATCTTTAATAAATAGAGGTTGTTGTTGTTGATGTAATGAACATGATGATGTGAATGATGATATATTGTTGTTGATGTAGTTGTTACTACTGCTAGTACTACTATTCACTGATGATATATATAATGAACATGTGAACAATAATAGTATAAACATGTGACTTTGACTTATATAATGATGACACCTGTCTTTACTACTACTACTCCTGTGACCTCTATATCTACATTTCTTCATATGTTCCATCATGTTTACTTTGCTTGCAAGCACATACTCTGTGCAAGCATATATATATATATATATACTTATAAGTATAATTATTACTTTGAATAAATGAATGACAAGATTGATTGACAATGAGCTTTGACACATTCACGACCCAAGGGGGACACAAGGAAGGAGACGTCAAAAGGTGGACCACCTTGCATTTGTTTTGTAATTGTACAACACTAGACATTAGATAGAGTATAACTCTGGCTTGCGATGCTTGGACACTGGGATGTTCTCTCGTACATTGTCGAGATGATCTAGATCGATCGATGCTGTGGCAATACCCTCACCAGACTCTATCTCGGAGAGGATAGTGCCCCACGGATCAATGATAAGTGAATGTCCATAACTCTCGCGTTTGGAATGATGCTGTCCTGTTTGAGCGGCCGCCACAACATAGCATTGATTCTCAATGGCACGAGCCTGTAATAATGTCTTCCAATGCGCTTCGCCCGTCTTCTTCATGAAGGCTGCTGGCACAAGCAGTACCTGTGCGCCCATCTTGCGCAGTGATATGTAGAGCTCGGGGAAGCGAACATCATAACAGACCGTCAGACCAAGCTTGCCCACTGGACTATCGCACAAGACCAACTTATCGCCTGGCCTGACCACCTTGCTCTCATTGAATGTTATGCCCTTTGACGGTATGTTTACATCGTAGAGGTGTATCTTGATTGATTGATTGATTGATTGATTGAGTGAGTGAGTGAGGATGGGAGAGTGATTGATCGAGGGCGCCCAAGAGAGTACATACCTTGTTGTAGGTAGTGACGATATCACCTTGATCATTGATTATGACGTGAGTGTTGTGGATAAAGTCGGGGTCGGACTCGATGCGCTGATGGAAGCCACCGAGCGACAGCCACATCTTGTGTTGCTTGGCCAACTGTGCGTAGCGTGTCATGGTCGGACCATCTAGTGGCTCGGCATTCTCTCTCGATTCAAACTGGTTGACGCCACCAGACATGAAAGCAAAGTTCTCTGGCAGACAGAACATGTTAACGCCCTGCTCTGCAGCCTTCTCCACCAACCTCCTGCACACATTATAGTTCTCATCCTTTGAGTTGGTACTTGTCAGTTGTCCAACTCCTATAACCATTCGTTGTTTACTATTGTTGTTGTTGTTGTCGTTATTGCTCATTGTGGAATGATACCTTTGATGTGTATGTGATTGATTGAATAAGTTTGAGGATGATGAAGAAGTGAGGCGACACAACGATGATGATGGTGATGATGATATAGAGTGCGACGACCTGTATATGAATGATCTTAGTATCTGTATGCTCATTATCTATCTCAAGATTAAGCTTGCAACGAATGAATGAATGAATGATTGGTCGATCAATCACACTTTTGGGGGTTGGGCGCGTGGACCCTCGAGGCCAGGCTCATGTAGTTCTCACTACTTCTTGCTTAATCGTTCGATAAGTGTCTCGATGTTGGCTGGCTCAAGGTGAGACTTGTCATAGAGCATGATGACACCCTTGTCCAGGATGATTGGTATGTGTCCAAACTTGTACACTTGATGTCCTGTCTCAGAGACCGATGATGGTATGAACAGATGTCCCATACTAGCCGCCAACTCTTCCAATGATTCCTTGATCGATGGCTCTGACATGTGTCTGGTCTTGGATGTAGTTGTTGTTGTCTTTGTCTTTGTCGTAGTCTTTGTTATATTATGTACAGTGGCAGCGACTTGTGCCTTTGAGGATGAGGTGCTCTTGGACGCGACCAACACTGGGACTGCAATGGGATACTCATTCCTGCTCGCTCGATCGATGATGTCCAATGCGACGCCAAAGTATGGTTCCAGCCATGTCTGATTCTTCTCCCAGATAACCTCGAAGCACTGTCTCCAATTGCCGTACCAGTCCAACATCTGGTCATCGGTGATCTGCTTGGTGTTCAACGCGTCGACAAAGTCCTTGATCCAGCGTTGGAAGAACTCCTTGTCCAGTACAGCTTGTATCGATGCAGGAGACATCATATCCCTCCATTCAATGAGGAACTCGATTGGGTTGCCACCTGGTATTGCCTCGCCAATGGGTGGCAATGGCTGCCATTGACGCAAAGCCTCGCTGAGCTTTGGCACGATCGATCGATTGAGCAGCGAGTCCATTGAGTTGCCTTCAAACACCGTGCGCCATGGCTCGAGCAATGCGTGTGCGGACTCGTCGCCAGCTTGCCAGCCGACCAGCACGCCAATGAGAGTCTGTCTGATCTGAGGGTACAGAGCCTCCAGCTCGCTCTTGAGGAATGGGATCCAGGGGTGGACCCAGGTGTGCAGGGGGATCGGGTCAGACAGCGGATCCCACTGTCCAATGGCCGAGCGTAGACGTGGCAACACCGAATGCTCGAGCAATGTCTCAAAGATGACGGTGGGGAATGCCTCGCTCCAGTATCCAATGAGAGAGACCACTTGTCCCGGGTCCTCCTTAACGGACCATTTGGTCCTGATGAATGTCTTGAACACGGGCAAGAATACATCGCGCATCAATATGAAGTAAACGTCTGCGCCTTGATTCAGTGTGGTCGTCGTTGACTGTTGTGATCGCTCATTACTCAGCTGTGCGTACTGTGGATCGAACAATGTCCTCCATCTCAGCATCTCCTCCAACAAGTTCTTTGGCTGAATTGTGATGTCCCATCGCTCAATCTCCTTGCGTAACTTTGTGTGATTGATTGATTGATTGAATGTGAATGAGTGAAAGGTTAGTGAGTGTCCAAAATGAATGAATGTGGCCACCATCATAGATACTTACCAATGGACGAACCAACTCCACCTCGAGGTTGTATAGCTTCATCTTTTGGTACTCCAGGGGGTAGGCACTTCGCAGCTTCTTGAACAGCTTGAATGAATCGTCAAGGGTGAGTGCGCCAGGGTGCAGTGATTGATGCGCCTCTTTGATCAGCTTCATGATGTTGGTGACGCGCGCCATCTGCTCCTCGTCGGATTGCACCGCCAGCTTGAGCTTCTGCACCGAGTTGGCCAGACTCTTTACTCGTTCGCGTTCAAACTTTAGCTTGTTGTCTGCGTTCTGAATGTCAACCTCCTTCATCTTGATCAGCAGACCGATGTTGTATCTGAGCTGTGAAAGGGGGCCGCTGTCCTCAACACCCAATGCCTGCTCGCTTGCACCACTTCTCAGCATTGCGGTGGGTCCACGCATGTCCACAATCAACTGAGGTGCAGCAGATGATGTCGTCTTGGTCGTCGACGAGGTCTTCTTGTCATCATCACGATGTTTGTGATGATGGTGATGATGCTTATGATGTTGATTGCCATGCCCAGTGACATGCTCATCAAAGTCGTACTTGACCTTTTGTGCACGCTTCTTCCATCCTTTGCCACTAGTGCGGCCGCCATCTGGTCCCAGGCCCGAGTCACTGTCACTCTCGTCTGATGAGCCACTGCTGCTGCCACTGTCATTATCGTAACGCTTATCGACGCGCTCTGCAATGTATGATAGACCAACACCAACTGGTCTTGCGAATGACTTTATAGGCTCGACGATGCCTGTGCCTCCCACACCCAGGCCACCGACACCATCATAACCCATCTTCTTTAGCATTGACAGTCCAATGCCAGTGTACTTGACGTCTTGTTTATCATTTGTCTTTTGTGCTTGCTTGTCTTTTGTCTTGTCCTTGGTCTTATCCTTCTTCTTGTCCTTCTTCTTGTCCTTCTTCTTGTCCTTGTCTTTGACCTTCTTCTCTTTCTTCTCTCCATCTTTGTCCTTGTCATTGTCCTTTTCTTGAGTTGCATTCTTGTTGGGATCGTAGACACCTGATGCAACAAACTTGATACCAGCAGACATGTGCTTCATCTTCTTGTATTGCTCCTCTGGGTCAAGTTCATCATCTTGGTAATTATCATCTTCATTGAACACACCATATATAGCGTCCTCCTTTGTAAACTTTCTCTTCTTCTTCTTATTGTCTAACATGCCAAGTCCCAATCCACCTCTAACATTGACCTCTTCAAACTCCTCCTCTTCATCATCATTCTCATCATCGTCATATCCATACATCTATATATATATATATATTATTATTATGTGTTATGTACTATCTATCTCTTTGTATAACTTCAATGAATGAATGAATGAAAGATTGAATGAACTTTGAAGGGTATCCCCCTTTGCAAGTTCGAAACGACTCAGTCGAAAGTTGAACTTTCGTCAGTCATCTAAACAGTTGAAAGACATAATAAGAAAGATATAGAGCATGATGCTTCGAACAGTTGGCGCACTGCTCGGAAGAGAAAGATGGCTCACTACATCATTGCGTCTTCAATCATCTTCATGTTTAGGCAAAGTGTGGACATCATGTGACGACACGAGGCTGCCAACATCATCATCAACATTACATCCCAACAGTACATGTGCGCCACGTAGATCATACCTCTCAATATCACATCAATCATACTCAACTGTTAATACTACAACATCAACATCAACATCAACAACAAAGTCACATGATCAATCATACGATGATTGGATGGCACTTCTTAATCTCAACCCATCAGCGGCAATAGATGAGTATGTTGGCGATCACCTGCAAGTCACACATGAGTCAATCTAACATTAGATTATCATCATTAAGGTTGAGGATCAGAGTGTATTCGAGACATGAGAGATCGTCATATTACGCAGGACTCTATAACAAGATCAAGGAAAGCAATCATAGGCCATCGGTGGAGTTGTTGAATACATTGTTGGAGGGTGCCGTATCGGTAAAGGCCGACAGATCACTCGTCGAATCATTGGCTGACGAGGTCATCCAAAGAGAGAAGCCACAGAACACAGGCAGGACCCAAGAGTTGCTGCTTCAGTACTACCTCACACATTACAAAGCCAATACAGTGTACTTTATAAAGCCACTCGATCAAATACTACAGCTTGATCTGGCGCTGACATCGGTCAACATGTCCACGCTGGTCCTGACCGGCCTACTGCGCAAGGTCACCGATGGCGACCATGACGGTTTGGACTCGGCGATGGAGCACTTCCAACATTCACACGCCGCCGGCTTGCTAGACATGCATCAGCTCGCGATGGTCGTCAACCTGCACCTGGACAACAATCAAACAGACAGGGCGATGCAGATTGTACAGACATGTGCCGCGGCTGTGCCCGAGTACCTGGCCAGCACTCACTTCCTCAAACTTCTCGACAGTCTGATCACGTCCAACACGAATGAACTGCCGCTGCTGGAGTACCTGGCGGAGAACCATCTGCTCGACTTTAACAACATAGCGTTTATCGATCAATTGGTGGAATTCTACAATCAGCGCGGCAAGCAGACCATCGCTGAGCCGTTGAAGGAGATGGTCAAGATGTCGGGCAAGCCGAGCAAGAGTGCTGCGTTCGCCTCAATTGTCAGGGCGCTGGCATTTAAGGAGGACGCCGACATCAAGAAGTGGTTGGACTACCTCATTGCGCACTCATTCTCAATCGTGCCCAGCGTATATATTGAGCTCGACGAATACTTTGCCGCCAACAAGATGGACGAGTGGCGCCACAAGATGCGAGTGCACCAGTTTGGCGAGCATCCACAACAGCTGACGCCAATGGTCTACGTCGACTCGGCCACCATTCTATCGCGATACGACCTGCTGGACGATCTGTCAACCAAAAAGGCCATCACCGACGTCCTGCTGGCGGGTGGTCGTGGCGACCATGTACAGAAGCTCTTCACACAGCTGGTGCTGCTCTTTCTCCAGATCAATCGAATTGACAAGGCAATGGAATGGTACAACTGCATGATCCGCGACTTCAAGATCGCGCCAACCGAGGAGATCGTGTTCTTCTTTATCAGATACAATTCGTTGAGCGAGAATGAGGATGCAGCCAGACACTGGATGAAGGAGCGATACTACCGCGGCATCCCGAGGACGGACCGCATCGACCTGTACTACACACAATACGATCAAGGCCAGTACCGAGAGGCACTTGGCAACATGTTTGACAAGGCGAGGCTGGTCGACCCCCTGCTCAGGGTGGTCCAGCTCGCGGAGGAAGGACGACTGAGCGACATCATCAAGGAGGTGCAGCTGCGCCCGACTTCCCTCAGCATCGAGCTGTTGGCCAACTCAATGTTGTTCTCAAAGCTGATATGTAATGAACGAAGCATGGTGCCAATGATCGAGTTGATGCACAAGCACTGGACAGCCGACAATGCACTGTTCATCAGAGAGCCACTGGGCGATGTCATCAATGTACTGTCTCTGGCTACACAAAAGATTGATTCGCCATCGATCAAACATCAAGTGGTGATGCTGTGCAGTCAGCTGTTGGAGAAACAGATACATATGTATGGAGGAAATTGCACAAGCCGCACTCTCCATCACTACATCAACATGATCATTGATGCGAACGTTTCTATTGGTGAAGTCCCCGCTATCATCATCCAGTACCTTGACAGTGCTTTCAGTAATGTGATCGAGAGCTACGAACAAGAGGTGGACTCGCGCAGGAGACAGAAGAAGGAGGGACGGCAGTACTCTACAGAGAGAAATCAAGTGGCGAGAGAAGATATTCAGCACATGTCAGTCGTATCATACATGCTCTGGAAGTTGGTGCAGGCGGGCCACTTTGACAAGTGCATTCGTCTGTTTGAGGAGCTGCCATACATTGATAATAGGTGCTATAGACAGGTGCTCCTGGCATTGTATTCAGGCAAGACATCGATCAGCCAGGCAAGGTGGAGAGCCTTGGTCGAGCGCATCGACCATGTGATCATACATAATATCGTCGAGATGCTTCCAACATTGTTGAACGACAGGATATCGATCAAATTGCGGATGGAGCATCTGATGAACTTATCCGCGCGACTAGATGGCAAGAGATTTGCGATACCATTAAGTCTACACGAAAGACTTCAACAACATCTAGTGCTATGCAAAAAGGATACCAGACCAGAGAGAGGTGCCATCCAACGATTAATAGATTGTTCGATCATTGACCAGTCTTCAATGGGTGAGCCACCAATTACATCTCTACATCAATATATGATAAGGCAAATGTTTGGATTGTCCAACCCGTAATATAATAAATACATTCATTATTTGCAGTCATTGCCATTATCATTGCCATTCACGTTGGCAATTGGAAGTTGACTGGCGATAGTGGATGCGCGAGTTGTGGTTTGGCCCCACGTAAGGTGGGATCTTCAAGCAAAGGACTTGGATTGAAAATGAATTGAATAAAAAGTTTGAAGTTGAGTTCAACAACCCACCAAAACACAACAACAACCTATTTAGGTGGACATGTCCCCAACACGAGAATCATTGTTCAAACTTACTCAACACCTTCAACACACATACACATACACAAACAAATATTAATACATTGTTATAACTATACAATTATTTATATATATATATTTATATTCGATCAAAGGTTACCTACCGAAACAATAGTAGTACATTGATCAAACTTAAACGAGACAAAGACATTCAACATTTCGAAACACAGCTAAGCGATCATTTGTAAAGCATAGCATATCACCTGTAATTTTAGTAGTATACCTATATACAACAAACAATATAGAAAAAGATGTCGTCAACTGAAGAGATTAAGGTTAGTATATCAAAGAATGAATCAATGTATGAATGAATGACTAATGTATGAATGTATGAATGAACAGCCAAACACAGACAACATGTCTCCAGATGAGAGAAGGATATTCGAGAAGTATGGAAAGCTGCCAAAGCAATCACAACTGCTCGCTAAGAAGGTAGGTAACACTCTTTAATGACTTGTCTCAAGATCAAATACTGATGATCTATCGATCGATTTCAATAATACATACAGGATAAGAAGTTCTTCGATAGTGCAGATTGGGCCAAGGGACAGCATGAAGCCAAGGAAGTCAGAGTTCATCCAGAGAAGCCCATCAAAGAATAAAGATGTCCATACCATACCATCCCCATTCCTTAATATCCGACGGCAGCCTGCCGGCCAAGCCATCAACGGTGCAGTCCTCTGCTATCCAGTTGCTCAGTCGCACAACCCTTGTACACTAATATCAAACCAAACACAATGTAGCAACAGCATAAGCAGCGATCAGTTGCACAACTCTGGCAGCTGCAACAGACAGCAGCTACAATAACAACAACAAACAACAAGAACAAACACATCCAAAAAGGATGTAGAAGGAGGAGTACAGGAGATTATGTAGTTTATAAACAACCTGTTGTTGTTGTCGTTGTCGTTTACTTCACCTCACTTCTTCTCCTCAGTCGTCGTCGTCGTCGTAGTAGTCGCGTTCTTTTGATCGTCCTCATCATCAACAACATCCTCATCTACTTGACTCTTTACCAGACCCATGAGATTGAATCTGATCTCCTCTGGATTCTCTTCAATCATCATCTGGAGCACCTCGCCAACGTCTTCCAAGAATGTTTCATCACTTGTTGTGCTATGGTTGATTGGGAATGGCTTCCTTCCGTCCAGCTCATAGAGGTGGCCATCAACCTATATTAAGCGGCACCAGAGAGTATTAGAGTCTGTCAGCAGGTGAGGTTGGTTCGATCGATCACGTGATCAAACTTAACTTACATTGACGAATGATACAAAATGCAGGATGACAGGGTCGTCTTGGTCGGGCACGTTGCTCTGACCCTGCTGGGCAGAGATCTCGTGTGTTCTCTCGATCTCTGAGTTGTGCGCTAGTGCATTGGCGCGCTGGTCAACACTCAGGTTGGAGGTTGTCTGGAGGAAGCTCTTAAAGAATCCTTCGTTGAACTTGATCGAATCGGCATTGTTCAAAACAGAGTGGATGACACCTATAGTTCCACATGCATTACCAATATACTGCTTCATAAAGTATACCTTGTCACTAACATGTTGTCCCTTCTCCTCTATCTCATTCTGTAACTTGTATCTCTGTATCTCATACTTGATTGATTGATTGATTGAGTGAGTAATGATTGATTGAATGTAAATGATAATGACATACACTCTTTGTAATTGGGAAGAGTAATATAACTGCAACACATGGCTTTGGGACCATGTCTAATAGTTCTTTGTCAATTCCATAGATGTCACAGAACTCCCATTCAACAGGCACGCCCAAGTTGTGCATGAAGGATGTCAACACATCTGGATTGGCTTCTAATGGTACCCAATTCTTCTGCTTCTCATACAATTCCTTATTCTCTTCGTGGTCAGTCATCTCTATATACCTCTTTATCTTTATCTCTATCTCTCTCTTTCTATTTCTATTACTATCTATTTGTCTAAATGTGATATTTAATTTAACAGTTTGATTCAAGTTCATCAAGATTGGGAAACCCCTCAACTTTCAATTCAAAGTCTGGAAAAAAGGAAGAGCGAGAGATTAGTGTGAGGGCAAGGGCAAGGGTAAGGGCGAGGGTTAGGGTCAGGGCACCCAAGACTCAATCAGGACTTGGATGCCTTTATTGATTGCTCTCCATCACCATCATCATCTGAATCTTCAAATGGAGACGATCTCTTTCTTTTCTTGGTGTTGTACTCAAGGAGGAATCGTAGGATGTCGATGTGCCCTCTGAATCCAGCGCGAAGACTGGCAGCGAGAGTATCGCCCTCTGTTCGATTGTTGACGAGGAATTTGACCACCTCTAGATTTCCATTGGCCGCCGCCCATGATAATGCATCCTTGGTGCAACCTTCAGTGCGATTGTAATGCAGGAACTTGACTATCTCGAGGTGATCAAATATGGCTGCACTGTCCATTGCGTTGGTCGTGCAGCCGGCGTCAGTGTTCTCGTGAAGATAACGTACGATGTTGATGTGTCCGTAGCGAGCGGCAGTGTCCATCGCCATTGGTGTGGGTGGCTTATCTCCATATAGATGTAGATATTGAACCACGTTCAGTAGACCAGCCTGTGCCACCATGGCTATAATATCATCAGAGCATCCCTCGGTACGATTGTGTTGGAGGAAATTGACGATTGGTAACAGGCCATTGACTGCTGCACAGTCCATCGCATCCACAGTACATCCCTCTGTGCGGTGTTGATGAAGGAATCGTACGACGTGAAGGAAGCCATTACGCGAAGCAAGGTCCATGGCCTTGGTCGTGCATCCTTCTTTGCGATTGAGATGCAGGAACTCCACGATATCTAGATGGCCATTCTGCGCGGCAAAGTCCAAGGCCTCGGTAGTGCAGCCCTCTTTGCGACTGTGATGCAAGAACTTGACCATGTCCAAGTTGCCCTGAGCTGCGGCCCAGTCCATGGCGTTGCGTGTACATCCCTCCGTCCTGTTCTGATGAAGGAAGCGGACTGTCTCCAGACTACCCTTTGCCGCAGCGTAGTCCATGGCTTCGTTGTTGCAGCCCTCTGTCCTGTTCTGATGGAGGAACTGGACCAGTTCCACGTGACCTTCGGCAGCCGCCGCCGACATTGCCACATCTGAGCATCCCTCGGTGCGATTGCAATGTAAGAACTTGACCAAATCAAAGTGACCACCTGCCGCCGCACCATCCATTGCCAAGGATGTGCAGGATGAGTCCGTGCGATTGTGATGAAGGAACATGACCACCTCGAGTCGGCCTTGGATCGCAGCCTCATCCATTGTGGCAGGGTCCATGCCCTCTGTACGATTGTGATGCAAGAATTTTATAACCTCGAGATGACCGTGTGCAGCGGCGCCAGACATCGCCATACTGGTACAGCCCTCTGTTCGATTGTGATGAAGGTATTGAACTACCTCGAGGTGGCCAGCATTGGCAGCCTGGTCCATGGCCATTGTTGTGCAGCCCTCTGTTCTATTCTCGTGAAGGAACTTGACGACGTCGAGCATGCCATTACGCGAAGCCATGTCCATGGCCACGGGTGTGCAACCTTCGGTTCGATGTTGGTGCAAGAACTTGACGATCTCCAGATGACCACCACTGGCAGCCAAGTCCATCGACATCGGACTGCCGTATGCCGGTTTGTTGTGATGTAAGTACTCGACCACGGGAAGCATGCCCTTGCCCGATGCCGATGCCATTGCACGTCTCGTGCAGCCTTCTGATCGATTCTTATGTAGGAACTCAACGATCTCGAGTGAGTCTGCCATGTCCATTGCCTTGGTGGAGGCAACACCACCATTGTCATGCATGTACTTGACAAGGTCCAGTCTACCAATTGCTGACATTGCGTCCAATGCTGGCATTGTCTTGAACGTCTCTGGTCTGCACCTATGTATATACTTTATGATCTCCTCATGTACCTTGAAGTCTCTAAAGAGTCCTGTTGGTCCAAACTTGAACTTAGGTGTTGGCTCTGCCACCTCCTCATCATCACCTTCAAAATCTTCAACATTATCTTCATCACCTTGTCCTTGTACTTGTACTTGTACTTGTCCTGGGTTCTGATCATGTTCATGTTGTTGATGTTGTTGTTGACCACCTTGGTGATGATGATGATTATGATTGTGCTGAGCTTGAGGAGGTTGAACATTGTCGTTGTCATCATCATCGTCTTGATCTGAATCTTCAGAATCAGACTCTTCATCTTCGATGGTCAACGCCTCGACGTCACCACCCTTGATGAACTCTATCCAAAGAGTGACCAATGTATCCCATGAGTATGTACGAGATTGAACTCTACGTACACTTATCGCTCTCACTGAATTGAATATCTGATTACGAAGCCATTGATTATTAATTATCTGTTTGAACAATGTTAACTTGGTATCTGCATCTGTAGTCGTCGTTGTAGAAGTTGTTGTAGTTGTACACATCATTGTTTAATTAAATGTTCAAAAGAGAATGAATGAATGAGTGAATGAGTGAGTGAAGTGTCTCACGCTGAGCAGTTACCTCGCGCGAGGTGTGGGCGTTGTTGTCGATTCGCAGAACATGAGTGGGGCTTCAAGGCCCAGCGGCATTGATGGCTGGCGAGTTAGTACCACTTGGGCACAAACTTGAATGGAGTGTTGTTGAGTATGATGAACTCTGTGACGGACGCTCGGATGTCCTCGAGGTGCTTGTCGAATGGACTAAAGTCTTTGATCTGTCCACTCTCATCAAACATTGGCCGAGAGATATGTAGCTTGGGACGTGTTTCGGTCAGTCGCATCTGGATTGGACTGACACCTGACAGGATGTCCGAGATCTGTTTGTTGACGCCAAGTCCACCACCATATCCATAGCTCACTACAATCAATGGCTTGCCCTGCCATTCATGGATCAAGTAATCAATGGCATTCTTAAATATTGATGTGTAGCCTTGATTATACTCTGGTGATATCATCACAAATGCATCGATCGATCCAATCTTTGCCTGCCACTTCCTTCCAATCTCTGTTGTATAATTGCCATTCAATGCCATAGGTGACACGGCTTGGGTTTTGATCAATCAATCATTCAAACATTCAAACATGTTAGTGAGTGATTGGAGCGAGTGGATGATTGATGGATGCTTACCTTCATCATATAATGGTAGTGACCATTCGACCAAGTCGATTATCTCGAGATCGGCGTAGTGATCCTTCAACTTGGATGCCTCAACGAACCATTTGGTGATGGATACACAGAGTCGGTTCGACCTGGAACTGCCCATGATAATGGCGACCTTCTTCTTCTCTGCTTGGATTGCTTGGATAGAGTCCATGATTGATTGATATTGTTGTTGTAGATGTTGTTGATGTTGTAGAATGATGATGATGTTCGTCTTCGTGAATGCTTTGTCTTCGTGATCCCCGATCCATCCATTATTTATATCAAGACATGAATGTGTGATGGATGGATCGTCATCGATGGCATGTCAATGAAATGCTTCATGAAGACATGAAACATGTCCATATCCTTCATGAAGGTCCTTCTAACTCCTTCATGAAGCGTCGGTCCAAAAATAATGTGACCCGCCTGGCCAGTGGGCACGATCATGGAGGGGGTGACATGACCATCACCGAAACGAGAGTGTGGCGCGCACTAATTGACGAGTCCATTTCAAATTGGTGATGAGCCCTTGGTAGGAAGAGCTGCTTGGTATTGTTGTTGTTGCTCGACTGAAGCAGTTAGTGTCCTATTGGCTGTATCTACACCTTGTATAGTCTTTAGAGATACAACTACATTGTTGTTGGAGGAGGATGGAGGACCCATGTCATATTCATCCTTGGACGCACTGACCCATACTGGCTTGAACTCCTTCAGTCGACCGCCGACTCTGACACCGCCACCTCCGACGCCTAATGCTCCTGGAGCACCGACACGACCAGGTGGATTCAATGGGTCAATGTCCAATACATTGTTTGTGGACTCGATGCTCACAGCATGAACATGGATTACAAACTTGCGCTCTGTTGCACTGCTCAGATGTGAACTCTGTAGGAATGAGTCTGCAGCCAGTACCCTCAACAAGTATGCTCTGAACGAATCCTCCAACTGCTGTGTGGTCGGCCTCTTGACCTGTTGTTGTTGTTGTTGTTGGACCGGTTGTTGAGGTTGAGGTTGAGGTTGACCTACGCCATCAACCTTTGACAACATATTGAAGTAATACTCCTTTGGATCATTCATCAAACCATCTTGACTGCCATCAAGTATCATATAGTTCTGTTGTTGTTGAGGTTGCTGTTGATGTTGTTGAGGTTGATCGACAACTTGTGGAGGAGGTGGAGGTGGTGGATCTGGCGTGACGACCTCATTGTTGAAGGTGAATGAGAATCTCTCGATGGGATGATCATATTCATTCAGGATTGTCAATGATATCTTCTCCACTGGATTGACCTTCTTGCTCAAATGTGGTCTAAGACTCTCCAACGACTGACCAATATAGCTTCTCAACTGATCCGATCGACTCATTGGCACTGCAATACCATACTTTAGTGTTCTTTCAAACAGACCTTCATTCAGTGTCATTGAGTGAGCGAGTCAACATTATTGTTATAATCCCATTCATTCATTCATTCATTCATTATTTTAGAAACAACCTACAACTATCATATACATGTCTAATGTAGAGTATCGAATGGAATGATACCTCCAAGAACTCCAACAGCATATCATTGTAGTCCTGCATCGTATCATCCTTCTTTGAGTTCATCCTTTGATCGATTGATTGATTGAATTGGACTTGAATGAATATGAGGTATGAAGAGTGTCGAAAGGGTTGGGTACGGACGAAGAAGATACAAAGAAACGAATGGAAGGAAGTTCATCGATGTATCAAATCACCCAAACACAACCTTTTTTTGATTTTCTTTTATTTAATTTAAATTATTGATCGGTCATCAGGTGATGTTGGGTATGAGTTGATGAAAGAAATTAATAAAAAATCAAAATTATGTATGATGGGGAGTGAGCACCAAAGTAACTTTTAAAAAAAAGAGAGTGTCTCCCTGGCGCGACATGATGCCTCACACACACCCAACCCAGTCTGAGTCGCAGACTCCAGTCTCAGTCTCTCTCTTCATCGCGCATTCATTCTTCACGTATTCCACACACATACATAACACAGCAGATTAGTCCACTTGTTTGTTGTTTTAGAATCTCTTTATACATATATATATGTAAGTGTCATTATTTAATATTATTACTATTATTATTATCAAATGAATGAACAACAACAGATTAAACAACAGCATTTGCGAATATAATACTTTATGAAGAATGATTGAATCGTTGACGATGTTCAAACATTCGGTCAGTCGGTCAGTCAGACAGTCAGATCAGATAGTCCGACGCGATGACATTATAATGTAGCAAAGGGAGTCAGTCGGGACTGAATGATCAATCGACATTAACGATCAACATCATCATCCACAACTACAACACAACAACAATAATATCAACAACACAAATAACAAGTGATCATGAATGCTAATAATACTCTCATCATACTCATTCAAATATAGAATACACAATGTTTGTCGCCAGAAGAGTTGGAAACAAGGCCAACAACATTAAGTTGTTGAAGAATGCTCCAGTCACCTCCAAGACTACCGGACTCGTCCAGTCAAAGAGAGGTAAGTGTCGACACATGATTGAAAGGGGAATAGCACAAACACAGAGAGAACAATAGTATTAATCACATCAATCAATCATTATCTTCACTCCACTCACTCAATCAAACTCAATCAATCACTTATTCAAAACAATCAATTTAAAAATCGACAATAATCAGGATTCGTCAGCTCATCAAAGGCTACTTATGCCGCTGCCCAGAAGGTCACCAGCGAGCAGCAGTACCTCGAGCAGTTCAAGAACGAGTTTGACGCAGTTCCACAGGATAACTCCGAGGAGGTCAACTTGGCTACCTTGTCCGATAACCAGGGTGTCGTCCACCAGGTCATTGGTGCCGTCGTCGACGTTTACTTCCCACACGGCAAGCTGCCACTCATCTACGATGCCTTGATCGTCGAATCTTTCCAGGCTGAGAACGTCGAGAAGGTTATTGAGGACCTCAACAACCCCGCCCTCGAGGGCAAGCTCGACCTCACCAACGTGCCAATCTCCAACATCAAGCTGGTGCTCGAGGTTGCTCAGCATCTTGGAGACGGTATCGTGCGTTGTGTCGCTCTTGAGATCACTGATGGTCTGTCCCGTGGTCAAGTCGTCTTGAACACCGGTGCCCCACTGCGTGTGCCAGTCGGTCGTTCCACCCTGGGCCGTATCATGAACGTCATTGGTGACCCCATCGACGGTTGTGGACCCATCAAGACCGATACCAAGCTTCCCATCTGGAGAGAGCCACCCAGATTCGACGAGTTGGCCCCATCTGCCTCCATTCTCGTCACTGGTATCAAGGTTATTGACCTGTTGACCCCATACGCCAGAGGAGGAAAGATCGGTTTGTTCGGAGGTGCCGGTGTCGGAAAGACTGTGCTGATTCAGGAGCTCATCAACAACGTCGCCAAGTCTCACGGAGGTTTCTCTGTGTTCACTGGTGTCGGAGAGCGTACTCGTGAGGGTAACGATCTGTACCACGAAATGGTTACCGCCGGTGTCATCAAGCTCAAGGGTGAGGGAGACAACTTCTCCACCGAGGGCTCCAAGGTGTCCCTGGTGTTCGGTCAGATGAACGAGCCCCCAGGAGCTCGTGCTCGTGTCACCCTCACCGGTCTGACCGTCGCCGAGTACTTCCGTGACGTTGAGAACCAGGATGTGTTGCTCTTCATCGACAACATTTTCCGTTTCACTCAAGCCGGTTCTGAAATGTCTGCCTTGCTCGGTCGTATCCCATCCGCCGTCGGTTACCAGCCAACCCTTGCCACTGATATGGGTTCCATGCAGGAGCGTATCACCACCACCAAGAACGGTTCCATTACCTCTGTGCAGGCCGTCTACGTGCCAGCTGATGATCTTACTGATCCAGCCCCAGCCACCACCTTCGCACATCTTGACGCCACCACTGTGTTGTCCCGTGCCGTCTCTGAGCTCGGTATCTACCCCGCCGTGGACCCATTGGACTCAACCTCCCTGATGTTGGATCCAAACATCATCGGTGAGGAGCATTACAAGGTCGCCACCGACGTCCAGAAGATCCTCCAGGAGTACAAGGGTCTGCAGGATATCATTGCTATCTTGGGTATGGACGATTTGTCCGAGGAGCAAAAGACCACTGTGTTCCGTGCCCGTAAGATCCAGCGTTTCCTCTCCCAGCCATTCGAGGTCGCCGAGGCCTTCACCAACATGAAGGGTGCTTTGGTGCCACTCAAGGAGACCATCGACTCGTTCAAGGGTATCTTGGCCGGCAAGTACGACCATCTGCCAGAGGCTGCATTCTTCATGGTTGGCGCCATCGCCGACGTTGAGGAGAAGGCCAAGGTTCTGCTCGCCTCTGCCGAGGGTGAGACCAAGAAGGAGAACAAGGTGAACGCCGCCGGTGAGTCCACCAGAGAGTCCACCCGTGACAAGATCAGACGTCTGTCCGACGAGGCCTACAACTCCAAGATTGCCCAGATGAAGAAGTACGGAGTCGACACCAAGGAGCTCGAGGAACTCAAGGCTGAGTTTGAGAAGACCTTTGACAAGGAGGTTGCTGAGATCGAGAAGGTTCTCGGCAAGTAAGCAATTCTTATATTTCTTACATACATCATCCATCATCCATCACATCTATCCAACCTTTACACACACATAACAACTACTCCACTCGTCGCGAAGCGATGCGTCCGATATATAAATAATAGTAATAGTAAATAATACAACTTGTTGTCAGCAATACTTCATTCATCCATCTTCCATCTCTCTTGTCTCCTGATTGGAAACATGTGGTCGTCGGTCGGCAACATGGACACTGATTGATGTTCATTGATTGATGTTCATTTAATTTAAAAGAGTATATTATGGAAGGTAAGGTCTAGTGGACCTTGATTGTGTATACATTGGCCAATGCATTGTGTAGGCCTAGCTAGGTTGGCTAACTAGGCTTTATGCACCTTGCGTGGTCTAGGAACATCTGATCCACGAAGAAGTCTAACTTGATGTGAAGCAGAGTTGATAATAAAGACTGTCGTAGCAATGGCAGTAAACCATCTGGCATAGTACGATGTGAAGAATGTGTAGATCGACCATGGAATCAAAGCCAAGAAGAGTATTCCATATACATAGACGCTGGTGTCTGTTGTTGTCGTTGTGGTTTGAATGAATGAGTGAGTGAATGGTCATATGATTGAATGTTTGGATATGTCATACCTGGTTCGTAGAGACGTCCCTTGGTAGGGTATGTCTTGTGCTTCTTGAGGTGCTCCAACAACTGCTCCTTCTCAGCAAAGATCTTGAACAGCCAGTCTTGTGTCTCGTTCTCCTCTTTGGGCACATTGCTAATTGGTATGCGTCTAATGTTGATGTCAACCTTGCGTGGATTGGTTCCAATCAGGTTTGATACAATCGATGGCTTGGTCTCGTAACCAATCGTCAAGTCGTACACTGCTTGCAACTCTGGTCGCATGCTACTAATGCTCGTATGCACTCCCTTTACCCTGGGCAACAATACATTGTTGAACTTTGGGAATCCATTCTTCTCTGCAAACTAAAGTTTGATGATGGATGGTATGAGTGAGTGACTGACCGATTGATTGATTGATTGATTGGTAACATACAGCATGACTCTTGGCCAACTTCTCCTCATCCATATCAGTACCCTCTGGGAAAATGGTCAACCATGTCCTGTGACCAATGTCCTTGTCCTTGGTGAGATGATGCTGGAGATGCTTCTCATCATATGCCCAATCCCTTGTGATGTAGATCCATCCAAGGCAATCACATCCCCATCCAACACCTGGTACATACTTGATCTCCTGTATACATATGTCAAAGTGAGTGAGTGTGACCATGTGGACTTGCGGACATGTGGACACTTACATCCTTCATGATGATCTTGATGTTGCCCAATGAGTTCTTCATTGCACCAAGTATCCATGTATAGGCCCAATCAATCTCTGATGGATGGTTCATGATGATCACTGCATTCTCATCCTCAGGCACATCATCACCATATATTGTGATCTTGATTCCATGTAGCACTGTGAATGCAAACACGACGAACTTGAACCTGGTGATTGATCGATCACGTCGACCTAAATATCAGTATCAAAGTTTCGAATGTCTCGATGAATGAACAAACATACCATATTGAGGCAACAAGACCATTGAGATAGATTGTGTATCTCTTTGAGAATGGACGTAAGATGAAGTTGATTGGGAATAGACAGTAGCTGATAAACACAGCTGTCTGTAATGCTATTGGCAATATAAAGATTTTCTTTAATGTAGTCTTGTCGACCATCTTGTTGAAGTTTATGTTTATATGTATATAATGTATATGTATATGTATATATATGCAATGATCAGATTATTAATTAATGAATGATAGAATGAACAAACACTGCTGGTACTCACAATGAATGGAGTTAGTTGTTCACTTAGATTCCAAACTTGCTACCTTGGTGATGGGGTGGTCTGGTCAAGATTGGACGTGAAGACTCGGGGTCTTTTGGAATCCCAAAGACGGAATTTCCAAATTTCCTTAATTATTTATAAATATCTGTCTCTCTCTCTCTTCGGTCTACTCATCAGAAATAATCATATCCCTTTTGATTGGTTGAGGTATTAAGTTAGTCAACTAACTAACAAGCTAATATGCACGTCTCCGACATATCTTTGATTGAGCAATGATGATAAGATGAATCTTGAGATATTTTTGATTGATGTTTTCTTCTGAAGATTGACGAGCAATCATGACAAAAGTCAATTCAATTCAATCAATCTATCAATCAATCAATCACACATATACAAATAATCAATATAAACATACCATACCCCAATAACAACACTACTTACTCGTTTGATCAATTGATCATTTTAAACACATAACCTTGCACACTTCAAGCGAAGCCTTGTGTGTGTTTGGTGACTCCATTCTAGACCTTCCACACCACATTTGTCGACGGAACTCAACAATTACAACACACACATTCGATACAAGATGAACATCACAAACAATAACAACAAGAGGTCTCATTCATTCTTTGCAATTATATTGCTTGTTATAACTATTACTTTACTTATGTCTGTTACCAAAACAATGGCACAAGGTGTGCCCACCGGTGGCATGATGATGTACGAGCTCTCCACTCGACCATGGCTCTACAACCTCTCCCAACAATACAACAGGAACATTAGCAAACTCAGTGGTATGTCGTCATTGAATGTCCAATCAATCAATCATACATTATTATTAACAAACCTAAAGATATACCAATTGAGGAGTTCCAAAAGATTAAGGATATGGGCTTTGACATGGTCTGGATGATGGGAGTTTGGTCTTTGGGCGCATATGGACTCAACTATGATCGCACCAATCAACAGTTGTTGCAACATTATGGACAAGTGTTGCCAGGTTATACGACGGACGACATTATTGGCTCACCATACGCTCCCACCAACTACACGATCAATCCACAATTGGGCGATGCACAGGATTTGATCAATCTACGCAAGACACTCAACTCAATTGGCTTGCTACTAATGTTGGACTTTGTGCCCAATCATACGGCCGTCGACTGTGAGTGGACTACCTCCAACGTGGACTACTACATCCGCGCGCCACAGGGCACCAACCCACCATACGACCCCAACACCTACCTGCCCAATGGCATCGCCTATGGCTCGAGCGGCTGGGGCGCATGGCAGGACACTGCCCAGCTCAACTACTGGAATCCCGCCACCATCAAAGCACGTATCCAAGAGTTGTTGACTGTGGCTTCGTTCGCCGATGCTATTCGCTGCGACATGGCCTACCTCCTGCTCAACTCATTGTTTGGCCAGACATGGCAGTCGCAGTTGGCGTCGTGGAGCTACACGCAGCCAGCCCAGGAGTTCTGGGGCACAGCCATCCAGATCGTCAAGGACTCGTACCCTGACACGATCTTCCTGGCCGAGGTGTACCACCCATATGAGGAGCAATTGCAACAACTAGGCTTCGACTACACCTACGACAAGATGCTGCACGACTACTTGGGCGGCGGCAACCTTGACCAGGTGCGCGACTGGATCAGCGGACACTCGACCAACTTCACGCATCATTCGGCGCACTTCATCTCCAACCACGACGAGCCGCGCGGCGCCAACTTCTTTGGCAGCTGGTGGCGCTCCAACGCTGCGGCACTTGTCACCTACACGCTGCCAGGTCTCAGGTTCTTCTGGTGGGGCGACTTTGAGGGCTACCAATATCAGCTGGACGTGCATCTGCGTCGCGAGCAGGAGGAGCCCGTCGTGGACACCTCGATCCAGTTCTACAACAACCTCACCAAGATCGTCTCGGACCCCGTGTTCAAGTATGGCCAGTTTGAGTATTTGAACGTGACGGGCTCCAACGAGGCCTGGACATTGATCGCCTACAAATGGACGTACCAGAATGAGAAGAGACTGTGTGTGCTCAACTTTAGTGGCACTCAGGGCTCTGGCAACATCACGCTGGACGATGCCGAGCCAGTCAATGGCAATGACACAATCCCCGTCACTGACCTACTCTCTGGCGAGACCTTCTACCGTTCCGCCGAGCAGATGAGGACCACCGGTTTATTCGTTGTGGTCAACACCTGGTATGGTCAGATCTTCAAGTATTAGTACTATTAGACAATACAATTATATCGTCGTGGGCTATCATTAGGCCATCAGTGTATCCATCAATCAATCACAATCATTCAAGTTAATCAAGTGTGTGTGTGTGTGTGTGTGTGTGTGGGGTTAGTGTTGGGATAGTTCCTAGACGAGTCCTTTGGCCTAGGCCTAGTAGGCCTTGGCCTTGGACCATTCATTATTATGTTGTCGACTATTCGTTTTATTGTTCCAAGTCCATGCACTCTAGACTAGCAGAACAGCATTGATACAGCCGTCATTCTCTGGGTTGTTGGTGACCTGAGCGAACTTGCCCCAGACTACCTTTCCAGACTGTGTAACTAAACCTAAATCACTTACATTGACCTATACAATGAATGATCGAATGAATGATTAACATGTTAGTGATTGATCAATCACATTACGCTACAATGAATTGATTAACATACCTCTAAGATCGTTCCTTTTGTTATGACACCTAGTTGGGTATAGGTTGGCGACTGTGGATTCTTCTTTACAGCGAGGATGTCGAGATAGAATGTACTCTTGAGCTCTGGATGTGTGACGTGTGCCTTCTTGAAACGCAGACCGGTGGGTCTGATGAAACGCTCGTACTTGGGCGGCTTACGGGTGAATCCCTCGCCGACAAAGGTCACCTTGGTGACCATACGCTTCCACGCCTTCTTTTGTCGCTTGCCTGTCTTGACCACCTTGAACATCTCGTCCTCACTGATCGCTCGCACCTTGGGCAGAGGCACGCTCCACTTGCCCGCCTTCTCCTTTCTCTTCTGCTTGACCATGTTGGACAGCACCTTGGCTCTGGACACACCCTCTCTGTCCAACAGATAGGATGGCACGGCGCCCTCCTTAACATTATCGTCGGCCTTCTTCTTGTTTGTCCTCTCCTGATGCATAGCGATCGTTCTCTTCATCTCTGCCTTCTCAGAGTAACGCTTCTTATTCAACAGCTTAGCCTTGATACCATATATCTTTTGAGCCAAAGCAGACTTCTTATGTACCTCACGAGAGGTCTTCTTACGTCTATTTCATAACAACAACATCAATTAGTATATGTTTGGTTTGGGGTGGGACTATCCCATCATTTGATCGCTCATTCAATCATTCGTTTGATCGCTCGTTTGATCGCTCGTTCATTCAAAGTGATTGATTACATACAGCTTTTCATAATGATCGAATCTTCTACCAAATCTCTTTTGGTGAAGCTCTATATAGTCTCCTTGAGCCTGTATGAGTGTGTATCAATTCATCAAAGATAGAGTAAGTTGGTTAGTGTCAATGACCCATAAATACAATGCAATCAATCAATCAGTCATCATCAATTGATTGATCATCATCTTTAAACATACCATTGTATATGTTTATATAAATATATGTATATATATGTGTGTGTGTGAGTGAGTGGATGTATGTATGTAATAAAGTGAAGAGTTCTCGAAGTTGATCGCTCATTCATTCATGCCTTCGACTTGAAACAAAACTACTCACTGTCGCACACATGAGTGTGATTCGTCGTTTTTGCCAACTTTAATTAATTTTATTTAATTCAATTCAATTCAAGTGTGTTGTATTTCATACGACCCCACCATATTTGTTCGACAAGGACAGTCTTCTAGTTCTCTCTTTGTTCCTGGCTCTTCCTCCTCCTTCTTCAATCCACATCCATCCATTCATTCATTCATTCATTCATTCATATCAATTGCCTTAACTGACTGACTTTACAATAATCATTGTACATTCATACATATAAATAATAATAATATATATCTTAATATATAATACAATATAAATAATAATAATAATATAAGAATGGAGAAGGCAGAGTTCACTTGTATATCATGTCGTGTTGTCTTTGACAACCCAGAGGACCAGAGAGTTCATTATAAGTCTGAGCTGCACAGGTTCAACTTGAAGAGGAAGGTGTTGGATCTGCCTCCAGTCAATCAACAGACGTTCAACTCAAAGGTGGAGGCACTGAAGGTTCAAGAGTCAGCGCCAACCACTGTTATGTTTGATTGTAAAGTGTGCGACAAGCAATTCCAGTCCGAGGGTCCATACCAACAGCACTTGATCTCAAAGAAGCACAAGCTAAACGTTGAGATGGGTGTCCCCGAGAGGACAAGAGAGAGGAAACCAAAGCAACCAAAGCCACAAGAGCCACAGCCACAGACTGTATGTATCCTCATGAACTAGCTCAATCAATCATTCATTCGATCAAACATCTAATCATGGTACTCGTTGTAACAACTAGTTGGAGGAGGCAGAGAAGATGATGGAGGAGAAGATAAAGAATACACCAAAGCTGCCACTTGAGCATTGTTTGTTCTGTAGACATATCAGTGATTCAATCGACACGTATGTAGTCCGCGTGCCGATACCCAGGTACCTTAGCCCGCCACCCATCCATCATAAGACTAACATAACATAACATCACATTCAATCAATCAATCAATGGATCAATTAGTAACGTCGATCATATGGCAAAGGAGCATAGTTTCTTCATACCGGATGTTGATTATTTGGTCGACTTGCCAGGTATGATCAGATTCATGAGTGACAAGATTGCAATTGGAAACATCTGTCTCTACTGCAGTGGAAAGGGCAAGCAGTTGCACAGCTTGGAGGCTGTCCAGCGACACATGATCGATCTAAGTCACTGCAAGATGAACTTTGACACCGAGGCCACCTCTGACGAATACGTCGAGTTCTACGACTTTACAAACAGTTACAAGGATCGCGCCAACCCAGACGACGAGCTTTCAAAGTATGTTATATCCATCACCTCACTCGCTCCCTCATTCAATCAATCAAACAATCACTAACTCAATCCAATCAATCAATCAATTCCAACTGAAGTACTTTGACGGTAACAGACAGCGAGTTGGTCTTGCCGGATGGAACTGTGATTGGACACAGAGACTACGCCGTTTACTACAAGCAGAAGTTCCAGGCTGTGCAGAGCAAGAGACAGTCATCGATCGCCAGGATCATCAACCAGTACAAGACTCTTGGCTGGCACGAGACGACTCGCTCGCCAGCAGAGCTCCAGGGCAGAATCCTGCATCGCCAGAACATCATGGCGCTCAAGGTCGGAATGAAGAACAACAACCAGAAGCATCACGTTCTGCAGTTGCTCATCAATTAAAGCATTCACCAATATCCATTCATCCGCCGCCACAGTCTCTCTGTTGTGCGTGTGTATGTATGTATGTGTTGGATTATCTCAGCGCGCATCCTCATCTATTGTTGTTATTTGTTATTTATTGTTATACTATATACTATTTACTTGGCAGCAGCAGTCTTCTCTTCGTACTGCTTCATTGTCCAAGTGTTGAGGTTGACAGCGTGTATCTCGTTCATCAGATCGCCAATGATGTCATTGACCATTCTGTGTCTCTGTAGCAATGGCATTCCAACAAACTTGTCTGATCCAACAGTCACTGTAAACTTGGCTCCGCATCCTCCAGACACATCCTCAACGTTCTACATCATTACATTATGTGTCGCTCGCGTTAGGTCTAATTGTCGTACGAGTTGCCATTCATTCATTAACATAATCAAACATACAATGTGATCACCTGGGAAGTTACCCTTGATACGATCTTCAATCTGTTGTACTGACACTACCATTGTCTCTGTATTTGTATATCTATCTGTATCTGTATTAGTATAAGTATGTAATTAAGTTTAAGGTGTTATGGTTCTCGAAGTTGTAGTTTTAGTTGGTTTCACTTCGGACGGAACACGACAATGATACCAGGGCTAGTGTGTCAATGCATTGTATTGTTAATGATGACGTATTGATCCATCCTATCTATCTATCTATCTATCTTTATTGACCAATGTGATCGATCATCAATCAATCAATCAATTAATCAATCTAGTATGTCATCATCTGGAATGTGATCGCTACATCAACAAGTAACTGGAAGAGTCCACAATAGATGAACTGACTTGGTGCATCGGAGAAGTAGAAGTACAGGGTCTTGGCAAAGTCTCCAACGAACCATGTACCTATCAGGAATGCGCTATATATATATCATACAGTTTGTTAGTCGACATGCTACAACTACCATAAATGAATGAATGAATGAGAATGATGTTGACATACCTCAATCCCTTTGTTGAATGCTTCTTGTAGTTCTGAATGAGTTGGGGTACACCTAGCATTGCCTCGATCGCCAATGACAGACTGCCCAACGCCTCGAAGAACCATGGTGTATTAATGAATGTATACGTGAGCAAGAGGAAGAAGAATGAGTAGGCAGAGAGGAAGGCAACTGAGGAGGGAGGTATGATTGATTGAGTGAGTGAATGAGTGCAATGTCAATCAAAGGTGTATGTACATACGATAGGGTACGTATGAGTCCCACTCCCAGAAGGGCTGTGTCTGGAATGAGGCGCTGAGTGAGCGTCTTGAGCGTGTGATCGAGTCGGACGAGCGGATGCTGACGCACAGGTGCAGCATGAGCAGTTGAGCGATGATCATCACAACGCTTTGATAGAGTAGTGTACTATCGAATTGCTTGCCCACCCAGAAGAAGCATCGCAGTATGTTTGAGAGCAGGAGGATTAGACAGACCTTGTTGCTGAAGCCCTCGACATTGCGTGTCTGTGCAATTGACTTGTACTGTGAGACGTAACCAATGACTGGTCCAAAGACCATCAGCACCGATGTCAACATCTTCTTATTATCTGTTACAAAGTTGGTTGCTAGCAGCTGCAAAGTCATCAATTGTTTGTTGAACATGAGTTGTGTGAACTATATGAACTTTGTGTGACCTGTTTGAGTTTAGTTCTGCCAATTCGATCTAGTTCAAGGTCATTGATCAATGAATGGGTAGATGGATCTTGTCTTGTCTTGTTGGATACATATAATAATAAGTCAGTCATTCCATTGCACATTAGTTAAGTACTATTCACAAGACATGTCGTGGAAGTCAAGGTTGTCAACCCCCTTGGGTGATGTGGACAGGACAAAGGGGTGTCCTTGGAGGGGTGACGATTGATTGACCACGTAGATCGCTCACTAACACTCTTTCCAAATCAATCATGAATGAATGAACATAACAATCAGCATCTTCACTCAGATGTACATCTAATAAGATAAGATGGATGATAACAAAGACAACAATAATGAAACACAACAACAACAACATGTTGGATTGATGTCATTGATCAGTAGAGTACTGGCCAGCAAGTATATTAGATCAGAGTTATCTAGACATGTGTCACTGATTCACAAACAGTTGGATATCACCAATGTATTCCATTCATCAGATATATCATCACTATATCAATGTATACAATGTGGAGATACTACCAAGTTCATCCATCACTGTGATCAATTGGACATCACCATCCATTCACCTCAAATGTATGTTTGTTTCCACCTTCTATATCCTGGAGCCATTCCATCTAACTTACTCAATCAAAGGTTGTTGGAAACGATGACTGAATCATTCAAACTTGCAGTTCACAAACAGAATGTAATATTAGTTAATTATATCATTGAACGATTCAGAAATGGCAGTGGCACCTCGAGTATCCAATTCATCAAGCATGTCAAGGACTCATTAATGTCAAATATAGAGTACTCTCATATACCAGCCATCAGGTTTAGTCGTCCCATGATACATACTCTGATGGCCTACATACCAGAAGCAGCTCCATCCAATCTAGTTACACTTCTGTTGAGGTCAGCTCTAAGGGATCACCAAGACTTTGACCTGTGCATTGAGATCTCCTCAATGGTGCACCCACACAACCGACCACCAATCGAACAGTATATCTTTGTCGGACATCAAATGGCGACCGCCAGTGCATTATTCCTCAGCAATCAATCAAGAATCATCGATGACTTTGAGCGATACCTAGTGTCACACCAGCAACCTCTTGGAGGATACTTAATCAAACCGACTCATCTGATCAACTTCACACTCAATCACCGACTGTTTGATCTCCTCCTGGTCATTGCCAGTCACATTGGTGGTACTTCTCAACCAAGCAACCCTATGGGGCTCACACCATCAACACATCCAATGAGCATGGACACTCTTGCAGCTCTCGTGCGAGTTGATCGACTTATATTCAATCGATTGGCAATGTTTGGTGATATCACCTTTATGAAGCATTCCCAAGATCACTTGCGATCATACATCGATGTCCACGGACCACTACTTCACCTTTTTGACAACACAATGTTGCAGTGCGCCTTGTCCGGAGGCCACTATGACTGCGCGCTCTACATCCTGGACAACATCACTCAGTTCCTTCCAAGGCGATCAATCGATGATCGCCATAAATGGATTGTGACAGGCATCAACATGATGCAGGAGGGTGATACAGTACCAGATCATGTGGACTGGTTGGGACTAATCGAACGGCTGATCAATGATCGATCAGTGGATCATGATTTCAAGAATCTATTCACAGATGCTATCAGAGCCAAACGAATGGATGTGATTGATCGACTTGAAGGACTGATCAAATCCAATCCATTGAATGTTATTGACATTGATCAAGCACTCAATGCTGCCCTCCAGATACAATATATTGATGGTATCAATGCAATAATAGTCAATCATCATGGTCGTGTATTCAAAGGGATCAAAATGGAATACATTGATCAATGTTCATATGACATACAAGAGATGTTCCTGGCCAAGGTGCCACCAGGCAACATAACATTTGACACCAACAAGGTCACAAACATGGAGGCGAGCACAATACGAATGTTCATCAAACATCGTCATCATCGTGATCCACAATGTTTGAAGGCCCTGCTGAGGTGTGCCGAACAACTTGGACACAGGGAGCTGATGGCCAGCTTGGATGCCAAGAGTGTACTTCAGAGTGATCCCTGGTCACCAGACCCCAATGCACCATTCTCAAGCACAAATGAGCAAGAAATTATGTTGTACTCTTTGTACTACGCAAAACGAAGATGGATGGTTGACACCATGTTGGCATCACCAAAGCACTTGAGCAGACCCGATCTTTGGAATAGAGAGCCGGCAGTTAATGGAATGCTCTTGGGATCAGACGTCCTTGCCTTCCTCAATCTGATGCCACTACAACGATATGAAAGACCGGAATCAATCCGTTCGTTGCAATATCGTGAAGACATCAGTCGTTTGGACAAAGATGACATTGAATTCGTTTGGAAACGAATGGCCGACACACTCAAACGTGATCAACATTTCATTAACAAGGTATTGACATCCATTGCCGCCATCAACAACATTATGATGTATGAATATGTGCTGGATTATTTGATCGAGGACAATCACTTCCCTGTACCATTCATCCAAGTGCCAGCAATCGGTCAAATAACCTTCAATATCAAACAATATCGAAGATATTCATCTACTCGATTGATTGTCGAGCTGTTCAATCCAACCAACTACACTCAATCTTCATCATCAACAATAAGTCAATATCAACGACTCCTCATCCCACTCAAGAAAGATGAGTACAGAATATATCAATCATTGTTGACCAACCTTGGAGTCTTTGATCCATCCAACAGTCAATGTTATATAATCAATCAACAGCAACATCAACAACAAGAGCAGTCCATCATCCCCTCACTAACGAATAAATTCCTTAAATGGTTATTTTGATCAATCCAATGTATTTGATTATAAAGCCATCCTGACCGCAAGGAGATTGATCAGGGCAATGATAAGCAGGATGGACAGTGATGATGACAAGCTGGATGGCGTTGCATTGTTGCCATAGATGTGACAGCCAACGTTTTCGATCACTGGCTGTGTCGTCTGGTTTGGATTGAGGTTACTCAGATACACTGTTGGGTGGTATGTTTTGTTGGTCTCAGCGGCATCATAGCAGGCAAGGTCGATACCTCCGTCGTACAAGTTGTGAAAGGTGGAGTTGTTGACTGTGCTGTTGCCAACGAGGACGACCTGTGGTGTGTGTATAACTCGGGGGCCCCTATCCAACATTACATCCGCTTCGCGGATTCCATTATTTCCTTCAACTTTATTAATTATATATTCTTTTATCTATTCTCTTTTATTATTATTATTTTTTTTTGGGAGTCTAGGGAGGATAATAATAATAATAATAATAATAGAACAAAAAGTGTATCCGTCGCAACTTGGGGAGGGAAGGGAGGGGAATAGGGATAGGGAATTTGGGGAAAAAGAGGATGTGTATCGACATAGGGAGGTTGGGGAGTCAATGGTGGAAACTTTTTAATAATAGAAAGAAATTATTTTATTCTTAAATTCCTTCCACCATCTACTCTTTTTGGATGGTTTGAGCTTCCCCGAGACTCCCTAAGTAGTAAAGGTGAGTGATTGATTTTTTCGACTCTTTAGTAGGTGAAGTGTAGTTTATTAAACACCTGGTGGGGTGGGATTGGAATCTGGACTGGTACCTCCAAAAAGGTTGCTGAATCTTTCATTGAGTGCTCTGGTTGGAGCATCAATAGGCCATGAATTTCGACGAGGTGCATTATTGTTTCCTTGAGTTGGGCTGGTACCAAAACTGGTTGCGATCACGGCATTGGAAATACTTTGTACTCCGTAGGATCCGAGGTCGGACATTGCCCTCATCAAAGATTGAACATTGTTGGGAGAATCAAAATGGTTATTGATACTCTACAGATTCCCTTCCTAGTAGTACCTGGCGCACCACCCCTCTTGCACCCACACACTCAAACAGGAAGATCTCAACAAAAAAATCCCCTTAAAGTGAAATGGACCCCCTTCCCATTTTGGTCTCATAGTACTCGGACACCACCAGGGTCAACACCAAGGTCAACCCTTGGTGGTGTCATTCATTGTCTTATTTATTATTATTACTTTGTTATAACAAGTTAAAACATGTATCACAATGAAGCAGTGGAGGTGCAGACATAAAATCATTAGTGGTCTATGTCCCACCACAACACAATGTGGAACTAGAAGCAGGCATGAGAAGTTGAGACATGTGTGCTATCCATCATGTGATAGGTGCCGATCAATGAATGTTGTCTTTGATTCCAATACAACATTATGTGTCATCAGTGATCCCAATGGAATTGGCATTGAGCAGAATGTACCAGATTGTAGAATATTGYMGATAGCGAGAATGACCTTGACCAACCTGACCAATGATCTCGTTGGTAAGAAGGTCTTGGTCAAAGTCAATACCGAGACTGGATCAGATGTCAATGGCTATTGGTATAGGGCAACGGTGACACAGGTCCATTTGAGGAGAGGCAAGGCAACATCTGCCAGTGTGCAATTGGACCATGAGGCAGGATTAGCTGCGCGATGCCAAGTGTGGAGAGAGATCAATGGTCTAAGACAGACTCAATCGACGTCCAGTGAAAGACGGTCCAAGGCCATCGACAACAAGATCGAAGCACTGTTGGAGAAGGCCGCCCATTCAAAGACCAATCAGATGTCGACCTATCGTGTTGGATCAAAGCAGATGATAGTACTCTCTGACCAAGTGTGTCCATCAATCGACGAGATGTTTAAGGACATCATTGATCGACTCCAAGGTCAGAAGCAGGTTGATGAGGTGGACAGTGGCGATGATGACGAGTCGGCAGATGATGACATCAACGAAGATGATGTCATTGATGATATCAATGATGACCAACTTGATGTTGCAGATGAAGATGACAAAAACAACGATGTTGCCGACAGTGACCCACTACTGGATAACAGTGACCACGACCAAGATGATGATGATGACAGCAACGATGACCAACTCTATGATATATTTGATGATGATGATGATGACAACAACGATGCCAATCAGATAGTTAATCTGTTCACTAAAGCCATGTCTGACCTGGATGCTCTTGAGAATGATGGAGGTATATATATTGGGATGCTAACCTTCTTGGCTCAAACATTGGTTGTGGTTGCTGGCCTTGTTCCGCATGGAGTACCTTATTCTCACACTCCACAAGCTGCTGCTGTTCAACAGGAGCCAAGCATTCCAACCTCTGTCTATATTGTCAATGCTTGCCCTGAGACGATCTTTGAAGCGAGGACTTTATCGTTTACAAAGGCTCTGTTGAAGGCCAAGTTAGGCATTACTATCATCAATCAGTCGAACCACTTTTCTGTTGTGTTTACTTACATCGATGGCCCWGAGCTGATATATTTCCTGCACGTTGATTCACTGGTGTTCATACACAGGACCTATGTCAAAGAGATGCAAACTGCGATACAGAAAGAACTGCCACCAACTTGTAAGATGATCACAAACAAATGCCTGGTACAGGATGATGGATGGCGATGCGGTCTMTGGGTTGTCTTGTGTATTCAAAAGTTCATCGAGTGTTCAAAGCATGGTGTCAATCCAAAAGTGATAGATGAATTTATGGAAGACATCCATTCGACAACAGACCAAGAGGTAGATGACCATTTCATGCGAGCGATTTCTCAATGTGACAAGAAGTGGCTGAAAGCGATCCAAGATAAAACTGAATATGTGTAAATATGTAAATATGTAAATATTAAAATATCTAAATATATGATCAATATTGTCCAGTTAGTTCAAGTCGTTGGGTAATTCAATTCATTTCGATTATTTGGAATTTTTCATAATTAATTTGGAAGTTCACTGCAAAACACAGCATCATGCAGTCAGTCAGGTAGCTTGTACAGATAATAGTAATTGGCAAATACACTTGCTCATTGTTTATTCGTCCGATTTGGATGTATCACTGGAGTCTTTCCTGATGTAGGGAGCAAGCTCTTGTCTCTGGAGCATCTGGAGGTACGTGTCAAGCCGTGTCAGTCCGATGCTATTTTCTTTTATGTTTAATCTTTTTTTTTTTTCGATGTGCTCATAATACTCCACAACCTCCTGGAGTTTGTGGAAACTCAGCTCCTCAGTGGTGTAGTCTGACTGAGGAGC